TTTTGAAAAGTCTTTAGAAAAATGGGAACTTATCGAAAATCGAAACTGGGTTTAAAAAAACTTACAGCCCTTCTATCAATCAGCTCACTGACGGTAAATTTGTCGTCCAGAATTTTAAAATAAATTCCCAGAGGCGAGAAATGACTAAAAATATGTTGATTTTCACGATTTTGGTGATGATTTAAGATGCTATAGGATGACGGACAATTTGATATGGCATAGATTTTAAATCTCACTCTACTCCTAGTCTGTCTATCTCTTTAAATGAAAATTTTCAATTTCATGAATTTTAAGATAAGTGTAACTCTTCGTACTTTGATAATTGCAAACTTTTTGCTACTACAAAACAATCTATTTTGAAAACAAAATTGCCAATTTCTTCTCCATTTTTCTCAGAAATCCTATCTACCCACAGTCGTATTTATTGCTTAATTTCATTTATCTCGATTAAATTTATTGGCGTAAAACCCTGTCAAATTATTCTGAATTTTTTACCTCATTGAGCCAATGCACGTAGGCCTTGGAAACATTGTAAAATCCGTAAATTTTGTAAACTTTTCCAAACTTTTTATAAGCATTTATGAGGAAAATTAGCTTCCAAATTTTTGAAAACTTGCTCAGATCAAGGGCGTCTATTTATTTTGAAAAAGTTACAAATGAATGCCTGAATTGCCTTAGTTTTTCATAGAATCGTGCCAAAAATGACGCACAAATTGGTAACAGCATAAATTCATCTTGGTAAAAAAAAATTTGGTAAAAAAATTTTGGTAAAAAAATACCAGAATTATGCACAAAATTTTTAAGCGTGTCATCCTACTGGTTTGGTTCTTTCGTTACTTGGAAGAAGAGACGATGCATGTGGAGGAAGGCAGGGTAGCAATAATAATAATAATGCCCGGGTAGTGGAGAAATACGCGTATAGAGACCGGTGCACTTTTCCTGTCAGTGGATTGAAATTCGGGTGCTGTCAACTAAAAAGCGATCCCTTCCTTTTCCTCGAAGGATGAAGTGGTGGTGGTTCTGGTCGTGGGGGTCGTGCCATGGTCATGTCTATCAAGTCGGGAAACGAGGAACACTTGAATAAACTCAAACATGCAAAATAAATATTTAAGATCACGATAAAAAAAATCTAAATCCAACGCCGGATAAAAATTTGCAACAATTTTGATACGTTTTAAGTTAAGAACAGGTCATTTAGCTTCTGGCAATTCTCAAAACGAGGAACACTTGAATAAAGACTCAAAAATGCAGAAATATTCATTTAAGCTCAAAATAAAAGAAAATCTTAATCCGACGCCGGATAAAAATTTGACAACATTTTGATATGCTTTAGGTTGAGAATAGGTAGGTCATTAATATTTTTGCTTAATGAAATCGGTGGTTTCACATATAAACAAATTGAGAGATGTGAAAACGAGGGGCAACAAATTGAATTTTAAAAGGTGCAAAAAAATTATTTAAGATTACGAAAAAACATCTAAATCCGAAGCCAGATAAAAATTTGTAGAATTTTTGCCACGTTTTAAGTTGAGCATAGGTCATTGAGTAGTTCATCATTGCATGGTTTTTTATATCAGTGGTTTTACTTATAAATAAATTAATAAATATGAAAATGGTGGACAAAGAATTGAACTTTTAAAGACTGAAAGATGTAAAAGAATATTCATGATCACGATAAAACAAATCTAAATCCAACGCCAAATAAAAATTTGCCAAAATTTTGATACACTTTAAGTTGCGAACAGGTCATTATGTTTTTCGTTCACTGAAATCGGTGGTTTTGCATATAAATAAATTGAGACATGTGAAAATGAGGAGAAAATAATTGAATTTTAAAATACGCACAAAATTTCAATATCACAAAAAAAATCTGGATCGACGCCAGCGAAAAATTTAAGAAAATTCTGATACTTTTTAAGTCGATAATAGGTTACGGAGCTCTTCAAGCCCTCTCCAAATTGTGGTATCAAAACAATTGCACTCGAAATAACGACTCGAGATGCAAAAAAACTTAAATTCATAAAAATCTGAATCCGACACCAGATACAAATTTGTAAAAATTTTGATATGCTTTAATTTAAGAACAGGTTACTAAATGTTTCATTTGCTTAAATTAATGGAGTGATGTTACGTATAAATTGAGCGATGTGAAAATAATGAGAGAAAAAAATTCCTAAGTTTGAAAGATTCAAAACTTCAAAAATATTTAAAACAATGAAAAAAGTCTAGATCCCACGCCAGACAAAAATTTCTGAGAATTTTAATGTTTTAAGTTGAATAACAGATAGTCTTGATTGTGGTGTTAAAAAAATACTAATCCAATTTTACTAATAATAATAATCCGAATTTGATGAATCGTTGAAATTGGGGATTTTTAAATATTTTGAGGTGTATATAAACACAATTTCTTCAAATTAAGTTGATTTGGGTGATGTCTACTCTCAAAACGAGGAACGCTTGACTCGAAATGCAAAAATAGTTAAGATCACGAAAAAAAATCTAAAATTCGACCCCAGATAAAAATTTCAAATTTTGGAAAAATGCAAAGTACGTAAGTTGATTTTGTGTAAAAAAAAATGTTGATTTAGCCTAAAATAAATTAATTTTGGTTATCAAAAGATACACAAATATCGAAATTCATGAACATTACCCTGCAAAACTTTAGTCAACGTTCGAACCCAAATAAAAATTTTTACAAATGCTTTAATCCATTTTTACATTTCATTCAGGTAACACAATTTTAAAGAATTACCTGGATTTGTTGTTTTAAGATTTGGAAAAAATACGATCTATGTACAAAAACGAACTATTTTTTTAAAATTAGATGATTTCATGTAAAATAAAAAAGGTATTAATTTTTTTAATTTTGCCAAAAGACTTTAGCTCTCTTGTAAATTGACGAATATTGAGGCAATTAACGCAGTCATTTGTAACTTTTTAAAGCCCGTAAAGTTATAAACCTTTCCAAAATTTAACAAATATTTCTGAAGAAAATAAGCTCCCAAATCTTATCCTCTAAAATCTTATATTTTAATTTTGTTAAGATCAAAAGCAATTTTGTAAAATTTAGTAAAATTATTATACAAAGTTTACAAAGTTTCCAAGGCCTTCATGAATTGCCTCATTAACTCATTAACTTACTTGTTAGTGAATTGTTTTTTGTGAATGAATAATAATTTTTTTACGAAGAGTTGCTAGTTTTTTAAATGAAAAGAAACATTGACATGAATACGCCTAACCCGTTTTTGAAGAATGTTTGTCTAATCGTTTATTACGTTGAATTAATTTTCTCTGAGGAGTGAGGAGGAGATATTGATATTTTTCACATTTTGGTTTTGAGGGTGGCCTTGCTGGGGAAATTATTGTCACTTCGCTACACTCGTCACTTTCGCGTTCTCGTCACCCCCTGGAAAAAGCTAAAAGGTGATGCAAATCGATACAAGGGAACGAATGCAAGTTGAAATGGGACACTCTAAATAATATGAGAATTTGGTAAACCTGTTTTACTGAGAAATTCAATTTTTATTACGGGTTACCGAGAATGTTTTTTACCGGTGGTAAATTTTATTACCTGACTGGTATATAAATTTTACTTACTTTTTGGTAATAGAGTAACATGTAGGTCTAATTTTGCACTATATTTTTTTACCGGGTTCTCGTTACCAATTTGGTAAATTGTGGTCAAACTATGACGTTCCCATCATATAGTCGTGATACCATGCAGAATGATAATGGTAAATTTCCTATCTGAAAATTTTTTTTACAGCGAATTTAAGTTTGTTTCCTATTATCGGCTTCGAAGTGTTACTAAATAAAAGTAAAATTGTTACTAAACCAGTAACAAACTATTATAAAGGTCTCAAATGGTAATAATAAAACCTATTTTTTAACAATTCCCGTCAGCCCTATTCACCTTGAAATATTTTTTTTTCTACCAGAAAATTTAAATTAATTTCCTATTATGGGCGTCAAAGTTAAAAAGTAAAACTTGTTACTAAACCGGTAACAAACTGTTACCACAAATGGTAACAATATTTCTAACAATCCTATACCCAACCGAACAATCTTTGAATATTATTTTAGCAAGAAATTTATATTTTGATCCTATTATCGGTGTCAAAGTGTTACCAAACAGTTGATTTGATTATTAAGAGAGCGTCAGAATTGAAAAGGTGCTCGTCACCTGTCACCAACACGTCGTGTCATTTGTTCAGCCTGATTCACAAGAATGGATTATTACGAAAGTGGCTCCGAGTAAAACGTGGTGAAAAAAATGCTGTAATAATTTCGTGCATTCTTATCCCCAGGAAATCGATGCCAATTTAGTCTAATTTATTACTCGGGAATTTATACATACCTTGGAAAACATGAGACAAATTCATGCGGATTTTGTTTTCAAACTAAAATGTATAGGTTTTTAGGAGAATTATTGAAAGTGGAAATATAAAAGTTTTTTTTAATGAAAATTAGTTGAATACTTTTAAAAGTATTTTTTAATTTGGATTTGATCAGAACTAAGGTAGAAAACTTAAAAAATGAACCGTTTATACTTTTCATGAAAATATTGAAAACGAAAAACTAGAATTTTGTATTAAAAATGGAAATGAAATTGGAATGAAAATATAAATTGGAATTTTATGTTCCAAATGAAATAAAATTTGAAAATGAAAAATTAGATTTTTCTTTAAAAAAATACCAGAATTTTGTGTTAAAAATGGAAATAAAGTTGAAAAATGAAGTTAAAAAATGAAGCGAAAGATTTTGGGTTCTAAATAAATGAGAATTACAAAATTAAAAACTCTGAATTTTTTATGAAGCATGTTTTAAATAAGGAAAAAATGAACTAATTTGTGTTTTTCTTTGTTCTCTGTTATTTTCATGTTCATCACGTCAACCTGGATGGAAAAAATAAATTGATAATCAATCAATTCCTCACTTTTACTCAATAATTAAACAAATATGGAATTTGTTCTCCTTAATTATTTGATGGCTGGATATAGGAAGTAAGTCAAATTTTTAAAAAATGGACAACACTCACGCCGATTTTGTAACTTTGTAATATTTAGAATACAATATAAGATTAAAAGATTTTATTCCAAGCTAGGTTATTAAATTTATTTCAACAATCATCAACAACAACAACATTTTTTTGGAAACTTGATAATTTTATGGGGTTTCCAAAAAGCTTGCTGTAAATGTAAATGTTGCGTTTTAAATCTAGAGAAAAAAAATCTAAACATTTTTTTTATGAATTTAAATTATGAGATTTCGCGAAACGATTTTTTTACCCAATTATTTGGAGTAATTTAGATATGTCTCTGTCGAGGTAAAATTATTTTGTTTCTCAGGCTTGGAAATTTTACAGACAATTTTACGAATGCAAATTTTGCGTCTCAAATTAAAAAAAATCAAAAAATTCACCTTTATAAATTTAAATTAATATAAGTTACTAGAATTTGTAAACGTTTTTTTTATAATTTTTGGAGTAATTTATACTCAGGTAAAAATAGTCTGCGCACGTAAAACTAATCTTACAAAGTTTACAGTGCGTTTTGTTGACGTGAAGTAAATTGTTTGATAATCTGAAAATATTTCTTAAAGAAGGAAAATTTTAATAATTTTGCTGCGAAATTTAAAAAAACCCAGCAAATTTCGTGTAATTTTTTAGGGGAAAGAAAAATGTTTCAGCGCTCAAGCGGAGTTTTTTAATTAAGTTTACAAAGTTGTGGACAATTTTTTTTTTTAATTTCGAACCCCCCTAAAACTGAAAATATTGACGATTTTTTTAACAAATTTTCAGGTACAGTAAACGCGAACGGAGAGACGAAACGTCAACGGACGTCCTACACGCGCTACCAGACGCTCGAGTTGGAGAAGGAGTTTCACTTCAACCGCTACCTCACGCGCCGGCGCCGCATCGAAATCGCGCACGCGCTCTGTCTCACAGAACGACAAATCAAAATCTGGTTCCAAAATCGACGCATGAAGTGGAAAAAGGAGCACAAAATGGCCACAATGAATGCCCTTCCGCACCATCACGGCATGGGGCCGCCCCACCACATGCAGGTCAGTTGGGGGGTAAAATTTGGCGAAAATTTTTGAATTTGGAATACAACAAACTGTGGCAGTATATAGTTTTTTTCTACTTTGAAGCACGTGTGCATTCAAATTTCAATTAAAAACTGATCAAAATTAGATATAAATTCAAAAATGCTTTCAAACTGTGTATCAAACGGCATTTAAAAATTGCGAAATTATACACATCGTAATTTATCGTACCAATTGAGCCTGAGTTCGAATTTTAAAATGCATCAAAAATTACCAAAATTTCTAAAACTATTGCAAACAAAACCGTTAAAATTCCTAAAACATGGCTTTATAAATTTTGGTTGCTTTTAAAGCCACAACAAATTAGGCCTCTAATAAACTATTTAAATTTAACTCAAGATAAATGCATTGCCATATAATTTATACTTATATGAAAAGTTTCAGAAACACATTATAAACGTTTCTTATTTTCAAATTTGAAAACCTACAAGTTCAAAAATTCGCTAAAAAACACTGCTAAAATTTGTATAAAAATGCAAAAAATGCAACACTTTATTTACAAATTACAAACGTGTATTACGAATAAAAGTTTTTTTATTTTCAAATTTGAAAAAATACAAGTTCAAAAATTATCTAAACATATTGCCAAAATTTCAAGTTCAAAAGGTTTACTAAAAACATTGCGAAAATTTGCATGCAGTAATACTACTGATACCCTGTTCTGTTCCCAGATGAAAATTGTATTTCAAGCAAAAATGTAAAAATGCCCTACACCCGTTTTTGTGTAAAACGTTTAAAAAATCACCAAAAACTCATTCAAAATATTTCCAAAATTTGTAATTAAAAACCTAAAATATTTTACTTATTTTTTTAGCACATGGCCGCCCTGGCCGCCGCTCACCACCACCACCCACACCACCTCGGCCATTTGGGGGACATGAAAGGATGAGGGTTAGGAATGCCCTGTTCCGACTACAATTTCGCCGCAGCCGCCGCCGCGCTCCAACAACAAGTCGTCGCTCAACAACAACAACAGCAACACCACCACCAACAACAACAGCAACCACAGTATGAAGACTTCCAACAACCACAACAGCAAAATTTCTAAAGTGTCTACAGAATTTTCGAAAAAAATTTCTTTTCGAAATTCCTACCACACTTTAGAAAAAAGATTTCCCAACCTTCCACAAAATACTCAAAGCGGCAAATTGATTGATTTTTTTTGTCGATTTTTTGAAAAAAAAAATATCATGAAGACCTTGATCCTCATTTAAATACGTAATTTGTTTTGGAGAGAGTATTTTATTTTAAGGATTACCTAATTATGTAAATTGAATACTCGTAAAAACGCGCAAAATTTGATCTCGCATTTTTTTATGATATGTAATATCTCGTTAATTAGTTAGTTAATTAGTTAGATTGATTAGTTAAGTTTTGTAGATTTTTTTGTACCCGGATAATTTTGTAGGTTTATTTTTAGCGTAGTTTTACTGAGGTGGTTTGTAAGTGTGTAAAATTTTTGGGATTTGTAAAACAATTTATGACAATTTATGGCATTTATCTATTTTGTAAAGTTGGCAATTTTACGAGGTTTATGAATTTTAAGGTTTGACAGAATTTGTAACAAATTGGGTTTGACATGGAAATTGTCTTGATTTTGGGCAAAATTTCACGCCAATTTTGGAAACTTTGGAGGGATCGGTATAAACCAGATGTCGAGATGATGTAAATGTTTCCTTGCAATTTTATAAAGTTTACACGATTTGCGTGTAAACTTGTGAAATGGTGAAGTTTACAAGATTGGTTTCTGTAAAGAAATAGCATTCATTTTCGAGAAGTTTGCTTTGTAATCTGCAAATTGATAAGGTTTCACGTCAACTATGTAAATTTTCTGAGATTGAGAACACAAAAAATTGAAAGATATGTCGAAGTGAGGACTTGTTACTCAATAATTTTCATAAAGTTTTCACATTTTGTGTAAATTTATGAAGCTTACAAAATTTTTTGAAATAGTTCGAAATCCGGGCCTAAAACATCGGAAATATTGCAATTTTTTTAGTTCGAAAATTTGTCGTCCAAAACTTTAACAGGCGAATTATAGACCTATTTAAATGTTCAAATCGTTGTAAACTCGTAATTTCATAAAGTGTCCATAGTTTATGTAAATTTATCAAGCTTACAAAATATTAAAAAATCTCGAAATATTGCCAATTTTTTTACCCAAATGTCAAAAAATTTACACACTTTACACACTTACAAACCTAATATTTGTTAAGTTTACGGTTAAAAATGGTTCGTTATAGCCTGAGTCTCCCTCCCTCTCTCTCCTCCTTTTTTAGTAAACTGCCGTTATACACTCGCTGTCGCGTAAACTCTTCACAACTGTAAATAGCTCAAGAAATGCAAATGGCTGCTAAAGGCTAAAAATTGAATTCAGAACAGGGACGTTTTCTACTATTTATTTCACTCGAAACTTTGTAAACTGGGTAAATGAAGTTTTGTAAACTGTATGAAATTTGACGGACAAAATCTTAAAGGAAGAATTTAGTTACAAATTTATGTCTAAAAGTTTGTCAAATTTTGAATTTGATAGATTTTACAATGTTTTTTTTTTAAATGTAATCCAATTACTTCAAGACATTGTTAATCTCGACAACTTTCGTCACAAATTTATGTCCAAAAATTTGTCACTTTAAAAAAAATTGCAAAGTTTCCAAAGCTGTGCGTGGATTGGTTCGAATAGTAGAAAATTATCACGCAAATTTTATAGCAAAAAATCTAGAGGGAAAATTTTGCTACAAAATTATCCCTAGATTTTGCCAATATTTAAAACTTCCAAAATTATTTTATACAGTTTGCAAAATTTTTAAGGTTTACAAAGTTTGCGCAGTATTTTTCCCACAAAGAAGAGATAAATTTCTCTTGGAAATATTTCTCTTCTTGAAAAAAATAAACCAAATTTTTCAACTTACTGAAAACTCAAAATACAGGGAACTGAACAAATACAATTCCATAATATAAAAAACTTAGAAAGGTTACGATTTCAAAAAATATTTTAAGATTTTGGTGTTGATATGTAGAAGGGAATCACCATTTAGTCAAAGATCTCTCCTAATTAACTGATTAATTAAGTAATTAAATAGTTAATTAGTTAATTGTGCGTAGTACATGCAGATATTTTAGTCTTAACAATTTTCGTGTCTGGTTTCCAGAATTTTAAGAAAATTTCAATCGATACTTAAGTAAAAAATAAGATTTGTATTTTTCTTGAATATTTCAATTTGTCTAAATTATTCAAAAAAATAAGAATTGTAATTAGTCTTTTTATCGTAAAAATGAAATTTCTCAGAAGAAAATAAGGTTAACAAGTTGCAAAAATATTTTATGTAAGTTTTGCAAAAATATTTTACATAATTTGCAAAAAATTATAAAAATTAAGTCAAATCAAAAATGTTATACAATTTCATTTAAGTTTCTTTTATTCGCCAAGTGAATTGAATTTTGAGTTTCATTTTCGCCAAATTTTAAACCTTCCTTTAAAAAAATCAAATTTTACATTTTTTTGGTCAGAGAAAAATTTTGAAATTTTTTATCTTTTTTTTCTAAATTTCAAAAAATATCCCCCTATTTTATTTTTTACCCCGTGTACAAAATAATTTCCTCATTTTTTATTGTATAAATGTGATGATGATCTTGCAAAAATCTGTGTATACGAATAATTCGCTAAAATATTTAATCTTTGCAAATCGTGTGTGCTCTGTTTTTTGTGGTCTGGTGTTTGTGTAATATACGTAAAAAAACATGTGAACTGCTTAATTTTACAAGTAATTAATTAAAAATCAAATTAATTAATTAGTTAATTAATTAATTAATTACATAAATAAAACCAATCGTAAATATACCACCAACCAAGAAAAATGATGCAAGAGGAGAGAACAAACGTATGTAAAAGTTACCAAAAATTATGACCCCGCAGAGTCATTTGTATTACTACTATTTAGCAGAAAATAAAGTATTATTAAATTTTTAGCAGAAAAATAATTAAACTTTAATTAAGTAATTAATTAAGGTAAAAAATTAATCACGTAAAACTTAATTGTTGATGTACAAGAAGAAACCAAGTATACGAGGAGGACGAGGAAGAAGAAGAGGATCGTTTAATTGAGTAAATAAATATGATTAAAAGATAATTAATGATTAATTAATTAATTAATTAAATGTGGAGAAGAATGTGAAAGAGAAAAATAAAAAAGCCAACTTATTACAGTCAAATGAAGAATTTTGGAATATTTTTTTGGGTGGGAAATTTATTACCAAGTTTGCAAAACAAATATTGGTTCCTATAAAGAAATGGTATTGATTTAAGAGGTCAGTCAAGGTTTAACGCCAAATTTGTAAACTGTGTGACATTGACAATTTTAAAATCTAATAGGTTTCGTTCTTTGGACATAAATAATGTTGTAAACTCCTTACTGTTTTTTTATAAAGTTTTCACAGTTCCTGTAAATTTATGAAGTTTACAAAAATTTCTGAAATATTTAGAAATCTGTGCCTAAAATATGGGAAATATTGCCAAATTTTAGTTTGAAAACGTATCCAAAAACATAACCGGCCGGCGTATGTTGCTTAAATCTTTGTAATTTCGTTTTCACTGTGTATGTAAATGCATAATTTGATTTGGTACATGATTTTTTGCAATTTGAAATTTTCGTAACCTTTGGTACGCTGCAATATATACCTGCAAATTATATTGAAGAACTCGTGATTATTTAAAGAAAAATCTTTAGACGTGAATATCGATCCGAAAGCAAAATGTAAACGAGTAATTCGACATATTTTTTTGTAAATTTATCATAAATTAGGCTTCCCACGCGACTTTTTGGTACCATTTCGCATAAATCACACTGAGGTCGATTAGTTTTCTCCTCTTCGGATGCAAGTATCTCTGCCAAACGTGCCCATTGGGAGGTCGTGTCTGTCGCAAATTTCATACTAAATTTCAGCTCAAAATTTATTGAGCCATGTCTCGCATTAAAGCAAGAAATGGAGATAAGGCTGAATAAAAAAATATGTAAATTTTAAATGAGGCAGAACTTTTGCGTTTGCAAAATGCAGACACAGTTTATCATTCAATTCATTCTGAAATTGTCCATGCATGGTGACGTTTTAGATATGTATGTATACTTCTTGTCGTCTTCTTGGGAATTAAATGCGCTGTTTTATAGTCCATCAGCCAGTCGAGCAGAAGTTAACTGATATAAATACATATATACATGAACAGATTATATACATATTTAATGTCATCTGTTATTTTTTTATGGTGTCTTGACTTGTCTTCGTATCTTCTTAGGAAGTGCGTGGTAAATATGTAGTGATAGTCTTGATAAGTTTGCAGAAATTCATGTGTGAGTAAATATACATACAGAGAAAATTCGCGCAGTGCTTGGTAACTTTGTAAAATCGGTGCGTTTTGTAAAATAAGCTTACAAACTTTTTTTTTAAATAAAGAGATCTGAATAAATTTACTACAATTTGGGATCTAATTTTCCTTCAAAATGAGAGTACAATTTTGTGAAACTTTACAAGTTTACGGAGCTTGTAATGTTACCAAGTCCTGCGTGAATTGCCTCTACATTTCATAAGAATTTATCCGTCAAAATTTCGCGTATCCGTGCGGACCTATCTGGATCGATCACAAAGTGTTCAATAAATATTTTTTTGAAAATCGACTTTAATGCTTGACAAATTTGGAAGTTTTCATCTGGTGGAAGTATCACTTGTTAACTCGTAATTTCGTAAATTTTCAAAAAAAAACAAGTGAATTTATTATTGGAAACAAAGTTCCAGTTAGTTCGTTGGATTTAATTTGTGCATAATCTTGAATTAATTAATTATTTTGTTGTGGAGATCCACAAGTTCAAGTTGAGTGGAGTGAATTTCGCAGTATACAAGTTTTTTGCGAAGTTGTGTCCCATGTAGTTAATATTTGCAATAACTTGTGCAAATTCTTGCCTTTAATAATTTCGCTGCGATACGATTATTAACAAATTTATCGTAAATTTGAGTTCCTGTTGGGTCGTTTGATTTATTAATTTTGTGCGAATTCGTGTCTTTAATAATTGTTCGTTGTGATATAATTATTCGCAAATTTTTACGCGGTCATGGCGTCGGGGGGACAATCTAACCTGGAAGTTGGGTTGCAAGTTCCTCTCCCAACTTTGCCAAGGAAGAAGAAATCTTCGGTGTACGTTTATACGAGATTTCCGGAAATAAACGATAACGAAGAAGGTGACGATGACGATGGTGACGAAGAAGAAATTGAATACGCTGACCTCAAGGGAAGACCGGTCCACAGGAGGACGCAGTTATTGGGGGCACTCGCAGGTTAGAAAATCCTAGAAAAATTGTGGCCTCATTTTTTTGGGCAAATTATGTAAATCGAGTGAAAAATAGTGACCTATGAGGTTCAGTAAGTCAAAATATTCAGTTTAAAGATGATTATGGCAAAAAACACGATTATTTTTAAAATTTATGCGAAAAGAGGATGAAATTTTGCATGCAAATAATGCTCATTAAGAGAAGAAGACTTCAAGGATGTAAAATTCGCAGAAAGTATGTAAATCGAGTGGAAACTTGCGACAAGCGACCTTCTGGACGCCAAGATATTAAAGCTGTATCTTTAAAAAATGGTAGCGTTGCGTTACATAAACCTTCAAAAAACACGATTGTTTTTTTATTTTATGAGAAATACCTGAAAGTTGGCTTAATTAAGAAAATTTATGTATAAACTTTAGCAAAATATTGACATGACCTCAATTTTATAAGTGTGAACTCTATTTTTTGACCTGACAGAGGATCTTCAATTAAATATGACTATGTTTTTTTTTCTATTTTTTACAGCAAACATGGGAGCTCTCGCGTTAGGGACGGTCCTGAGTTGGCCGGCAGTTGGTATTTAATTAATCAATTTGTAAATAACATAAAATAATTTGCACATCTTTTGCAATTATTTTGCATGTATACAGCACTCCCAAATCTTCGAGTGGATCCGGATTTTACAGGAAATCTAACAACCAGTCAGGAATCATGGATTGGGTCGATAGTTTCAGTAAGTTTGAGGTCGTTAAAAATGTATTGTGTGCAAAAATTTGCAAAAATTTGCCTGCAACTTTTTTGTAAAATAGTTGGGAGCAGTAGCGGCAGGTCCGGTGGGTGGGGTCGGAATTGAGCTGTTTGGTCGAAGAAAAGCCATGCTGGTCTGCTCTGTACCATTTTTCATGGGGTGGATGTTAATTCATTTCGCATCTTCAGTTTCGCACATCCTCGTTGGAAGGTTTGTTACAGGTTTGTGCAAAAAAATTGAAGAGAAAATTTGCAGTAAGATTTCTTATCAAAATTATGTTGCAAAATCAGTGCAAGAAACGTATTGCGAATTGCATGTTTTTATTCGAGAACTTTCGTAAACTAGAAGCGAGCCGTGATGATTTGCAAATTCAAAATATATTGATTTTGCAAAGTTTACAAAGTTTATGGATGTCACAAGGGTGCTGACATGAAAATAATCACTGACAGTTTTAAAGCGTTATGTTTTGTGAAAACTTAATAACCTTACATAATTAATTACGCTATTTTGAGCGAAAATAAAATTAGGGTTTGGGATGGAAATTTTCTGCCAAAATTTGCAAATCCCTGACGTCGATGGTACAAAAAGAATATTTGACAAGTAGCCATAAATTTAAAATAGGTCGATGAGAAAACCCAATACGAGCTAATTTTTTTCTTAATTCTGCAACTTGTGCAAAAACGATTTCCAAATTTATAAATTGATTTTTCGAGTTATGCAAAGGTGGAGTGAAACCAATGATTGGAAATTTTACAGTAAAATGTCTAATTTTTCTTTAAAACTATTGTTTAATTTTGTTTTTTTAAACTTTATAAGTTTTCAAATTTACAAGGTTTTGAGTGGAAACAAAATTATTTAGTGTTCAGATGGAGATTTGCTATCAAAATTCATAAATCGTAAATCGTTGACGCCGATGGTAACAAAAAATGCTGGACAGATAAATAAAATCTTAAATTAGATGTAGTGTGATCGGAACTGAAGTCTTTAAAAATTTGGTTTAATTATTTTTACTTGATTTTTTATGAGAGTACAAAATTACAAAGTTTTGAGTGAAAATTTAAAAAATCTCGTTTTTTTTAGGCTTCTTTGCTGGGACTTTTGCCGTAGCGGCGCCGATATTCACGGGAGAAGTGACCGATGCCGGGATTCGTGGCGCTGTGGGGTCCACCTTCGATATGATGATCAGTCTTGGGATTCTTTTCATGTGAGTGACGTTTTTTAACGGGGAATTTTTTGTGGGGAATTTTTGGACATTTTTTAAAATTTTTATAAATTTTTTGTATTATTTTTCGTTTAGAATTTCTGTAATTTTTCGCATTCTTTTGCATAAATACATAGCTTACGCTTTTTGAAAATTTCATGTAGATTTTCGTTTTGGATTTTTCCAATTTATTTTATTGATATGTTTTACAAATATTCTTTGATAATTTTGAAGGGGAGTTTTTGCACATTATCTATTTTGGAAATTTGCATATCTAAGAATATCAGAATTTATTTTAAAAAATTTTAATTATTTTTCATTTCCATAATTTGTATTCTTCTCGCATTTTTTGGCACATTTTATGGCGATTTTGGCAATTTCACATTGTTTTTCTCTGCATTTTTGCACCTGATTTTTTTGTATTTTTGCATTTCTACACATGTAATTTTGCTGTTTTTTTAGCTATGTTGTGGGAACGTTTGTATCGTGGCGGGTGCAAGCGTTGATCTGTTCTGTCGTTCCGGTTGTGATTTTTCTGTTAATGCTGGTCGTACCGGAGTCGCCGGTGTATTTGGTGAAAAAAGGAAGGATGTCGGAGGGTGCAGAGGCCCTGATGCGATACCGCGGCGCCACCAGGATTCAGCAAATTCAAACCGAATTTGAAGAGGTTAGACGACGAAAAAATTTTGAAGATACATAAATTAATATTTGTGTTGGCTTAAAGATTAATCATTTGGCTGAAACTACAAATTTTATTTCGTCTTCCTTATCCTCCCTACTTCACAGAAGCAGTTGGTAGTGGTTGAACCAGGTACTGGGAAACACTATATTCTGCCCCTTTTTATAAAGTTAAAAAACCGGGACTTACATACTCCAGTCACGCACTCGCCACGCCATATTCCTCACAGTTGAATTTAGGCATCTTGGGAAACACATTGGGAGAGAAAAAGTTTTGTTAAAAATTTGATATATTTCTGAAAATACGTCGCCCGCACTCATTCATCAGAGGAATTTTTCAATCTTTGTCAAGGTAAGAAACTTTATTGTTATTTGGGGGTTGGAGGTTATTTTTTCATTATTTTGCACCGAAAATAAGAAAGACTATCGAAAATTAATTCAATATATGAAAAGAGCAAGCCAACGTTCCCTCAATGAGGATAACGGCTAGACCTAATCCCGTGTGGACGGTCATTAATACAATTTCTATCTAATTATTTAAAGATGAGCGAGGCTGAAAATTCGCTTGAAGCAAGGCTCCAAAAACAGGAGGAAGCATTAGAAGCGCTCAAAAGTATACCCCAAATTATTGCTGAATTGAAGTCGTCGTTGGAAAGTCAAGGGGCTGACAATAAAAGAAAAAGTACGTGGTCCTTAGGACTTTCAGATGAGGAGGACGACTCAAACCAAGACGAAATTAATGCATTAATTGGAAAAAATCCATCCACAGATGATGGTAAAATGAATTATTGATTATTAATAATATTTTATTAACGGTCAAAGATGCCAATTGAAAAACAAATCTTTATATTGAATAGAATTGCAACTGCAAGAAGTGAATGAACTTTTAAATGATATTGAAAAGCAATCAGATCTTGGCCCATCAATTATGGAAAATGTTGCCCAGAGTTTTGCAAAGACAATCAATCGTCCCTTATCAAAGGAAACAAAAGCTAAATTAAGAGAAGCAATTAAGATTCCTGAAAACTGCAAGGACTTTTCTGCTCCAAAGATTAATAATGAGATTTGGCGAATCATTCCATCCCATGCAAGATTATCAGATGTAAAAAGTCAGCAAAATCAGCAAGCGCTTGGCTGTGGGATGTCGGCATTAGCTCTTATCTCAAATATGGCCTTGCAACATAAGAAAGATTTACCCAAAGAATTATTGGCTGCTATAATCAAGACGTCATTGGATGCATCAAATATTATGGGCGATCAGTTTCAACAAATAAGTTCGAGTCGGAGAATGGATATAAAGAGATTTTTAAATCCAGAATATGCTGGGATTTGCAATGCACAAATTTCTCAGTCAGAATGGTTATTTGGGTCCGACCTGAGCGAAAGTCTGAAGACATCAAAAGCTACCTCAAGCTTAATCAGAAACACATCAGGTATTAGAGGAAACAGCAGATTCACTCCATATAACAAATTTAATCGGCCTTCAGCAAACACATCTGGCACTTTAAACTACAGTCGCCCGTTCCGTCCATTCCGAGGGAACGGGCAGTTTCGCCAAAACAGTTATCGACCAAGTTCCAACTTCCAGCCGGCGTGGAAAACAAATCAACAATTCAAGCAAACAAGGAATTAAATAATAATTCGGTACGTGTAAAAGCTGGTAAATTGTATAAATATTTAAAAAAGTGGAACAGTATTACCTCAGATAAGCTAGTGTTAAATATAGTACAAGGTTATGAAATTCCGTTTGTTTCAAATCCAGTACAAAATATTGAGCCAATTCGTTCTAATTATTCAGACTCTGAAATTAACTCCATTGAGGAAAGTATTCAAAAGATGTTGAAATCCGCCGCTATTATTCCTTGCGATAATGAAATGGGTCAGTTTGTGTCAACTGTCTTCACAGTTCCAAAGCCAGATGGTACAAGGCGTCCAATTTTGAATCTAAAAAAGCTAAATGAATTTATGGAGTCCCCTCATTTTAAGATGGAAACAATCAAAACTGCCACGGAGTTAATTAGTAATCAATGTTTCATGGCTGTAGTAGATTTACGAGACGCTTATCATGCAATCTCTATATCTGAACGTAGTCAAAAGTATTTGAAATTTCGGTGGAAAGGAAAACTTTACAAATACACGTGTCTTCCGTTCGGCTTATCCTTGGCACCGTTTTTATACACAAAATTAACCAAACCGGTGGTCGCAAAACTTCGGGTGCAAGGCATTTTAGTGAGTTTATATTTAGATGATACACTAATAATTGGCAGAACGTATGCAGAATGTGTTCAGAATGTTAGAATAGCTATTTATCTACTTACAAGGTTGGGGCTCACAATAAATGTTGAAAAATCGCAACTTCAACCCTCTCAGTTAGTAAAATACCTGGGTTTTCATATTAATTCTCAAAAAATGCAGTTGTCATTGCCAAGCGATAAGACCGAAGCAATTATTAACAAATGCAAGCAAGCGCAAGCATGTAAAACAATGACTATACAAAAATTAGCCGAGTTAGTTGGATCACTGGTTGCGGCGGTGCCGGCGGTTAGATATGGGCTTCTTTATACCCGTCAGTTTGAGATGGAAAAGGTTCGTGCATTATCAATCTGTAATAATAATTATAATTGTAAAGTTGCTTTGTCGGAAACAGCTAAAGGAGATTTAACTTGGTGGATTAACGCACTGCCAACTTGTTATCAGTATTTACAAAGGCCTGCACAAGATTCAATTATTTTCACCGACGCTTCCTTGCATGGTTGGGGCGAAGTGTGTGAAGGGATTGAGACCAAGGGGTCGTGGCCGCCTAATTTAGCTTGTTTACATATAAATCTCTTGGAATTATATGCAGTATTTTTTGGTTTACAAGCGCTGGCAAAAGACAAAAAGCATATTCTTGTCAGGGTCGACAATACGACAACTTTAGCGTACATCAATAGATATGGCGGATGCATTGAGAATTTGCATAACATCGCAAAACGGATATGGCAGTGGGCAGAGGCAAATGCGTTCTTCTAACAGCAGGCTATATTAATACAAAGCAAAATGTGGTTGCGGATAGGTTGTCTCGGGACAGGTCAAGTAATTCCGATTTCCTTTTGTCAGAAAAATACTTTCATAAAGTCTGTAAAAAGTTTTGGGTCCCTGGTATAGACTTGTTTGCCTCGCACGTAACTAGTAAATGTGCGGTATTTTATTCATTTAAGCCTGACCCATATGCAATAGGTGTCGATGCATTTACTTTCACATGGGAGGACAGATCTTACGCTTTTCCTCCTTATAATTTATTATCCAAAGTTTTAAATAAAATTAAAAGAGATGGGTGCAATGTTTTAGTAATTGCTCCATTTTGGAAAACCCAGCCGTGGTTTCCATTGTATAAGAAAATGGCAATATCTGAAATTATCATTCTGGGGCCTAATAAAACCCTTCTTTTTGATCCGTACAGGAACAATTATGTCAGTCCGAACAAGAAATTATCTTTGATGGCAGCAGTCTTATCAGGAAAATCTGGAACAATTTAAATTTATCAGATAACGTCATTCAATTATTGCGAGCTTCAAAATCGAATGGAACTTGGCACCAATACACGTCATCACTCAATAAATGGGCGTTATTTTGTAGCACGAATAATTTGTCGCCATTAACTAAAAATATTAGTAACTATTTAGAATTTTTGAGTAGTTTGTATAACGAGGGATCCAGTTATAGTACTGTAAATACGGCTCGTTCGGCTCTATCTACTATATTTGGTAATATTGATGGTGTTCCTTTGGGGGAGCACAAACTTATTGTAGATCTCATGAAGGGAATTAGTAGATTACGTCCAGTGAAGCCAAGATATAATGTAACTTGGAATCCTGATGTTGTTTTGAAGTATTTAAGAGGTATTGTAACTGAGACATGCTCATTGAAAGATTTAACTCTAAAATTGGTCAGTTTGCTAGCTTTATGCACAGGTCAAAGAGTGCAGACTTTGTCTAATATATTACTGTCAAACATTCATTGCGATGATTCAGTTCAAATTACTATTTCGAGTTATCTTAAGACAACAACAGTGGTAAAGAGCAATCGTGTATTATTGTTGCCACCCTTCCATGTTTCGCAATTGTGTCCGGTTGTTGCTCTCAAAGAATATGTAAAACGAACCAAGTTAATGAGGAGTGAATGCGACTCATTGTTGATTTCTTATGTAAAACCTCATCATAAAGTCAGTTCCCAGACAATTAGCCGCTGGTAAGTAGAAGTCCTAAAGTTATCAGGAATAGATTCTGAAAAATTCCATGCTCATAGTTTTAGGCATGCTTCTACGTCTAAAGCTTCTCGAAATGGAGTAACCATAGATAGTATTTTGAGGCGTGTTGGTTGGACTAAAAATTCATCTGTATTTGCTAATTATTATAAACGGCCTGTTTTAAATGAATATGAATTTGCTACTAATGTTCTAGAGATACAATAAGAAATTGATTTTAAAATAATATTTGTAATAAAATTTTTTGCAATGTTATGTGATGTATGCTAAGCAGTAGAAACTTATTTATTTATTTATATCATTACTGCTCATCGACTTAGCTTTGAACGTCTACCAACTGTATCTGTGAAGTAGGGAGGATAAGGAAGACGAAATAAAATTGAAGATTTTGCAAGGGCGAAGCCCGAAGCAAAATCCTAATTTTGTGAGTCTTCCGTTTCCGGAAGACTTCACAGCCCTCCAACCCACCCCCAATAGTTTTTTAAGTCGATTCGCTTTTTGAAAACTGTGAGGAATATGGCGTGGCGAGTGCGTGACTGGAGTATGTAAGTCCCGGTTTTTTAACTTTTTGAAAAGGGGCAGAATATAGTGTTTCCCAGTACCTGGCTCAACCACTACCAACTGCTTCTGTGAAGTCTTCCGGAAACGGAAGACTCACAAAATTAGGATTTTGCTTCGGGCTTCGCCCTCGCAAAATCTTCAATTTCTGATTATACATTTTTTTCTATGATTCTGAATTTATTGTAGTAAAAAGTATAGTGTAGAATGTTTTCAAAATTGCAAATTTGTTGTACATTATTTCTCTATCTATAACCCTGAATTTTTATAAACTTACTCAGATCAAGGGCGTCTCTTTATTTTGTAAAAGTTTGCAAAATTACGAACGAAAATTACGAAAATTATGTTTTTGTAGACCAAATACGTCCTTAAATATATTTTATAGATCCATAAAACTTGAACTTAAAGAAATTCAGATGGGAAGGGAGTTGACTTAGAAGTAGTTTAGCACGTTACAGATTTTGCATAGTAAATGCTTACCACAACGAAGGAAAAAATCAGTTAAACAATTCACGCAGTCATTGGTAACTTTGTAAAGACGGTAAGTTTCTTAAACTAATCTTGCAAACTTTTGAAAAATAAAATAGACGCCCTTGATCTGAGCAAGTTTCCTCAGAAATATTTGTAAAAGTTTGTAAGTTTACAGAATTTACGGATTTTACAAAGTTACCAAGGCCCGCGTGAATTGCCTCATTGACGCAATTAACGTGGATGTCGTAATATATAAATTTACCTAGATTTCGGAAAGATTAGGAAGAAAAATTGACTAAAATGTATTGTTTAAAGATGAAATGATGACATCTCTTTAATTTGTGTAAGTTTATACCCTATAATAATTGTTTTTGGTAAGGAACACATTTCCTGAGTTTAAAAAGATGCCATAGTGGAAAGGCCATAAATTGTAAAGTCATAACATTTTGCTAATAACAAATTTCCAAAATTTGTAACACAAGTTTGATAAAAAAAACTTTCTAAATTTTGAAGTACTATTAATACAATTAGCATGGAGTGAAAAATCGACTGATTTTCGTATCTCGTACATCACAATTTTGTAAAAGAAAACTTTTACCCTGAAAATTCATCAAATTTTATAAATTTTTGTGAATTTCGAAAATTTCAAATTTGAAGAAAATCAAAACTTTCCAACTTTTAAAATAGTATTACTACAATTAACATAAGGAGTTATTAAACTTACCAAGGCCTGCTTGAATTGCCTCAGTGTAATGTAGCATTTTTCAAAAATTGCAAATTTGTCCAGCATTTTATTACAATTTTTTTTTGCAATTCATAAATTTTAGTGGAGAAGTAAACATTTTTTGCGATTTTGTTTCTGTCAGATGGCGAACGAGGCCTGTGTCCAGGAGGGTTCGTGGGTGGGAGGATTTTCGACGGTGCGGCGAAGAATGTGCGAACCCTGGATTTTACTTCCGGTCGGGATCGGATTTTGCATTTTTGCCTTCCAAGTCATTTCCGGTCTGGATCCGGTGCTCGTCTACACGGTCGACATCTTCCACATGGCTGGCGCTCAGTTGGACGAATACACATCGACAATTATCATCGGAACGATGCAAACGGTATGGAGCAAGAAAATTTATTGCTAATTTTTGCAATTGTTTTTAAAGGAATGACCTATCAAAATTTTGCAAATTTGTGAAGTTTGTGCAACAATTATTGAGAGAACATTTTACTGGAGTGGAAAATGACGCAATTTGTAGTCTAAATTGGCCTAGGACTTTTTGGTCAAAAATATCTGCAAATTGAGCATATTTTTACTCGAAAAAATTGAATTTGTGTTTGCAAATCGGCAAGGCTATATGTTACACGATTATTTCGCAAGCTATTTGCAAATATTGAGGCAATTCATGCATTGGTAACTTTGTAAAATCGGTATTATTTTACAAAATAAAAAGATGCCCTTGATTCGAGCGAATTTACAAAAAATGCGTACACTATGCTTTAGCTTGGAAATATTAGCTGCGTAAAATTTCGCAAAAGTTTGTAAACGTAAATAATTTACGGATTTTACAATGTTGGCAAAGACTGCTGATCATTTGGGCAAAAAAAATTCAAAAAAAGTGACAAGGTTTTACGCCAATAAATAAAATTGAGATAAAGTGAATATAAAACTATTTAATAATAGATTGATGGCTTGTTAATCCTAAGTTTTGCTTCGTATCCCTCATACCTGGAGGTCGATCACTACCAACTATACTCCGTGATGTCTTTCGTACTCGGAAGACTCACAAAATCCACAATTTTACTGAATTACAAACATTCTTAAAAATCTGGTAGAGTCGAATATATACTCCGTACTGGTATTAATTTGGTAATAACTCGCTACCGTATTGGTAGTAATTTGTTTCTGAGAGGTGAATTTTCATTACCAGAACATACTACGCGGTAAATCCTGTTGTTAGATATGTACTCCGGTCGGTAATGATTTAATGCCAGTTTTTTAAGAGTGAACATGAATGTGCCACAATACATCGTTGACTTGAGAACGGAAAACTTTTTTATTAATTGAAAATAATTAAGCGTGATGGATTTGAATTCAAAATAAATAAATTCAAAATAGATAAATATACAATCTGAGATTTTACAAGTGCCGTACCCTTAGATTGAAAATTTGAGAATTACCATAATAAATAACAACATACAAGTAATTATTTTCGGCACTTGCCAATTAATCTAGTCACGTGTTCAGCAGGTCGAGTAAAGCGCGAGAATTTTCCATCACGCTTAATTATTTTCCAATCAATAGAAACGAGATTTTAAATTGGCGGGGCGTTCTATTTTGTTTTTGAATTTTTGATCTAGTTGGCGGGCGTGGTCGCGGCCTCGTTGGTGGAGCGGTGTGGTCGTCGCGTGCTGCTTTTGGTGTCGGAGGGCGCGATGGTGGTGGCGCTGGGAATGCTTGGCGTCTACTTTTACTTGAAGGAGGCGAACGGCGGCGTCATGCCGGTCGGGTTGGGCTGGCTTCCCGTCACCTCGTTAGCCGTGTACGTGCTCTCCTATTCGGTCGGAATGGGACCGGTTGGGTACACCTTGATGGGCGAAATATTACCTCTGCAGGTCAAAGGTGAGGTTTGCAAATATTTTTGCAAGAAATGTTAGCAAAGATATGGAATTTTGACTTTTTTTAGCAAATTTTGGATACAATTTTCTAAGCTCTGTACTTAATTTTAATTTAATCAAGAAGATACTGTAATATTTGTCAATTAGAAAATTTTTCTAGATAGGGAAATTTGGTAGTATTTTTTTAAATGAAACCTTTAAAAACTTTTGTTTTGTTATTTTACGGGAAGAATTTGGTTTTTTGCATTGTTTAATTTTTGTAATTTTGTATTGTTGAAGTTTTATAATTTTGTAATTTAGTCCAAATTTTTTGAATTTGAGTTTTTATTATACTAAATTTATCAATTTTTCACAAAATTTTCCACAACATTTTTGTATCTCGTATCTCGCTTTTGGCTAATTTCAGATCTTTACGATTTTTTTCATTTTTTGTTTTACAAATTTTTGAAATTCGGCATTAAGATTATACAGTTTTTTGCTTAACCTTGTTTGTATACCTTGCAGGTCTCGCCGGTTGTATTTTAACCTCCGCCAAATGGTTCATGTCGTTCCTGGTGACCAAGTTTTTTCAAGATTTGCTCTTCGCGCTCGGAAGCGCGGGTTGTTTTTGGTTATTCGGCGCCTTTTGCGCGGCCGGATTTATTTTCGTGGCAGCCTTCGTACCGGAAACGAAGGGGCGAAGTTTGGACGAGATTCAGCAAGAATTTAGACTGCGATTTAGCGCACCGACAAATTCCCCGGATGAAAGTGAACCCTTACTGTTACCAGTGGGTATTAGCGGGAGATACCCGGGTAGTAGTAGCCGTACCGTGATGGATACTATATCAGAATCTTCGCAGAAACTTCGCGAAAAATATGCCGCTATCGTATGACCGTTATTAAGTTCCTAATTAATTAATTAGAATAGTTAGTAAAATATTTATATGATTAAATAAAAATTATTTGATTAATTTCGTTCCTAGTTAAATTAGTTAGTTAAAATAGATAAATAACCAGAAATTGTTTGATTAATTACGAAAAATATGTAAATATTTGATAAATCGTATGAACTAAGAGATTTGCGAATAAAGACATTGCAATTTTTTGCAGTTGTTGCTTTTCATGTAAAATTTTTTTATTCGTGTTTTCTGTTACAAATATTTAACTGCTGGGTTTTGGAAACATCTTTGTTTGCCATTTTATTATCAGGAAGCACTAATTTGTAGTATATATTTAGTATTTTATATAAGTTTCTGAATTTCTTGGTAAGTATCTGGAAACTGGATATTTTTGCATACAACGTTTTGTTAAAAGTTTTGCAAATTTATATTAACAATAATCACTTCGTTAAGCTTTCAACTGGTTAATCTCATTGCAAAATTACTACTTAAACATATGAAATTGTTACCTCCATGAAAAAATTTGAACTAGGTAAAAATTAAATTCGTGATGAATGACGCAAATTTTGAAATATTACATAATTATACAATTTACACAATATTATGTAATTTCTCTCTAATTATTCTCTCTAATTATTATTGTTATATTTTGAACATTCTTTGTGGACATTGCCATTTTTTGCGAACTTCGTCTTAACAATGTCATGCTAATTTTTAACACATATTTTCTTCATTTATTGACGAATTATCATCTACATGTACATAGGCTCCGCCACATTCTATCTTGGTTAAATAATTTGACTTTTTACCTTGTTTCTTAATGACATCCTCATGATAACATAAACCTTGCAATTTTTCAAGTTGAAAGTACTTCTAGGGAAAATGTGTGCAAAAATGTATGCAAAAATGTCTAGAAAACATTTTACATTTTTACATTTTTCATTTCAGTTTTACAGTGTTCATACCAAAATATCTAAATTTACTTAATACTTCTAGGGAAAATGTATGCAAAAATGTATGCAAAAATGTATGCAAAAATGTCTACAAAACATTTTTCATTTTTACATTTTCATTTCAGTTTTAGTGTTCATACCAAAATATCTAAAATTACTTAATCGTTCATCTCTCTGTCAAAGTTATCTCAAATGGCGTTAAACCTCTAACAATTTACTTTTTGAAATTATTTTCATAATAAATCTAAAATATAATTCTGTTCAAAAAAATTTCATAATTAAATTGATTACGTTCCGGATCTTCCTAATTGTTTTCTTCATGTCGCACTTTGAAAATAATGTTGCATATGATTAGACTTTTTCATACCTAAAATTATGATAAGCGGTGTTAAAGTTTTAAATTGTTTACTTCTTTCATTGATAACCTCGTGATAACGCTATTTTCCTAATTGAAAAAATAGTTTAAAATTTTTTTCTGCAAAAATGTACGCAGAAATTTTCATTTTCTTTATCTTTCTGTCCTCAATAACAAGGCCTGAGTTTATTACAACGCCTTTGAAATTGTCAAAGTTATTCCAAACGGCGTTTAACCATTAGCAATTAGCTTTAAAATTATTTTCATAAAAAATCTAGGGTGCCAATTTAACCGTCCAACGAAAATATAGCTTTATCCAACCAAAATTAATAATTTCGCCAATTATGAAATGGGCAACGAATTGATTTATTTTGCAACAACTTTCATTAAAATGCACAACATAATAATTAAATTTCCAAATAAGAAATAAACGAATTCCTTGTCCTTAAGTACTTCAAATTTTACGATAAATAAGAAGGTATAAATATTTAGTCAACAATCAAGGCATTTCCAACTAAATTTTTTCTCTTAGCTTAGCTTCCAATGACATCAGTTTCAAGATTGTCCGGTACAACAATTATCTTTCTAATTATTCAAATTCCAGAAATATGCTTGCATACATATACTTTTTTGAATATAGAGCAAGAATAAGTGGAAGAACTCCAGTCATGCAATTTAAAATTGATAATCTAGAACGCCGGTTTACTTGAAGCGTACGACTCAAACTTTTTCCAATACATTCTTTTGATTAACCCAAGGATTCTATCAATTTCATCCTTTCGAATAGATTTATTTCTGGCTGGTGAAATACATTGCATGGAAGTTTCACTCAGGTTCTTAAATCGAAGTCCTGCTTTCTCCCGTGCCCAAGTATATGATTTTGATCAGCAAATTTGAAACTGATGGTGTAATTTGAAACAATTTACTGTCTGGATTATCAGGGTTTCTGTCTCGAGACCAATTTAGCAGAAGTTTCATAATACATCCAAAATATTGCCTTAACGGAACTCTCTCTCTGTAATTGTTTTATTTCCTAATTATTGGAAATAAATTCGTGATTACGTTTTTGTTTCTTTGTGGGGTTTATTCAACCGAGTCTTCAGAGTCGGATTGATAATTATTTAGTCGCTGAAAATCGGACATTTTCGTTAATTGTTTTACGAAATAACAAGGAATGGCCTGACAAAAGTTGAATGAGAATTGGGAAGAAATGAGAGTTAGTGATGAATGATGGAAATCCATACCCATATCTATTCATTTATGTATGCTGTCAATAATATGATAGGCAAAGTAGACTAATATGATATATAAAATTTGGTCGGATGCTTTTACATTTTCGTTGGACACAAAAATTAAACCCGTTGCTCATTCCATTATTGGCCACATTATTAATTTTGGTTGGAATAAACTAAATTTTCGTTGGAAGGTATAAAATTGGAAAATTGGGTGCAACAAAAATTTGATGATAAAATTGTAGTACATTATTGATAACGCAAATTTAGAAATGATACTTTCAGTTTCTTCCTAGTTTTCGAAATTATTTTCATAAATCAAATATAAAATTTGGTACAAAAAGTTTCTTGGCATTGACGCAATATACTGCATTTGCATGTATGCATTCGATAACGTCACGATAACGTAAACTTTCTGTTTTCCCAGTTAAAAGTACTTTTTCTGCAAAAATATATGCAAAAATGGATAGAAAAATTTTCATTTTTACATTTTCGTCAATAACCGGGAAACTTTATCGTTTTTAGAAATCCATGTACTAGCGGAAGTTATCACAATTTGTGATTCCCAAACCGAGTTAAACTCTAACAGTTTAATTTTTGAAATTATTTTAATAAATCAAACAGAAAATTTGGTGCAAAAAATTTCATGACATTGATGCGTTTTAATGCGTTTATCCAATGCACTCGATAACATCATGATAACATAAACCTTACCATTCTCCCGTTTAAAACTATGCAATTTTTCTATAAAATTTGATACAAAGATTTTACATGTTTGAAGTTCAAGAATATCTAAATTTACTACATCGTATGCATCACTGTAAAAGTTATCTAAATGGCGTTACACCTTTAACAAGTTGCTTTTTTCCATTATTTGCATAATGGAAACCCAAAATTCGGTGCCAAAAATTTGTATGATATTAATGCGTTGAAATGCATTTATCTCAGCAAACACATGTATTTACTGACCTGAGGATAACGATAGCGTTGCAATTTTCGTAATTTAAAATACTTTGTAATTTTTTTTGTAAAAATTTTTGCGAAAATTTTAATCTGATTTAAATAATTAGGCTACTTAATAATTAAATTTTGCTATATGCGGTGTTAAACCTTTAACAATTATATTTTTACTTTGTCCTTTGACAACCTAGTGATGATAACGTTAACCTTGCAATTTTCCAAGTTGAAAGTACTCTCTTTCGAAAAAATGTATTCAAAAATGCATAGAAAAATTTTATTATTTTTACGAGCTGCTTTTAAACGTATCTAAATTTGCGAAACCTCTCATGTAATTGTCAAAATTATCACAAACGGCGTTACCCCTTTAACAATTTACTTTTTGAAATTAAATTTTGGCATAAAAAATGTTTTTATCGCAATATATGTATTTGATAACCTCACGATATGTACAAACCTTGCCGTTTCCCTAGTTGAAAGTACTTTTTCTGCAAAAATGTGTGCAAAAATGCATAGACAAATTTTCATTTTTACATTTTCGTTATGGAAAAACTACACCTATAATTTTTTTAATGTCCGCGTAATTGTTGAAGTCATATACGGCGTTAAACCTTTAGTAGTTTAATTTCCGAAATTATTTTCATAAATCATACGCAAAATTTGATTTAAAAAATTTCATATATAGCATTAATGTGTTAAAATGCATTTATCCATCCATGTATACATTCGATTAACGTAAACCTTGCCATTTTTCCGGTTATTAAAACTACCATGAACTTTTTTTCTGTAGAAATTAATGCAAAAATTTTCATTTACATTTTCCATACAAGAATATCTAAATCCTTTAGAATATATATGTACAATTGTCGAAGTTATCATAAACGGCGTTAACCCTTTGAAAATTTACTTTTTGAAATTAATTTCATAATAAGTCCAAAACAAATCGGTTAAAAAATTCATAATATTAACGCGTTAAAATGCATTTATCTTTATATTTAAATATGTATTTGATAACCTTGCAAATTTCCCGGTTAGGTTAAAACTTTGCAATTTTTCGGTAAAAATGTATGCATATAAGAAATCTAATTTCATTAAAAATGTCTATGCAATTGTCAAAATTTTCATAACCGGCGTTAAACTTACCAATTTAGTTTTTGAAATTTTTTTATATATATATAATGAACATTAATGCATTTATCTTTACAAATATATGTATTTGATAACCTCATGATAACGTAAGCCTTGCAATTTTGGTAGTTGAAACTTCTTTGTAATTTTGTCCGAAAAAATTTTAATGTTTGCATTTATTTTTGCAAGTAACATATACATACGGATAAAAGCACCTACATTATCTAAAAACTTTTGTATATTTATCCACAAACTTGTAAAAACGGTGTTAAATCTTTAGTAATTTACTTTTACTAATTTCATGCAATTTACTATTTTCATAATAAATCCAAACCAAGAAAAATTTCATGATATGAATGCGTTAACATGTAGTTAGATATCTCAATATAAGAATATATGATATTTGATAACCTCAGGATTTTACAAACTTGATAATAAAATAAGGAGAGGAGACCCTTGATCTGAGCTAGTTTACAAAGTTGGCATAAACTAAAAGTTGACAAAATTATGGATACTATGTATGAATCATGATGAATGAATGTATGAATGTGTGTATGTATGTATGAATCCGAATCTTCTCAAAAACTTCGTGAAAAATATGCCGCTATCGTATGACCATTATTAAGTTGTTATTTAATTAATTAGTTAATTAAAATATTTAGTAAAATATAAATAAAAATTGTTTGATAAATTACGAAAAATATGTAAATAAATATTTGATAAAATCCGCTATCAGAATCTTTGCATAAACTTTGCGAAACATATATCGCTACCGTGTGACCATTAAATTCTTAGTTAATTACTTACAATATTTAGTAAAGTATGTAAATAAATAAATAAAAATTGTAAGTTTCGCCACGCTCTATTTGGTTTATATAATCTGGCTTTTCAATTTGTTCCTTATTAGCATCTTCGAGGTAAATATGTACCGTAAACCCTGCAATTTTCCAAGTTGAAAGCACTTTTTCTGCAAACATTTACACAATACGGAAAAACCATTTTTACAAGTCACATACAAAAATATCTAGACTTACAAAAACTTTCATGTCCCTGTCAAAATTATCACAAACGGCGTTAAACCTTCATAAAACAAATTACTTTTTGAAATTATTTTTCATAATAAATCAAATACAAAATTCAGTACAACAAAAATTTAATGATAAAAGTTTAGTAAACTCGTGATAACGTAAATCTGGAAATCCAGTTTCTCCCTAATTTTGTATTTTCATAATGCCATTTTGATTTTGAATAAATTATCTGATTTAAGTAATTAGACTATTGAATAATTAAATTTGTGAAAAGCGGCGTTAAACTTCTAACAATTATATTTTTACTTTTCCTTTGATAACCTCGTGATGAACCGTGCAATTTTTGAAGTTGAATGAAGTACTCCTCCTGGAAAAATGTATGCAAAAATTCATTTTTACTTGGGGCGCATAAAAAAAGGTCTGTAACAATTTACTTTTTGAAATTATTTTCATAATAAATTTAAAATAAACTTCGTTGCAAAAAAATTGCATGATTAAATGGATTCTTGATGAAGCTAATTGGAAAATATCATGTTCAGGACCTCCCGAAATGTTTTCTTAATGTCGCACTTAGAAAATAATGTTGCATCTGATTTAAGTTAGTAGACCTTTCAATAACTAAAATTATGATAAGCGGTGTTGAAGCTTGAAATATTTTTGCTTCTTTTATGGATAACCTCGTGATAACGAAAACCTTGTAATTTTCCTAGATGCAAAAATAGTGTGCAGAAATTTTCATTTTTTCATCATGCTCTTTATGCAAAACCTGTATTTATTTACCGGCTGTGTGTAATTGTAAAAATTATCACAAACTGCGTTAAACCTTTAACAACTAGCTTTAAAATTATTTTCATAATAAATCTATAGCAAAATTCGGTGCAACAAAAATTTGATGATAAAAGTGTAGTACGTTATTAATGACGCAAATTTGGAAATGTTACATTCAGTTTTTCCTTAGTTTTCGAAATTATTTTCATAAATCAAACAGAAAACTTGGTCCAAAAAATTTCATGACATTGATGCGTTTTAATGCACCTGCATATATGCGCTCGATAACTTCACGATAAGGTAAACCTTGCTGTTTTCCCAGTTGAAAGTACTTTTCTGCAAAAAATATATGCAAAAATGTGTACAAACATTTTAATTTTTACATTTTCGCCAATAACCAGGCAGTTTTATCTATACTTTTTTTAAAAGTCCGTGTATTTATTGAAGTTATCACAAACGGCATTAAACCTTTAACACCTTAAGGTGCGTTTATGCTTCACGTCATCGTCACGTCCTCCAAATTCAATTTTCTGATTGGCTGAGCGAAATTGTCACTACGACAATTAAAAATTTTAACCAATCAAAAAATCGGACTTGGAGGAGGACGTGACGATGACGTGAAGCATAAACACCACTTTAGTTTTCGAAATTATTTTCACTAATCAAGCAAAAAATTTGATCCAAAAAAATGCATGCCATTGATGCGTTATAATGCGTTTATCCAATCCACTCGATAACGTAAAACTTGCCATTCTCCTGTTTAAAAACTACTTTGCAATTTTTCTGTAAAATTTGATACAAAAAATTTACATTTCAGCAGAACGCACAAAAATATCTAAATCTACTGAACCTTATCTGTCATTGTCAAAGTTATCATAAACGGCGTTAAACCTTTACCAATGTATGCAAAAACCTTCGTTTTACATCTTTACACCCCCGATGGCAATACATCTGTATTGGTTTAAAAATCTATTTAATTGTCAATGTTATTACAAACGGCGTTAAACCTTTAACAAATAACTTTTTGAAATTATTTTCATAATAAATCTAATTCAAACTTCGTTGATTCGAACAAAAATTTAATGACAAAAGTGTAGTAATTTGTGATAACGCAAAGGACACATACGAATTTCCCCTTTTTTGCGGCCCCTTAGAGACGATTTCGAGCCAAAATCCCCGGCCCCTTTATTTTCGCAATTTTCCGAGTATTTAAATATCGTCACTTGGTGATTTACAGCCAAATAATCAAATATTTAGATTTTAGCCCGAACCATGGCTTTATGTGTCGTCATGTCTGTTTGTCTGTCTGTCTGTCTGTCTTTCGATCACTTTAGAACATTGACCGATTTTGACCAAATTTGGTAACAACATATGTCTGCATAATGTAACGACCAAGTTCGAAGATGGGGTCGATAAAAAGAAGTTGGACCGGTGGGGGTCACATACATGTCAGGTGGGGTCGTTAATGCAGAGTATTCCAAATAGTCGTGGAAGGCATATTCGAAAACTCTGATTCGAAAATTCGGCACAATTGTCCTAATGTAGATATAATGTCGCGATGTAAAGGATGTCATGCGCTTTTTATCGGAGGGACCAATACCGATTTTCAGAAATTATCGTAAAGGACTGAAATTCTGCCGTTATACTTACTGGCTTCTCATGAACGAATATGAAGTTAAAAGTGAGCATTGTGCGACCAAATCCAGAAACATGTCCTTGGCGAATAAATCCGACTGAAAATCATACACGGTCATACGATTGCTCATTTTTCTTCTAAAGAAGTGTCGTATCCAATAAAAAATACTAAGGGCATTCCTTATACCTTCGTATTGTTAGTATCGTAAAATAGTTCACGAAGAAAAAACAAGGGGCCAAGCTTCGTAAAAATTGTAAGCTGAGTACGTTGGTTCTGATGGCAAAATCTTAGAACACTTGCAAAATCTCGTAACTTACTTTATGACAAGAAGAATACTAACGATACGAAGAAATAACAAATACCCTCACCCAGTGGCAGCGGAAGCGTGGGGACATCTGGGGACATTAACATTGTAGGATAGGGGAGGGAGGGGTTTATATAAGATAGGAGATGATGGGGATAATAATCATGGGGACATTCATGGGGACATTCATGGTAATTCTATATCCCTATCATCTCCCCACAGTTTCCGCGGCCACTACCCTCACGGCGAAGTTGAAAAAGTTATCCGCACAAAGTTTTTTTTCGGCACCTCAGTTTTAAGCATATAAGGTTTCATATTTTTAAATCGCGAAAAAGTTTCAAGTTACGTTTTTTTAACTCAGTATTTAAAATCTTGTCTTTTTATCTGCCTGTCAGCGGGATAACGCAAGAACGGATCAAGATAATTGAAATCGGTTTGTGGCATTGTATGTGCATATTACTGCATATGACCCCAGGGGGATGATCTTATCAACTTTTAAGGTCAATCAGACCACCCCCCTCGAGCTCAAGGGGTGTGATTACATAATTTTGGCGAAATTACTTGTTTCACCCTATTACTACATTTCGTTGCTATGATTTATTTACTCATAAATCCTGGTTCGGGCTAAGTGAAGCTATATTGAGATATATTTTTTTGTGCGTGATTTTGCTGTTGGCAACACAAAGATAGCAACGTGGTGACCACTTTTCCGAGTAGATTTTCATGAAAACCACCTCGAGATTTTGTCCATACCTCAAAGCGACAAACGAGCTCCCTCCCAGATTTTTTTTATTTTGATTATCAAGACTTGTTACGTTAATGATACAAATTTTGAGGGGGAGCTCGACTGCTTTGGTCACTAAATAAATTACCAAAGTAATGCATATTTGGGCCGCAAAGTATGGGATTACCTAAGGTATTCTTTAGAAATGATACATTCAGTTTCTCCCTAACTATTTTCTTATTAGAATTTTTGAAATTAATTGTCTATCTGATTTAAATAATTAGGCTATTTAATAATTAAATTTTGTTATATGCGGTGTTAAACCTTTAACAATTATATTTTTACTTCTTCCTTTGACAACGCAAACCTTGCAATTTTTCAAGTTGAAAGTACTCTTGCCGGAAAAATGTATGCAAAAATGCATAGAAAAATTTTATAATTTTTACGACCCACATATTAGAACATCTAAATTTATGAAACCTTTCATATAATTGTCATAATTATCACAAACGGCGTTACACCTTTAACAATCTACTTTTTGAAATTATTTTGATAATAAATTTAAAACAAAATTTTGTGCAAAAAAAAATTTAATGGTAAAAATGCATGAAATTCGTGATAACGCAAATTCGGAGATATTGCGTTCAGTTGTTTCAAAAATTAAATAAGAACAAAATTCATGATATTAATGCGTTAAGCATGCATTGATCGCTACACACGTATTTGATAACCTCACGATTTACGTAAACCTTGCAATTTTTTCTGCAAAAAATTGTGCAGAAGTGCCCATAAAAAACTTTATTGATTTACCATTTTCTTTACAACATCTGTATTTAGAAAACTTCTGTGAAATTGCCAAAATTATCACAAATGGCGTTAAACAATTTACTTTTTGAAATCATTTTGATTAACAAATCAAAGGAAACATTTGATAGTTAAATCTATTTATCGCAATATATGCATTTGATAAGCTCATGATATGCGCAAACCTTCCCGTTGAACGTATTTGTTCTGCAAAAATGTGTGCAAAAATGCATACAAAAATTTTCATGTTTACATTTTCGTTATGGAAAAACTACACCTATCATTTTCTTTAAAGTCCGTGTAATTGTTGAAGTCATATACGGCGTTAAACCTTTAGTAATTTAATTTTGGAAATTATTTTCATAAATCATGCACAAAATTTGATCAAAAAAATTTCATAATATTAACTTGTTAAAAAGCATTTATCCATCCATGTATGCATTCGATAACGTCACGATAGCGTAAACCTTGCCGTTTTCACGGTTAAAACTACTTTTTCTGTAGAAATGGATGCAAAAATTTTCATTTACATTTTTCCGAGATGTAAATGATTTCCGATTTTTCCGAAATGTAAATGATTTAAATTCGGTTAAAAATTCATAAAATCCGCTAAAATGCATTTATCTTTATAAATATGCATTTGATAACCTTACGATAATGTAAACCTTGCAAATTTCCCGGTTAAAACTTTGCTGTTTTCCGGCAAAAATATCTAATTTTATTAAAATGTCTGTGCAATTGTAAAAATTTTCATAAACGGCGTTAAACTTACCAAATTAGTTTTTGAAATTATTTTTATAAATCAAAAACACAAAATTAGGTGCAAAAATGAATATTAATGCATTTACCTTTACAAATATATATGCATATGATAACCTCACGACAACCTAAGCCTTGCAATTTTCGTAGTTGAAACTGCAATTTTTTTCTGCAAAATTGTATGCAAACATTTTAATGCTTACATTTTTACAAAGAACATATGGAAGCAACAACATCTTTTAATATTTGCATCTAATAGCATTCAGTAAAAAATTATCTTTAATTATCCAACTTGTCAAAAACGGCGTTAAATTTTACCAATTTACTTTTTGAAATATAATATTTGATAACGTCACGATTTACGCAAACCTTGCCATTCTTCACACATTACTGGGATCCTGAAATTTAGACAGAAAATTGCAAATATGTAAACGTTAATATCGCACTAAAAATATATGTAAAAATTGTGCATAGATTTGTACCCAGTAAATTACTTAATGAAAAGAAATGCATGAAATGAAATTAATGAAATTAGTGAAAAGTTATCTAAACTGTGTAATTTACATATTTAATAACTACAATTTTCATTAACGACGTTAATACTTTGGCAAAGACCAATTTTTTGAAAACTTATTTTCCATAAAAGGTAAGAAATTTCTGTACAAATAAATTTCAATATCAAAATCCATTTATTTCTGTATTTCTACACTCATCACTTTGATAACCTCACGATAACGCAAACCTTGCAATTTTCCAGCCATAACCGGGATGCAATTTCACCTTATCAGCACAATTAACTGCAAGATAAGCAAACTTATTTACTTTTTTTATTACACTTGCTCACGAAATGTGATCCATGCATTAAATCTGATTCGTTCTCAGTCACTTGCAAAATTACCCTCTTTCCGTCGTGATTTGTTTCCCAAAGTGTGCACAAATATTCGCAAAATAATCCGAATACATATACAATCAAATTCACGAAATGTGATCATGAATTAAATCTGATCTGTTCTCAGTCAGTGGAAAAATTACCCTCTTTCCGTGCAAATATTCGCAAAATAATTAGAATACAATCCAATTTTACAAATCAATCAATTTTCTGACAAATAATTTCGTTTTGTTTTTATTTAAAATTCGTCTCCCTTCCATTGTATTATAATTTACAATACTGCACTTGCTGGTACCTCACAACAGTACATAAAAAATTGTGCAGAAATATTTAATGGCAGTCTGCCGTCTATGTATAATTATCCCATTAACTGCTCGGCTAAACAAATTTGTAAGTCAAAACATGCCAAAAGGTGAATAACAATTATTTGACGGGGTTATTTTTTGTTATGTAGCCGGCCACGTCGAGCCAACCTAAATAAATAATTAAATAAATACTAGGAAAAAAAATAGTTTCGTAAATAAATAACAAACCGGTGCAAAAAAAGTTAAAAATTTATCAAAATATAAAATAGGTACAAATTTTGCAACCGGTGCAAAAAATACCTAAGTAAATAAAAACAAAGTCGGTAGTCAGGATTTTGCATGGAAAAAGTTTGCCAAAATTTTTGTGTTGTTGCGAAGTCAAAAGCGTGAAAAAATGAAGAAACATTATTTTTTTCGGTCAGCCGGTAAATCTGGAGAATTAAATTAAATGGTTAAAAAAATAATTAATTGTTGATTAACTGTGTTTAATAATTGCTTGCCAAAAAGTGTTTTAAAGTCATGAAGTTCTTGGTATCATCACATTTCGTCGCCGTGTTTGTCGTCGTCGTCGCCACGTTTTTTCTGGTCGTCGACGTTTCGGGGGAGGCCGGTGTGGAGGAGGAGGACGATGGCGACACCTCTTCAACTGGATGGAGGGGTTGGAAACGTTACATGTCGACGATTCCGATCGTGTCGTCAATCTGGTCACATTCGGGGGAACGTTTCTTCGGTGGGGGTGACGACAAGGAGGGGTCGTCAGGTCAAGATAAACCGAATTATCTCTACTCGGCGGGGTCAATACGAAAGCTGGCCAGGATGGAGGGCTCCGTTTACGCCGCGGTGAAGGCGTACGGCGATGACATCGAGGAGAAGTTGAAACTTGTCAAGTTGTGAGTGACGACATTTTTTTGGTGACGTTTTATTTTGCAAAATAATTGTCATTTTTTGTAATTTTTCTCAGAAACTTTGCAGATTATTATTGAGTCAAAAAATTTGTGACATTTTTTCTGCAGAATAATTTTTATTTTTATTCAGATACTCTACAGATTACGGCAGTTTATATTTTGAATTGAAATTTTGGCTATTTTTTACTCAGAAACTTTGCAGATTATGATTTTGACGTTTTTCTGCAGAATATGTGTTCAGATACTTCACGATTACGAAATTTTATGATTTTGGAGACGATTTATTTTGCAAATTTTTTTAAATTTTTTTAACAAAACGCTTGAATTTATTCCATTATTATTATTTTGCAAAATAATTGAAATTTTCGCAATTTTTGCATTTTCAGATATTTAGCAGATTACGAGGCCAGTTCGGTCAACATGTTGATGTCGGAGGACGTGACGACACAAGCAGAACGTGATTACGCCGTCGTGGCGAATCCCATCATCGCGCACAGGTTAATTCGTCGCTTCGCCATGGATATCCCCGCCTTGCGCATCGCGGCAGAAGAGGAGGAAGAATATGGTGGGGAATATTTCTTGAAAATTAAAATATTTCCGGAAATTTTGAGCCATTTTTTTACTTTAGATTTTGTCGACGCTTTAAACGCTGCTAATGTCAACGGGATGATTTACCCGAGCGTGACGGAGGATTATAATCAGTCGTTGTTTTCACTCTTGAGGATTCAGAAGTATACAAATCTTGACACGTGGCAGGTAGAAATTTTGAAAAATTCTCCTCAGAAATTTTGAAATTGGTAAAAATCCGTATTATTTTGTTGATAATTAGATGGCCAACGGAACACTGGAACATCTCGAGACTGGAGTTGGCCTCGACTTTCGACACGCGTACGACTTGGGGTCCTACGCTGCGGTACAGACACCACCAAATTACGCACTTGCAGTGGAATGGCTGGAGGTCGCTTTGGAAAAGTTGAACGAAGAAGAAGATGATTACAACGAATACAGGCAGCTTATTGAGGACGAGTTGAAACAAGTCGTCGTCAGGGTGGGTGTGGTGTAAAATTTGGCAATTTTTTCATGAAAATTTGACACTTCGGTTGAAAAATTAGCACTTGTCCTTCAAGATTCTTCATTTTCATGAAAAAATCGATAATTTTCATTTTGAGTTGTTCATTTTGATGGTTCACTTTCACTCAAAATTTTTATTTTTCAAACTTATACATTTCATAAAAAAATAAGTCATTTTCGTTCAAATTTGTGCTGCCAATTCTCTTAAAACTGAGCACTTTTCATTTAAAATTTTCAGTCAAAATCATTAATTTTTGTTCAAGTTTGCAAAATTTAATCGTAAACTTTTCTATTTTACTGAATTATGTAGCACGACGCCCTATGCAGCACGAAGGAGTGGACGAACGAGATGGAGATGTGTTTCAGCTACTTGATAAGGGAAGCGTATGGGCGAAAACGACCGAAAGCTGGGAGTATCGGGCGGGTCAAGGCTGCCATCAAAAATCAGGCCCAGTCTGCTACGTTTCGAAACCGGACAGAATATTCGGGCCACACGAGGAGAAACTTTCTCAGCACGTGTTCAGGAAATAATCTCCAGGTGATTGAGGTCATATGACCTTTCAAAGGGGGGGGGATTTGACCTCTATAAATTAACTTTGACCTATGACCTCCAACTTTCACATAAATACGATTTTTATCGGCACATTCGTCCGAATACGCTATCCAAATTAATTTGATCTCTTACTTTCAAAGCAAAAAGTGTGACATTTTTAACCTTTTATTAATGGTTTTCTGACTATTTTAAAATGATCTGACCCTTAACCTCGTTCCCACGAATAAACTTTGACCCCTGACCTCCAGCTTCCACTTTTAAAAATATTTCTAGATGCGTGACCTGTAAATGAGTTTGATCTCTGATTTTTCCACTCAAAATTAAATTTGACATATTTTTTTAGCCATATGTATATTAATGATTTTACTCTCCCTATAGCTTAAATCTCATTTCTAAACATGCAATCTCATGACCTGACCTTTGACGTTGTTTTAATTTAGTCTGAATCGGACAAGGCTCGCCTCTTCTGCTGGTACGAGACGAGGAAGAATGCGTATCTGAGGATCGCCCCGTTCAAAGTCGAACTCCTCTCCGATGCTCCATACATCATCCAAATCTACGACATTCTGGGCCCCACACGGATCGAAACACTGATTAAATTGGCCACCCCCACACTCACCAGGTCACGCGTCGTCAACACCAAGGATCCAAAGGTTGCAGAAAATATTGGCTTATTTTTATGCAAAAAATCATTTTTATAAGCTTACTTGCAAAATTCCGTTTTCACGATTCAAATGATTTACAACGAAAAATTGTTCAGATTATGAAAACTTTTATACGCTGTAATTTTAAATTTTTGCTAAATTGGTGAAATTTTCAAAAATTTACTTGTCAAATTCACGTTTATTTTAACAATTCATTGCAGATATTGCATTTTTCATTTTATTTTAGTATTTTTTTGTAATTTTTGTTAATTTTGACCTCAGCTGAACGACCTGAGTGACGTCCGTACCTCGCAGCAAACCTGGATTTACGACGACGACGCGGTCCACGCCGCCTTTCTGGACGGGCTTTCCCGACAAATTGAGTACATCACGGGGCTCAACGTGCGCTCCACGGCACCCGGGTCACGAACCAGTGAAGCCTATCAGGTCGCCAGCTATCGGACCTCGCACCACTACGATGAACATCTCGACGCGGTAGGTAACGAGGTCAAGGCAAAGGCTGCAACAGCGTTTTGGGTGCAAGAAACTATCATCAATGCACCCCGCATTTCTTGCTTTACAGTGCAAGAAATGTATAGCAAACCCACAAGAAACACTGGCTAGGTTGCAATAATACACTGATTTCCTTAATTTTTACCCAGCTCCTTGACGAACGACGAATAGCCGCGGATGGCGATAGAATAGCAACATTCATGTTTTATGTATGTGCCAATTTGATACGCCATTTTGACCCCCACAAATAATATTGACCTTATCGTGCCGTTATCCTCTTTACAGTTAACTGATGTCGACGTCGGTGGGAAGACGGGATTTCCTGTCGCAGGCATAGCGGCGCATCCTATCCGAGGTTCTGGAGTATTTTGGCACAATATATTACGAAATGGGACTCCGGACAGGAGAACGTGGCATGGCGGTACATGGTTTAAAACTTAATTATTATGCAAATTACTTAATTAACCAATTAACTAATAAATTACATACAGGCTGTCCCGTCGTCCATGGGGTGAAATGGGGTAAGAATTTGCAAACACATTTTTGCACAATTGCGAATTTTAAAAAATTCTCTATTATTTTTTGACAGTTACGAATAAGTGGATCTTAGAAAAGCAAAATTTTAACAAACATCTCTGCTCCCTCGACCCAAACGAGTAGCGTTCATGAAGAAATCGACACCAATTTGAAATTATGCTCCCACCACGAATCAACCGTATTAGGTAAACATTTGCATATCATCGTGACCTTGATCGACCCCTTAGTCAAGGTCATTCAAGGTCACTTCGATCAAATCATCACCGCTTGCCGTCCTAAAAGATCTGAAGAAAACTCTTCTCGTCAATAAATTGCTAATTGCGATATTTTAATTTATTTATATATTTATTGCGCATTTTATTTAATTTTTACATTAGTTAAATAGTTAATTGTGATCTTAATTATTTTTAATTAGTTTAGAGTATCAAAAAACATACATTTTAAAAAAATATTGTAGATCGATACAAATTTAATTAAGTAGAGAAGACCAGCCTCTCATTTACTACTATTTGTCCCTCCCTCCGCGTAAACTTTGCAATAAATTATGTATTTAGCGTGGTCACGACTGTCAACTGATTAAAATTTGCGATTTTTTTTTGCAAATTCACAAAATTAATAAGATTTGGGTTCTCGTGTTCTGCCTCTCATATTTTTTTGCAAACTTTACAAAAGTTACACAGTTTACAAAAGCTTTGCGAAATAAATATACATAATTAGAATCATGGCCAGCCACGATTAGTTTCTTCTAGTTTTCCGAGATTTTCATTACAAATCATTGTAAATGACACGTGATGGAATCCGTTTGGGAACTTTGGTCCCAATGGAGACGGAGACTGGACGCGTCTGTTGGCGAAGCTCTTCCTCACCGGCCAATTTCCTGGAGAAAATACAAGAAAAAACAATTTTATAACGTGTGATTCATTTTGTGAAAAAATTTTGACGAGTTTCGAAAAATTTTTGACGAGTTTCGAAAAATTTTTGAAATACTTCTAAGCCGGTGAAATTTTGTCACGTTTTAATGGATTAGATTTTTAATTAGGTGCAAAGTTTCAAAAATTCGGACTTTAAATTGTCTTTGGTTTTTATTTCAATTTGTCAATTTTCTGAAATTTCTCAATTTGGCTCAGGTTCTAAATTTTCGAAGTTTGTCTCAATTTCTACATTTTCTCAATTTTTTACATTTTCTCAATATTCCAAACTTCACCAAAAGCAATTTGTCGCACAATAATTAATCTCCTACACTTAATTTACCGTAAATTCTGTATAAATTGCTGATAGACGTGAAAATCTCACAAAATCTCAATTTCCCCACTTAGGAGGGGAGCTTGCGAGGTTGATAATAACAGATATTGGTGCCCTTTGGATATGTGGTAGGGACCCATGAGTGTACTAAAACCCTGAAGTAGTTTGACTCCATGGCCACATTTGCGCCCGCCACACCCACTCAAAAATGTCCAAAAAACGCTTTCACCCCAGTTTTCACTCACTCAAATCCACGCCAAAAATCCAATTTTACTCGGATTTTGAAATTTCTTTCACCATTATACTCCCAGATAGTTGCTTTCTTCAATCCAATATCAAACTCAATTTTTTCGAAATTTTTAGTATTTTTAAAATTTAAAATTCTGAATGAGGATTGTTGTAGTCATCAACAAAACAAATTATGTTTGCGAAATAATCATCAATAAAATTGAGTTTGATATTGGATTGAAGAAAGCAACTATCTGGGAGTATAATGGTGAAAGAAATTTCAAAATCCGAGTAAAATTGGATTTTTGACGTGGATTTGAGTGAGTGAAAACTCGAGTGAAAGCGTTTTTTGGGCATTTTTGAGTGGGTGTGGCGGGCGCAAATGTGGCCATGGAGTCAAACTACTTCAGGGTTTTAGTACACTCATGGGTCCCTACCACATATCCAAAGGGCACCAAGATCTGTTATTATCAACCTCGCAAGCTCCCCTCCTTAGAATTTCTGAACTGACTGACAATGCGATGGTGTGAAGTGTAACCCTCCGATTTGGCTGAAATTTTAAAATTAGGTGGTCCAAGCCAATACAACTAACGTTTCTTCAGGCAGTTTGTGCGATGGTGAGAGTTACTCAAAATATTTGAGGTCAAAGTTCAAAAAACGGCCGACTTTTTTCAGGCGGAGTGAGAAAACTCCACTTCCATTCTCTTCCCCTCGCTTTGATTTTCACTCCGAAAAATAATTCATTTCAACAATTTTAAATTTAATTTTTTATAGAAAAATATTAATTATTCATTGTACATGTGACCATATGATTATTTTCATAAAAGTCCACAAAACAATACGATAAACTGCACCAGCTGAATTTGATGAATGTGGGATTGCCACAATTCAGGTCGCAAATAATATTTTTTTCTCTAAAACAAACTTCGCTTACATTTTTAAACTCGGGCTTTTCGTCATCACCCCATGATCCGCTTGAGTACCAACAATATCGAATCACAGGAGCATTTAAAATATTAATATATAATTGGATATTAGAATAACCAACGCTTTCGAAATGGAAAGCAAGTTAAGTTTTTCCATGTTTATTTGCCGTTGGCGAATTTATAAATTAACTTTTATGTAAATTTGTACTAGAAATAAGTAAAAATCTCACTTATTTAATTATAAATTAAATTAAGTATGTATAATGCGTATTAATTGCTCTTTAAGCTATAATTAATAATGTTTATTTTTTATTATTTTGCATCAAAGCTTGTGCTTGAGCATGAAGGCGTATGCATGAGCGAGACGCCTGAATAAAATCAAAGCGAGGGGAAGAGAATGGAAGTGGAGTTTTCTCACTCCGCCTGAAAAAAGTCGGCCGTTTTTTGAACTTTGACCTCAAATATTTTGAGTAACTCTCACCATCGCACAAACTGCCTGAAGAAACGTTAGTTGTATTGGCTTGGACCACCTAATTTTAAAATTTCAGCCAAATCGGAGGGTTACACTTCACATCATCGCATTGTGAGAAAGAAATCTCGATTCCATCAAATCAGAGGTCTCAAATTAAGGAATGGAGGAGAAAATTGGGCAAATTGAGACTCTCAATTTGCTCAATTTTCTCCTCCATTCCTCACTTGTTTTAATTTTCTGCGTTTCTTTTTTCTCAAAATTTTGAACTACAGATACTGCTACTCGGTATATTTTCCCCTTCAAGTCATGCTTCAAAATTGAAAGAAAAACTCAAAATTCTTTACAAATCTTAAAAAAGTTAACCAATATCAACAAATCTAGTCCCCTCACTTAAGCTATCACAATTTGTGTATAAAAAAGTCACTTTAACCAACCTGGCATACGCCGCGGTGCTCATAGCTTTGCTATAACTGTACTCTTTATCCTTCGTGGATGACCACCGGTCACGCCCGATCGGCTCCCAGCTCGGTTTCCTATAGAACAATTCACATTTTATTTTAGTTTTTTCAACTAAATCACCACTACAAAAAAATGCAAACTTATAAAATCTGACCCCATATTCGCCAACGTTCCCAATCCTGCGCCCGATTTCTGCATGGTATTCGCCATCATACCACAATTCGAGGAACACGCCAACTTTCCAAACTGTTGCGGAACTTTACTCCACTGCGACATGTTGGATGCACAAAATTAAAATGATAACTGGCGAGAACGATGATAAGTAGTGAGAATGATAACCTCAGACGATGATATTAATAACTTGTAATAACTTGTAAGGATTTGTTCTCCCTTAAATTACACTTATCGAGAAGGAGTAGTCTTGTTACCTGGTTGACTTCTTGTCGCAAAATGAGTTCAAGTTGTGCGATGCTTGATCATTTTAAGGCGCACGGCGTGATCGTGGGGTCCATGCGGGAAGGATGGCACCACATTTTTGACCCTTCTCATGATATGGCGTGACCTTGTTTCTGACCTTGACCTTGATCCTTGACCTTTTTATCTGGGAAATCTCCCCGTGAAACAACCGCATCGTTTCTGCGTGGCCCCCCGTAAGGAATTTTACCTGATACGTGTGGCTCCTCACTCACCTTTGTTTATCGTAAATAACGTGCTAATTTCGTGACGTAAATTACGTCACGCGATCAGTAAACAAATTTGCAAATTCAACATTCGCCGTGATTCTAGTCTCGCCTGGCAAAAAATTTGATCACGTCACCACAAACAAAAATGCAGCAGAGATCTAGAAATGGTTATAGATAATTAATTTAGCTAATTTCTTGTTTACTAATTATACATTTTATTTATGTAACTCTCCAGTGCCAGACCCATTTTTGGGAGAGAGTGCAAAGGAAAAAAATGTGTGCAAAAATTAGAAGAATTCTTTTGTGGAGAGGTGTGAAAAGAGGGCCGTGCTGTATTTACTTATCATTTGCATTTATTTAAACTATCTAAATTTATTTCAGGTTAACTTAACCTTGTTGTTGACAAAGAAGTGCAGAGGATTTTATGGTCGAGTAGTTGCAGACAGTGGCCGCGGAAGGGTGGGGACAAAAGAGGGACAATGTCCCCACATTTATTCAGTGTCCCTATCATCTGCCCATGTTATATATTTGTAAACCCCCTGCCACCCCTATGCCGCAATGTTAATGTCCCCACGGCTTCTGCGGTCACTGGTTGCAGAGGTTAAAAAGATTATGAAATTGCAGACGAGGAAATTGGACGCGTATTTTATGCAAATTAGCCAACTGCTCCTGTCTTGCTGCTATAAATATTAAACTAACAGTTAGCACTTTAGTTCCCGTCCAGTTTATAATTATTCATTTCATGACCAATAATCTTCTTTGTTCTTAGGTAGCATTTGTCTGTCATATTTTTGCTTCAACTTGTCCAACGGAGAACAGAGAATTTTTGCGAGAGGCTTGCGAATATTTTTTTTGCATGCATAAATAATTCATGTCTGAAATAATTGGCCAAGTGCTAATTTAAGAAAGTAGAGTTTATAATTGTAACGAGAAAATTCCACTTCACGTGGTGGATGATCTCTTTTGGATTTATCTACATATACATTTTTATTTCCAAATGAATGAATTGCTACATTTTATGTATATGACATGAAATCAATGAAGTTTTTTAATCTGTGTTGAAGTTTAATTAAGATAAGATACAATTCGTTTTTTAAGTTTCCATTTAAAATTTTCCATGTAAGTGTCGTACTAGTGTCGTATCTTTCCATTGCAATGGAAAATTACGACAATTGTCGTAGTTTTCCATCAAATTATTGCATACGCAGTAACTTCACAAGCCGAAGTAACTTCATAACTTGATTTCAAGTCATGATTTAACCAACTAAAGTGACAAGATGAAAATGAACTAGATTTTAGAAATAGAAATTTGCATAAAATTTTCAAGTTTCCATTTAAAATTATTCATAAAATTTGCAATTTTCCATCAAATTCTGGCCTATGCAGTACTTTATAATCCTTTATCTTTAATTACAATTCATAGCTTTACATCAAATATAACATATAACAAGATTCAAATTCTTATCTAATTTTCAGAAATTGCAATTTTTATCAAATTTTATTTTAGCATGAAATTTATCTTTTTGCATTCTTCCAACGTGCCCCGATTTCTGTTACACTTTTCATATTCTTATTTACTTTTTTTAGATTATGCCGACGAGACGACCATAGCGCATAGAGAAATTTTAATTTAACTATTTTCAACTTTAATTAAATACTAATTAACTAATTAATACTTCAGTAGCTAAATCACAAAGCAGTTCTCTTTAATAAACTACGTGGACAGTAAGTAAACAGAAATCGTAAGTTTTTGCGTGTAATTTTTATGAACAAATTCATATCTTGTTCAATTCTATTTCAGTTAGTGACTTTAATTAAATACTAATTAATACTAATTAAGTAATTAATTGAATTGTAGAACAATTTAATCAATATGATTGATTGGGAGCCAACTCCTCCACAGCCGCGAGGTCACGATGTCGACGATGACGACGCCGTGAACGAATGGAATCCAATGCATGAAGATTCGACATCCATTCGTAACAAGACTTCCGGCGGTCAGGTTTTCGAGGATGTCGCCGCCCTGGGCGACGTTTTCTGTCCATTCCAAAAGGAAATGGATAAGGTTTGCTTTAAAGGAAGCTCCTGCCGATATAAGCACGGTCATTACACGTCGGAAATCAAATCAGGTTCGGATAATTTGTGGAGAAATTTGCCCAGTTTTTGTGTATTTTTTAAACAAAACAGGTCAAATTAACAAAATGCTGCCCGTTTTTTCAAAATTTGTTACCATAAAGTATACAAATATGAAAAATACGTGCAAAAATTAACTACTTTTTGTTTCCACAGCCCACCCAAAACTGCAGGACCGTCCAACGAGCAGCCTGATTTTGGCGAAGAGCGAATCCGCCCCCCTTCCCGAAGGTGTCGTCGCTTTGGCCTGGGTCACATCCGTCGTGTCGCCTGCACTCTTTCATGTCGTCCTTAAAACGCCACAGCACCCTTGTCTTTGCAAAAACATGGCTATTTCTCAGGAGGATGAGCAAGGTGTCACATTTTTACAGGATTTTCTACATTTTTGGTCATATTTGTTTTTTAATATGTTCTCAGTTGCTTTGACCAATTTTGTGAATTTTTGAACAATTTGCTGTATAATTTTTTATTGGGAATACTTCCAATTTCTAGAGCTCTTTTTACCAAATTTTGCGTACATACATCGTGTACATACAAAAATTATGATTTTTTTTACGATACTTGCAATTTCAATCACTTTTTTCATAATTTTTCGATTCAGCGTGCAAAAATTTAATACATTTTTATTCCTTCCCACAGAAGACGTCACTCCACATGGACACATTTCTCCTCATTCCTCCGACCTGACCTCATCGCTCGACGTCCTATGGCGAAATATGCAATCATACTACAACTCAAATCCAACGGGACGTCAACAGAACCACAATTTTCATCACTTTCGCGGAGAATTGGTCGCCGTTCGGCTCAATTTAGGAGGCGAAAAAGCGACCTCCGGAATCATTTCAGGTCATAGAAAAGGCTGGTTTCGTGCCGTCGTTTTGGCCGATACGGATCCCGACCTAGACGCAGATCAGGCACCAGACGTGTCCTTAGAATTGGTAGACTATGGGGCCAAGGTCACCAAAAGTTCGTTGGATGTGACCCCGCTGCACGACAAGTTTGCCGATGATGCCCCCATGGTAAGAAAAGTATTAAGAATTTGCAGTTTTCGTGCAGAAAAAAGAAATTTTTCTCCATTTTTGAATCTTCTAAGGGTTTTTGTTTAATTTTTTTTTTCTCAACAAAACACTTGAATTTATTCCAATTTATCATTATCATGGTTTATAATAATCAATTACATATCAGATTTTAGTAAAATGAGACGACGTCTTCTTGACAGGGCTTTACTTTTATTGGCCGTCAAGGTAGAAACTAAGCCAGGGCCTGTCTCCTATAATCTTCTTGTCTCTTAAATTTGTAAATATTTTTGCTACATAATCTTAAGTAAGTCTAAAAATTATTTTATAAAATTACAAAATTTGACTAATTAAATTAATTTATGATGCTAATGTCAGTAATCCTTGTAAAAAAAATTTTGTTTAATTTATTAAATTCCTGCGTAAAGCGAACTTTTATAATTTCCATTTAAACTTTTGTGCAAATTTATTTCGCAATTTGGGCAAAAAATTGACATGTTTCTCTATTTTTCCAGGCTATCAAGTGTTCTCTTTACGGAATTAGTCCCCTCCTCGGAAAGTGGGGTTCGCGGGGGACGGATTTCTTCACTCGGGCCGTTACCAATCAAATCGTTCTTCTCGAGGTCAAGAAAAGCCAACCGTAAGGTCCCCATTTCACTTTTTTCTTTAAACACCTTTCAAATAGATAATTCAATATAGACGAAATATTTACTCATTTTTATCAGTAACTTAAATATTATAAACAATTGATGAAAAATTTCTGAAAAATATTACAAATTTTGTGAAGAGTTTATAAGAGTTTGGGAACGCCCACACAATTTTACAGTGAAAATATATCATAAATTTTCTATATTTCATTCAGCTGTGCTATGTTATTATTTGAGAAAACGGAAAAATTTTTCACCTGTATTTTCGAAAATGTATAAATCTTATCAATATTTTTACAATTTTAGTTAAAAAGACGGGGCTCAACAAAATTTTCAATTATAAAATAACAATTTCATGAAAAAATATTGGGAAATTATGTAAAATTTTGACGTCTTATTGGTGAAAAATGTATAAATACTAAATTCTGTGCATATGAAGATTCCGTTACTTCCTTAAATTTAATTTTGGACAGGTCACTTCCCGTGCAGGTCAGCCTCTGCGTAAAAATGGACGGCGTCATGGTCCCCGTGACCCAGCGGATGGGCGAACTGGGCCTTGGTCTTGAGTGGAATATGACCCCGATGCGACCTTGGGTCACTTCCGACGTCCTCCAAGGACCTCATCGTCACTCCTACGCCGTCAAACCCGTCGACACAATGACTCCCCAGGAACAGGAAGCCTTAGCGAAAAAGATAACGACACAAGTTATCGCCGAGGAGCGGAAGCGATTAAGTTGGTACATTCTTAACAACTTTGGAAAATAGTTAAATTTTTAATTAATTTCTAATCATGAAATGTGTATAAAATGTAAGATTTTTGATGAATTTATACTCAAAATTTCAAATAAATTGAACTATTTTGTGATACATAGATACATGGCCAGATTTATTTTCCCTTTTCGCCTTATAAATTGAATTATTTACATGAAAATAATAAGTTCGTGACGTTTGACATTATAATAATTGACCCTTCCTGAAGTCAGGTCAGGTCATAACGTTTTTGATTAATAGGTAATTCAGACTCGAGAGCGAGATCTTGAAGTAAGTATTCATTTCACTGTAGAGAAAATTTCTTTTACAAAAATGGGAATAAATACAAACTTACATGTAATAATTGTAGTTAAAAAGTTAAAAATTCAGCTTAATTAATGGAGGTCAAGGTCACACGTAGGTCATCAGACGGTTTTTAATTGACCTTGATTGAACGACTTTCAGTTTGATTTTTATCGTGTCATGCATAAAATCTTTTGCGAACGAGGCGCATAAATTTACAAATATTATTTTACGATATCATTAATTAAGATAAGATGAGCAGCCTTACTTCAATAAGCATTTTTTTATACATAAAAAATCATGATAACCATCTCGATAAGCATTTAATGATCATAACTCCTATAATTTCCTGCCAATTCGAGTAAATACTTGTCCGGATTATCCTTCCACTCGGCCGAGTTGATATTCACTTTTCTAATGTTCTCAACTTGCTTGGCTTCCCATTTCTTAAACTCGGTTTGGGCCGCTCTAAAATACAAAAAGATAGGTCAGAGGTCACGTCCAGGGGTCAAATTATGTAAACATGTATCATCTTACTGCGCCGTTTTTGGGGCACAACCCCACACGGAAAGGTTGACCACGGGGCACGGCATCTTTTTAAAGTGGGCATAACTAAAGTCCGGTTTCACATCGAGGGACACGTTTCTCGGGTCTTTCCCCACCTGTAGCCCGAAGGGGTAACCTCTTATCGAGAAATTTACATAGATAAGCTTAGCGCCCCCTAAAGAAATTAAAGGTCAAAGGTTACAAAATAACCACACCACGTACAAAATGTATTCGTCTTACTCTCTACAATCCTAAATTCCGGCTGCAACTGGACCAACAAAGCGTCCTCCCCGCCCCAAAAGTGACAACTCTCTTTCCACTCGGTGTCCACACAGATGGCAAAACTGTACCCGTTTTCCGCCCGAATTACGGCGCACGTGGGGCCGCGATAGTTAAACACGTGAAACTGGAACCGATTAATGCTCAACCCGTCGAGATCGGAATTATAGAGTAAATCCCAGCAGGGTCGTTCCTTCCGGATATTCGTGTGGATTAATTGGAGCAGGAGTTGCGCCGAGGTCATGGCGTAGGGCGAATGAGGGGAAGGCGGGGGTGCTTGTGGGGTAGCGTTTTTGGCGAAGATTGCGAGAAATTTGGGGGGCAAGGAACATCTCAAAAGCCAGACGAGGATGGGGGCCATTTTATTATTTTTGTTGGCATCGTCGCCGTGATCGACTTCGTCTTTTGTGGCGTCGAGGAGTTGTTGGAGGGCGATTTCGGGTTGGGAGGATGATTCGGTAGTGACACCGCCGCCGCCGGGAAGGTGGATGGTCGGATTGCCGGAGACGAGTTGGGCGTGGCCGGTGGTGAGTTGATGGATGAGGTAGGTGTGAAGGGGGGCGTGTAGACGGGGAAGGTTTGTCAAGAGCCAGTTGGTTAAGAAGCAGACGGACATTTCGGATTTGATGTGGTACTGAAAGAGGTCAAAATTACGATATGTTTATTATTTTAAAATTATGAAGTACAAAATTATTTGTACATAACGCTAAACAGAAAATTACATGCAAAATTGTTAGTGACGAAAATCATATAATTCCGGCAAAATTGAGATGCAAAAGGCAAAATTACGAAAAAATTAAGATGGTATAGTAAAAATTATGGCCAAAGTATGACGAAAATTACGACACTTTTATGACGCCAAAGATAAAATCACGAATGAGTACATAAACGGCAAAATTACTGCCAAATTTCGACGAAAAATTACTTTTATGACGCCAAACAGTGACGATAAAACAAAACATGTGGCGCAACTACTTACACACGATTTAACAACAGCTTCAAGAAAGTCCTTCCCCGCAAAATCGTTGTAGCCCTTCATTCCGATAGCGACGGTGTGTTCGGACCCTTCGCCGACCGTGGCGAGTTGATACGTTGCTATCAGAAAGTCCAAAAAGGACTCGATCCCCACCAACCCGTCCTTCTCCAGGGCAAACATCTAAAAATTAGGGGACAAAAATTAGCTGAAGTTTCCATTTATTTCCTGCCAACTTTGCGAACCTTGCAATTTTTAATTTTACATAAAATAGAAAAATTCTACTTTTTAGGACAGTTTGCACCAAGTTATTTTTCAAATTCAATCCTCAATTTTTTTAAGCCAAATTTTTAGTTGAAACTCTTTGTCAATTGTTATAAGAGAGAATATTATAATTATTAGTTAAATTAACAGTTTACAAAGATCTGGCAACTTGACTTGAATTATTTTACAAAAAAAATATATTATTTTGCGATGTTTTAACGTCATTTGAATTAAATCTATAATACAGTACTCGAAACAATCAGATAATGAGATATGAATGTCAGGGTTGTTTTGTATACCGTTATGCGATTCACGTCATTTTTGTAAACTGTGCAAATTTACTTGTGTACATTTTTTGAAAATTTAGTAAATTTACACTTTACGAATGACCTTCGCTGACCTTGAGGTAGAACGTAAGCTGGTCTTTATCCGTGTGAAGAAGGAAAATCTTATCCGCCGCGGAGACTAAGACATTTTCCGTTATTGCCGAAATGTCACCCTTATCGGGACCCTGGTTTGCCAAATATTTCCATAAGTGGTCACACAATATCGGCGAGTGGGGGAGGACGTTTTTCTGCAGGTGTAAATAAAATGTGCGATTTAAATGTGCAATAATATATCAATTTTCTAATTATTTATTATTCCCACCTGAATCACAGTTTCCGAAATACGCCCCGGTTTCTGAACGTGGGCGAGGCTGTGTTGCGCCAAGAGCTGGAAATAAAAGTATCCATAAATAAATCAGGCCGGTCATGCCAGGAGATACAGCTGAAAAATTTTCTATGCAAAAATTTCATGGAAAATTTTACATGGAACATCCATAAACTATCAATTTCAACTCCTCCCTGGCTTCACATCATTTCAAAAACAGCACGATTTACAATTTACAAACTTCGTAAATTTCATAAATTTCCAAATTTTACAAAAAATCGCTCTCCAAACCCCTCAAAATTTCTCACCTTTGCAAACTTATCCACATTGTTCGGTATCCTACTTATCGCTTCGACCTTCTCCAAATTCTGGTTCCCCTTCGAACTAAACTTATCCTTCAAGTACTCTCTCAGCGGACTTTTCGCACTGATAAAATCCATCGCGGAGCTGTGTCTCTTGACCTGAAGACGATTCTCCGACCCGCCCAAAAGGTCACTCGGCTGGTGAATATTATAATGAAACGCGGTATTCCTCTCTTCTGACGACGGGGGCGCAGGCGCAGTGACCTCAATCCGTTTTGACCCCGAGGTCGTGGAGGTCACGTCCTCCTCCGAAGATGACGTAGCACTTGGCGTCGTTCCAAAACCTGACCCGCACGAGGACGATTTTCCCAACCGTTTTCGCAGCGAAATTGACGTCGACGGTTTGGAAGTTGCTGACTTTCTGAGGGAGGACGAGGCGAGAGAGGATGACGACGCAGAGGAGGAAGACGGCTGATTCCCCATAATGTATCCTGCCAATGGTAAATTAAATTAAGTCAGTTAGTTAATTGTAAACAAGTATTTGAGGTCACGAGGCAGCTGAGATGGAATAATAATTCTATTCACATCGACAATTCGCTTCCTCACGGACGGACGGAGGATTAAATACATAAATAACAAATCGATATTATCAATTGGGAGTTATTTAACGAGATAAAGAAAAGTGTGGTGGATGTGGTTTAACTTTAACTTTGGTAAATACAAATTAACGTGGATTGGATATGGATGGAGGATGGAGAAGACAGTCGAATAATAATATCTTCCATCCACTACCACGCATTTAATTATTATTACGACAATAGTTATTTAAGTCGTGTGATGTGAAACTCACATAAATTACTTAATTGACAATGTCTCATTAATTCTGGGGGCATCCCATGAAAAATGCCCCAATATTACATACAAAAGGGCACAATAAAATGTCGCGATCCGTGTATGGAAACAAAGTTGGGATTGGGATCAATCTTAACCGATTTCTTTCTATTCAGTTATCACTTAATTTCCAAATAAATTTTCAAAATCCTTTGCTTTTCAGTTGATTTTATCTTGAATCAATTTTGAAAATCAATAAATTCCCAACTTACCTTTCTCTATTCGTATTTCTTCCTTTTAATAAAATATTTCGTATTTCTTCCCTTTCTTAAAAAACGAGACGCTCTGCCAATTCCAATTCCCAATCAGCCAGACAGGAAGACAAACTTAAATGAACTATCCAATTTAAACCACAGATTATCCAAACCAGTTACAAGTTAAATATTTAACTTCTCATCCAACTCCTGGCCTGGACTTTGAACACAATTAAGATTTAAACTTTAACAAACATTTGATAAATAATGCGTCTCTTCTTCAACTTCAATGGCCTTTTCTTATTTATGTATTTATAAACTAACAACAATTATCCCTCGAGCACAATGAATCACTCACACCTAAAAATAATAAAACTCGTCAGTAAGTAAACTCCTAACCAAATTCAATTAATAATAGAATCTTAATATTTTATTAATGACGAACTAACCAAACTTTCTAAATGTAAACAAAACTGAGAAATAAGTCAATAATGTGGTTGTTAAACTTTTACTAAATTTATAGTTAACTGGACAATTAATTGAAAATTAAAATGTGATACACAATTTTAGAATAAAACTCAACTTTGATCAGAACAAAACAGGATGGATTTTACAATAACGAAATGGCCAAAATTTAACCTGCATTCTCACCGAGTCAGATTATTCCAACCAAATCCAAATAAGCATTTCCCTTGAAATGATTAACATTTATCATCATCATGACGAAGATCTGAATAATATTTGTCCCTCGTTCATTTATCATGAAACCGAGTGCGTAAAGCCGTGAACAAAGGAATGTATAAAATGCTGGCTAAATAAAATGCAACTGCGGGGTCCTGCGAAAGAATGGCGTCCTTTTTTTGAGGTCAAGGTGGTCATCCAAAATTAATCAGTGAACATCCCATCACCTCACTTTTTTTTAATTGGAATTATTTTTTCTCAAATTCTATCGGCACGATACTGGAAATATTGAATTTTTTTCTAAATCGGAATTCCAAATGCAGAAGTTAAATGTGTTTCAGTGAAATTCACATGCAAAATGCAGTATGCAAAAAGTTATGAATTGTACATCCTTCCCGTATATTATAATATAATATACTACTGATTTTTGCAACATTTTATGTATAAATATTTTTTTTGTAAGCAATCTGTCAAATCCTCATTCATAAGTACTGAAAACCTTAAAATCGTACCTGTTGAATTAATTTTGGTAGTTAAAAATCGATTTAATTCGACTTTCGGCGTCAAGCAGGTAACAAAATTCACATTTTGTTCACCATTAATTTGCAACCCGTTAAAAATATGCATTCAAACATATCTATATAGCAAAACAAATCCTCAAATTTTGGAAATTTTGCAATTATTTATTTATATTTAAACTTCTACTATGAAATCTACTAATTTCAAATTATTTTACGTGGTTAAAAATTGTTCAAAATCCACTTTCGGCGTAGAATAGTGTACAAACTATTTTCACTTTATTTTTTTTAACTTTTGTGTAAGCTGCCAATTACTTTACTTACGACTCATGTTTCTATTCCGTAAGTAAATTTAAGATATACACAAAAGTATTGAAAATTTAAATTTTTTCATACATGATTCATTGGCATCTCTACGCGCTCTACAGGGCAAGATACAGATTTATTAATTTACTTTAGTTTTATTGAAAATCACTTAAGTTGCACTTTTGGCGTCGAAAACTTTACAAATTTTTTTGCCACCTGAGTTTCACTTAAACTTATTTGTTTTCTAAAAAGTGCATAAATAGTCAACAATAATAATATTCACTCCGCAAAATTTAGTCATATGTATGAGTAATCTTTTGGCAGTAATTTTTGCAAATATTTTATTTAATGATACTTTGCCTACTTATTTTCTCCCATATTAAATATTTGCAACCACAAAACTCCAAAATCTCAATTCTGCAAATAAAAGTCAGGGCTTCAACCTTCTATAAATCTTAAATTGTCTTCTACACTTAATCAGAAATTCCACTCTTGGCATTGAAAACTTTACAAAATATTTTTCCACTAGACTTCCATTTCAACCTTTTTTTCTTAAAAAATGCATAGATATCCAGGCACGAATAATATTCAATACGCAGAATTGAATCATGCACCACTATTTTTGCATTAATTTTTGCAAATATTTTTTTCAACGATACTTTTTACTTAGGTACTTATTTTCTCCCGTATTAAATATTTGCATCCACAAAAGTGTAAAAAACTATAAATTCTCGATTTGAACATCTCAAACCGCCGCTACGACTTATCTTAAATTATATTCTGAAGTTAATCACAAATTAAATTCCACTCTCGGTATATAACTGTTTACAAAATTAGTTTTCCATCTGATATTCAACCTTTTCTCTTAAAAAACAAGTACATAAGTATCGAGTCGCAAGTAATAATACTTTGCAAAATTGAATCATAAGTACGACTAATTTTTTGCAACTTTTGAAATGCTTACTTATTTTCTCCCGTATTACTTTTAACCACAAACGTGTAAACAACTTCAAAATCTCAATTCCGGAAAAGTCGTAGCTAGTTACTATAAATCTTAAATTGCATACTGTGGTTAATATCAGAAATTAAATTCCATTCTTGGCGTTGAAAATTGTACAGAATCTTTTTCCATCTTGCTTTCAACCATTTTTCCTTAAAAATACAGAAACTACGAAAAATTGAGTCATATGTACGACTAATTTTTTGCAGTAATTTTTTCAAATATTTTATTCAACGATACCTACGTTCTACTTACTTATTTTCTCCCGTATTAAATATTTGCAACCACAAAAGCGTAAAAAACGACATTCTAAATTTGAAAATCTCAAATCGTAGACGTAATATAATATTCTAATCATAATCTTAAAATGCATTCTGCAGTTAATCAGAAATTAAATTCCATTATTGGCGCAGAAAGCTTTACAAAATCTTTTTCCACCTTTTTTCTTCAAAATACATAAATATCAAGTCGCAAATTACAAAACTACGCAAAATTGAGTCATGTGCATAACTAATTTTTGCAGTAATTGATTCAACGATACTTTTTACTTACTTATTTTCTCCCGTAGTAAATATTTGCAAACACAAAAGTGCAAAAAAAATTCAAACTCTTAATTTAAAATTTACAATCTTAAATTATATTATGGAGTTAATCACCAATTAAATTCCACTCTCGGCGTCGCACAGTTTACAAAATCTTTTTCCACCTGACTTTCATTTCAACCTTTGCATAAATATCCAATCCAAGAGTCAAATACAATACAAGTAAAAACTGATTCTGAGTCATTCCATTATTTTTCCATGTAAATTCTCACAAAGCAAGAAAGTCCAGTCCAGTCCAGGTTTAAGGTTACAAAAGTTAAGTTTACAAGGTTGTACATACATTTGTACGGTTACGGTAGCCAGGTAGACAGGTAAAATTGTGGGTGGGTGGGATCTGCCTGCTTAAGTTTTTTTTGGGTGCATGCACTCATCCAAGGTGCAAAATAGTTGCCTGGTCAGTTTTAACTTTTGCTCGGCATGAAAAATGCTATCTGCATGAAAAAAATCTTGCAATTAAGACAAAGAGATCATTTAAAAATGAAGAAAATTCCATTTTATTTTTCATTCCTAAAAGAAATGCAAAGTTTGAAGCGAGTAATTTTCAATGTAAAAAAAGACAGGAACAATTTTATGTAGACAAAGTCTCACATTTTTCTTCAATGTACAAATTACTACGTAAAAAATTCTGCAGCAAAAATATGAATTTGCATGCGAAAATATGAATTTTCCATTCAAAAGAGATTCTTGTAAAAATTGAGCAAATTCTCCCTTATTTTTCACTCCTAGAAATGCAATTATTAAACAAAATCGTACAAAACGACCTAATTACATACAAAAGATGTCTTTTAACGTGTGCAAAAATTCTTTAGCTGCAAATTTAGGACGGGATACGCAAATTTCTACATTTTTCCCGAGTAATTCATCCCAACAGCAAAATTTAAATGACTGGACGTGCATGTAACAGTCCACCATGCACATTCAAGTAAAATGACGACACGTGATCCCCTCGTGTCATTCACTGCGGCCAACTTATTAATACCGTCACAACAATGTGATCAATTTAATCAGCACGCCCCTGACACGCACTCATCTTATCAATGATAAGTATCATCAAGCATCCTCGCTCTGTCATCGTCTCTCCGTCAATATTTTTTTTTACATCCCTGGACATGAACTTGTCCTTATCATCAATTAAAGTGAATGTCCTCCATTTAAATCCATTGACTGACCAACACACCATCATAAATTTTTGTCTCCTCTGCAAATTGTTTGTATTGGCAGCCATTTGGGCAGGACGTGGAAAGCAAGTGCAAATAATTTGCATAATTTCCGCACTACTCGTGCAAGAGAGAAGCAGTATTTATTTAGATGAACCCTGATTACAATGCCGGACTGGTGGATGTTGGATGAGATATTTTATGTTTTAACCTTGGCTTTGGCTATCGTGTAATGAAGCCACATTTTTACACCGCATGCAACTTACACACACACACCGAAAATATCTAATATTCAATTCAGCCTATAGAAACCTGAAACGAGTTCTTCTTCTCCTTTTATATTTATAAATGTATCTGGCTGCCCACTAATTCTAAATCCATACGCTACATACATATTTTTGGGTTTAGATGCACTGGAACGTTTAGTTTCTTATTACATAATTTGCAAGCTATTTATCAAATAAAGCAGTAAAAGGAGGGGTATAATCACAGTCTTGATTTGGTAATAGTTGCAATTTGTTTGTGCAGCGTTTAAGCTTTCTTTAAAGCTTGGTAAATTTTGGAGATTTTCGAGAGATTTAAAGACCGGTGTGTATTAAATAATTGCTAAGAAATCATCTACCTCAATTACATAAAAGTCAAGGTAAGGCATTGTTTGTTACTTCTTATGTTAATAAAGTAGATGCAATTTTGTATTTTGCGAGGTATTTTTGCCTCAAAAAAGTTGGTTACATAATTTGGAATTTGCCAAATTTTGCTTCATTTTCTTTCAGTAAAAGGCAAACTCATAATTTGATAATCGTTACAAATAAAATATTCTTTGTGTACAATTTTAAGCGTTTACGGAAACTTTAAGAATTTAGGAGTTTTTGTCCGATTTACATAATCATTTACTAGTAAAGACCGGCGTCAAACTGTGAATTTAACTGAAATTAAGTATTAATTCCTGCACAAAATCTTTTCCTCAATTAAAAGTCAAGCTAGGTACATCATGTCACAAATATTTATAAACAAAATTATTATACAACTTCCTCCCTCCCAATTTATTTAGTAATTAAATGACTTTGGTTCAAAAAGATCAAGAAATAAGTCAAGGTCGTACAAGTTAAATATTGACAAAATCCATTCATTTAAACCATTTAATGCCCTGGGTGGTGGTGGGATGATGGCGAGATGACATTGATTAAACAGATCTCATCATCAACATCATCTCTCCAGCACGTTTGATAAGATAAAGTTAATTGACATTGGTCATTTTCATCCCAGTTTTTACAAGTTCTCCCATCAACTTGCAGACACAAATATAAATACAAAACTTGTCTTGAATTTGTGCGAATTTTTTCCAATTTTTGCTACATTTCGACGCCGATTTTGCAAAATTTGAAATAATTTAGTTATCTAGAGCATTTCAACAGGTATGTTAATTCCGCAGGATAAGTTTTAATTATCGTAAATGCAATTAAAAACTTTTATTTGCGAATTATTTTCAAATTTTGACACCGCCGTTACAAAAATTTGTTTCTGAAACAATTAAATTTTGTTTTAACAGGGGAATTTTTCCGTAAAGAAGAAGAAGACCAATCTGTGCAACTTATTGAATCAATTTACTCAGTGGATTTTCGTCTTCCAGTCAATCAATCAATAAATCAATCAAGGTGAGCAAATTTCATGACCATTAATTTGATCAATATCTGCAGAATTTTTGCATGAAATGTACTTGGCGACGTCGATAAGTGTGTTATGTCTTTATTACTGTTATGGCATAGTCATTCTTGTCCTGAAAAGTGGTTATATAACTTGATATTAATTTACTTGGGGACATGCTCTTTTGTTCCTGACATTAAAAAGAACAATGCAAAGTAGTTGAGTAATCGTCGTCTCGTGGTTTCTTGGTCTGGTCACGTAGGCAGTTCTATTCTTATTTAACTTGGTTATTAACTGCCGTTAGTTAGTTATAGTTAGTTAAATATGTATCTATCATGGGAAATGTTCGAGTGGAAAGTTTCCTTTTCTTGGATATTTTTAGATAACCGGATAATTAAGGAACTATCGTCCATTAATGATAAGCACACCATCATTTCATGACACGCCACGCTATTTAAGCAGAACACCAAATTCCGATTAAATTCATAGGCAAAATGTAACAATAATTCCAGATTTTTAACAACTTGGGAATTTTTTTCAAGTATGATTTTGAATTATATGGATTTATGAAAAATTTATATTTCTGGCAAATTTAGAGAAAAATCTGATTATTTTAGTCCCTGATATTTATTTTTAGTGATATTTATGATATTTTTATAAGCATTTTGACAGATTCAGACGTCAAATCAGATTTTATTTGAGATGCGAACGTTAACAATATCGACAGATTTAATAGTCAAATGGAACATTTAAAATTATTACGTAATCAGATTTTGAAAATTTAAGAATTTGAAAATTTTGTAATCTTTACATACACAAAATTCCATTAGTGTATTTTATACAAAAGTTTGCATATTTTTTTCGCGAATTTTCGCATATTTTCGCATATTTTCGTATTTTTGACAAACTTAAATGTCAAATTAGATTTTATCCGAGATATGAACTAATATTATGAAAAACAGTATAAGACGTGTTCACTTTTTACAAAAAAATATCCAATCGTTGTGCAATTTCAAGTCCTTATTTAAAAATAGTCAAATAGTCAAATGGAACATTTAAAATTATCACGCAATCAGATTTATTACAAAATTAGAAAATTTAGTGTTTTTGATATTCACACAAAATTCTTTGTATGAAAATTCTTACATGTTTTTCAATTTTTGAGAGATTTAGGTGCCAAGTTAGCTTTTATTAGAAATATGTAATTGATTTGCTATACAGATCATTTACCTCATCGAAGTGTGTAATTGAAATTTTTAATACAATTTCAAGCACTTATTCCTGGCTTGCTGATTAGATCTACAATGAAACTTGTTACGCAATCAGGCACCAACCACATTCCACATTTACTAATTTATGTAGCCCCACAATGCACTTATCCAACCAACTTATTGAACAATAAACGCAGTAAATCCTCCTCCTTATCAGAAATGTGCAGCCCAATATTATTCCACTTTTAGCTAACACACTGCACTGGAATTCATGATAATAGCAGCATGGAAATTTTCTATCTCGACACGTTTCCTTTATCATGATGCAGCATCATTAACCTCAACTTTTGACTTATAAAGTTTACTTTTCCACCACGACCAACCACAATAGCAGCACAATTATTATCGTAATTTTAAGCATAATGAGACATGCAATCTGTGGTATTTTTTTCATACATACCTGAACCTGAACCGTCATGATTGTGGTCGTCTCATCACTTGGAAAACTTAATTATTACGTAATTTTGTGGAATCCACAATTTCATCACCTTCTTTTCTCCAAATTATGAACAAGCTCAGTATAAAATTGGACCTTTAAAGTTCAACTTGTCCAAAAAATTGATCCACTTCTTGTCACAAAAACCTTGTACATTTTTGCGTAAAATTTCGCAAAAATTTTTGCACCTCACACAACACGCCTCGCCTCACTCACTCAACGTAGCAAAGTTGTCATACAGATACATAAATATTATTGGCAGACACTAAAAATATTGCCAATAATATAAATAATTATTGGCAATACGGCAACCTTTTCTTGTCCCATTCTCATTTTCTCATCCACTGCGACGAAGAACGCTCATCTCATCTTATTATTATTTTCCATGCTCCTTTTTTCCGGGTATCTATCTATCCCATAATAATAATACCCGGGTATTCTACACTATCCCACTATAAACCTGTCCCTCTATTGATGTGCATGTGCCTTGCATGTGGGTCGCAAATGGTCGGAAGTTCCGAAATCCTCTTCTTCCCTCGACCTTCACCATCTTCTCCCAGCTTTTCGCTCGCCTGCCAAAAAAATAGGAAAAGTCGATAAGCTAATCATCTCCCAAGTACATATTTGCATATTATATTTTAACTACTCAATATTATTATTGAAATCTGCTTCTTTTAGCTTTTAACTTGCATCCTAATTAGCCAGCTATTCGTCCCCTCGTTCTCCATCGTCTCCTCCTCTCCTTCCCAACTGCGCCGTCTTTTCCTTTTTTGCTGCCACAATTTCGTCGTCGTCCTTGCTTATCGGCAGGCTTATCATCGTCATCATTACCGAGTTTTAATAGCAAAAAAGTGAGACAAAATAATCCCGACACAAAATTTTTTGGGACCAACCAAAAAACAAAAACATTGCTGAAAAAAACAAATCATTATTTCGTTCTAACTTTTCTACTCGTTTGTACTTTCGCCTCGTCCGAAAATAAGTACAAAAATAGAGAAGGTGGGGGGAGTGAAATTTTGAAAAATTCGTCGGATTTTCATCAAAGTTTCAATTCAAAGATGGTTTGGTTTCCGGAAGCAAGTGATAAGAAGGATACGGTATAAACTTAGGAGATTATTTTCATAAAATATTTAAATATTTGTGTTATTTTTACATAAAAAACTCCTGATTAAAAAAAAATCCTATAATTTTCATGTTTTTTTTACACTTTCTCGCAGATGTCTGCCGGTGAAGTTCCTTCGGGTCAACTTGTCTCCGCATCCGCGACGACATATTTGGAACACATGTGTGCGCTGGATATCGACTCGAAAGGTAGATAATCTACCGTAGATTACTTATTATTCAACTGTTTTAATTAATTATGCTAATTTTTTCCTGTTTCTCTCTCATCAGCACCCCGTCACCGCCTGACCGGCATTATTTGCACGATTGGACCGGTCTCCAGGTCGCCGGAAATGTTGGAGAAGATGATGGACACGGGGATGAATATCGCGCGGATGAACTTTTCCCACGGGTCGCACGAATATCATGGCGGCACCATCGACAACGTGCGCATCGCGGCGGAAACCTACTCCAAAAAGGTGGGAACTTCCTTCCCCGTCGCCATCGCGTTGGACACGAAGGGCCCAGAAATCAGGACGGGTCTTCTCGAAGGGGTAAGAAACCAGAGGTCATCATCGTCACCTTAGAATTTGATTGACATAACTTTTACTTTGTGCAGGGAGCATCCGCTGAAGTGGAAATGGTTCGCGGTGGGGAGGTCAAGGTCACGACGGACACCGCCTTTGGTGAACAAGGGAGCGAAAAGTTGATCTTTGTCGACTACCCGAACATCACAAAGGTCGTGAAGCCAGGAAACTGCATCTTTGTGGATGACGGCCTTATCTCACTTGTCGTGAAGGAAGTCGGTAGGTCAAAGGGGGTCATTTTTTAGAGGAGATTGCAATCAGTGGATGAAATTTGAAATTTTTATAAGAACTGGCACATTTTTGTAAAATTTGGTAATGCTTAGACAAAATTTGGACACAATTTTAGAATATGTTGCTAAATTATGTGAACATTTGAGTGAAATTTTATGAAAAATGATCAAAAGTTGTCATAATTTAGACAAATGTATGAAAAGGTTTCATTGAAAACTCTCTCAATTTTGTCAAAACTAAAACAAAGTACCCCGTTTTAACCAAACAATGTGAAAAATTATCTAATTTCTGTGAAATTTATGAATAATTTTAAAACTTGTCCTAAATTTTTGTCTAGGTGCTGACTTTTTACTTTGTACGATTGAAAACGGTGGAAAATTGGGATCCCGGAAAGGCGTAAATCTTCCCGGCGTGCCCGTCGACCTTCCCGCCGTCTCGGAAAAGGATAAGAGCGACCTCCTCTTCGGCGTAGAGAAGGGTGTCGACATGATTTTCGCTTCATTCATCCGTGACGCGGCCGGCGTGAAAGAAATCCGCAACATTCTCGGCGAGAAGGGAAAAAACATCATGATCATTTCGAAAATCGAGAATCATCAAGGTGTAAAAAATCTGGATGACATTATTTCCGCCTCGGACGGCATCATGGTCGCGAGAGGCGATCTCGGGATTGAAATTCCTCCAGAAAAAGTTTTCCTCGCGCAGAAAGCAATGATTGCAAAGTGCAACAAGGTTCGATTCGTCTTGCGCCATAGTTAAATCATGGCGCCCGCATTAACTAAATTTTGACTCAAATAGGCCGGAAAACCCGTCATCTGCGCGACTCAGATGCTGGAATCGATGGTGACGAAGCCACGCCCAACGCGAGCGGAGGGATCCGACGTCGCCAACGCGGTCCTCGATGGCGCCGACTGTGTGATGTTGTCCGGCGAAACGGCCAAAGGCGACTATCCGCTCGAATGTGTTAAAACTATGGCGAATATTTGCAAAGAGGCGGAAGCTGCGGTTTGGCATAGACAACTCTTTGCGGATTTGATAATCAAGGTATTTGTGATACATCAAATATAAACTTTATATAATTTAGAAGGGTTTTAATTTTGTAAACTTGGACAAAAATATTTTATGAACTTTACACTGAAAGTAGATATCTTGCAGACTTTATAAAATTTATAAACTTACAAAATTTAGTTCAAAATTTAATGTGTTCAAGTATGTTGCGATTGCGAAACTCTATAAAATAGTTTACACACTTTTACAAACATACCTTTTATAAGCTAAAACTTTGCGCACTTTACACTGCTAGCCGTTAATTTTGTTCTCTCTAAATTTCCTGCAGGTGGGCGAACCTCTCGACACGGCGCACACGATTGCCATCGCTGCCGTCGAGGCATCGCACAAATGCCGTGCCGCTGCTTTCGTGGTTATCACAACGTCTGGGCGATCGGCCCACCTCATCTCAAAGTATAGGCCGCGCTGCCCCATCATCGCGGTGACACGGTACTCCCAAGTGGCACGCCAGTGTCACCTTTATCGTGGAATTCTCCCAATCCATTACACAGGTGGGTGAGGTTTTGGTGGTTAATCTCTAAAAATTCTTGGTATTTAGTACAAAATCTGTGGAAATCTTGCTCCAAACACTGTTAATATGTATGTAAATTAAAACCTTATCTTAATCGTCCTTGTGTATGTGCATGTTTATCGTTGGGCCAGAGGTCAAAAATCGCTTGTCAAACTCAGTAAAAGTAGAGCTCTTTTATCAAAAATTGACGTGACCGAGGCCCAAAATTGTCCAAATTTTGTCAACCTTGTCTAAAATTTCTTTCTAATCGAAATCTTGAAAATTTAAGCTAGCTTTAATTCATATTTTTCCAGTATTTTTCAAAATTTCAAGCTTCTTTAGTATTTCTCATATTTTTCGAAATCTCAAAATTTCAAGCTCAGCTCTTTGTATTTTCCATTTTACAATCTTATTTTTTAGCAAAAAAAAATATGTCAAAATTTGACCTCAATTTCTTAACAATTTCCCTAATTTTGCGTCAAATTTAGCTTAAAATTTCCCAAATTCTCCTCCAAATTTCCCATAAAAATGAAAATCGCCCTCCAAATTTTTGCCCTTATTTACATATACTAACGTGTTTCGAGTATGTTTTTTCCACGCCACCACGATGCAATCTACAGTGAATGCACTTCTTGGTGGCACAGATACGAGCGTGATTGAAGACTGGATGCTTGACGTCGACTCAAGGGTCCAATTTGGCGTCAATTTCGCCAAAGGGAGAGGAATGGTCAAGTCTGGCGATCCCATCATTATCGTCACCGGATGGCAGAAAGGTTCCGGATTCACCAACACGATGCGAATCGTCTACGCCAACGGAACTCCAAAATAATTGAACTTCAATAATCAATCAAAATATATATGCAAACTGAATCAGACAGCCTTATTAATTTTTAGCTATAGCACAATTTAATTAATTTAATTGTAATTAGTTAATTCATTAGTTAGATTTTGTCTTCCTTTAAGTTCCGGGTGGGAGGAAAATAATGTAATAAAATCAGTTGCCTATTAATTTTAAGTATTATACTTTTAACTCGCCTATTTAAATATTAGTTGATAACATGTTATCCAAAATTATTCAGGGTTGTCCCGAGTTCAAAAATGATAAATAACTGAGCCAAAATCTTACCAAAAATGTTCACACATTAAAAAAAGAAATAAAAAATGTAGTAATTTGTAGCACAAGGAGGAGAACAGAAGAACATGTGCGGGTTTTTGAGACAATGTAAAAAAAACTAGACAAAATTATTTCCGTAGTCTTTCCTCCTCTTTTTAGCTCAATTTTGAAAGAAAAAAATCATATTTTATTCTGTAATCAAATCGTCGACCTAAAAGTTAAATGTCTACTGTGATGTCGATATCAAAAATGTCACGCAAAAAAACACGAGCAATGCAGAACAATAAATGAATAATTAAATGTTTAATTGTGAGTGAATGCGAAATTTCATTTTTCATGAAAATAATGCCAACATACGTTTTTCATAAAATTTATGATTTTCGTACCCTATACATCCATGCCTACAAATGAATTACCGAATTTATGCAACATTTTCTGATCATGACTTATGACTTGTCCAAATGCAGATGTAAATTGAAGAATAATTAAATGCGTCTCATTTTTCATGAAAATAATGCCAACACAAAAGCATGTTTTTTGTTTGGTTTTTTATAAAATTTTTTATTTGATTTTTGTTTTAAATGAACAAATGACAATGTTTTAATATTTTCTAACATCTAGTCCAAATTTTGGTAAATAACTTAACTAATAATTTTACCCCGGGGACAAAATGCTTGTCTTATTAATTAACTACTCACATTTAAGAGCGTTCCATTAATCGCAGGGTATCTTTTTTCATAAAATTGTTACATAATTGTGAATTAACTCTTAATTAGTTGGCCCTTTTAAACAAGATTATATAATCTTTGGGCATCTTTTCATAATTTTTTTTTTACATTTTTCATTTAACAAGTAAAACAAAACAATCCAACGTGCTCAAAAAACACAAAATATTTAACTGGCTTCTTAATAATAATTGATTATCAACTAGTTTCCCGCAACGAAAAAAGGTTCGTTTTTCTCCTCCATACTTATCAATCTAAGATCTTATGTACATATTTCCCGCAACGATAGGTCACGTATCCATTAAATAAATCTTTTATCTACATACATATTTCTTGTTGTTTAACGTTTCGTACTCAATAAACCGGAATCATTCATCAAAAAGTGCACACATGCTTTTTTCATACAAACTACAAAGTATTTCAACTTATAAAGTCTACCAGATGGAATCAATATCAATATCACCCTGTAGTCAGGTCAAAGGTCGGGACACTCCAAAAAAATTACAACAGAATCCACGACCTGCTAAATTCTACAATTTACAAAACCTAATCCATCCATAATTTTCTTAGCCTAGATATTTTTCGCTGCTCTATTTTACACTCTTCCAAGTCAAGTCTGGCCGTACAAATCGGGGTAGAAAATAGATATTTGATAATACAATAAATAGAAAAAATGACGAGAAGATAAGATAAATAACGAGTAATTGTAATGGTGGTGTTTGTTTGTGTGTGTGGATAAGTAGGTTATCTTGATCTCTCTCTGTCTCTCTTAATAGATTCCTTCTCCGCCTGGTCTGGTTTTCATGTTCTCTCTGGTCGAGGAGGCTTAACTTTTGTATCAGAACAGGTGTGTCTTCCCCGGACAGAAAAAATCTTTACGGTCATCAGGACGAAGAAGGTCACGCACCAAGGAGAAGAAGAGAGCACCACACTTTTTGTCATCCAGATTTTACTGGAAGCCTGGAAGAAATTCAAAGAAAGAAAAAAAAGACAAGTTTTAGTAAATCGTTTTCCAAATTAAATTTTTCGAAGATTGACTTCATTCCCCATTTTTTTAAATAATTATTTCAGACGCCTAAATATTATTCTTAAGAATTAACTATCTTTACTTAATCGAAAAGTGTATTAATTTAAGAATTAACTATCATTAGTTAATCTTGACAATCTAAAAAAAAATCTATTCTTTGTCGCGAGATTTCTTCCTCCTGGAATCCTCTCCGTTGACGAGAGACGAGGACGAAAACAAGCCGTCATAAGTTGCAGGTTTCGTTCGTTCATCATCGTCACACCACTGCCAATCCGGACTTATCTTGCCTTTTTGCTTATCATCATCGCCTAAACTGACTTTTCTTCATTTCACTTCCCTAACTATCTCGTTTTTCTTGAGGAATGTCGCACAATTTAAGAAAAAAACTTCTCACTCACCATTTTCACCCCTTTTGAGAAAGAGAAACTCGTTTTTTAAATACAGGAAAAAGAAACAGACTTATAAACTAGTGCCTCTATAGTAAGTGGCGCAAGTTAAGGTGTGTATCGAGGGAGGAGGATATGAAGGGTCAAAATAAGTTTCTCTAATGGAAGAAAGGGTCCGGGCATCATCATCATCGCTTCAAGGGGACGGGTCACCCCTACAGAAACAGGACGGAGGACGATGACCATCTGAACTTCTTCCCGTACGTAATCGCCTCCCCACTAATTATTGTTTCTTAACAATTTATCTCAGGAAAATTTAACCCCTTTAACAAACAGATTTTTTAACCCCAAGGGTAAATCGGACCAACCTATAAATTCAAACGAGTTCAAATAAAATAATCCTAAAATCAAATTCAAAATTAAATTTTAAATTAATTACATCATTAAAAAACGCCGCACCCCAATAGTTTAGTCAACTAGGTAACAATTAACTGTCTTGTCCACTGCGAAGACTCGGACGTGACTAACTTTAAAGAAAAAAAGCATCATTGCCGCACCCGATGAAGACGCAGCTTCTCTTTAGAGGCGATTTTTTTTTCTTGAAAAAGTTGTCATTGATGGTGTGGATTTGAAACTTGACTTGTACTTGGAAGACCTCCCCTCATCATCACCCCCGATGGATGAGGAAGGCGTGGATGGAAGAATTGCTTGGATAAGTGTATTTATAGATGAGAGCTAGCTAATATCAGATCAAGATTTCATTTCCGCTCGGTCAATCCGTTTTTAGGTTTGATTAATTCCTTTGTTTTTCCAAAATTGAATTCTTTAGCCAAATTCTAAGGGGGAAATCGTCGTCATCTCGTCACATCAAAGTACTCATCATCCCTCCGGTGATGACCTGACCACAGTGCGAAAAAAACATCGAAACCAATTCCAACGACAAAAATCCGGGCACAATCACACATTCAAAATTAAGATAGAAAAAAGTAATCGTATTCTAAGGAAGATTCAATTTTACCATAAAAAATCCTTACAATACGATCACATAATTTTACACAATTCTTTTAAAAAAAACATGTGCCACAAACACATTCATCCCATTTTTCTACCTAATTTCAGAAGATTTGAAAATAAAAAATGTTCAGTCGTAATAATTATATCCTACTTTTGTAAATCTTCTGTAATTAGGTAATTAATATACTAGCGAATAATTAGTAACTTATTTTTAAGTTAGTTAGTAAAGTGAATTATCATAATAAGTAATATTTAAATCGACGACTTAATTATCCTCCATGTCATCATTGTCATCATTATTATCATCCCTCAATTCTTTGATAAGCTTACTCGGATCGTAATCCAGCCGGATCTTGCCCCCCTGTGGGTTGATGTGGAGGGTGAAATAGTTGCTGTTCATGGGCTGGGATGACTGTTCAGCCATGTCGGTCTGCTCTCCCACTCCCATTTGGAAACTCTCGTCCAAAATGTTAAACCCGTCTGGATTCAGGCCCCCTGCTCCTCCCCCGATCAATTCTCCCCGTTCGTCCAAAGCGGCAGGGATCTGGGCGAACGAATCTGGCACCTCGACGGCCATCTGCCTCCCAAACTTTTGACTCATCGCGGGCAAAATGGCTTCAAAGACATTCTTCATCGTGGACATTTGACAATTCAACCCCGTCACGGTTCGGTTCTTTACTTTCAGATCGTTCAATTGTCCCGAAACGGAGGCGAGGGAGGTTTTCAAGGAGTCATTTTCTACTCGAAGAGATGCCACGGTTGCTTCGGCGGCTTCAGCACGTTTCTTCATCTCGTTAAATTCCCTCTTCTTTCGGTCGCGGTTGAGCTTGGCGGCCTTGGCGTTTCGTACGGAGGGATCGTTGACGTCTTCAATTTCATATTTTCGTGGTTTCTTGGAATTTCGGGAGGATGTGGGGGCATCGTCGGTTGAAATGGTGGACAGGTTTCGCTTCCTGCGCAATCCGTAGGTGGACGCCAATTGGGACACGTTTGGTTTAACGTCCTCTTCTTCCTCTTCCTCTTTGACGGCTTCTTGCTGGGACTGGTATGGCGACTGGGCGACGACTCGCTTTCCTGGGGCGGCTTTGCGCTGGTGGGTGGATCGTGTGTTGTACTGCGCCGCCACGGCTTCTTGCCCTTCTGCGGAAATTTGTTTCGTCGCTGTGTTGACGACAAAGACGCGATTCGGCTCCATCGCCGAGGTGACGGTGGAGGAGGATGAATTCAGAATCGAGGAGAGACTGATATCCGGCAAGTTTTCAAAGTGCTTGTTCAAAGTGGTGCCGGAGAGCATGTCGCTGCCGTCATTGTGCATCAAAGGCTTCTTCATGTCCTCGTTGAAAATGTCGTTGAAATCCATATCGTCCGGGAGAAAGTCGAGATCTCCGACGTATTGGTGTGAGAAAGTAGCGTCCCGTGGGGATGGGACGGTGGAGCCTTCAACGCCAGTAGTCCCCTCAGCGGGTGACGCCACGTCGTTAGAGACGGCGTCAAGCTGATCAAAGTTGAACCCCTCTTGTGACAACCAGTTGAGCTCCATTGAATCGTCTTCTTCGAAAATTGGTGAGAATGGGTAAGCTGAAATTTCGGTGGTTGACGAAATCTCGGGCGAAGAAATTGACGAAATCGCGGGAGATGAAATTCCGCTGTCTCCGGAAATGAATCTAATCTTGCGCCGGGTTTCTTGCTCGGTCGCTATGTCTTCTTGAAATCTGGCCCAAGCTTTTTCAAACTGTGATGCCTGGTAGGACAGAAAGTTGTCGCTTTGCTCTTGTTCACTGTCGGGTGAGCAGGTCCGGGATAAAAAAGGATTCGAAATTAATATGTTGTTCATATTTATTTTACCCTCGAAAACCCACCTGATTTTTAGTAAGTTTTTCTCTCTCTCCTAGTAAATAAAACCAGACAAATATTTGCAATTGTGAGCAAATTCTGAAATGCAAATCCACACAAACTGTATTAGTACTGGATATTTAATAAGTTTCCGAAAAAAGCACGAAATTCCAACCAGGAAATGGAAAGTAAAATCCCGTACCGTTAATAATTCTCTCTTTGTTGTATCAACCAGTAGTAAAAATTGCGGTCCGGTTTTCTCAACAGATTTCTGCAACACGAACAAAAAAAACAATTTTATTAGCTTACAAGTTCTCGTTTTCACAAAATTTTCAAAATTCCCGAATCGGAGGAAGAGGATTTATATATTTTCTACCTTTCAAACTCTGCTCTAAAATATAAACCAGTCAAAAAATTGGAATGATTTTCTTTTTCAGCAGATTCCTACAATTTGACAAAAAACACCCTTTTAAATTTCCAAAATTCCCAACAAGTTTCCAATATTTCTGGGAAACCTACAAATCAAAGATCACTGTACCAAACTGTACCACGTCTCGCCTCCAACTGAGGCAATTGAGCCAGTGCACAAACGTTTTAGCTCTCAACCAGGTAATTCAACTCGCATTACAAACGAGACCAATCCTGTCCGTCTCGTATGGTGTCCTCTTTTCGCCCTTGGGAAATTGCAGTCAGCAGTGGATTTGCCTATCTCCCAATAATAATAACAAACAATTGCTTGCTTGCTTTCACCCACCAGCAAAGCAACCAATAGTCAACCCTTTCCTTTCTCTAAAATGGGACAGGATCGCACACCAAATGACAGAGCAGTCAACAATTCTTGGAATTCGAGCAGTGGGGACGTGAAATCTTTGGGGGTCGGCCGTATAACTTTTAACTATTGCAAGATATGCGACTCATCATCGCTATGATCAATAATAATAATTATTAATTTGACTAACTATACAATCTCCTCATGAAAGAGTTTCATTTCATTCAACTTTTGTGCAAATCAAAATCCATGCGTCATTCTGGTATCTTTCAAGTGCTTTATTTATCTCGGTCCGACCGAGAGACGTGGATATGGATAAATTTATGATGGCATATGAGGAACAAATAGTGATTCTGCCGAGCGACCCCATCAACGCCACCACCGCCGCCTATTTTTTGCTGGTCGGCGTGTCCATCACGCAATCAATTCTATTCTGTAAAGTGTTATTCGGTCGGTGACGTAATGGATTTTGCTCATGAGTTGGAAACTCGAGTGGCATTAAAACCCACGAAGTTTTGTCTCATGAGGAGAATCATTTTGTTTTCTTTATGTGCAAATATGTGCAAAAAAAGTAGGATTTTATTCTCAGGGGGCCGACGAGTTAGTATAGGGAGGAAGGAATATATGGAATTTGGCAATGTTAAACTATACGGAGGAAAACGTTTCCTACCTACTTGGTCATGTAGATTTATTGCTTGTTGGCGAGAGAAGGATGATGATTCTTGGAAAAATAATAAGTAAATATGTATGCAAGGCCAAAATGGCGAAAAGGTGGTGGTGGATGGATTCGCAATGATAATATTATGTATGTGGAAAATGGCTGATGCAATAAAGAGATATAAATAAATTGGTGAAATTTTAGCGCAAAATTTGAGTAAAGAGGGGTAAATAAAAGTGGAGTTTTTAGGAATGGCGTAAAAAGGTTAATTTAGGTTTTAGAAAATTGTATTTTTTAGTAAAATGTGACGAATTTCACGATTCTATTCTAGAATAAACAGAACAGGAAGGAAATGGATGATGCAATAATGAGCAAGTTTCTGCTGTTTGGAGCAGAATTGGTGGAAAATTATATATGAAAATATCGAATCAGAAACCAAAACCTTTGTTGGGAATTTATATTTACTGCATCGTAGTAATGATCCACCCACAAAAACTTTGAATAAGTTCCAAAGATGAAAACCTTGTCAAAATCACTTTTGCTACTTTGATGCCTTGTCAAAACTTGCCAAGTATGAAATACGCCAAAGTTTCTTGACGCCAGAATTACAAATTACACAACTGCTATCAGGACACAGGTGACAGGAACAAAAATTATTTATTTATCTCGAAAAATTACCTTAATCGACCAAGGTAAAAACCCAAAAAGGTAAAAACTTGCCAAAATCTACTTTACCCTTGTCAAACTTGTACAAAATAGGTATTATGCAGATCAAAATATGCAACAAATTCCCCTGCCCCCCACCACACAATCTCAATCAACAATATATCAAAATTTCTAAAAAAATGTACCCAAAAAAACACCCACGCATAAAATTCTAAAAGCCTTCCCAAAATCCCAAATTCCTACCCAATTTCGACTTTATAACACTCAAACTACATAAATCCTCGTCCTCCTCCTCCCAAAAATTCCAATCACAACTAAAATTAAATTTCAAAACAAGCCAAAAATTTCAACTCACCTTTCCCACAAAATCCAGGTACTTCTTCAACTTTTATATATTTTCTTCTTGTTACTTCTCGTGTCAAAGCTTCTCAGCAATAGGTTTCACTATTTTATATATTTCTACCTTTTTTAAGTTTCTTAAAATAAATATTTCACGGCTGGTTACAAAGTTCCGTGTGTTTTCACTCTCGCCTTCAGTGTGTAAATGTGGGCTAAGTGATGAGTAATCGTTCGTCTGTGTGTTTCCCAATCCTGCCGCCCACCATCCACCCAAACGGTGACTATTTCTCAAAATTTCAAAATTTATTATAAATTTCTGAAAAATATTTCCCTCACAATTTCCTACTCATTATGAACTCCGACGTGAAAATGGACGCTCCCCGAGGTCAAAAACAAGTTTGGACTCGAATTTGAACAAACGTTCGTTTGAACCGTCCGCTCCCCAAATCTCGCAATTCTGATTGGTGGAATTGACCTGTGCTTAAAAAATATCGCTCATGAGAATACATGGGCAAATTCACAAGTTCGCATAAATAGGTCACCTTCAAAATTCTTGGAATTTGTGAATTTCACAATTTTTATGCTCAATTTGATGTAATTTCTTCATAAAAGTGAAACTATTGTGTGCAAAGGCACCATTAAAATTTTCACTTTTATTTATGTGAAAGAAATGAGAGGTCATGTCATCTTCAAGGTCAACTTGTTTACGATAAGACTCGGGTCAAAGTTGAACTTAACATTAAATACGGTTACATTTCCGCTTAAAAAATGGAAGGAAATTGTAGTTTTTTAGGGGAAAGAAACTAAAGTACTTTTTTTTTGCCCACGGCAGGCTAGGTTAGTTTTATTTCCTTGAGAGAGACGACGTGTTGTTTTCTTTGTTCTTATCTTTTTTGTCCTTGGTTTCATTCAGTTCGAGTTCAAGGACAAGTCCGAAATAAAATAAGTTTCCTGATGAAACAAGAAAAATTTAGTAAAATGCAATTTTTTTGATGTTTCATTTAAAATTCTTTGAAAAATGGGACAAATTTACATACATATTTCTACAAAATTCCGAATTTTGCTATGATCAGAAAAACAAAAATAAATTCCTCCCTCAAAATATGATTCACATTGCATTTCATGAAATTCCCACAAACATAAAACAGGTTTATTTTGCATGATTGTTTTGTTTCTGAATTTCAGAAATGTATGCAAATTAATTACTTATTTCTGTTATTTCTTTTCTCTCAATAATTGATAATATTTATTATTTATGCTTTTAAAATCATGCAAACTTATAACATTAATCAATTTCGTATAATTTCTTTCATCTTTAACTTAAGGATAATTAAATATTTAAAAGTTTTCAATATATTTATCTCTTCTGCATTGACTTAGCTTAAAAAGTATGGGTTTTTAAATTTATTTTTTATATATTCAAGTTCCCATTTTTTGTTCCTTAACTTTTGTAATACACTGAAAGGTTCAAAAAGACAAGTTATATTTAGGATTGAATTTCGGATTGTTATCGATATTTTTCCTTAATTAATTAAGAAGTTTAACTACACGTTACATTAAATATTTTCATAATAATTTTACTCGTATAACGCACCAGGCCAGACTTTCATTTCATTTCTTTTTTAGAGTATAATTTTGCAGAATTATGTCGTAACACTTGCCTTAAAAGTCCAGTATTATATAATCTCTAATTAAATAATTAGTTAATCTGCATGCGAAATTAGCTAGATTTCTTAAAGTAACTTCTCCTTTCTTTATAAAATGTTATTAAAAGTGAGAAAATTAATCAAACTGGCCCAAATCCATCCAAACAGAGTTACAGATTCATAAAGTGATTAACTCAAGAAGAGACAAAATAATTATAATAATTATACTTATAATTAATTAACAACGCAATAAGTAAATATATAGCTCGCACTTTTCAGATCAAGTTATTTAGGAAACTTTGAGAACAAATGACATTTAAAAAATGACAAGACAGCTGCCACATGGATCATAATTTGAACTTTTAATTAAACTGCTGAGCTGCGAGAAGATGCTAACTAATTAACTGATTGATTATCTCATTAACACCTCAATTAGCTTAATCACTCTAAATTTTAATTACTAATTAATTAATTAACAATTGTATATTGATATTTTTCTAGACAAAATTTCATTTTCTACTTGTACATTCATCATCACATACAGAGAGATTGCTGCTCCGATTGTATCCTCCATAACATTAGGTGTGTAACTTGCGCCAGTGTTATAGCTTTTAACTATGGCGCAAGTTAGTAGTTATATATATATTCGTTGCATAATTTGCATATACAATTACAATCAGTTAATTATTTATCCAAGGAAAAGTGAAGAAATTTGACCACACAAAAAATAACATGTCTTATTAATTTTAATAACAATTAATTAACTTTAATTTTTAAGTATGTGCATAAATTAGTTACTTTTAGGCACTATTAAATTGTATCGTCGGTCTCTATTTAACCTTTACGCTAATTAATTAAAGCCACCAGGGCGAAAAAACCGGAAACTTTATAACAAAAATTGCTCTTCTTTTTGGTGGGTAAGAGATTATCATTTCGTGACTTTTTTTACATTTTCTTTTTTTCCTCAAGATCGCCATTTTCAGGTACTTATCAATCAAAATGATGTGGAAGCTATTTTTTAAGACCGAGTTAACTAATTAACTAATTTACAGGCAAATCTGCCCACACAACTTTTTTATATATTGCATACATGTTTCTTCGTCTTTGCATTTCACTCGGAATCTTGGTTGACTTTTTTGGTATTAAAAATTCTATTAAACTGATTGCAATCCGTTACACATTCCATAAAACTAACTAATCGCATAAATAACTCTCTGCTAATTAGTTGACAAAAGTTAACTTTAATTTCTCTACGATACTATTTCCAAGCTAAAATTCTAATTAAACAAGCTCAACAACTGAGACAAATTTCCACAATTAAAAAAAATATTCAATTCCCATCCACAAATTTACCACGTAAAAATCTCTCCAGAACAAAAACAAGGTTATTAAATAAGTGGTTAAAAAAATAATCAACGTGTAAATAAGTAATTAAAGTGTGAAAAAAGCTATAAAATTCATAATTCATTTCTTACCGGACTCTGATCCTCTTCCATCCCAAAATTAATTAACTAACTGACTAAATAATTAACTAATAATACAACCAAAAATTCTGTCGCCTCATCGGTCACTCACAACCTGTAGAAATCTCGACTAAGTCTTTTTGACTTTCTTAAATAAAAACCTGGTTGAAAATCTATACGTATTTTACAATTTCAATTCGTCATATTTATAGTTCAAAGCAAACAGTTGTCGTACAAAAAGTAGGGTGTGCTTAGCATTATTAGTCTCAGAAAAAATTATTACTTTAGTTTTTAGCACGTCATTAGTTAATTAGTTGTTCTCTTAATTGGTTAATTGTTTGTTCTTAATTTCTTTAAATGTATGTGATTAATTGTTCGTTCTTCTCTTCAAAATAATAATGGTTGGTAGAATTCTTGTTTCTAATACGATGCACTTATGTACGTATTGATAACATGTTATCCTCGTCTGATTGAAATATGTGGTTCTTGGTGGGTGGATTGGATAGGATTTTGCACAGATTTTGGTTTCCTCCTTAATCAGGAGGCAGGTAAGTGAACAGTTTGAACTTTTCGCGAATGTGAGGGCGGACGTCTTCGTTCTAAAAAAATACAAGCGTAAAATCACTCAAATTTTTAAATTGGGATAAAAATTCGAAAATACGAAACGAACCAGTTTGACCAATTCTTCCAAAAAGGGGACCAGCTTCATCAACTCGGTGTCTGAATCGTCCAAAAACCAGCTCTCGATCGGAATTCCATTCTCCAACTGGGGAACACAAATTATAACACATCATTTAAAAAATTAGCAAAGAAATTCCTCCAAAAATATAAACAATGTGCAAAATTATCGCAAACGAAAACAAGAATTGAACTTTATTTGTGCGAAAAATACCTGATATCCAAACGCTTGGGGGGAATTATCCACAATGATAACTTTCGCCAAGTCACGCCCCAGTATGCTCAAATCCTTAATGTACTTTCCATTCACGCAGAGACAGTGGTCCCGAAACAAGCGGTACCTGGAGACAAAAAATCCATATTATGCCAATTACTTAGTCACCCACCATCAACTGCAATTAGCTGTATTTTTCTCACTTAATCCACTTCCGCGTAGGATCGAGCAGGTCGAGAATCTTGTTAGCATACACCTTTTTCGACGCGGTGAACAAAATGACTTCAAAAATGGTGGACACGCGCTCCAAAAACTCTTTGAAAAAGGGTCGTGTCCGTCCATACACCTGCAGAAAAAATAATGAAAGTAATTAGAACAACTCTCTCACGTCGCCAAATTTTAATTCACATGGGACTCGATGACTCATCACCAAAATCTTTAAAATCAACACATTTTTAATCATTTATCCATTCTGGGAACTTATTTTAAAATTCTATGCGACAAATTTATAGCCAGCAAGTTGATTAATGGAATGCTAGCGAGTTCTACTCTGCAAATCTGTGGTCTGTGATCCATAACTTTAGAATAAATTCCCAGAGCCGGGAAATGATTTAAAATGTGCCGATTTTGGCGATGAGTCATCTAGTTCTAGGTTCATTCCTCCTCCCTCACCTGGTACGTGCAGTCTTGACAAAACACGGGGAATGTGAACGAAGGGTGTGGCATTTCTTGGAGGGAGCAGTGCACCAAGGTTTCATCCAAGTCGAGGACCAGGCTCATTTTTGGGGAACTCCGCGTCCTCAGGGGTAACACGGCCCCTCGTCCCGCCACCATCTCCGCCGTCAATGGGGGCAAATGCTTGATGAAGAAATACGGATTAAAGTCCCAGTAATCGTCGTAGTACATTTCGCCCCCGTTCGTCCCTCCACCGCCTCCGCCGCCATCTGCGCAAAAAATTAGCATTCATAAATCAACAATTAATTAGCAAGTTAATTGCTCATCTAATTAATCCTGGAACATAGTAAATGACTCAACAACTTGACAATTACTTCATTACATAATATCCACTATACACCACGCCACTACCAAAATTGATCTCCTTCCGACAGCTAAAGATCGGAGAAAAACAAAGCCGTAAAAAAATCCACATTGATCCAGTTTCCGCATAATTTTGCACAATCTCTCTTCTTCTGCTTAATTTAGTACTTTAATCACATCTTTCTCCACACTATTTCACAACGCGACTTCACTACTGGAGAGATAACAAAGTACTTAAATTTTTTCGATTCAAGCTTTCATTCTTTCATCTCAAAAAAATCAATCGTTCAATTCTTTAACTTATCACGGATTTTGATAAGGTTGGTTTTATAAGTTTAATTCTTTAAATTGAATAAGTTAAATCCACCAAACCAACCTTATCAAATTTAATTAACTAACCTAACAATTAAATGTAACGCTGACCCATCCATTTTTCATACATTTTGTACGCATCATCCCAAAAAATCTGTTCATCTCCTCCTCAAATTGCGTCACATGAGGCGAGTTTACTTTTAGATGTCGATCTGATCAGGGTAGAAGAAGAAGAGCAAACTTTACAATTTAACGACCCCACAGAAGATGATCGCTATAATATAATATTTCCCAATCAAATGAAGTAAAGTGACCACCAAACCCGTGATTAATTCTCAGCCAGACATTTTTTATGAGCTTTTATGATTGGAAATCTTTCACTTATCAAGCAACTCAAGAAAGACTTGCATAATTTTCCATTGATTTTGTTTTGTCTGAAATCATGCGATTAACAGAACATTTAATTCATTTGTTATTTTTCTACAACCAATTTTTTGCTAACATAAAAATCAATTATTGCATTCGATAATAAAGAAAGAGGGAAATGAGAACGAAAATCTGCTTCATTCTGCAAAAAACTAGATTTCATCATTTTTACGATGTCAATTGTTATCATAATTAATTGGTCGTCATTTTTTCACCCTAAATTTCACAGAGTGACGCTAAATACTATTTTTCCACGCAAAAAGGTCACCTTATTTCTGCCAAGTCAATTTTACGACTGTATTGTGACACAATTTTTTACGTCTTCACGTTTTTACTCAAAAACAAATACTACGTCTTCGCTAATCATGAATCTCGATAACATCTTAACTTCCTAAATAAAATACAATTTGAACAAGTTTGTCCCAATTAAATCATTAGATTATAATACAATTTAATTAATTAAACTCACTGTTAATCGGATATCCATTATTGTACATGATTCCTCCCTCTCCTTGGCGCAATGGTTGGGCGCAGGAAGTAATGAGCGAATTGTCCACGTGGCCCTGTCCTTGTTGACTGTACAGCACGATGCTCTGTCCCCCGTCCCCACCGTCGTCGTGATGATTATGATGATCCTGTTCTTCCCTCTTGTCCTCACTACTTCTTTCATCATAACAACACGACGCCAACGTCGCCGCCGACAGCACACTCGTAATCACGACATTGTTACTTCCACCACATTCAATCGTTCTGGTGTCCATTGATTCGGACGACGATGTCGTAGATACCACGTCATCTCCTCCCACACCAACGGGCGACATGGTGACAATCGTTGTCGTCGTGGTGGTCGTCGAACCGTCCCCTCCATACCCCCAGGAGGAGGGGGACAGCGATGATCCTGCCGACGCCGAGGTCGCCAAGGCGATTGATGACGACGAAAACAACGCCGTGATCTCGGACGTTAGGAAATCTCCAGGATTATTATTCCCATCGCTGGAAGAGGACGACGAAGATGACGAACTTGACGAAGACGATGAGGAGGACGTCGCCTCAACCACTACTTGGTCATTATTACTCGTCACCATTGTCGTCACCCCGTTCGGACAGTATTCTTCTTCTTCTGAGGATGCGAACAAGTTGAAATCGTCGTCATCATAGGAGAACCGATAGTCCGGGAGGGTATAAACATCACCGGAAGTGGTTACAGGGGCGGGATGCTGAGCAAGGATGGGACCACTATCTCCTGACGACATTGAAGAACACGAGGATAAAAACTCGTCACAAAAATCTTCACTGTTACGAGATGAGGATGAAGAAGTAGTTGACGAAGATGCAGATGAGATGGGTTCAAGTTGGTCGTAAAATGTGGGGATGTGGAAATTAGTAGGATCAGGGGGGTTTATTATTGTACAATTTTCACGATTATCCACCGCCCCGACGGACGAGGAGGATTCTTCTGCTTGAAATAATTGTTCTTCTTTCTGTCCTTCTTCCTTCTCTTGTTGAGGTTTTTGCACGACAATTTTCTGTCCGCCGACCGATTTACCACTCTTTTTCCTCCGTTTTCTTCGACCAGTTTTCTTTTTTACGGCGACGGCGGCGGAGGTAACGAGCCCAACCGGGGGACATGGAGTCACCACTGAGGGGGAAAAACTAGTACTTGAACTTGCCCCTGATTCTGACACCCCTCCTCCTGAAACATTCACAACTTTTGGTTTTTTTATAATCACGACACCCGACGAGGGATTGTCGATAATCGTCCTGTTGCAATTTCTCGAACGGAGGACGCGTTCTTGACGAGGCACGTTTCTGCTCAAACGAGACGACGAACTTCTCGTCAATACTCGGCTGCTTATCGTCACCTCATCGTGACGATAAGTCGACGTCTCATAACTTTTGGAGAAAATTGCAACTTGTCTCCGGCCACTGCTTCGAGGCAAAGAAGAAGAAGGCGACGTTGACGTTGACGCTGCGCTGGGACGAAAGGTGGCGTCAAGTCGAAATTGTGAGGACGTTCTGCGCGCGCGTGATGATGTCGGCGATGAGGAGGAGGACGACAATGTGGGCGTGGAATTTCGAAGTTTCATCAATCCACTTGATTTGGGAGTGGCTCCGACAGGTCAGCGAAAAATATTTATTGGCTTGGTTTTCTGCGGAAAATAATTAAAATTGGCAAAATCATTAGTTTCTTCTTGACTGTCCAACTTGCAAAATCTGACTGAACGGATAAACAACTTTTTCTTCCCTGATAAATATGGATGGAGTTTAATTTTAGGTAGCTCGTTTAATGCTTAATTGGTCATTTAATACTTGAGATGCATAGGAAAATAATCCAACTCTAAATCAAACATCCAACCCATCACCCATGAAAATGAAGAGTCATTCATTCCTATCGCATTTACTTCTTCGGCCAGGCCAAGCCAGTGATCGTTAAACTTAATTACTGCCAAATAATATTGGGGAAGGAAAGGGTTGCAATAAGTATTCGATATCAAGAAGACAGCAGTTCTACCACCACTACCATCGCCACGAGGGACAATTTTACGAAAACCCCCTGAAAAGCGATATCTACAAAAAGGATGGAATCTTATAAGTCACGTTTTATAATACATATATTCATTTAGGTCGCAGATTTGATATCGATTCAGGGAAAATTGCAGAAGTTATGCTACAGAACTTACAAATCGAAACAGGAGAGAATTTGTGTAAAGAAAATTCTAATAATTTCCTAAATTTGATCCATCATTAAATCCCCTACATATGAAGTTTAGCCAGCGTTTTCATTTTTCATACCTAATTTTTCAACATTTGCCTCTAACTACTCTTCCTTAATTTTATGAATTTCAGGCTTCATCTGAACCAAATCACATTTCCGACATTTGATATATTAACTTTTAGCTGGTGTCATTTACGGGGTCAACATTTTAACTGGAATTTAATAGCTTATTAGGTATTAATGTCTTATGCATGGCTATTAAAATACTCGCCCCCATCATGATGAATTCTATTACAACTTATTTAATTTAGTCAGTTACTTAAGGTCGGAATATCCATCCACATTAATTAATTAATTATCTAACCCATCCGTATTAAGTAATTCCTTTTAAACTTTATTAATAAAACAATGCGTACATTTACTACAACTTATTTACAACTCAAAGTCAAACCTCTTCTTGTGTCTTGTTCTCGATTTAACTATAAATTACGCAAAAATCAAGTCAGCAAACTGAGTTCATCCTCCTAAATCCTGACATCATCATCTGATAAATGCAGAAATAAATTCCGTAATCAAAACAAGATGTTCAAAAATGTTTACTTTTTTGTACACCAAAAGTTATTCGTTTCGTAGGTAGTATGTAAACATATCAAAAGGCGGGCCAGCCTGCCAGGCGAGCGGGTCTATTTTCCTATCTAATCTTTTACCCGTTTTTTTACAAATCGTGTAAATCTTATCGTTCTATGCTTATCTTCATTATTATTCAACAAAAGATGACTCACGCCCCACTTAAATAATAAAAACTGATGCTAAATTAACAATCCTCCAAATTTATGAGAAATTTAGGTCAAATCTCTACGCAGAATGGGTACCAAAATATAATTCCTTATCAGCCATAACATTTCGATAACTGTCCCGATAACCACCACCACCATCATGTCAACGGATAACCAATAAATTTCCCCCTCTCCACCCACCCCCTTAAAATTTTAATTATTCAGCTAAATGCGCAGCACGGTTAAATAAATCATTAAAACTCACCTGGTTTTCAATTTATCTTCAATTCTTCCCCATTATAATGATGACCACCCAGATAACCGTCTCCTTCCGCTTATCTGGTCAGATTTGGAGGGAAATTAGACGTCGTTCCCTTTAAAACGTGGAAGAGAACATGCTAAAAAATAATAAATAATGTTGTTATTTGAGATTTAGTGTTGAGCAAGTGTAAAAAGTGTTTTTTTACGAGGATTCACTCACTATGCATCAGCACCAACACCATACCACTTCTGTATATAATTTAGCAACATTGGGGTATATAGTTTTATGCTATGTGTGCAATTCAATGCAAATAATAATATTAACACGGCGAGCTGAATATAAAGTCAACTCTCGGCTCCGTTTTTTACTGACGACGAGAGGACTATCACATCCACCACCAAGCAAGCAGGGGCGTACAGAGGACAACTGCGAGCAGTCAATCAATATGTGAAATGGTAAATGGTACTATAAGATGAGAATAATGTGATGATAAATTCGTTGAAAACGTTTACTAAATGCTACGATTCGATATTTTTTTACCGTCATTACGATCGTCGTTGGTAGATAAAATTGATGGGGATTTTTGAAATTTCTTTTAAAAATCGTCTAAACAAAAATTTTTACCTGACCTTGTCCACCAGATTTGACGGTGGCAGGTGAAAATTGCATATCATAATAACGTCACTCACATAAAGGAATTTGTGTAAATTTCATAAAATGAAATGGTCATGAGGTCATGACTAATATTAGTCATGACCTAACTATACAGTTCAAATTTATGCAACAAAGAGGTCATGACGCAGAGCTACAACCTCGATGTTGGAAACTAATGGGATCTTATCTTTTTTCTTTTTAACCTAAAGCCCTCTTTCTTAAAATTTAGACGCCGATATCAGAAATAAATATAAAAAAAGTTGATTTTACCTTTGATCGATAGATCAATAAGATAAATTTTCCAATTCTCAAATAAGTTCCTAAGAAATTCCTTCGCAATAAAAACTAATATACGGGCAAATTATGGATTTTAGCTGTTTTCTAAGCAATTAAAATTGTGTTCACAACCTGAGACCTACCTACGCCCCTGTTCCCATTAAGAAATTGCAATCCTTCTCTTTTATCTATCTCCCTTGTTGCATTTGTTCGTTTGTTCCTCATTCATCCAATTCTGCAAAGTTATTTCGTCTCTGCTTTTTCCATAGAGTTATATTAATATAAGCAGAGGGAGTACCATTGCTCTTTGTTCAGCGAGAATGCAAGCCACGTGATGTTTTGATTTGGTTGAGAACATAAACATTACGTCATCACTCATCACCACCATCACTAGAATGTTATATACAACACATACAAGGCATGTATTGTATGTATAAAATTCTGTGAGGTTGTTGAGACTCAGTTTCAACGTCAGGTACAGGTACCATGTTACCAAACTTGTTACCAAATTACGATAACCTTCAACTTCTCATTATTTCTTCATGACAAATATTTTCGAAATAATTTTTAAGTAATTCTTAACTAATGTTTCTGACCACGGTCAATAAACCAACTTAGATACACATTGTGGTTGGATGGACCCCACTCCAATCTGCTTGTTTTTCCCCAACATGAGAGCCATCATACAAGAAGTAAATCGTCATTTTAGTCTGTTTAGTTGTGGTTTAGTTTGAGGACTGTCGGTATGGTGGCTCGTTCGCATGCAATTTTAGATCACCCAATCAATTAACCTGCTCCTGTCAGGCCTTGGCTTTTTCTAACTATTTTATCCCCTCTTTTTTTGCTACAGATCAACACAAACGTACACAAACAGTCGAAATTTGCAATGATGTTCATTTGACCTTCATTTCCTTTAGGCAGAATTCAGGGTGCATGTGGCTTCTTCATGCACAATTCTAAAATCAAAATCATGAAAGGGATGTCGTTAAATCTTAGAAATCAATTAATTACTTTGTTATTAATAATTTTACTGTCAAATAAAACTGAAACCCCGACTTGGCTAATTTCATGCGCTAAGAAAGGAAGTTTTAAGTAGTTAAAACAATTGGCAATTATTATATTTTGCCAAGCATACGGTGTCACAAATGTAATGTAATCAATTTTTATGGCAAAATGTAAAATTCCATGATTTATTCGAATTTTATTCTCGTTAATTCAATCACCATTAATATTTTGCATTTTCATTCAAGTTAGGACAAACTTGTCCAATTTTGTTATGAGAATGTTGCATCATATTTTATTTAGCAAAGATTTCCGTCATCTGTCACACTTAATTTTCCATAAAAAAACTTTAAAATTTGATAAAATTGCATTATTTGCAATCTCAAAATCGAAGTCTCAAACACAGGTCTCAAATTCTCACCAAAATCTCAAAGTTCTCCTTTATGAACTTAAACTTTCTTTTCTTTCCACTTAAAATTTCCCATCCTGCATCAATTTTCATACTCCTAAAAACTTCTACATTTTCTCGAAACCTTTCCTCACATTTTATCACAAAGTTTCTTCTCATAAAAAATTTCATAAAAATTTCATCCAATCTCATCATCAAAATCTTTCCATTCTCCCCTCCAAACATTATTCCTACTCAATCCCCCCAGTTTCCAATTTTCCTACCCCCCAAAAACTTTCCCCCTTTCCCAAAAACCTCTCACCTTCCCAAAATTCCCAAAATTTCCCCACAAAATTTCTCATCCCCCATAAAAATTCCAATTCGAAAATTTCTAATCCACTTTTAAGCTCCCTCTCCTCCAATACTCGTTAACTTGTTGACTTCCGCATTTCACTCCTTCCGCCAGCTAACGTCTCATGCCCCACAGCCCGCTCGCCCTGCATCCCCGCCATTATTTCCCTCCCACCACTCGCGCGCCGACCGGCTCCCCAACTCCAAAACCTGCACCTCACTCCATCCAAAAACCCAACCCTCGGAATCGCACGTTCCACAAAATCAGCTTCACCTGTTCCTCCGCTCTCCTTTTCAAACCCAAATCCCACTAAAATTTCCACCAAAACTGAAATCATCATTGTAATAAAGCAAAAATTTTACCAAAAGTTTGCAATTTTTTGCAAAATGAGCTAAATTTTTAGTCCGTACAGTAAAATTTTTATCTTGTATTTCCTAGAGAACGAGAACTCGTTGTAAAAATCAAGCAAGCAAAATTGACAAGTCTAAACTTGATTCAAATTCCAAATTGGGCAAAGGTTTTTCTTCTTTTTCCACACAAAAGAAAACATAATTGGATCCTCGCATTGTCCGTTGTAGTTAGTTAATTAATAATTAAATAAAGTTGTGATCCATTCTATCTTCTTCGTCTCCTCATCCTCCTCCAAGCTATGATGCCGCCCCGAGCAGGCGCCAACAATGGGTCACGACACTTTGACCTGGACCAGATTTGGGATGACTTACGTCAAGGGATCGAACAGGTTTATGCGAGAAGGGGGATGTCCAAACCGAGATATATGGAGCTCTATACGTACGTAAACTTGACAGTTTTTAATTAAAACTACTCAATTAACTAACCATTAATTAATTGCTTAATTAACTAGACATGTCTACAACTACTGCACGTCTGTCCACCAACAAGGCGGCGCAGGTCCGGGGGGAAACACAAGGGCAGCAGCGAATCGACCCACTCGCGCCAGACCGACCGGGACGGGCGCCTCGAATCACAACAGCGGCGCACAGTTCGTCGGCCAAGAGTTGTATAAAAGGCTTAAAGAGTTTTTGAACGATTATTTAAACCAATTGACAAAGGTGAGAGGATGAAAGGTCAAATTAAAAAGAGGGGTCAAAGTCATCGTATTGTTTATTTATTTAGACCGGCGGCGACATGATGGGCGAACAAGTTCTTCAGTTTTACACGAAACAGTGGGAAGAGTACCGTTTCAGTTCCAAAGTTCTCAACGGTGTTTGCGCTTACCTTAATCGGTATGATCCCTTGCAGAGTCAAGGGTCAGATTTGCTTTTCCTCTTTTCTTTCAAGTTGTTTGTCATCATTTATTAATTACTTAGTCTATTTTCATTTCACACTAATTTTTATTTAAATTTAAATTTAATTTAAATTTAAATTTGCAGACATTGGGTTCGTCGCGAGTGTGACGAAGGGAGAACGAATGTCTACGAGATTTACCAGTTGACCTTGGTGACCTGGAAGGAGACTTTGTTTGAAAAGCTGCACCAACAAGTCACCAACGCGGTTCTGGCGCTGATTGAGCGTGAAAGGAATGGCGAAACGATCAACACTACCCTCATCTCTGGAGTCATTGGTTCTTATGTTGAACTCGGTGAGGAGGAGACAGACTAAGAAAATCTGCTCATTTTCAGCTAAAATTCTCTAAAAATTTACTAATTTTTGTCTATTTTTGAATCAAAATTCTGCCAAAATTGTTACGACGGGTCGCAATTTTCCATAATTTCTCTAATTTCACTCAAAACTAAATTCCACACCTAATTTTTTAATTCCATCCTCAATTTCTTAGTACAAAATTACAAATTAACTTATACTTTTTCTTTCTTTTGCAGGAATTGAAGAGGAGGATACCACGTTGAACGGTTCATTGATGTCGTCAACGACCACCACTCCGACTGCTCCTCCAGCCCCGTCGCGGACAGGACCACATTTAGGAACGTATAAAAACCATTTTGAAAATCAATTTCTCGCTGCCACGCAAAACTTTTATGCAAAAGAGTCCGTCGAATTTATCGGACAAAATCCAGTCACTGAGTATATGAAGAAGGTATATTTTTCATTGGAAAAAAATTGTGCCAAATTGTTACCCAATTTTTCCTTTATTTCAGGCTGAGCAACGTTTGACAGAGGAGCACAACCGTGTAGAAAAATACCTTCATGATAGCACGTTAAACACGTTGATGAAGGCTTGCGAAACGGTGAGTGTAAATTTTCTCAATTTTTACTACATTTTCGACAAGATTTAATAATTTTTGGGTCAAAATCCAATTAATTTTGACACAATTAAAAAATTGGGTTAAATTTGAACTTTCAATGCAAAGTTTTATAATGTTTTCTCCATTTTTTGTTTATTTTCAGGTCTTGATCCAAAATCAACTTGACACCCTGCACACCGAGTTTCAAAATCTTCTCCAGCACGAGAAGAAGGACGACTTGGGAAGAATGTACCAACTCGTGGCACGCCTCGAAGACGCCCTCGGCGACATGAAGAACTTTCTCGAAGCTCACATTTGCACCCAGGGTCTCAACGCGCTGGACGAACTGGGAGAGTCTGCGCAATCCGTAAATTCCCATCCTTATTTACATATCTATAAATTAATTCAACTAATTTAAATGATCATAAATAGGACCCTAAGACCTATGTGACCACGATACTCGAAGTCCATAAGAACTATCACGCCCTTGTTCTCACCGCCTTTAAAAACGACTCTGGTTTCGTCGCCGCGCTCGACAAAGCGTGTGGAAAATTCATTAACAACAACGCGATAACCAAGTCAGTCATTTTCTTAAAACACAAATTCCATCCAAAGTTATAGCTAAATTTCTATTTAAATATTGACAGGGCCGTCCAATCCACCCAAAAGTCACCCGAACTCCTCGCCCGCTATTGTGACCTCTTGCTTAAGAAGACCAACAAAAACCCTGAGGATCAGGAAATGGAGGACACGCTAAATCAAGTGGTGCGTATTATTTAGACCGATGGAATTCACAGCATTTTCTGTTTGCGAAACATCTCCCTCGAGTGTTTTGGTTGAAAAAATCAACCAAAAATTTAGGATCATTTTTAAAAATGATTTCAAAAAGTTACTGTCGGTCAAAATTTAAGAAAATTTGGGAGACTTTGACATTGAAGAACGGTTCAAAGGGCAGCTATTTTTATATTTTTGAATTTGAAGTAATCCTGATTTTTGGGTTGATGTTTAAGAAAATAACCTACAGGGTCGTATTACGTGCCAAAAACTTGTCTGGAATCCTTCTCTCTTTAAATGTGGAATTTTTCATCCCAATTTTTTTAGATGGTCGTGTTCAAATACCTCGAGGACAAGGACGTTTTTCAGAAATTTTACAGCAAGATGCTAGCCAATCGATTGGTGTCGCACATGTCAGCGTCCGACGAGGCGGAGTCGTCCATGATTGGGAAGCTGAAACACGCCTGTGGCTTCGAGTACACGTCCAAACTGCAGCGAATGTATCAAGATATCGGCCTCTCGAAAGACCTCAATGATGAGTTCAAACAGTGGATGACGACGAATGAGGCGACCGCAGCAGCAGCAGGCACCGCGACCCCGTCTTCCACAAGTAGTAGTAGTCCGAGCAATCTAGATTTTCAAATTCAAGTCTTGTCCTCGGGATCCTGGCCGTTTACGCAGTGTGTCGAATTCGCGCTACCTTCAGAGGTGGGGTTTCAAAAATTTGCTTGTTTTTTCTCAGTTTTTCAATTTTTTAGATTAATTTTAGTAATTTTGTAACTTTTGAGCCATATGTTGCCAAAATTTGTGGTAATTTTCTCAGATTTTATTTGACAAATTTGGTTTGTCTGATTTCTGGTTTTCACTTTAATTATGTGTTAAATTTTCCACCCAATATTTTTTACCGTCTATTTTACTCTGAATTTTGAATTTTAACCCAAAAATTTGTGTATGGATTAATTATAATTAATCCCTTATAATTTTTCTTCCAGTTGGAACAGAGCGTTAACAAATTTAACGAATTTTACAATGGTAAACACTCTGGCCGGAAGCTGTCCTGGCTCTATAACCGATCGAAAGGGGACATAACGACGAACTGTTTCAAGAACAAGTACATCTTCCAAGCCTCCACTTTTCAAATGGCCGTCCTCCTCATGTTCAACTCGAACGACTCGTACCGCGTGTCCGAGCTGGCGGACGCGACCCGCCTCAAGATGGACATTCTCGTCCAGGTGCTCCAGATTCTGCTCAAGGTCAAGCTCCTTCTCCTCCCGGCGGGCGAGAGTGAAGATGACCTCACAGAAGGCAGCGTCGTCTCCCTCTTCAAGGAGTACAAGAACAAGAAGCTCCGCGTCAATATTAACGTTCCCCTCAAAGCGGAAATCAAACAGGAGCAAGAACAGACACACCAGGTGATTGAGGAAGATCGCAAACTCCTCATACAGGCCGCAATCGTTCGCATTATGAAGATGAGAAAGGTTCATAAACATCAGCAACTCGTCGCAGAAGTTCTCACCCAACTCTCGGCGAGATTCAACCCGCGTGTACCGATGATCAAGGTGGGGAAAGGTTTTGGGGGATATAATAATTATTTAGGGCAGCTTTAGGACTTTTGAGACTTACATTGGGAAATTTCTAGTCGAATTTGAAATTTTATAGTAAATTATGTAGATGTTGTGACCTCAAAGTCAAGTCGATCTTTGTAAATTTGTGGATTTTTTTAAAATTATGCCTTATTTTTAACTTCAAACAGTACAATTTTTATTCATTTTTACTCCAAATCGATATTTTTCATACCTCATTGTCGTCATCTTTCTCACTACAAAATTCCCCCTCAGTCAAAATCAGTCCAAAAGTTGCCTTAAAAAAATCTAAAAATGGAAATCTGAAATTGGAAAAATTCTTAATACTTTTCACAATTTTTTTAGAAATGCATTGACATCCTAATCGAGAAGGAGTACCTTGAACGTTCCGCAACCGACAGGGATTCCTATTCGTACCTGGCCTAGCAGCTCGTGCGCCTCCGCGGACCACAGCCTCCACCACCACCAACGACTCCTCCTTCTCTCGAAATCCAACCTCTCCCTGCATCGCATGATTGATTATTATTCAACTAACCAAGAAGAAAAAAACTACTATGTATCCTCTTGTTGTCCGTGAGTGGAAGAAGAAAAAATATCATCACGAACCCCAAAATTCACCCGTTTTATAAAAAAAATAATTTGCAATTAATCTGCCGGCTCGAGAGGAAAGTGGACGTGGATGATTAATAATGATTAAACCTTATTTAATAATAATCAATTTATTACTACAAAGTTGTACCCTGTCCTCTCCTCCTCCTCTCTCTCTAAATCTAATTATGTATTAATTAAGGATATTTACTTAGTAGATAAGATTTGCGTAAATAAGACTCGACTTAACGACATGCATGAGAAGCAAAATTTGAGTGTGCAGATTCATTTCATGGCAAAAAACGGCATATGCTTTGCGAGGACAAATTATGCAGGACGTGAATCGGTAGGCAGACTTGTGCAGTTTTATTTCACGGCAAAATATTTGTAAACTTTGTGATTTGACATTTGACTGGTTATGTTTATGATTCTGTGAGTTTACATATTTTGTAAAAAAAGTTGTGTAGTAAACTTTATAACTCGACAATCTTGCATAGTTTACAGGCTTCACGATAAACTTTGTAATTTTTAGATTGATTTGGGTGGGAAGGAATTTGTCGATTTTTTTCTAAATATTTGGATATTTTAAAACTTTATTTCACATAATTTTCGTTTTTTTTTCATAACTCAAAAATCTTACAAAGTTTGCAAGTTTTCATTATATTTTAGTTTCGGTGCTGCTGTTGTCGTAATGTTTTCACGAGGGCGGATTGTTTTGAGAGGGTCGCGTTTAAAATGGATTTCTGCTGTTCAAGTTGACCCACTTTTTGGGTCAGTTCATCAATCAGGAGACGCTCCTCAGTCTGTTTATCCTGTTGGAAATGCAACCCGGGTGTTATATTTTAGTCACCTTTGTTCTTAATTAGCTATTACCCGGGCATTCTGTAACAGGGAACGATTCGTCTGTTTGAGCCGCTCGCACTCGTCGAGGGAGCGATTTAACCGAGTTTGTAGGTTTTGCAGGGTAGCAGACTTTTGTTTTTGGTCGCGGCGAAGAGCGTCGCAATCCTGGGGGAGGAATTCATTTTAAAATTCATTTTAAAATTTTTGTGCAAATTTCTGGGAAATTTTGACATTGTTTTTACCCTTTTAAGCGCAGCGTAAGCTTGACTTTTTAGGGAAAGGTTTGATTTTACAACTTCTGCGGTTTTTGTCGCCTTATCTGTCGCGGTTTGGAGGGTGGCGAGGGATTTGAGTAGACGGTCGCGGTCATCCTCCAAAGCACGCGTTTTTCCTTCGAGCATCGTGTTCTCCTGGATCTGCAAGAGGTCAAATTTCAAGATTTTGAGGTCACAAATAGGGTGCCATAAAATTGGAGTTACAATTTAAACCAAAGGTCACGAGGTGTTAAGGCGAAATTATAGTCATTTTAAGATCAATGGGATCATCTTTTGTCTGAATTTTACATATTTACAGGTTAACCACGCATGCAAAATTATGTCAAATTCAGCCTTGATTTAAATTCTTTAAAAAAAATCAGATGCATTGAAAATTAGAACTTTTATGGTCACAACGGAGTTTCAAAATTCACGAGTTATTTTATAATTTGAGGTCATATTAAAGGTCACCTTTTGCCTGAATTGGACATACAGCTCGGCCAGACGTCCCTCATGTGAAAGGAGCTTACTCTGCAGACACGTAACGACGGATTCGGTCGCTTTTTGGAGCCGTTTTCTCGCCTTGATGTCGACATCCTGCGTGTCATTTGTCGTCGCAGCGAATTTCCGATGACCAATTATCGTCGATCGAGACGATGACGACGACGATAACGACGGACAGGTCGCACCCGAAACGGACGTTGGAAAAGAATCGCTCGAGCAGACGTCAAAATCATGATCTTTTTTGGCATCCAGCGATCTAAATAATTAAATGATAACCTTTATTTACTTATCTATACAGTTTCACCTTTGACCTTACATACCTTTCGACATCTTCATACTTATAAAACGGTGGACTTTTCAGATTCTCCTCAATTTCCGGTAATAACAACGGAGCAGCATCGCCAGATCCACAAATTACACTATTTTCACCACATTTCTGTTCAAAAGAAAAAAAACTCGTCAAATTTTACACACGCAATAATCATAAATTTTCAAACAAGTTGTCCCCACATTTGCATAATATTTCTCAATCTTCTCAAAAATCTGGGTGGATCGCTTTTCCAACTCGGCGTTCATGGCGTGCAGTGCGGCGTCCTTGGCCAAATAGGAGGAGGAGCACGTGGTCGCGGAATCGTCGCCGCCACCACCGTCCCCATTTTCATTTTCCTCCACGTTTTTCACCTCGGAACCGTCCGAAGAACATCTTATCGTCAAAGATGACCTTGTAGACGAGGACGAACTGGAAGTTGTCCGTTCACGAAGAACAAGACGACTTACTTCCGGCGAGGAATTGTAAACGGGATGCATTGTACTTGTACAATTCGATGATTGATAAGGACTTATCGGGACTATCATGGGAAATTTAATAAATTATTATTGTTATTGTTTGACTGTAGAAGTCTCTTGCTTGTCGAGTTACCATGGATACGCAGGGCACAACTTTATAAGTCCCACTTTCTCCCTTCCCTTCATACATTTTCATAAAGAAAATGCACCTCATATTCCATGCACTTTTTACCTTGCTCATCACCACATCCACTCCGATCCGATCTGCAGTAACACCCGGGTTTTATTTACTTATTACGTCATTTTTTATTACAATTACTCCCCAGATGACCTAAAATTTCGCCTTTTTTTACCCGATTTGCATGAATTTTAGACACAATCTCGTCCTTGGTTGTGTCGTCGTGCAGGCGCCCAACGCCTTGACCGTGTTTCGCCATGTCTTACTGTAAAGAAATGCATTCTTAAAAACCAATCCTTTACTTTCCTAATATGCAAAATCGTTACTTGAATTAAACTTGTAAAATTATTTTTGAATTAAAAAAAAACTTTGCTTAATTCACGTCTTTAATATCGTTTCTCAAATGTACACACACAATTTTTTATGAATTACATTCGCAACATATTTTCTTATTTAAATTTGCAAAACATTTATTATACCATCTAGGGTTGCCCCGGGTAGTGGTACTACCCGGTACCCGGCTACCCGGTACTCGGTCAAAAAATTTTGCCGGGTACCCGGCTACCCGGCCGGGTACCCGGCTACCCGGCCGGGTACCGGGTAATATTTATATATTACAAATTATATAGGGAATTTTTAACTTTTTCTAGATTATGCAACAATTTTACATATATGTTTTGAAAATTACAAGTAAATTTCTACAGTGCAGAATTCATTTTTAGCCTCACGTACTCTTTTGTAAAAATTGGTATGGCTCGCCTATTCTATTGTTACACTTTGCTCCCCCAATCCATTCAACCCCACACGTCATCTAGGTGACTGATGTAGCCTATGTTTGAACTTGATTTATATGTTTGTCCAATATGCATCTGGTAAAAATCAACTTCTCAAGCTAATTATTTGGACTAGAAAGTTGATATTACATACATAAATGAAAGAATCATGTTGGACACACAAAGAGCGTACTCACGACAATACCTTATTTATTTATCATCGCAATCATTTAGCAAACCTGTGAGGTTTAAAGAAGTTATTTCTTGAGGGGATTCGGAAAGCCGCAGAAAACAAATTTTGCGAGAATTTCGGGGTGATATCCTGCCAATCCATTAGCAAGATAGCGCTTTGAAAGTCTTGCAAATCAACTAAAAATGTCTATTTTGATCTTGTTATCTTGTTGTCATGGATGTTCACAATTTCTCTCGCTGATCATCGCTAAGATGGGTCTGCGAAATTATCTTATGAAAAATACAATGGCTTTTTAGCAAATGCTTTGAGAAATCTTGCAAATTTCTAAGAACTTCGTAAGTTATTCTTAGTGCGCTAGATATGCAAATTGGCTGATTGAAAATTCATTGACGTGAGTGGGCTCAAAGCAATTTTAAAATTTGTAAGATAATTTCGAAATAAGTGTTGGCCAAGGTTGTCCCCATTCTTTCCAAACATATTATTTTATACCAAATACGAAAATAAAATTCATCGGATTATATTTTTTGTAAGGTTTTGCATTTTAAGTAAGAAAATTTCATATTTATGTTACTCGGCCGGGTAGACCGGGTACTGACGTATACCCGGCCGGGTACCGGGTATCCCAAAACAGGCCGGGTATGCCGGGTACCGGGTAGCTACCCGGTACCCGGGGCAACCCTAATACCATCAATCACATTACCACAACTCAAAAAAAAATGATGTTGCTTCACATCATCCAATTCCGAAATCGCTCAAAAGAACGTACCTACAAATATTTCCACCACATTTTTAAATCTGTTTTCTGGAATAAAAGCTTAACAAGATTATAAATTTGTTTTATAATTATCGTTTAAATATATCGTTTTTAACGCAATATTTAAAAATTTCTTATTCCCGAATAACAATCGGAACATTAATTTGAAATTATTTTGTTGAGCATGTTGCGATAAGCTTGCACAAATTTGTAGCCTGAATTTTTATGTGCATCTGAAATTTACCGTGAACTAAATATATTTGTGCCACGTGCCAATTTGAGTTTGCATAAGCATTTAAAGATTTCAGGAAATTTTGTAACTTTATGTTTTTCATTGGATTAAATTACAGTAACACCTAAAAGGCACATAATAACTGAAATAAAGAGAAAAAACCTAGTTAAAATTTTAGCTGATCAACACTTTTAAATTTCTTGTCTGGAATTAAACTTTACAAAATTTGTTATATCTAAAAAATGTTTTTTTTAAACAAAACTCCATGTTATTTAGCTGATTTTAGTTTTCATACAGCAGCTTCCGAGATGAAAAAACATGAATTTTATATTTCTAATTTTTTTTTAAATATGAAATTAATCATATGCAAATAGAAAAAAAAATATTGTTGCTACCCACTATGTTGCTACCCACACTTCGGAATCTTACGATCCTAATGGAAGGAAACAATCAAGGAACCGAGCAAAATTTATTTAATAATCTGGTTGACCAACCAGAATCTCAAGATCTTTTATCTAGTCAAGACATCTTATTTGATTCATCATCTGAATTTAATCGTCCTGTGGAAACGCGAAGTTTGAAGAGTGCTCAAAATCGTGATATTTTTGTCCTGAATCGTGGTGCTTCGAATAAACGAAAATTTGATTCAGAAATCAGTTATAATCAACCAAATAAATCCCGTAGGCTCAGTGCTGTGAACAAGAAAGATTTGGAGGACAATCGTGAATTTCTCTCCTTAATAGATCCAGATAAGCGTCTTTGTATTCATGATTACATGAATAGATATTATACGGATGTTCTGGTGAAAGATTATTTTGATAAGCTTAAAAAAGTGGGAATCTTACCATTATTACCTTCGTTGGAAGTTCTGGACGAATGGTTCAGGCGTAATTTGAATGTGCAAGTGAGTAATGAATTAATGGCAAAACTGGTGGATTTATTTTTCAGTTACTTTCAGTGCAAATATTGGCACAGAAATGTGGATGGTGCTAATGCTCATGGAAAACTATTATTTAATCCTAAAAACGATTTTCACATCCCCCAGTTCCACCTTCTACCGAAAGAATCCTTAGAAAAGTTTCCAGATTTAAAGGAAACATACGTAAAATCAGTACAAACAGTGGCTTCTCGTTCGGCAGATTTTATCGAACAAAAATTAATTTTAAGGGTCCTCTCACATATTCAAGACTACATTGATGATGAATTAGAAATCACAGAAACAGATAAACGTCAAACAATACTTGAATATATTCTCGCCCTTGCATATTCCACATCAAAAACTGAATTCCCAAAAGCACATTCAATTAAATTTATAGACTGGACCAAATATCAATCGAAAACTATTCACACAGAACCTAAATGGAGGAAAGAAAATCCAAATGAACTACCACCAGAAATACCGAATAGAATCGCTCGTTCACTAATGCGAAGCATCGGAAACAATGAATTTCAATTCACAAATGAATCAATCTCAAACAGAATAATACATTTTGAAGGCTCAGTGAGATCCAATATTCCGGAGGAGTTGCACTCTTATCAAAAACGTAGACCCTGGAGAAATCAAAGATATCAAAACAAGTCGAGATATTATGCTAACAATGCAAATAAGTCAGCACAGCTCCCAATGAGTCACGGCCAACAAAATAGGCTGCACCAAGATCGGCAAAATCATAATTTTGTCCAGCATCAAGGTCGACGACACTTTGATGAACACAAGCGTTCTCATGCTAAAAATCATGGACAACACAATTCTAACTCATATTTTGTAAAAAATAACAACCCACCACAACAAAGGAGCAATTTGTCACATTCATCTATAACTTCGCGAGCTAATTTAGAACCACCACTGAATAATACTACCACAAAGTCACCATCAAAAATCTACACAGCGTTCACATGAGATACGGAAGCTACTTTGTACAAGAATAACCCGAAACGGAAAAGGAGTTTTTATAATTTGAATACCATTTTAAAATTTAAGGCAAAGTTGAGCAGAACTCACTACAATAAATTATATAAAGCTTTTAAGAAATTTAAGGAAAGTGAACCCCCACTCTTTAATTTTACTACATTTATTCTCCCTACTTTTGTTCAATTCGTGCTGTCTTTCGGATTAAATTTCTCCAATCCAACAAAACCTAATTTTAAATTAATTGGTGAACATTTTGATGAGGCTTTAAGGAAATTAAGTTGGCATATATATTTTAAACAGAATGGAGAAGAAAGAGAAACAATAACCAGTTTTGACCAATTTTGTATAACATCAAAGAAACGAGTGAATAACAATAAACCAAGTTGTGATTTACAATCTAAAATATTTGTGAACCCGGACATTACATCAGATTTTGTTCAACATGTAAAGTTAAAAAGGAAATTTTCGTATTTAATCCCAAATGACACCATAACAAATTGTAAACAATGGATTCAAGAGCATGATATCGTCATCAAAAATGCAGATAAAAATGCCGGTATATGTATACTTTTGAAACAAGATTATGAAAATGAAATATTAAGGCACCTAAATGATGAATCTACATACACCCCGTCAACCGCAGCCCATTACACGAAAAGCAGAGATGATTTTGAGGACCTTGTAAAGTGTCTAAAAATTCAATTTGATAACGGTACCCAACTTCAACATTTAATAATTCAAAACGACCAACCTTGTAAGTTCTATATATTGCCTAAAGTACATAAAACCTTTGTCAGAATACCACCTGGTAGGCCCATTACAAGTACATGTAATGCATTTAACAGAAATATTAGTGGATTAGTCGACTTAATTTTACAACCAATAATGAATTTAATTCCATCATTAATTCTTGACACTCGACATTTTTTACTATTATTAAATAACCTTACACTGCCTAAAAATAGAAACTTAGTATTACTTACCTATGACATTGAAAGTATGTATACAAATCTTGATGTAAACCTATGTAAAAAACATTGTCTAAATAAGTATCTGAAATTTAAGGGAAATCATCGGTACCGTATAAATTTTCCTCGTATCAATTTCAAAAACTTATGGGTTTATGCTTGGATTACAATTTTATTAAATTTAAAAATCTGTATTTTAAACAAACTAAAGGGATCGCGATGGGAAATGCAGCATCGGTGAGCGTGGCAAATATTACTGCGGAGTGTGAATTGTCTCCACTATTTGATAATTGTGAATATATATTTTTCCATGCTAGATTTGTAGATGATGGTTTCATGATTATTGATTCCACTGATATTGTTGATTTCAACGTATGGTGCATGAATATTTTTTCACATAGTAATCTTAAATTTACACTAAACCATAGTACAACCGATATTTGCTTTTTAGATGTTAATGTAAGTTTAAGTAATCAAACAATAAGCTTTCTACAACTTTATATAAGAAACCAATGTCACGCCCATTATATGCTCACTATTTTTCTAATTTACCTAAACAACTTCTGAATTCATTACCGTATAGTCAAGGATTACGAATTATAAAAATTTGTTCCGAAATTGAGGACAGAGAAACGGAGATTGAAATCATGCTGAATACATTTCATAATCGTTGTTATCCTAATGATTGTATAGATAATACGCGACAAAGATTAGCTCAAATATCAAGACTAGATTTATTAACTAAGTGTAAAAATTTAATTATAGATAATTTAAAATTACACCACCCAGAAATTCTTTGTAATATGAAGGTCAAAACTGAAACTCATGATTCCATTTTACATAGATCGTATGTTGTAATGCCATATTACAAATCTTTACCAACTCTAAATAGTCTCACCATTGAGTTTATTATGAAAGAAAGTGATCGTATATATACACACATGTTGCATACGCTCAATGTTAAAGTAAGTTACAGAAAGATAAACTCACTTACGAGGCAACTATGTAATAATATTTAGTATGTAATATGTATATGTACATATCATCACCGAGGACGCCAACTTCTGCCCAACAAACTACTCCGTCTTTTTACTTTGACACAATCACATGGATTTTTAGTCTTTCCAATTCTAAATAAATACTACTAAATATATTTTTATAAATATTTTTAAGAAAAACTCCCTGTTTGAGGTAAATTTTATTGTATTTGGTAGCGACGTATTATTATTATTACTATTATACATTTTTGCATTTAATTCATATATTTTTAGGGATGAACTTGAACTATTTTATATAGTAGAGATCTTCATTTATTAAATTTACCACTTTGTAAAGGTATCAAGTCATTATATATACATTTTACAATAATTTTACAATAAGTCTACAATAATTTAATTACAATTTTTTGCCATTTTTCACATATGTATGTATGCAGCCTGATGAAAGATTATGAAACCGGTCGCTACTGCAAAATTACTTCAATAAACAAATCTTTCCATTAGTTTGAAGTGCTTTAATTCATTCAAAAACTAAATATATTTGTGCCACGTGCCAATTTGAGTTTGCATAAGCATTTAAAGATTTCAGGAAATTTTGTAACTTTATGTTTTTCATTAGATTAAATTACAGTAACACCTAAAAGGCACATAATAACTGAAATAAAGAGAAAAAACCTAGTTAAAATTTTAGCTGATCAACACTTTTAAATTTCTTGTCTGGAATTAAACTTTACAAAATTTGTTATATCTAAAAAATGTTTTTTTTAAACAAAACTCCATGTTATTTAGCTGATTTTAGTTTTCATACAGCAGCTTCCGAGATGAAAAAACATGAATTTTATATTTCTAATTTTTTTTTAAATATGAAATTAATCATATGCAAATAGAAAAAAAAATATTTATTTAAATATGAAATTAATCATATGCAAATAGAAAAAAAAATTTAATCTTGCAAAATATTAAATTTCTTAAATATTTGATATATGATTGAAATACAAATTGTTTACCATATAAACATATTTTATCCGGCGTAAAACATGCTAAATCGTCTCTGTTTTATACAACTAAGTTAAGTGGTTTATAACCTCCCTGGACATTGACATGGTACGACCTCCATTCATCATGAGCATCAACGCCACCAGAAATCAACGCCACCAGAAATCAACGCCACCAGAAATCAACGCGACAGGCGACATTATGTACTCCAATTTCAACAGGAAGTAGTTGGACAAACGGTTGCGGGATTATTGGGTGATCTGGTTCGACACTCGGCACTTGTTCGCCAGTCAGACTGAATATTTGCTAAATTTTTAAAAATAAAAAAGTTTTTCCAATTTTTAATTAATATTTTTAATTTTAGTTTTTAATTACATTTTTTGAAATCTTAATCATTTTTGTTCTTATTTTTTTACTGGAGTGGAAAATCCGGGAGAGTCACATACATATGTACATATATCCCATACTGGTATTGATTTGGTGATAACTTTCGACCAGAGTGGTAGTAGTTTCTTTCTCAGTGGTAATTTTTTCACTACCAAACGGTAATGCCCGTTATTACCGTGCCGATAGAGATACATTATGTCGATAATGATTTAATTTAATTTAATTTAATTTAATGAACGAATAATTGTTCAATTCTAACATGGATAATTATTAAAAAACAATGCCATGTTTATTTTAAAAAGTTGCTTGCATGTAAAAATATTTAATCATATTTAAAATTAAAAACTTTGAAAGTTTCACTATATTCAACTTGAAATTTCTTATGTAATTCGTAATTTCATAGACTAAATTTATGTAAAATACGGGAATTTTGTATCCCTCGTTAACAAATTTGATGGTGAAAGTATCGCAAATAAAATCTTTCCCCGCAACAACTTCTTCTTCGAATGAATGAATGAATGCCATACCGTGACCTTAATGTTAAATAAATAATGTCACATTAACCCACAGACTACTTAACCAAATAATAACACTGACTGTGAAAAAATAGTAAAAGGATGATAACCAGGATGTCTATCCCTCTCTCTCTTTGTGTCCGAATTTACATAAAAATATTTTCTAAATTAAACCCACCCACCAAACAATACAAACAAACAAGTCAAAGTTTAACAAGCTTAAAACTTATCCATCTTGTGCCTGCATTTTGACGTGTCTATCTTTAATGTCAGGTTTTTTATTAAGAACCCCTTTATAAGATCGTTATGTCCGTCCGTCAGTCTGTCCATTGTCCGATAACTCTTAAACGAGGAGACCTAGAAACTTGTAACGTAAACTTGTAACGTCAAAGGGCAGGGCAATTTCGAAGATAAGCACTGTAGGTCGCAAGGCGCTAGGTCACAGGTCATGATTTTCTTAAATTAGGACGCTATCAAGTAAATTCGAAAATCGATGATATATTCAAAGCTCTGTCCAATTAAATAGGCCATTTTGACTTGCGACACCTCCGTGACCGTGTCAAAGATCAAAAATATCGAAAACACATCAGACATATCAATTTATACAGATTTTGAACTCTGAATACGAATATAATAGCAATTTTGACCCACCTCCTTCGTGACCGTGTGACCAGGTCAAAGGTCACAAGTGTCGAAAACACGTCAGTCGTCAAATTTAACAAATTTTTGACCCGCAAGCACAATAATAATATGATTCATTTCGACGCATACATACCATACCAGTGGTGTGGTATGATACCACACCACTTTCACGCCTCGGTTACACGCGTTGTAACGGTTTATTTATTTATCGTTATTTTAAGACTTGAACAAAAAAGGTGTTAATTTCTTCCGCAAAGTGGCACCTGCATGCTTCACGAGATCGCAATGTGTGGGTCAACGTCAAGAGAAGTCGGCATTTTGCATGCATACATATTTTAGTGACAATTTTCCCCTAATTAATTGCCCCCTGGCTTCCTAACCTAAATATTAACCCTGCCAGCCATAAATGGCCCCCACTTTTCCCACACAGCGTCCAGTAATCGTTTCACCACCCAGAAAAGCAGTAGTCCTCGCCCATCTACCCCAGACTGAAATGAAGCCTGGGCACATTCATATTCCGGCGAGTTAACGAATAAAAATCCGAGAAAAATATATCAAAAAACGTGCCGAAATTGTAAATATTTCTGAAAAAATTGAAATCTTTAATATGGTAACACTAAAAGTGCATACTTTTTTAAGTGTGGTGGGTGTGGTTGTACTTTTCGTTAGCGGGAATAATGCCGCATCTGTGGCGTCGTATTCCGTGAAGAATAACCCGAATCGGAGAGAAACCCCGGTTTCTTCCGGGGGAGGAGGAGTAGTAGCATCACCCCAAATCCCTGCGTATTCCACGTTGCCCCAAAATCTTGGCGGGAGCAGCGGGAGTTCCGGACAACCCAATTATTTCGATTATCAGGTCGACCAAATTCCCCAAGCGCAGCAGCCCCAGCCGCAATTCGTCGCGTTTCAACCGCAACCTCAAATTCAGGTCCAGCCGCAGCAAGAGCAATTTCAGCAATTCCCCCAGCAACCACAGCAGTTTGCCCCTGTGGGGTCGTTCGGCGGGGATAATGGCGGCGGGGGATTTGAGGGGTTTAATGGCGATTTTAATGGATTTGGGGACCAAGGAGAGAATGAAGTGCAGGAAGGTGATAAGAGAAAATTTTGATAATTTAAAAAACAAGGTTTTGCAATATGAAATATTATTATAATTCAAAATTTTGGAATGTTAAAAAAGATTTTAAACTTGCCCTGCATTTGATTGGTTTTGGAATTTTGTTCGCAACAATTTTCAAATTTCCTAAATAGATTCCTGGAATTTACAGATTTAAAAGTTGGGTTGTTGGACTATTTTGGATTTTTGTTTCCAGTAACGTCGAAATTTCTTAGATCTAGTCCCAAAATTTAAAAGTTTGAAACATTCTTTACTAAATTAGTTGTAGAATTTGTTTTGTTCCTATTAATTTCCAAATTTCCTAAATCTAGTCACGAGACTTAAAAGTTTCAAATATTGTAAAAATTTTCTCGTTTTGAATCAGTTCGCAATAATTTTTGTAAGTTTCCTAAATGGCGTTGCGAAATTTACAATTAAAAAAATATATAATACATTTTTCCCCGAATTTTCATAGAATCTCCCGGATTTTTCACCTCCTTGATGAACACGCTGCTTGAGGGGACCCGATTTTCCAACCTATTTTCCCGTGTCCGAGAAATGTGGTCCGGACTTTCGGACCAATTGGGGGGCGGATTTATGAGCCGGGTAGCCATGGGGGCGATGGCGTTGCCCATCATGCTTCCCATGGCCGCCGTCCCCATCGGATTGGGCGCCCTGGGTTTAATGGCCTTCCCGATTTTGCAACTCACACTGCCCGGAATTCGAAGGAGCATCAGCACCGGAGGATCCCTTCTGGCCAGTGAGGAATGCATGGAGAGACTTTCATGCAATTTGGCGAAACGGTTCGAGTATGATGCGCTCTTTTCGAGGTGAATGTTTGCAAAATTTATGCATATAAATTAGCACAAATTGTTACGTTTTTTTAAAGTTCAATATTTTGGAAGAAGTTTTTCACAAATATTTTTATGAATTATATTAATTAGCTAAGTTTTAGACTCTTTTCAAGTGAAAATTTGCAAAAGTTACATTTTCAAACAAAAATTTGGGCCAAATTGTTACATGTTTTAATCCGTTCAATATTTTCGAAGTACCACTTCACAACTATTTTCGCAAATTTTCATTTTTTTTAATTAAAAAAAATTAATTTATTTGATTTTTTATAAATATTTGCATTTGTTAAATCAAAAATTGACACACGTGTTTTTCCCAGTTCAATATTTTCGAAGTAAATACTTTTTCACAAATATTTTCATAAATTTTCAAAATTAACTAATATTCCTTGTTAAAATTATGGTTTAAAAATTCAATTCTTTTCCCTTACAGATTGGAAAGATCTGACAATCGTTTTTTGAACCGAGTTTCGAAATCCGTCAAAGCAGCCCGAACCGGAGAAGACTGCAAACAATTCGTGTGCTCCCCCGTCACCAAAATGCAAAACATGGTGCGAACTTATCTTCTCGGCGATTCAGAAAATAACAAAGTTCAAGAAAGCAATGAGGATAAAAAAGTTGATTAAAATCATAAAATCATAAAATCATAAAATACGACTAAATTTTTAATTGACCACATTTTACAAGACTGACTGACTGACTCGACATAGAAATGAATAACATGACAATTTAGATATGACAATTTGACAAAAAATGTGACGGCGACGTGACGAAAAATATTGTTAAATTGACAAGTTGACGATACTTATTTAAGAGACGTGTTTTCCTTGATATTAATGACACTGACAGCTCAAATTAGAGGTCGGCGCCGCCGATTTTACGCCGCCGACGCTGAAAAAATCACCAAAATTGGCGTAGCCACCTCCGCCAAAAATTAGGCGGCGGCGACCCCTTGCTCAAATTTCTTACTGGATGACTTCTACTTACTCACAAAAAAAACGAACGAAATGACGACTTACATAAATTACGACAAGACTTAATTTACACATATTTAAAAAAACAATAACTTATATTATCTATTTTTTTATTTGCAAAATTTTGAATAGTGTAAATATATATTTAAAACAATTTTATTATATGACATTTATATGACGAGACGAGACAGATAAAAAACGTACTTGACACTCAGGAAATAATTTGGTTAATAAAATATAAAGAATTTATATATTTTTTAATATAAATTGTACAGCTTCAACGTCTATTACCTGATATAAATGAAGTTTACATACATCGTTGCATTAGTTAGATCTGAATATTTAATGTTTGCTGGCCCGATTCTTCTATTGTATGAATTGAAATGGCATTTGTCACACAAAATTTTACATTCGACGTGGAGGGATTTGGAAATTTTTATGTATTTTATAATATTTTTATTTTCTTTAAAAACTATGAGCTGATTTTTGCATAATATTTTTCAAAAAAGGTATTCAAATGCCTACCAAGATGCTTTTTTAGCCCGAGTCAGGGCTTATGGAACCATCATGTCCGTCCGTCCGTCCGTCCGTCTGTCTGTCTGTCTGTCTGTCCGGCACGATAGAGCCAAAACGGCTGAACTGATTGACTTGAAATTTTTTGGTATTGAGTTTGGATTTTTTATGAGTTTTTTGTATGAATTGAAATGGCATTTGTCATACAAAATTTAACATTTGAATTGGACGGATTTGGAAACTTTAGATTTTTCTCTTTAAAAACTGTGAGACATCTCACTCTGATTGTTGCATAGTGTTTTTACAAAAACGTTATGCAAATGTTTTTATACAATAAAATTGATCTGATAATTTTCTTGCGAGATTGTCTCAAATTTTTAATCTTAATTTTATTTATTTTATTTTATGATCAAAAATTTAGAGTTTTAGAGCATGTCTCGTTTTCTTATGTGACACGATTAAAATCAATTGAACCTACGTTACACACACAATTTGGGGTCGATTCCATTCTTCCATTGCAACCATGCAGCTATTTATTTACAAAAACTAATGTACTTTCATTGTGTTAAAAGAATATGTGAATCAGCACTTTTACGTATTCGATTTTGTTACAATTTTCGCATCTTTTTTGTTCATCCTTTATTTGTACTTTCTTGCACTCATTGTCACGTCCATGTCCACCCATGAATGAATTAGCATAAGATGAGATGACAATCAGAGGGCGGATATATATTTATTTTCGACTTTTTCATTTCATGACGACTGACTTTCAGTGTAATTGATCACAAAAATTTCAAAATATTTTTACATATTGTCACATATTTCAAAATTGTCAGATATTTATAAATATTTCCGTTATTATTCGAAAAACATGTAAAAAAATCGTTTACATACTTTTTTATTTTAAAATACACATATTTTATAAATATTTCAATGATGTGATACAAAATTTTTTACTTAAAGAAATTCGACCACAAAATGTCCAGAGCATTAAATTCGAAAATATGCTAATTTTGTGAAAATGCGTACATATTTTGATGTATTTTTTCCTACATTTTTCGTAAACATTTTGGTGTTTTTTCGTAAATACATAGCCGCCCTCTGATGACCATACTTACTCATGGTCAAATTCACTACTTCAATTGTACACCTTTTCTCCTACTTGCGTTGCTCGGCCGATACCTAAATTGCGGTGAATGAGGCTGCAAAATTAATCTCCATTTCATTACACGACTGTAAATGAGTAAGTAACTAACAGTACAATAAAACTCGGCTCATCTCCCCTTTAAAAGATAATTATTGAATCCGAGTCAGTCGGCCAAGTCAGAGGTTCAATTAACACAAAGGTGCAAATTTTAAAGTCAATCTCCATCCAATCCCACTATTCAATTCCGCTATTCCGATCAAATCACAATCTCAAAATTTTGACACTGTTTTTCCGTTTGTCCAATTAATTTGAGACAAGTTATCGATTTTCAGTTGATCCAATTCGATACCAAATTGGTTTGATAATTAAATATGACTTCATTTATCGGCAAACGGTTAGTATCTCAAATGCCTAATTTAGAGTGAGTTTAGTTGAGTTTGCAAATATTTTTTGCGCAGTGATGACGTCGTTAAAGTGAATCTTACGTTTATTAAATAAATTAGTGATTACCAGATGGACAGACTTGTTACTCTACAAGAGTTTCGGAAATTTTAAAAGTAACTTCTAGTCAAAATACTTTATATTTCTATCAAAAAAAATGAAGAGACAAATTAATTCCGTACATATTTTACTAGTCGTATTATTACACTTTTGTGAAATGGGGAGGACACAGTTTATGGAAAAAAGTAGACCAAATTTTCCAAAAAATGTGCCCCATCAAAGTTACACGAATCACGAAAGAATACCAAATTCTTATCGGAATAATAATCAAAATTACGAAAATGTGGCGTGGGTCCAACCAAAATTACGAGTAGAGGAGAATAATACGAATGAATTTCATGGAAGAGAAGATGCACTTCCGGTGGTTCAGAAAAATCCGATCTTTCTTAAAGGACAGGGCAACAGTGGTTTTATCAATTTTTGGGGTGAAAATGGACCTAGAGGAAAAATGGATGGGGGTGAAAATAGTAACGTTATTTTGGAGAGGGAGGAGGAACCCACGAAGGAAATTAAGCCTCCGGAAGCCATGGGAGTTCAAATGCATGAAACAATGTCAACCAGTAAGTTTTATTAGATAATTAAGTTAATTAAGCTAAATTTATAATTAAGGGACTAAAAGTGTGGTTTAAGTAGCACGTGGGATACAATAGTTGCAAAATTTTTGCATTCTGCATCGGAAATGAATGAAGTTTAAGTTTTTTCTTGTTTTGCATCTTCAAATTTTACGAATTTGGAAAAATCCCGTACTATTTTAGTACCAACCAAATGTACAATTTTAATTGCCATTTGTCTGAAACAGTTTTATCATTAATGAACTAATCTTAATTAAATGCTTCTTAAATAACAAACACGTGTACAAACTTTGCAAAATTTTTGCAAAATATGAAATACTTAAAAAATTTTACCATGAATCAATCATCAAATTATAAATCAAAAGTTTATTTATACACTCAAAATAATTTAGAGGAAAAATTATTACCATGCGGAATCACTATGTGTCTCTACCGCACGTTAGAGAATCAATACAACTGGGGTAATAAGTTTATTTCGATACCGCTTGGTAAGGATGTATTACTTTACCCCAATGGTAATGACTTGTCGCGTTTGTGTAATATTAGTATGGAATTTGGTAATAATATTGAAAACCAACGGGGTAACGTAATATTACCTGATTTAGACGAGGATGATATTTCTCTGGTATTGAACGTAACCGTACGTGGAAGAAAATTGTACGCATTGGGTTACAGTTACAACATTTTTTTATTTTCATAATAAAATGCAAATATTTAGTACAAAAAATTTCAACGCTACTACATATGTATGTACATACTATGTACGCACGTAATAAGTTACACATTCTTGTAATTAATAAAAAGTATTAGATATAATGTCGTTATACTAAAAATAAACCGATCTTAACATTACTACATATCGTCACAACTTATGAATCAGATATTCTTGTGCATATAATTAATACAAAGTTTTACATATAATGTCTTGGCACTAAAAATAAGCCATCGGTCTTACAATTTCTTTGAATTTCCATACACTCATGAATTACTAAATTCTCAACATTTATTAAGTTTATTTTTTCTGTTAAAATTACCTTAAACGCAAAATAATGTCGATCAAAGTACTCGACATCAATTTCTTTCAAGACAAGAAAACACTTGTACTCACTTATTACAAGAAATTCAGAAATAATACCAAATCTAGGGAATAATGGCCCAACTCCAAAACAAACAACATAATTAGTTTTGTAATTGTAACTTCTGTACCAAATTTGATTAGTTGTATATATTACTGTGTCTGGAGAATACAATTCAAAACCTTGAACTTGTCAAAGACATTCAATGACATCGAATGAGTCTAAAAAATTTGATAATTTAACCTCAACTACATTGTCCAATTCCAGACCATCATGAATGTTTCCATTTTTAAAAACATGCGAGATGTATTGCTGGTGCCTGTGGGCTAGAGAAGAACAAATATTTTTAAAATTTTTTGTACGATTTGAAAGTTGAACAAAATAATTATGCTTTCCTTCAAATCTCATGGTCCAAAGCGACACAAGTGGGCCACTTTGTGTAACTATATAAGCGTAGTGGCACATAAAATGATGCTTCGGTAGCAGTCTATGGTCAGGAAAGAGGGTCAGAAATAATTTGTGGTGTTTAATTATACTAATTTTAAGGCACTCAATAGTAGATACTGAAAATTTTCGACAGAACAAGTAGCTCATGCACTCCAACAACTGGATCAATAATTCCCAATAAAAAATTTGTTCCTCGGTTACAATCAGATCGGCTAAAATAACTGGCAAAAACCTTACTAGACACCAAGCCTGTGCTGCCTTTTGCCCAATGCGATGACTATTTCCGTCTAGCTTAATTGGACTTGGTCTGTTCTTAGACTCCAATTTTCCAAAATCATGGGCTAGCAATCTTTGGTTGATTTGGTCCAAGGTGAAACAACCTAAATTTATTAACTTCTGAATAACTATTTTTAATTCAAATGGAACAACTCCTTCCAAAATGTCGTGCATAATGTCTACTGTTGGGGAGTCCAAGAAATTAAAAAAATTAAGCTGGTTCAATGCACAAGGAGCTACAACACCATGAGATAAGTTAGTTAAATGATCACTATAATTTTCTCGGTCTCTAATGACCATTTGCGAATGATCAAAAACTGACTGTGCTTCGGACTTGGAAGTACAACATATACGGCAATAATGATTTGCATTAAAAGACTCATGAAAGCCTAGAAGTGAATTTGCACCAAGATTATCGTGTGATAAAGTACATATCGTTCACAAGAAAGTTTTCCCCCGAATTGCTATGCCTGTGCTTTCTAAAAGTTTAAAATCGGGAAGTATGTAACTCAATATCAAATTATAACCATATTTTTTCGTATCTTCACTGTAAAAAAGAGCTAGGGGGAAAATATTACTTAAGTGAGAATTAATATAATCTGGAAAGTTTCTTAAAGTGAAATATAGGGCTCCTATTTTGTGAATCCCTTTTTTTGACCCCAAGGGATTCACGGTCTCGAAATCATCGTAAAATAACTGAATCTGAAATGCATTCGGACATTTCATAAATAACTGGTTAGTTTTAAAACTATTGGAATCTCTAAAATTTTCATATAAAACTTCGCTTGCTTTCGGAGGAGTTTCTAAATACTTGCATAGGTCTGGGCAGCAAATTATTTTTTCTAAAGTTTTTATAATTGGAATGTACATAAATGTGTCCTGCACTACAACTTGTTGTCGTTTGTTTTCGCGAATGCGCATTTCTGTTCTACTTCCTAGACTAATTTCCACCGGAAGTATTATGTCATCGTTTTGTACTGTCAACTTTTGCCTTTGATACGAAGATTTCACATTGGAAAACGCTGACAGTAATCCTGTAATCTGAACAGAATATTTTTCAAAATTTTCGATACAATAATTTTGACCAATTTTTAAAACTAATTTGAATATTTCTGAGAAGCTATACGACATTTCTTTCACAACTAAATCTACCGTTGAATTATTAACCCCGCGTGCTAGTAATGACGAACAAAAATTGTGAAGCAAATTAGTGAACAACTTAATTCCTAAATCAACTGTGATCTCAACTCCTTGCTCTAAATCTTGTGGTTCAGAACCATGTCTGTCATTTATACTAATTTCTAATTCATGATGAACCGGAAGGTCTGTTTCAGTATTTACATTATTATGGAGCTGTTTTAGATGACGCCAAAATCCGCTCCAAGTTGTTAATTCGGCAGTACAAGATTCACCTGGACAAATCATATTTTTAAAATTTAGGTGCCCATAGACATGAACATATTTTAAATGATCCTTAATAGCTATAATTGTATTAAAATACTTCGAACACTCCTGACACTTAAACATCTTGCTCCAATGCAAATCCAAGTTGAGTATAGACTTGCTTCACTTTTCGAGGCAGTAAAGTCGTTTCCACGTCCAATTTGTATATGAAAACTTGGATAAATTTCCAAATTCCAGACACATTTTTGTCGTACTCAGTTGCAAATACGTAGTGAGCCTTGAACAGGGTATCGATGGCCTGAGTCGTATCCGTCGCAGCTATGGGCAGGATGTGGCGGTCACAGATAATGAAAAAGGAGTTCAATTCCTTTGAAGCGTCTCCAAGGCAGATCAGGTTTGGCTGAGTTTTTTCTTCCTTCCAAGTGTCAAGAATTGATTGCAGAGGAGTTCCAGTCTGAACCAATAACAATATATATTTAAACCTTGCAGAATTTTGCCATGACTTGTAATGAAATATTTGTACCTTAAAATACGAAATTAAGATCTCCTTTGCATCATCTGTTTTTGCTCGGCTCCCTTTTCCTTTTCCTTTGGCAGTGGGTGGAATTAAGTACAAAAGGCAAAAGAGGGCGAAAATATTACGATCCCAATAATCTATCAGAATTGTTTCAGTCACATTGATTAATTAACTAAATGCTTAGCCTTTTCAAACACAACTTATGCTTACCAATTCCTTCCGATAAGAATTTTGTGAGTCCAGGTGACTTGCAAATTTTTGGAGCGGCTCCAATAATTTTTTGCGCAACTGATGGCCAAGCATTCAGGAAATTGTTTGACAAATCATCGTGCATAACCGAAAATTCGTAGTTAATCTGTTGTGTTTATAAAAAAATATGGTTAGCAGCTATTAAACTTTGAGATTAATATAGCGCAAAGCACAACACCATAAATAAGAATTTGCTATTATTACAACTCACTAGGAAATCGCAGTTCAAAAATTTCTTGTAAAGCTTGAGAATGAGCGTGGAATCCAGCTGACTCTTTCGTAAAGATGTCCGGTGGGTAAGTGTCTCCAGAAACAATTGCTTTATTTCTTTTGTCGAGTTTTTGGGGCAAAGTCCATTAAGTTTATTTATGGCGTCCGTCGGAGGAATTATTGTTTCCGGCTCACCATCTGGTTTTGGTAGTGAGATTATTTTCGCGGATGGTCCACCAGTAAATGGCGAGACTCTTTTCTGTGCAGGTTTAGCCTTGCCCTTATTTAGATTTGTGTGAAGGAATCTCAGTCGAGTTTGAATAAGTCTCGATCTTGTAACTTCGTCATACAAAATATCCTAAAAAAATGTTCCATGATTATTAACAAATTCAAGTCAAAATAATAAAACTGGCCAATAATAAAAAAATGATCTGCATATATAATTTAACACAATTCAATTTTTATTACTCACAGTGCCATTTGTGCTTCCGGGTCCCTGATAGCGCCAGAAAGGAACAACAAGAATAATTGCTTTCGCAAATAGTTGTTGATCCTTGGAGCTTGGAGATTCCCTGCAAAATATTTAATCAAGTTTACAGGTGCTAGTTAATAATGAATAAAATTCCGTGGATTCATTTGTACCCCCTCAGTTGAACAAATAAGGCTACAAAATCCTTAATCAAAATTGACGAAGCTTCAGAATCGACGCAGGCCTTTTCCTTCGTTTGCTCAACTAATTGATTTAGATGACGGTTCTGCTCGAGGTGCGACAATAAAATCTGAAGTAATCATTAATAATAAGTATATATGTATGTACTTGACATCAAAGAAATTAATATTTAAGTTGGATAATTGTAAAAAGTTTGGCAACTTACCTGCTTATAATTTTCTATTTCTTCATCCTCCCTGCTAGTGAATAAGATTGGTTGATTTGTTGAGCTTACCAATGGGGATAGGGGGTTCTCAACTAATGATTAGAATAAATTTGTGTGAGTGTAACATTTTTCGATGAACTTTTAATTTAAAATATACTTACTGTACTTACCAAATACAATCGGATTTTCTTCTCCTGCTACAATCAAAACCAAATTTGGGATTTGATCTTGGGACATTAAAATTGGGAAAATGTCATCGTCTACTTCTGCTCCTTGGTCATCTTCAAAACTAATATTTATCTCCGCATTAATTCCGAACTTTACCTTTACTGAAAAATAAATAAAAAATATGAAGTATTTATATTTTGTTTGCCGGTAGAAATATTACATTTTTACAATTTATAAATAAATTACAAGTACTTACCAGAATCTGCAAATAAGTGATAGTCTTCGTTGAGGATTATTAATTTCTTCCCCCTTGCGAGGTTAGAAACACGAACTAATTTTGTCATTTTGGGAATAACACTTACTGTGTGGAAATAAAATGGCGAATGGAATGAAAAGATTTAAACAAACCGCCACTTGGTCAGGTTGAGATTTGTTTACCGGAGGATGAGGAAATATTAGATTTTGAAGATGTTTCATTACACACAGGTAACGATGCTCATGTTTCCAAGTTTAACATTAAATTATTCCAAATGGTATGAATCTTGGTAACATTTTTAATACTATGCATTTGACATTTTATTACGGTCGGTTTAACACTACTCTGTACCGACTCTGGTAAAGATTTTGGTAATGATTTTATTACCTCAAGTGGTATCAGTTGTAATTACCATCACGTGGTAGTAAATATTTTCGTCATTTTATTACCAGTTTATTTTGAGTGTATTCTTGTCTTACATATTAAAATTCTACGAATTTTTGAAAAATCCCAAACAACTATAGTGTACGAAATGTGTCATTTTTAATTAATATTTGCCTCAAAAAATATTTTTTAGCTCTCAGGTCTAAAATATTTAGTATTTTTTGAAAATATCATAAACATGAATATTTCCAGAAAACCTGCCTCGCCGACCCGGCCTTCCGAATGACATCCCCCTCCCAACAATTAACATGACCAACGTCGTAGCATTACTGGAATTGGCGAATAGCGATCCGAACCCAGAAGATTTGACGGTCGAGCAGGAAGCCCTCGTTATTCAGACCTTGTCCCAAGTCGCCACTTTTATCGGGTTGCAAGACGTACGAGACTGGATTGGAATCATTGCAATGTGAGAAGCACACTTTTTTATAGAAAAATTATTTCAAAACACGATTATTGTCGAGATTTTTTGGTAAGAAATTTTTCGATCCTGCTATAAAAGAAATTTTTGAATTTACAATTTTGTGCAAATTTTTTTTACACAAGATTCTACTTGCAAATATGTATTTTCAGATAATTTGTGATCCTGCAAAAAAAACATAATTTGGATGAGTTTGCTTCCGAAATATGATAAAAAATAATAGATGAAGAGATGCGAAATATTTTAGATGTTGAAACTACCGATTCGGTGCTAAAAGGAAATAGGAAACGATAATTTTAAATTTCTGAACCATTTTCTTTCAAAAAGTTAGGTACAATTTTGCGCAAGATTTTATTTTCTTATATTTCTAAATATTCTCAGACATTTTTTATCTTGCAAAAAACACGTAAATTTGAACAAGTTTGCTTCCGATAAATAATAAAAAATAATTATAGATAAACGTATATATAATATTTATTTTAGATACCTGAACCTGTAACTTGTTCCGTTCAAAGGATCTGAAAACGACAATTTTAAAATTTCGCAAATTTACAAATTTTGTAAATTTCTGAATCGTTTTCTTTCAAAAAGATACAATTTTGTGCAATTTTTGTATGCACGATTGTATTTTTTTATATTTGTAAATATTCTACGCCATTTTTTGATCCTCCGAAATCGGACCGAAATTAGACCGAAATTGAACCGAAAATTATAATAAGTTAAAATATATGAATTTTTTAAATGACGATTTTTAAATTTCTTGATCATTGTCTTCTAAAAGGTACAATTTTGTGCAAAATTTTAAAAGTTTTTTATACTCAATTTTATTTTTTTTATTTTTTCTAACTGCAAATATTCTCTGCCATTTTTTGATCTTACATAATTTGGATGAGTTTGGTCCAAAATAAAACAAATAGATTTAGTCGTATGGATAAAATATTTTAGATCAGTGGTGCCGGATTTTGGTACGAAAATGCAAGGGAAACGCAATTTTTAAATTTCACAAATTTACAATTTACTTTTTTAAGTTTCTGAATCGCTTTTTTCAACAAGTTACAATTTTTTGCAAAATTTTAAAACGATGGGGGTATTCATTAAGAGTTTGCATTCTTACCAATTGGTAAGAATTTTGTTCTCAAGTTCGTAGAAACAATTGGCTTGCGAATTTATTTGTGAACTTGCAAAATTCGCAAAATATTTTTCTAAATTGTTAATTAACTCCCAATGAATGCCCTAATTGTTTTTTTTACACCCGATTTGATTTTTTTCTAATTGTACAGTGTCGGACAGATGTCTACGTCCACATAGTCGCGTCAATTTCATTTTCAAATTGTCACTGAACTACTGAACCAATTTTCATCATTGATATATCAAATTCTCACAAATTTAACGTAATTTCATAGCACATTATTAGTTTTCCGCTAAAAAATTTATTTTAGGCCAGAGATGTATTTTAATTCAAAATGAAAACAATTGGATGGACAAAAGTCAACGTCCAGTCAGAGAAAACATACAAAAAAAACTGTAATTTATAAGGAATGTTATAACAATTAATTTTTAATATTTGGTTGGGCCTCCGTTCGCTTTAAGGACGGATTCAAGGCGTCGAGTCATAGAGTTTACCAAATTCTTGGTCACATCTTCAGAAATGGTTTCCCAAACTTCAAGAATTCTGGATTTTAGGCCCGGAATTCCTGAAAAAGATTGTTTTCTTATTTCTCTTTCAATGTGGTCCCACAGATGCTCAATGGGATTCAAGTCTGGAGATTGGGGAGGCCATTCTAGCTTCGAAATTTTTTTTTCTTGAAGTATTCCATGGTGGACTTGGCAGAGTGTTTCGGATCGTTGTCTTGTTGGAAGACAAATCGTCGTCCAAGTCCAAGTTTTCGAACAGATTCCTGGATATTACGGTCAAGTATTCCCTGGTACTTGTATTGGTCCATAATTCCGTCAACAAATTCCATTTTTCCTGCCCCACTTGAAGCCATGCATCCCCACACCATTACCGACCCGCCGCCGTGCTTAACTGTGGGGTTGAGATTTTTTGGATTCAATGCTTCTTTTGGATATCTCCACACTCTACGACGCCCATCTGACCCAAAGACATTGAACTTTGACTCGTCAGTCCATAAAATACTGTCCCAGAATGTTTGTGGCTTGGAAATGTGGTCTCTGGCAAACTTCACTCGTTTGGTTGCATTCCTCGGTACAATAAGAGGCTTCCGGACTGCTCTGTGGGATTTCAAATTTCCCTTGTTCAGTGTTCTTTGGATGGTCCTAGGACTAACTTGTTTGTCGAACATCTCCTTGATCTCGGTAGATAGCTTTAGAGCACTAAGTGAGGGTGTAACGTTGACTTTGTTGAGCACGTGGCGTACTTCTCGGTGAGCCAAAATCGGTTTTCGACCACTTCTGACCTTGTTTTGGACTGAACCATTAGCTCTAAAGTTCTTAATGATTGTCTGGATGGTTGTCCTTGCTAATTTATACTTGGTCCCTATTTGTCTCTGCGACAGCCCCCCTTTTTGTCCACCCTTCCAGTCCTGAATGACAAGATCTCGAATAGCGATAGGAATTTCCTTGCGTGTCGACGCCATCATATTTTTCTGGAAGAAAATTATTTAAAAATTAATGCGGCATATGTTATTGATAGATTTATTAAGTTACCTGATTTTATAAATTGGAGAGATTTTTGTTGTTGACAATTAAAGTGAAGTGGACGTAGACTTTTGTCCGCTCAAATTTCATCCTCTCTCGCTCTGCACTATGATTCTCAGTTTTCCCAGAATTTTCAGAAATAACTCATATGTTTTATGAAATTACGTTAAATTTGTGAGAATTTGATATATCAATGATGAAAATTGGTTCAGTAGTTCAGTGACAATTTGAAAATGAAATTGACGCGACTATGTGGACGTAGACATCTGTCCGACACTGTAAATACTCTCGAAAATTTTGTAAAAACATAATTTGGATGAGTTTGCTTCCGAAAAAGGATAAAAAATTAGATGATTAGAAAAGTATGGAATATTATAGATGAATCGGGCTCGCTGCAGTGTTGATTAATAATGACGCTGAAGGAACTAAAAACGACAATTTTTAAATTTTGAAAATTTACTAATTAGGATTAGTTTTTGTAATTTCTGAATCATTTTCTTTAAAAAAATACAATTTTTGCAGAATTTAAAACAGTTTTTAAAGCACGATTTTTTTCGAATTATAAATTCCCAGACACTTTGTGACCCTGCTATAAACATAATTTGGATGAGTTTGCTTGCGAAATTCGGCAAAATTTACAAATTGGAAAGATATAAAATATTTTAGATTTGGCGATTTCCAACCGAAAAGTTAAAATTTGTTTTTAAATTTCACAATCATTATTCTTCAAAAAATTCCAAAGTATCTATATGTACAAAATTTAAAACAATATCAAGTTAAATTGTAAAATTTCCAAATTTATAACTTACATTTGTACTTTCTCAATCATTTTCTTTCTAAAAATTACAATTTTGTGTAAAATTTTATGAATTTTTATTTTATTTTTCAGGTCTTTTGTCATCGGCCCGATTGCCATTCCTCTCTTCTTTTTTCCCATCATGCTCATAATGATGGGCTCCTTTTTGATTCCCCTCGTCATTAATGGGGCCAACGTAGCGGCTGCCAACGCGGGGGGAGGAGCGGCTCGAAAACGGAAAGATTTTAATGATGGACACCCTTTGGAAAGTTTTTGCACGGAAATGTTGGCCTGCGAAGCGTCAAATTTTTTAAGAAAATCGACAATGTCGGGTTGGATGACGAGGTATGAAATAAACTTCTTGAAATTATTTAAATATTCATTCGACGCAAGGTCAGTTTGGCGTGTGTGGTTTTTTGAAATTTCCAACCTGTAAAAAATTTTAAATGTGGTATTTTTCAATTTTTTTGCTTAAATTATGGAATATTTTAGTAGGATTTTAGTCGATTATTCGAATGTAATTTGAGTTTTAGATTACTTATTATTTTCACAATATGTACCTTTCGACGTTAATAATTTTTTGGAATTTTTTACTTCGAAAATTATTCACGAACAGTGCATGCAAAAACATAATGTAAAACTATAAATTGCAAAGGTAAACATTGACGCCTTAATTTTAATTTCAAAGATATCGACTAATTAATAAACATGGCAGGTGTCTCATGTACATCGTGGCCATAAAGTTTCTGATGAGGCCTACTGTAGTTTCAAACAATTGTTATTTTTACAGGAAACAAATTTTATTAATCAAATCTTTTATAGCATGTTATGCATCAGTATTGTGGGTATCCTCCAGACGAACATGCATGTCCTGGGATTTTATCCTGAAAATTTATGACATATTTTCCAAACCAATCTTGGGAAATTTGTTTTAAGTGTTTTGAAAATGTTTAGTCAAGGAACTACAATCGCATGGAACTGGTTCGTCCGACGCGTGAATTTTGAGTCTAGGTCATAAATGTTCTATTCGGTTCAGTTCCGGGCTGTTCCGGAGCCGCACCCACTTTCCAAAGAGAATAAACCACCTCTGGTCGAAAAAGAGAGTAGTAGCATCTTAATTGTGGGCTGGTGATCCATCTTGTCAATGTGGAAATTCTTTCGAATTTGGGAAACGTTGCTTAGTCTCCATAGTATCGAAGTATACTGACAAGATTTGGTTAGAGTATAAGGGTCGGTCTACGTTATGACCAACTAAAATGACGTCCAGTATCGTTGCGCTTCGATAGCAGAGCCAAATACAAACCGTTAATGGTAGTCATTTTTTTGGCAGCTTCTTCCCGTGAACCCCGTTTCTCTTCACAATTTGGTACCTTGTATAGTGAGGATTCGCCTCAGGATGTCCATCGATTCAGGTCTTCTACGTACATAAAATATTTCGACCTTTTTGCTATGTAGTCTAATAGCCGTTTTCCTCGAAAAATTCGGCAAAATTCAGTGGATGTTGAATGTTTTTATCCAAAAAAGTGTTTTATTGGGACTCCTCAAACCCAGTTGACCCCGCAAACTGATTTTTAAAAAATGCTGGATAACAAAACGAGATTGCTTATCAAAATTGTTAAAATCGATCAATGAGATTTTGAACTGCTTAACACTTCATTGTCAAAGTACCAGATTTTCGGCACATTCTTTTTAAAACCACATTCCAAATGATGTGTAGGGATCTTGTGGGTCGTCCTGGATGAATTTAGTCCCGTGTTTACTTCTGACTCTTCCACAATTTAACAGTATTTCAGGCAACCCAAATTTCGGAGGGTTTTCTGGTACACCCTGTCATTCATCCAAACGTTGGGTTATTTTAATAATTTTTTCCAGAAATGAAGATGAACGTCTAGGGGACATTTTCGGAAAAAATTAGTACCGAGAACACAATAACAAAAAAAGTTTCAGGAGCGGGTTTGAAAATTTTTTGGGTCATCAGAAACTTTATGGCCACCATGTACATACGATATGGAGGTGAGATGTAGTTTTTCAACTTGTCTTTCAACTTCAAATATCTATTCTTCAAATTCTGCGAAACTTGTAAAAAAAAACTGACAAATTTTGACGAGGTGCCAATTAATATTGTCGATTTTTCCGCGGCGTCGATCCCATGCCAATTTGCTGGAAACTTTGCACTTTGTGTGTCGAAATCTCGTGCAAATTAAATACTTATGTATGTACAAACAACTGAAATTTCATAAAATTAAAAACATTTTATTCCAATTTAGTCGGATGTTTTTGTATGAACTGTTTACCAAATTTTTGCCCAAATATTTTGCTAGAAAATTTTTGCACACCCTTTTCCATCTGAATTTTAACCCGTTTTCAATTTTCAGAGCGTTCAGTCTAACTTCGGTGGAATGGGCGGGACCAATTTCGTCCTCATCTACAAAATCGGACTCATCACTTTCATACACACAGGAAGAAGACTGTGCGAAATATAAGTGCAAAATTCTGCAACCTTTGCAAACCTGGTTTTCCAAGTGGTACTCGTACATCTTCACGTATCAGAATGATAACACGGCTAAAAGACCGGGGAAACTTTGTGGGAGAAAGTTTAAAAGGAGGTGCATCCCAACTAATCAAAATTAAGCACAAAAACAGGACAAGATATGTTGTTAAATAATTTAAAGATGTAAATATGCAAATTTAATGTAAGTATGTAAATTGACCATCGGACTCGATGGCGCATCATTAAAATTATCAAAATCAATACGTTTGGAATCATTTCTCGCCTCTGGGAATTTATTTTAAAATTCTGAACCACAAAATTTGCCATTAGTGAGTTGATTAATGGAATGGCGTTGAGTTTTTTGAGCCACTTTCGATAAGTTCCAATTTTTCTGAAGGTTTCTTCAACTTGAGATCTCCTTCTTCAAAAAGTGTCAAAATCTGGAGTGCATATTTTAAAAAAATTGGAAACTCCCTGCTCTACAAATTCGTTGTCCAGAATTTTAAAATAACTTTCCAGAGCGAAGAAATTACTAAAAATGTGCTGATTTTGACGAGTAGAGTCATCAAGTCGTGCGTTAACCACTGTAATTGCAAAATTAAACCTGAAATATGGTGTAGCCAAATTTTCCATATTTTTCACACGATAACATAAGTTTTCTAGTCAAATTGTAACGCCGATAGTTTTTATGGACAAAGTAGCTCTACTAATCTCCATTTTACAGGTAAGATGACTTCATCTCTGCAAGTTTTGTATGAATTTCATCAACATTATGAAAAATGATCAACAGATAAAACTTGAATATCGATTTAAAAAAACATGGATTATCACATTATGAATTTTTGTAAAATATATTACATAATTCCTTCAGAGCTGGTTGCACATAGTGTAATATTTGTTGTAGATAAGTTCTTATGTATAAAATTGACTTTTAAAATTAGAATACGATCAGCAACACTTGAGGAATAAAATAAAATAATGCTAAACTAAATTTATTTATTAAACTAATTTACCAAGAAAATAATCACTTCAAGAATTAAATATTTACAGAAGAGAATGAAAAGCTTTTCTGTAGCTCATTGTTTTTCGACGTTTTTTTCAGTTAGAGTTATTTATCTACTGCATTTAGCCAAAAAGAAAACATTTAAAAAAGCATAGTTGTAAAGATTAATAAAATAATTTTTTGCAAATATATGTTTCATTAGCATCAGATTGGTCAATAACTTGTTTTTACGTTACGAATAATTTGTTTTTCACGTATTAAAATTTATACGAAATAAATCTAAGTTTAAAATTTATACATAAAAATGAAGCACACCTGTTCACTTCATTCATGTGACTGATTATGATAAAGAATGATAGTGATGACAATGAATTTCCAGTGATTTGAATGAAAATGAGTGAAAGATTCTGTCATTTCAGATGAGTGATTGTGAGTGAAGGATTTTTCACTCCTTTCATTTTACACCCTATGCTTAATACATGGGGCGCAGTAAGAAATGAAGTCAGATGACCTGAAATGAAATGAGTTTGAAAGAAACTGACTGAGTCTGAATGAAAATCTTCAGTCAAAAATCGGGATGACTGAACTTTGAATGAAATTTTTTTTTGAACAGGTATGAAATGAAGTGAGTTTTCATTAACGCCATGACTCACCCACATTTTTCAAAAATATTTTGAAAACATTAAACCCGCATGAGGTTGACATTGAAGATCATTTACAGCCTATCTGTTTAGTACCAATTAAGAAACTTACTTCTTTTCTAATTTTACAAACGGTAACGAGCTTTATCGACAAGAAAACTTGTTGCAATTTTAATTAAAAAAATTTACTCTTTTCCTGGGTTTCAAAATATCGAAACATTTCGATAACAAATAAATAAATTTATAATTGTGTCCCATTTTTCTAAGGCGAGACCCAAACGTAACCATGCACCCAAAAAAATTCGTGCATGGTTACGGCGAAGCCATAGTATGCAGTTAAGTGGACACCTCAAACCAGTCAGATAAGATTGTGAGAGAACCATACGTAGTAGAGACATGCGGTTTTGACCAATGGGTAGTAAATTCTTTGTAGTATTGATTATAGATCTCTGGGCTTAATCGGTTCACACCTTCATGGTATATTTCTCATTTTAGTGACTTTTTCATCTGTATCTCAAAATATTCCGCTGAAAGTGAAAAATCGGCTCAGGGAAATCGAAAGAGCTTCAAAAAACATTAAGATCATTCTTTTGGTTCATGCAGATCGGATCAACAATGATGAAGTTATGGAGGTTTTAAAATTTTAAAATTCACTTAACATCCATAGCAACTTTCGTAAACAAATTCTTTATATATATGTGTAGATGATGGCCCGAGACAGGGCTTATATAATCGTCACGTTAGTCTGTCTTTCGATAACTCTCTCAAGCATTGACCGATTTTGACCAAAATTTGGTACAAACATGTGGCTTGGCAATGCAAAGACCAAGTTCGAAGAAGGGACCAAACAAGATTTGGACTGATGGGGGCCACATAAGTGGGTGGCGTGCATATTATACATCAAAATTTAAAAATTGTGCTAGAAAGCTGAAATTTGACATGGAGCTCTAATGGGTTATAATGAAAGAATATGAATTGAAATTTAAAACATTTTCATTTGGAACGACCCTGTGAAGCGACCCATACTGATTTTTCAAAATCATCCAATCGAGCTGAAATTTGGTACAGAAATTTGTAATGGTTCGTAATGCAGTATTGGGTGATAACACCAACCTTTTCTTGACTCGGGCTATAGCTAGCCTGAATTGTAGGTTTTTAATGACGGAGTTAAAAACTTGTTCACTTAAAAAGCCCAAAATAAATAAATTTAAAAAAATAAAACTAAGGCGAGAGGCGCTATTACAAACAAGAAACAAGCCCTCCCACCAACACCCCCGTCTCGCCGTGGCCCCATTAATATTTTTATATCTGGGGGGTGTAATCGAAATTTATGATTCAAAGTTTTAACCACTAATGTAAACTGCATTTAAATTGATAAATACAGTTTTATATTGCATTGCACTTGTAAACCCTGTCGGCTGCAGTTCTTGCATTAATTTCAATTTAGGAAAATATGTAGTAGTCTAGCATTAATCAAAAGAGTCCGGATAAATTATTGAAAAACTCCGAAACATTTATGCAAAATGTTTAATCAGGTCTACAAAATATGTGTAAAAATATTTTTTTAAATTTGATTAAAGAAAATCTATACCAGAACCAAGATCCTAAAGTTTCAAATCAATCAGTATTGTTGTTGAAAAAGCTTGGAATATACACATACCCGGACTCTGTTCATCACCCGTCGTACACAAAATGAAATGTTTATTTCTTAAAACCAACTATTTTAACATATGCAATCATGCGGTTAAATAGGTACATTCCAAGTCTTCATTCAGTAATTTCAGAATTTCGGAATAGCTGCTCTGGTAAACGAGCTAAATAAATAAACTTTTGTAGTTTCATTTCCGACATTTGTGCGACAATTTTATGACACTATCACGAAAATAGCATGCATCAATGTTGGCATATATACCCCATTATACGTGGTTTTCTAAATTGTTTGGTATGATGCAGGAAAGAATTACAAAAAATAAAATTGTGGTTACACCCCCCAGATATAAAAATACTAATGGGGCCACGGCGAGACGGGGGTGTTGGTGGGAGGGCTTGTTTCTAATGGCGCCTCTCACCTTAGTTTTATTTTTTTTAATTTATTTATTCCATTCATGAATACACGTTAAAAATTTTATTATTCTTTTATCTCGACGATTTATGCATATGGTTTCATTGATATGAATTTCCACGTATTTCGATCACAATCTCAAAATTTTGACCTAATTTGGATGAGTTTGGTTCCGAAATATGATCAATAATAGAAATAATAAATATATTAAAGTGTACGACATTTTAGATGGAGTGTCTACCAGGTTAGTGAGATTAATATGATTAGTTATAATGAAGATAAAATGAAATAAAAACGAAAATTTTTAAATTTCTGAATAATTTCCTTTCAAATTGGGGGCATTCATTGCGGATTTGCATGGTTAGCATCGTTCGAAAAAAAAAATTCGCAAGTTGGCGAAAAAAATTGGCAAAATTTTGACAATTTTGGTAAATAAAATATTAAAAATAACTAAAAGGAACTAAAAACAACATTTCAAAAAAGTATTCGATTTTCACAAAAGTATTTCGATAGCAAATAAATAAATTTATAATTGCAACACATTTTTCCATTAATTAATTCAAGTTTAAAATTTCCAATTTTTGTATCTCGGCAATTGATATGGTTTCATTTAGAAGAATTTCCACATGTTTAGATCACAATTTCAAAATTTTTACAAAATTGAGTGAGTTTACTTCCGAAATAGGACAAACAAAAAGAGTAAAAAGTAAATGTATTTTAGATCTCTAAACCACCACTTTAATTAGTAGTGCCGTTAAAATAAGATGAAATAGACAATTTCTAAATTTCTGAATTATTATATTTAAAAAAATTAAAATTTGAACAAAATTTTAAAAGATTGACGGTATTCATTACGAGTTTGCATCGTTGGCATCATTCACCAAAAAAATTCGCAAGTTCGCAAAAAACTTTGGCTTAAAAATTCAGTAATGCGATAAAAAAACAGACTAAGAGGTTGAAATATTTTAGATACTGAATCCAGGCGATATAAGGTTTATCCCATAAATTGTTATTTTTAAGGGTCATACATGAAATTTTTATGAAAATTGAAAGTATGTTAAAATCACTCAAGGGGAGAGAAACAACTGCCAGTTGAAAAAAATATAAAAAAAACTTTTTCACCCAAAATAAATATAATTTTGTGAGTCAAAAAATAATTTCCTGCGGCTTAACCCATTGAGTGAACCATATGCGCCTTAATTATTTATATCTTCGTTAGTACGTCCAAAGGGACTTAATTCGACAACTTTTTAATTTCGCAAATTTCCATAAATGTATTTAAAATTTACTTATATAACTTACAAATACTTATTAAATTTGCTTACAATTTGGATTATCAAGGTAACAAACTTCGCAAGCTCGCAAAAAAATTGCCTCGAAAATTCAGTTACAAACCTGCGCATCTCGCAAAATTCGAAAATTTTTTCAAAATTTTGTTGGGATTTCGAGGTAGAAACTTGCTAACTCCTAATGAATACCGTAATTATTTTTTTTCTACTCACGATTTTGATTTTTCTATTCAACTTGAAATTATTCTCATGCATTTTTGATCCTGGAAAAATCACAATTTGGAAGAACTTGGTTCCGAAAACGGATAAAATAAATGGATTAAGTGGAAAGTATAGAATACTTTAGATGAAGCGAGCCCCGCTACGTTGCTGTTATGAAATAGGAATGATATTAAAGGAACTTTGAATTTTACAATTATTAAATTTCACAAATTTAATAATGCTTTCTTTAAATCTCTGAATCATTTATCTCTAAAAATTTCTATTTTTAAATTACACACATTTATAACTTACTTTTCAAAATTTCTCGATCAATTTCTTTCAAAAAATTACAATTTTATCCAAAATTTTAAAACAATATAAAACTGTATTACTTCATTTAATTTTCATGTTAAAGTTTACTTAGTTTTCAGGTCTTTTATCATCGGCTCGATTGCCATTCCTCTCTATTTCTTTCGCATTATGCTCATAGTCATGAACGAATTTTCCATTTTGCACTTTCATAATAATGCAAGTTTTCTAGAAAAATTCTAATCCCGATAGTGTTATTATCGAGAAAATAGTGTTATTTTTCTCCATTTTTCAGGTAACTTTGACAAGTAAAAGTATGTGCATCTGAGCATTGTAAAAATTTCATAAAAATACAAATTTTGAAGAAATATCAATAAGGAAACAAAAATTATTTTTCAAAAAACCTAAATTATTACATTGGCTATTTTTGGGAAAGCACGTAATTGCTGAATGCAATTTATTGTCAATACGTTTTATAAATGTTAAAATTGCAATTTTAAATTACACTCTTACAGTGTTAAAAATAATGCTAAACTAAATTTGAGTTTGACAAAACATAATGCGTTCTACATTTAATTATTTAGAACAAAAATTAAGTGAAGAGAACAAGAAAGTTCTTTCTTATATAACTCACTCAAATATTTTTTACATTTTTAACCAGACAGAAAAACGAATTTCAAAAAAGTTCAATTATTGAAGCACCAAATTGATCAATCATAACTTGCTTTTACGAATTACTTCCTCTATTTGTAAAATTTATATGAAGTAAATTCAATTTTGAAATTTGTACGGTAAAGGGAATATTCACATTAAAAAAGATTTTAATCCAAAGGGAATTGCATATATTTTATGAATATTCTGAAAAATATTTCCGAATGTGGAATCTATTAATACTAACAAAATAAATTTCTTTCTAAATTTTACAAACGGTGTCGTGCTCTGTCAAAAACATCTTTAATTTTCATTTGTAAACACGTTTTATATGTTTAAAACTGCATTATTCAATTACAATCTTACCGTGACAGAAATAATGCTATACTAAATTTATTTACTAACAATTAGGACGCAAACCAAGTTCAACCTAGATTATTTTTTACCATCTTATTCCGAAAGAACAACTCTTTAGAAACAAGATTTAGTGCGGAACTTGCGCAGATGCGAAAAATTCAGCAAGTTTTGGGCGCCGCAAGTTTGCAAAAACGCTCGGTTTTCCAGCGGAAAGATATCTTAGATGTCTGTACCACCATTTTAACGTTATTATTAGTAGTGCCCTTAAAATGAAATAAAAGCGAAAATTTTAAACTTTCTGAATCATTTTATTTCAAAAAATTAAAATTTCTTACATAATTTTAAAACATTGTGGGTATTTATTACGAGTTTGCATCGTTAGCAGCATTCGTACAAATGAATTCACAAGTTGGGAAAAAACTTTGGCTTAAAAATTCAGTTGCGAACTTGCACATCTCCAGGGCTATATTACAAGGCTGTTTGCGTAATTTTTAAATTTCTGTACCATTTTCTCCCAAAAAACTCTAATATTGCGCAAAATTGTATAACAATGGGGGTATTCATTATGAGTTCGCATTGTTAGCAACCTTAGAAAAAACACAAAGTTGGAAATTTGTGGATATTGATTCCTAAAAACTTTTTGACCTTGCTAAAAATATAATTTGGATGAGCTTGGCTCCGAAATAGGATACAAAGTAGATAGTGTTAAAGGTAGAAAATGTTTTAGATTTCTCGGTACAGGTCTTCAAAAATAAAAATTTGTAATTTCTGCATCATTTTCTGTTAAAAAGTTAAAAAGTTTGTAGCAGATTTTAAAACAATAAGGATATTCATTTCATTACGAGTTCACTAAAAACATAATTTAGGTGACTATGCTTCCGAAATAGGATGACAAAATAATAGACCAGAAAATATCAAAATATATCTTAGACATCTGAATCAACCCTTTATCTTTAGCGATATTAATAATGACGTTAAAAAGTACTGTAAACAAAAATTTGTAAATTTAACAAATTTTAAACTAAAAAGTACTGTAAACAAGAATTTGTAAATTTAACAAATTTTAAACTAAAAAGTACTGTAACCAAAAATTTGTAAATTTAACAAATTTTAAACTGTAATTTAACTTTAATTATTTACAAACTTTTATTTTCTATGAATCAAAAACGTGCTTTGGAAGTGCGCGTAAGTTTCGTAAGTCAATTTTCCTTGTAAATGTGTGTAGAAGTTCGTAAATTTACAAATCTTACGCATTTACGAAGGTTACAAACGTTGACGCGAGTTCCGTTCGGTATTTTTACAAACAAATTGAACAGCCAAATTTTGTTTTTACGCCTTTTTAAAATGTATTAAAAATTGATACGAAATAAATTCATAAATTTTGAAATTGTTTGTACACCAAACTGAATTTCGTTCGTATTCATTCACATTTTTAAAACCATTTTTCAAAAATATCAAACTCCGGATGAACGACCAATGTATATCTACTTGCTAATTAAATAATTCATTTTTTATAATTTGACAAACGGTGGCGACCTCGGTCAAAAAAATGTGCGTAATTTGTATTTTTGAAAAAAAATCTATTCTCTTCTCGAGTTTTGAAATATTGAAATATTTCGATAACAAATAAGTGTATTTATAATTATGTCACGTTTGCCCGTTAATTAATAAATGCTTAAACTCCATTAATTATTTTTTATTTTGATCTTTTTGTTCTACTGACATTACTAATTTTTCATTGTCACTTTACTAAAGTTCCCGTTATTACCGGACCGGAGTCATATTTATGTGTTCTCCGGTCAGTAATGATTTAATACCAGAGTGTAAGCATTTATGCAAAACTAGGTTTATCTTTACATGTGCAGCATCTTTACTTGCTTGATTCTAATTTTCTACCATAGAGTTATAAATATAAGTTTTCAAGATACCATAGAGTTATAAATATAAGAAATATGTTTTCTACGTACTTACTTATAAAATGAGGACATGCTAAATAAACCGTGCATAATCAGCATTTCGTGACATGCAGCATGAAAAAACGAGCATAATCTATCTGTCAGATTAATGAGACGACCCATTAAAATTCCGACAAATATTATTACCATAGGGCGGATATGAATTTACGAAAAATGGCTAAAATATATATGTATTTAATACATACATAATTACAAAAATATATTTACGAAATCTGTACGAAGAAAATATAAAAATCGAAAATTTTAACGAATTTTGTATTTCTAAATATAATGCTCAACATATATTTTTTGTGATCAAATTTTTTTTAGCATAAAAGTTTCGTCTCGTATCATCGAAATATTTGCAACATATATTAATTTCTGAAAATAATTTCTAAAGTATTTACGTATTTTTCAAATATTAGAAGAACTATGTATAAATATAGTTATGTCTGAAAACCCACGGCAAAGTTTGACCGTCGGTTGTCATTATATGAAAAAGTTGAAAATAGATACATACATATCCGCCCTCTGATTATTAACCTCCAAAGAAAACTATGTATGCATGTCACGCTATAATTAATTACGCTAATTTCCCCAAATTACTTCCCCAGGTAAATATTTTTACCCACGCAAAACATAAAAATTCCTTCACATCCATATCTCATCTTCCTGTCAAATTAAACATACCTAGACCAAACCAAACGGTGTATCGCTATGTTTTTCATGAATTTCTCCATGCAAACTTTCCACGATCATATTTCCATATTTTCATATTTAGAACATGAAAACGAGGGGAAAGTTTTAAGCATATCGTGCAATCTACTATCCAGGGTTTCGCTGACTGTCCAATTCCGGTTTCAACCAGTTTTGGGCACTGAAATTTGAATGTCCAAAGCATCCAAAATTGTCTCAAAATTGAAAATGAGGCAAAATGTTACAAGCTCTTTATTAACAACTTTCTTGCAAATATTCCTATTAAATTTGGGCATTTAACTGTATAGTACTGCATGGTTTAGAAAATTTCTGAATTTCTGACAAGATATATAACATTATTATTAAATACTCTAAGGTTAGACACTTTTAGACATATCGGACGTCCAAAATTATTTTGGACAATTTTGGGTAACTTGGGACGGGACCAAAAGGTATTGGACGTTAAACACACTGAGGTTACAGGTATTTGGCACAAAAATTGTTTCGATTTGATCAAAATCGTAACAATCCTGACAATTTCATGACACCCTTCTCAATTTTATTCTTACGACCATCACGAAACCCTTCTCCTATCCGGGTTTCCAAACCCGGGCATTAAACAAGCTACACGGGAATAATATCTCTCCCTACTACCCGTTTCCTTGTCTCACTCATCATCATCATCCTCACCATCACCACCACCACCGTCCCGTCTCTTATTCCCTACCCGCATACATAGCTCCTACCCTGATTTAATATACCGACTTTTATCACAATAATGGCCCAGAGAAGAGAGAAAAGAATGAAACGAAGGATAGGGTCGCATCATCCTCGCATCAAGATCGATACCCGAATCGGGGCTTCCCTGGTTTCCCCGAATTCGGATTTTCCTCTCTTCTTCTTATGCATACTTTTTGATATATGAAATGAAAGCGAGGGGACACAAGTTGGATTCATTTCATCGGGCTTTCTTCTTCTTCTCTTTCTTTATACGACACAAAATCCATCCATACGATCGAGCCAAATATTAAAGTCCACAGTCCAGCCAGGAACAGGATTCAGTCAGCGAATCAAAGAAGAAAGTAAGCAAAAAATTGCAAAGTAAACAAAGGAGAGAAAGTCAGCAAAAAGGTGACAATAACGTTGTCACTTTATTTATTGTGACAATATTTTCGAGAAAAGGGGTGAAAGTTGGGGAAAGTTTGTATTAATAAATTTTACTGAATGTGAAAGAGACTGAAATTTTGGAAAATGGAAGATTTTCTTCATGAAAAATAGTATTTTCGAGATGGTGAAAGTTGGTGAAAGTTCGAATTAGTAAATTTTACTAAATATAAAAAGACTGAAATTTCTGACGTGTAAATAAAATCCAAAATTGAAAACCATATTTTGGGTGAAAGTTGAAGACAGTGACATTTAAAAGATCATCCCAGATTTTAAAGAATGAACATTGGCTTTCCACCTTTAAAGTGTATCAAGCTAAATAAACAATTACAGAAATATTGAAATATTTGAATGGCGTGAAAATCCCTCAAAATTTTGATACATAAAAAACTTTCCCAAAATATATCATCCTTCTCTTCGGAAATCAATAAATAAATTCTTTACTTTTTCAAGATGAACTGAATGCAGTATTAAATTAAAGATAAAACCTGGTGACATTTTTTTACTCATACAGAATAATATTTTCTTTCTGAAAGTTGGCAAAAGTTACACATATTTTAGGAAAAAGTTACTCTAAATTCGGAAGAAATCAATAAACCAATTATCCTAAATCTTATAATCTACTGTGCGGAATTAAATAATACAAAAATATATTCCTGGAGTGAAAAGCCCTCCAAATTTTAAGAAATATAATCCCTCTTCGGAAATTAAAAAAAATAAATCACTTACTTTTTCAACATGAACCGCACAGTATTAAAAAATGCAAAATGAAATTTGAATCAAAGCCAACGAATCTGTTTTTTACCTTTGAAATATACTGTGCGACCGAAATTAAATAATCTAAAAATATTTTACTGGAGTGAAAATCCGTCAAAATCTTAAAAACTTTCATACAAAAATATCACACTTCTTCGAAAATCAATCAATAAATTACTTACTTTTTCATCAATGAACCGAATGAATAATGAACCGATAACAGTATTGAAAAGCTAAAAAAATGGTGAAATGTCATCAAACCTAATAATCTATATTTTAGCTTTAAAACGTATACTAAAAAAATATATAAATATTTTAATGGTGTAAAACCCCCTCAAAAACTATTTCAAAATTTTAAACCCTAAAAAGAACTTTCCTACACTATCTTCAGAAATCAGCCAATAATTTCCTAACTTTTTTAAACCATGAATCCTACCCAGTATTAAAAAAATCTAAAAAAAAATGGTGACATTTTCCGACGACGAGGACAACCCACCTCCACATCGACGACCCTCTCTTCACAATTTAGGCGGGGGGGATTTGACCGGAAATGAGAATGTCGGGGGAGGACCTCCCCAAATTTCGTCCATGTTTTCTTACCTGTCCTCCATTCGGGAGGAGCGGGATCGTGAAAATGCGTTAAATCCGAACCATCCTTCGGCCGGGGGAAGAAATGGGAGGAGACTCGTGACCTCGTCGTCCTCCTTGTGGGGGGAAAGTGGGGTCGGATTGGGGGGAGGAATTGGGGGCTCGTTGCCGAGATCGCTGTGGACAAAGTATTGCCTCCTGTGCACCCTGTGCGGCTCAGCGGCGACCATCTTGGCAGGAATTTTCCTCATTGTAGCGGCACTTTTCAGATATTATACGACATCGATTAATTACTTTGAGAGTGTGCCGACGTATTTGCCGGCGATTTTGGTAAGGGGGAATTTTTTTGGAGGGGGAGGGGATTTATGGGGGGGAAATGTTGGCAAAATGTGGGATACTCATGAATGATTGAACTATAAAAGCAGTACATAGATGTGCAGATTTTCTAGTATGTGAATTAATTTTGCGAATATAATATGTACAGTTATTTAGGAATTCACTATAATGTTTGTGTAAACTGGGTAAACTTCAATGGTTTACAAAGATTACGAAAGAAACTAGCCGAAGCAAATGCATACATAGATCAAAGAATATGAAAGCAGGATAGAAAGTAAGTAATGTGCAGATTGGCTTGTGAATTAATGTTGCGAATCCGACACAATTATTTAGCAATTATGAATTAACCATAGTGTTTGTGCAATATAGTAAACTCGCCAAATTTCCACATTTTGTTTAGATTACGAAGGAAAATCTGCAGGTATAAAGTAGCAGAGATCAAAGGCGTCATAAAATCTATCATGTAATCTATTTTTGTACTTCTGGGATAGAAATTTCCAATTGTTTCATTTTTTGAAAACCTGCAAAACCTGTAAGAAATGGGTAAACCGCAATTTAATGAAACTTTAGTAAAAACTTGTCACCTATTTTTTGCCAACTTTCTTGCCCACATTTTGCAACAACTTGGGATCATAATTGATTAGAATTGATCGAGAATATTGACTGATTGATCGGGTCGTATTTTTTATTCAGTTATCCATTTGTGGCGTGAGCACGATTGCTTTCTCCTGCAAGAGGAATAGGAATATCATCCTGGTAAGTGGGTCAAAAATATGGATTTTAGATTAAGGACAAACTACTTTTGTTGTATATGTAGCTTTGTAAACTTTTCAAACACCTGGTTTACAAAAAATTTACATGTTCCTGCATTACTCAAATTTACTTAAATTATGAACTTTATAGATTTATTTAAATCATGAACTTTACAAATTTGTTTAAATTTTAAACTTTACATGAGCTTTACGAATTCATTTAAAATTTTGAAATTTGCAAATTTGCTTAACTTTTTAACTTTACAAATTTTTTAAATCTACAAAGTTTTTACAAATTATTTCCTAAAATTTACTAATCGACGTGAATACCCCCAAGGTTCTACGCATTGATTTATAAAAAATTAATTAAAACACGTGAGGGAAGATGATGGGATCGCAACCTACAATTGCCTTCTTTAATTCAAATTTACATTTATTTCAAAAACGCCGTTTTACTTGACAATTATGAAAATACAAGAATTAAATGTCTATCACTATTTTTTAAAGTCTGCCAAACCAAAGAAATTTCTAAATTACTTATAAATGTTGATGAAACAAATTTATTAAATATAAAAACAATGAGGCAATTCACGCAGAGCTTGGTATTGTAAAATCTAAAATTCTGTCAACTTACAAACTTTTACAAATATTTCGAAGGAAAATTAGCTCCCAAATTTTTATAAACTTGCTCAGATCAAGGGCATCTCTTTATTTTGTTAAAGTTTGTAAAATTATTTTACAAAATTTACCGATTTTACAAAGTTACCAAGGACCGAGTGAATCGCCTCATGAAACTTAACTTGTTCAAACTAGTTGAGAATCTAATTTGGGTATCTATAATTATTTTCAGCTCCGGATAACCGCCTGGTAAACCATCTTCCATACATAATTACTACCACCAATTAATTACCAATTAAAGTTTAATTACAATTAAAAAATCTTCCTTAAACAGCTGGTCGCTCTGCAGCGCCGCGCTCTCCTCCGTGATCACCATAACGACTTCGCTCATCCACATGAACCGTCTCCAAACCTTAAAAGAATGCGTTTATAGCCGAAACCCGCCCGCATGTTCGTGCTACTCGAACGTGTATCCGGTCCTCGTGGGTGGCCACCCGCTTTCCGGAAGTGGCGAAATGGGCGACGGCTCCCACCACCACGCCGGCGTGACGACGTACGTCTTCGAAAACACGCCCGACTGCGAAGTCATCCACGGAATATTGTACTCTTGTCTGCGTGCGGTTTTCGCCATTTCGGTCGTCGCGGTTTTGCTATCGATCTTTCTGTGCATGCTGTTGTACCAGCTGATCGGGTAGATTAAATATTTGCATAGAATAATAGTAACTTGGAAATATTTGCATTATACGGCCTTTTTAAATGTTTCTTTTTACATTTTTAAGACATGAACGCAAGAAAGCGTATTGGTCACGGATTCGAAGGATTAATTCGGATTGGAGCGCAGACTTTATAGCTTGTTTAGCAAGGTATGTAAATATCTGGGGCAGAAAAAATGGGGTCTCTCAGCGTATGCTCCCCGAGTTTGAGCAAATTAGTGCCAATCATTAATTAGTAAAATGCCAATCAATTAATTAGTAATTAGTAATCAATTTCCAAATGACATTATTTCCCAATGAGCAGGATTTGTGCAGATATTTGCATCCGAAGAGGAGAAAACGTGCAGTAAATTTGGAAAGCGTACACTTTGTCAACTTCATTTCATTTCAACTTTTATTCACGTGTAAATGGATATCAGTTAACAATAACTGGTTTGCAAACCATGACACAAAATGCTATAACTATATAAAAAGCATAATAAATATCTAACTACATTTTTCTAAAACTTACTTCATAGATAATAATAATAGTCGTCAGAACGCTTATTAATTATAAATTCACGACATGATTGTACAAATTTAACATAACTCATGTTGGGGTCCCAATCTCTAGGCAGTTTGTTCCAGAGTTTAACTGCTCTATAATGTAACGATTTTTGTGCAAACGTAAAAGATGGGACGGTCAATAGGGGCCAATTTCATGAGCGCGTTTTCTCCTCTTCGGATGCAAATATCCTTGCAAAACGTGCCCATTGGGAGATCGGGTCTTTTGCAAATTTCATATTAATTAAAATTGTCACCGATAATCGATGATCGATTGACACTAGTTTGCTCGAAATTGGAGAGCATACGATGAGAGACCTCCATTAAGAGATTCACATTATTTTATGAAAACGTAGATTTCGTTTTGATTTTTTTTTGCAAAAATTCTGTCACGAAAAAATGAAGCACTTCGAGTCAGCCTTCGTAAGTTCGTAAATAACCATAAATAATTTTTTTTAAAACAGATTTCTAAACTTGATTACCCATTTACTTGCAAAATGAGAAGAAATCACGCCAAAAGTTAAAATTCACAACATTTGGAATATAAATAGATTAGAATACTTCAGATAGGGATAAATCCTCGTATAACTTCGTAAGCAAAAATTACGTCAGGAATCTTCCCAATTTTCAAATTTACACGGTCACCTCCCTGAAATGCTTGAAATTAAGAATTCTACCCCCTTTCTCTGTTTGCAGACCCCTCCCCCGCGACCGTTCCAGCGTCCTCCCCCTCATGATGTCGTCCACCTCTCCGTCCCCGCACGGCGTTTCGGCGCCCCCGCTCGGCGGGCTTGGGTGGGGCCCACCCCCGCCCTATGAAGAAGTCGCGTCCGAAAATTCCCGTCCATTTCTCCGCCAACCCCTCCGCCTCGTAACGTCCCATTCCGATAACTGCTTCACGACGCCATGCCCGCACCCCTTCTCGCCCACGATCGCGCTCGACCCGGCCGCCCTGCTGGGCGGGGGATCCTCCCGCCGGGAAACCCACTCCACCGGAAACGTCGCCATCTCGGCGGCGCCGACAGCGCCAAGCATGTCGACGACGACATCGCGGAACGTTTTGAGCATGTCCAGCATCACGAGTCTTTCTATCCCGGAGTCTTTCACCAATTCCATGATGACCATTCCGGACGAGGACGTCGTCACGACGGCGTCCGTGTCGACGAGCACGCCAATTTTGGCGTCGTCGTTGACGACGTGTAAATCGATCCAGAGTGACGACGCGTTTGCCGATGATCAAGATGAAATTCGCGCCACGGGGGTGGACGGGTCGCTCGAAAATATCGGGGCATTAGTAGATTTAGACGAGCAGATTAGGCGGTTAGACGAAGAGTTAGCGAAACATAGGGAAATCGATAAGCTGAAGGATAAGGTATTTTGTAGAAACGCGTCGCTCCCGTCGAGCCCGATGGTGAGAGTGAAAAGGCTCATATTTCCGAAAACTAAACAGTTATCGGCACATAATTTGATGTCGTTCGGAAATATAAATTGGGACGGGGCGGCGGGAAGGGAGAAAGTATTTGAAAATGAAAATCAGAATCCCGCCGGAGTTGTGGGAGGGACAACTGCGCGAGGAACAAGTCTTCCAAGTACGCCGAATAAGGCGAAATCTGCTTTATTATTAAGGGGTAGTGTGAACAGTATTATGAATAAGGGCGGGAGTGTTCGAAACAAGAAGAAATTGTCGTTGGATGAGGATAAGTTTTTGTTGTGGAATAATAAGTGAAAGTAATTTTGAGGGATGGTTAATTAATTATGTAATTAAATAAATAATTTATGTTAAGGCTGCCTGGGACACAGGCACAAAAATAGTTTCTTAAAAATAATGTTTAGGGGTCATTTTTGGACAGAATGGAAAACGGATCGGTAATTCTGTGGAGAAACCCAATCCCCACAGAATTACGGATCCGTTTTCCATTCTGTCCAAAAATGAGCCCTAAACATCATTTTTTAGAAATTCCATCTCCCAGGCACGGTTAATTAGGTGATGAGAAAGGACGCTGTAATTTTTAGGATAAACAACTGATTTTTGAGACAATCGATGAAATGGGAGAGTAGTTGATAATATTTTTTTAGATGAAGACTAATTTTTTTGGGAATTTTGCGCAGAATTTGACATATTGTTAATAAGTAAGACAAACTTTTGTTTGGAATGGATTAAATGAACAGTTTAAATTAATTTGGAGTGTATTTATGTGTTTTATTTATAATTATTTGCAAAGCATAATAAATAAGTCGTGGCATAAACTATGAACTGCTAATTCCATAAATTCGTTTGATTTATATTCTTAAAAAATTGAGTTCCAATTGTCATTTTTCAAGGAAATATTGGGCAAGGTCAAGGCAAGGTTAAATATTGGACACCCAAGTATCAGTTAGACGTCAAAAAATGTGTATGCATGTAAAAAACCAGTTGCGAAGTTGGTACTAGATGTTCCAAATCGTCATCCGAAGTCCGATCATGACTTAAAAATTAAACGAAATTTGTATGCAATTTTGATTTTCTGCTGGATAACGTAGAATACGATTATCTTCCTGGGGAGGACACGACCTCCGAATCTGGTGCAGTTTTAAAATCCATTTTTGTTAAGTTCAATCTGCAAATTACGAATAACTAAATGCATCCTGATTGCTGTTGAATGTTTCTGAATTTGGAAATGTTTCAGTTCCACGTCGATAGTGTGTGTGTACATAAAAATGGTAAAAACGTGATTACGAGATGACGCCACGAAAAAGTTCAATAATTAAATAATAACTTAGAAATTTTTATGGAATTTTCGTTTGCTGCCTATAATTCACAATTCTGTCTCTCTGGGAGGAAACCGTATCCGAATCTGGTCCAATTGTGTGGAACATTTTAAACTTTTTAATTTCCAATTTGTCCCACACTATTAAAACTTTCTCGATTTGGAAATGTGTCAGTTAGACGTCGAAAGTGTGTATGCATGTGAAACCAGTGGCAAAATTGGTAAATGTAAGATGTTCCAAAACTTCATCCGCAATTTTTTTTGCAATTTTTGATTTTCTGCTGGATAAAATAGAATGCAATTTTAATTCCGGGAGGACACTGCGTCCGCTTCCGAGGCCGCGTCTGGTCCAATTTTATGAATTTTTTCAACTTTTTAATTTCCAATTTGATTCACGCTGCTAAATATTTCCCAATTTAGAAACGTATCGGTTCGACGTTTGGTTAAAAATATGTGTACATGTAAAAAAGGTTGTGACATACATTAAAAGATATTTCAGATTTTCTAAAATTCAATCCTGGTTTATAAATTCAACGCAATTTTTATGCAATCTGATTTTCTGCTTATAAAATAGTATGTAATTTTGTTTCTGAGGAGGACACCGCATCTGAATCTGGTCCAGTTTCAAGATCCGTTTTTGGTAAGTTTAATGTGTAAATTACGAAATGCATAATTAAATTCGTGCTGCAAGATATTTGTCAATTTGGAAATGTCATCATCTATTTGGACAAGAAATCATTCAATTATGATTTAGAGGTTCGATGGAAATTTTTATGCAATTATGATTTCCTGCTGGATAAAATAATATGCAATTTCGATTCTGGAATGACTGTATCCGAATTTTAGGATTCATTTGTCCAATTTGATTCACACGCCCTGAAAAATATTTCTGGATCTGGAAACGTATCAGTTCGACGCCAAAAATGGGTCTGAGCAAAATCAGGACTGGAAAATGATAAAAGATATAAAATATTCATTATAACGTAAGATTTTAATGCAATTCTTTTGCAATTTTGAATTTTTGCTGATAAAATATGTTGAATGCAATTTTGCTGCTTGGCATCTAGTCCAGGTTTACAATCCATTGTTTAAACTTTTTAATGTGCAATTAATTAAATGCACCGTGTCAAATATTTCTCAATTTAGAAACGTATCGGTTCGACGTCAAAAATAGGTATGTACATGTAAAAAAGGATGTGACTTACATTAAAAAAGATATTTCAGATTTTCAAAAATTCAATCCTGGTTTATAAATTCAACAAAATTTTTATGCAATCTGATTTTATGCTTATAAAATAGTATGCAATTTTGTTTCTGAGTACACCGCATCCAGTTTTAAGATCCGTTTTTGGTAAGTTTAATGTGTAAATTACGAAATGCATAATTAAATTCGTGCTGCAAAATATTTCTCAATTTGGAAATGGCATCATCTATTTGGACAAGAAATCATTCAATTATGATCTAGAGGTTCGATGCAATTTTTATGCAATTATGATTTTCTGCTGGATAAAATAATTTATGCAATTTCGATTCTCTGAGAATCTGGTCGAATTTTAGGATTCATTTGCCCAATTTGATTCACACACGCTGAAAAATATTTATCGATCTGAAAATGTATCAGTTTGACGTCAAAAGTGAATGTGTATGCAAAAAATGGTTATAAAGTCGATTAAAAGATACAATTCCATCTTTTGCCATGGAATTCAATCAGGATTTAGAAATTCACAGCTATTTTTCACAATTTTGATTTTCTGTTGGATAAAACAGAGTGCAATTTTGACACTGCATTCGTATAAGGCCTTGAGTTATGGTCCGTTTTCTAAACTTTTTAACGTCAAATTTGATTCGCGTTGGTGAATATTTCTAGATTTGGAAATGTATACGTTCGGCACCAAAAATTTGTGTACATGTAAAAAAAGGTTATTAAGTTGGTTCAAAGTTATTTCATGTCTTCATATTCAATTGTGATTTAGAAGGAGAATGCAATTCTGATTTTCTAAAACAGTATTAAATTTTAATTTCAAGAGGGCACTGCGTCCGCGTCTGGTCAAAGTTTATGATCCATTGTTTAAACTTTTAAACGTCTAATTTGATGGCAATGTACCAAATCGACGTAAAAAGTTTGTGTGTAAAAGAAAGGTCGTAAAGCTAATTCAAATATGCGAAACGTTCTTGGCCTCATGCTTTAGAAATAAAATTCTGTACAATTTTCATGTATTTTTGATTTTTGGCTGATAAAATAGATAGTAAATACGCAATTAATTTTGTTTCTGAGGAGGACACCCTTTCGGAATCTGGACATTTTTAGGATGATTTATAAAAAATTAATATCAAATTTGATTCACGCTGCAAAATATTTCCCGATTTTGAAATGTAATCGGTGATTAAAAGATGATCTTCCATCTTGGTGATAATTCAATCAAAATTTAGTGCAATTTTTGTGGAATTTTGATTTCTTGCTGGTAAAATAGAATGCAATTTTAGTTCTGGGAGGACACCTTATTCACATCTGGTCCAGTTTTACCATCAAGTTTTTAAACTTTAAGTTGCAAATTAAATAATTAAATGTAGTCTGCTAAATATTTCTCAATTTAGAAATGTATCAGTCCGGCGTCAAAAGTTTATTTGTTCGTGAAAATGGTTATAAAATTAATTAAAGATGAGTAAACTAACTGACAAATTCAACAGTGAATTAGAAATTCAAAGTAAATTTTGTGTTGATTTCATTTCTGGGCGGACACCGCAACCGTATTTAGTGCATGCAGTTTTACTATTTTTAAGTTTTTATGACCAATTAAGTAAATGCATGCTGCAAAATATTTTTGAACTTGGAAATGTATCCAAAACCAAAAGTAAACCAAAATTTTATGCATAAATACGTAGGAAAGGGTACGCAATTTTGATTTTATTTTGATAAGATGTGTACACTTTTTTTGTGAGGACACCATGTCTGAATTTGGTCTAGTTTTACGGTCCATTTTCTGATCCTTTTCAATGTGCAATTATGTAATTAAATGTATGATGCTGTTAAATATTTTTCGATTAGTAAATGTAGCAGTTCAACGTCAAAAGTTTATGTGTACGTGGAAATGGTTATGAATTGGAAGATAAGGTGCATGTCTGAATCCCGTTCATAAGTTCCAATGATGATTTAGGAATTCAATGCAAATTTTATGAAATTCTGATTTTCTGCTGGATACAATAGAATGCAATTTTATCTCTGGGAGGACACCGGATTCGTATTTGTCATGGTCATGTTTTACAATCATTTTGTAAACTGTTATGTCCGATTTTATGCACACACTTTCAAAATATTTCTTAATTTGGAAGTGTACTAGTTCAACGCCAAAAAATGTGTCGGAGCAAAATCTGGACTAAAGTTGGATAAAAGATTACTTTGGTTCATTCATGTAATAATAATCATGATGTACGACTTTACTGCAAATTTTTTTGCAATTTTGATTTTTTGCTGATAAGATATATAGAATGCAATTTCCCTGCTGGGCATCTAGTCCAAGTTTATAATCCACTTTTTAAACTTCTTAAGGTGCAATTAATTAAATGCATGGTGTCAAATATTCTCGATTTGGAAATGTAGCAATTCAACGTCAAAAATGTATGTGTACGCGAAAATGGGTGCGAAGTTGATCAAAAGATGAGTTCCACGTATGATCTAAAGTTGAATTATGATTTAGAAATTTACTCCAATTTTTTTGCAATTTTGATGATAAAATAGGTAGAAAACAATTTTTCTACTGGGCATCTAGTCCAGGTTTATAATCCATTTTGTAAACTTTTTAATGTGTAATTAATTAAATGTATGCTGACAAATATGTTTCAATTTGTAAATGTAGCAGTTCGACGTCAAGAAGGTTTGAGTATGCAAAAACGGTAATAAAATTGATTAAAAGATAGTACTCCAATCACATAGCGAATGTACTTAAATTCCTCAAAATATGTATGGTATTACTGGATTTCTAAGAGTGCACAAAAATTCGAAAAATAACGAATAAACGCGTGAGACGAAACAAGAACTAGGAATCCGGTGTAAAAATAATACCAAGCGGTATTCATATATGACTCTACCAAATTGGAATTGGTGTAGGAATAGCTCCGTATTAAAGGTTTACCATATCGGTAGCAAATTATAAGGGCCCGGTATGCATAATTTTAATACCAAGCGGTAGCAACTTTAAAACCGAGAAATCAATATCCCAGATTTCTATACTTGTAGAAATTCAGTATTAAAATAATACCAAGTGGTACTCATGTATAACTCTACCAAAGCGGTATTAATAAGTAATACCGGTTAGTAACAGTTCGGTATTAAAGTTTTACAATATTAGTATGAAATTTTTACGGATCGATATAATTTTTATACCAAGCGGTAGCAACTTTAACACCGAGAAATCAATACTTTCCGTGACTATACCAGATTTCTAACTGTCTGGACGGGATCCGCGTCTCTAAATATTGTGTTCCCTTTATGGGGAAATTATTTTGCAAAACGAGTAAACACATACAAAATATGTGCTTAATTTACACACCATTTTCCAAAATTTGAAGATAATCTCCTGATTTTTGGAGAGCATCAGATCGGCAAAGCCACTTGCAGAAGTTTGCCCAACCGAGTTAAGCAAATCATTGATTTGAAATCAATTATGGTTTCATGAAATTAATTTAAAAAAATATGGGATCCTGCAATCTGTGATTTTGAAAACAAAAATCAAAATTCTAACCTAAATGACTCATTTTTCATACAAATCTAGCGAAAATAAAAAAAAGATAGAAACGTCTTTTGCCGAATAACTTCCACGCCATTTTACAAAATTTTAGAAAAATTTCTTAATGATAATAAAAATATCAGATTTGCATGGTGTCCCGTTGAAGTTTTTGCACAATGAATTATGGTTTCATGAAATTAATTTTTAAATATATAGGAATCAGACATTCATGGTTTTGAAAAAATAATCAATATTCTAACCTCATAACTTTTCAAACCTAAAAATTATCGATTTTTAGATTAAATAAAATCATAATTTTGTAGAAAAACCTTGGGAAAGTAAAAAGATAGAAACGTCTTTTGTCGAAGAATTTACACGCCATTTTACAAAATTTTAGGAAAATTTCTTAATGATGCAACGAACATCAGATTTGAAAGGTGTCCCGTTGAAGTTTTTGCACAATGAATTATGCTTTCATGAAATTATTTTGTAAAAATATCTGAATCCTGCCATCATACATTCATGGTTTTGAAAAGTAATCAAAATTCTAACCTCATAACTTTTCAAACCTAAAAATTATCGATTTTTAGATGCAATTAAATCTTAATTTTGTAGAAAACGCACGGAAATGAACAACTTTCAAAATCATTTGAACGTATGGAAAGTTGAGGAAAAAAATTAAATTTAAAATCCGCATGCAAGAGAACGTTAATTTCACGAATAGTAGAAAACTATGAAACGACAAATTCAAAAACTTGATAAATATACAAAGGCAACCATAATTACTTTCTTTATTCAGAGTAATTTACGCCTGCTCCGAAAATTTCTTAAATACAAATACCTACACTTAAAATAAGAGAAAGAACACTTTTAAACAAGCTAAAACGCGTTCATCATTCGTTTCACGTATTGTTTTTAGCAACAATTAAAATTAATTAGAAAGAAAATTATAAGGGATTGATTTAAAATATAATAAACAAAACAATTATTATCAAATATATTCCATCAATCGAGAGCAAATTCAACCGGCATGCTTATCAACATGGGAAAATTGTAAATAAGTCATGAATCACAAAAAGGCAAAAAAAACTACTCGTAAAAACATTACAAGGTTGAATTTGCTTTCATATCAAGTATGTAAATTAATATTCCGGTTTTGAACTCGGAAATTCTAGAAAAAAACTGAACAAGAAACAATAAATCATATCATTGCTGTTCGTGCAAAAGTTGTCGGTTAAAAAATCAGTCGGAAACGGAAGTTGTCGACCTAAAAACCCATCGGAAACATAAGTTGTCGGATAAATTTTTGGGAAATTTATAATATTTTTCTTGCATTTTGATCCGACAACTTCCGTTTCCGACTAGTTTCTTAACCGATAACTTTTGCACGATATTTCCAAGGTATGACATACATATAATAATTAATGCTTAATTAATTGTAGAAGTCTCTCTTAATCACTAGGTTCAGTTTCTTAGTTCACTTGGAACAAAATATTTCAGCGTATGGTGGAAATACATTTTTGTTTTGCGATTGCGAGTAAATATTTATGTATAAAACTTTGGCGATTATGTATGCGAGATTAATATCACAATGATTCACATTCCACCATAGCGAAATATTTTACACCAATGACGTAACATAATAATAAGTAATATATTTATATTTTATATGTAAATATGTAGTGATACACAAGTAAATATTGTGGATCATTGATTAATTAATCAGTGCTCCCACTGGTTACATACAACCTTCTCAGGATAATAACTTGGTCTTATCGAATTTATCGAGCTCATTCAAGAAAAGTTCAAATATCGCTATATAATAATCCAAGGCAATTTAGATTTATAGAGTAGAAAATTAGTCAAAATTAGTTTGATTCTTGTTACATATGGCTTGGTGTATATACGTACAGTGAAATTTCTAGTGGTACACAGTGGCGGCGGAAGTTGGGGGGACATTTGTGGAGGAAGAGGGACTTATTAACTTGGGCAAGATACGATTCTGCTGAATTTCTGGGGGGTCAATGTCTCCCTGCTTCCACCGCCAATGTTGGTACAGAGGCAACTTATTAATTTGTATTCGTCACACGAATCATTCTGATTTGTAAATATTATCTTGTTTTTTCAATTAGTAGAGTGAGTGAGATTGTGAATTTTAACGATATCGTCGCTGCACGGGTCTTCGTCTTGGTTGTGCGGTTGCTTGTCCAAGGCTGAACATATTTCCACCCGGGGAAGGAGCCCCCATCGGAGTGGTGGATGCTGCTTGTGACGCAAAGTTGAAGCCTCCAGCGAGTCCTAAAAATATAAGAAACAAAATTATTTAGTAATTATTAATTTATTGATTGGTTGCAAAAATTGACCACGTGACCTACCCGCCCCCGCGGTTTGAGGTGCTCCTCCAAATTGGAAAACGGGAGGTTGCTGCGTCCCCGCAGTTCCTGCGACCGAACCAAAGTTAAAACCTCCATTGGATGCAGGTTGAGATTGCGTTTGACCAAATTGGAAGGGAGCTGCTGCTTGTGGGGCTTGTGGGGCCGCGCCGAAACCAAAGCTGGAATTTGCTGCTGCTGGAGAGCCAAATGTAGGCGTGGGACTGGTCATATTTCCACCACTGCCGAACGGCTGTGAAATTGGGCTGGATGCAGCAGATAATCCGAAGGCTGGGGTGGAACTGCCAAATGCAGAAATAGAGTTGTTGTTTGTCGTAGAATTTGTCGATGAGGGGGTCAAGTTTCCAAATATGTTGGATGGTGTGTTGTTGTTATGCTGCTGTCCTCCCAAAGAAAATATCGAGCTTGATGGAGCGCTGGTAGTGGTGGTGGTTGCAGATTGACCAAAATTGAATCCTCCGGTTGTTGGTGCGCTGGTCGTTTGGATTTGATTATTATTTCCAAAGGCGAAGAGTGGTGGAGCGTTGGTGCTGGCTCCAAATGCGCTAGTTGACGTATTATTATTACTGCCAAACACGGAGGATGACGGATTTATCGAGGCGGTTGGAGCGGTCGAACCGAAAATTGATCCTCCCCCACTTCCAAACATTGGCGTGGTGGATCCAAATGTAGGAGGGGCTGAGGTTGTCGGAGCAGCGGACGAGAATCCACCAAAAGTTGGGGCGTTATTGTTAGTGGCTGCCGGTGTAGAGCCGAAAATGCTGGGCGTTGTGAATTGTGGTGCGGCCGTGGTGGTTGTCTGTGACCCGAAATTGAATCCTCCCATGATTCCTGGAATAAAATAATGTCACACATCAAAATTTTGAGTTTAATGTCATTCTTGTCTTTAGTATGCTTTTTAAATATTTATTATCATATTAACTAGGAATCGACGACTCATCACCAAAGTCGCTAAAAATCATTACATTTTTAAGCATTTCTCGGCACTGGGAATTTATTTTAAATTTCCAGAAGACTTTGTAGTTGATTAATAAAATGGGGGTGAGGTTTTTTTAAACCAGTTTCGACGAGTTTCAACTTTTAACAAAATTCTTAAACTTGAGATCTCCTTCAAAAACTTTCAAAATCTGGAATGCATATTTTTCTTAATTGGCTACGACCTGCTATACAAATTCGTCTTCCAGAATTTTAAAATAAATTCCCAGAGCGGAGAAATGATTAAAGATGTGTTGATTTGTTTGACGATTTTGACGACGAGTCATCGAGACCTACGTCAAATAGTTAAAACTAATTTAAATACCATTCTTTATTGGTTGCTCTGTCGTCGCTGCGTCCGGCTTTGCCTGAAATTGGAAGGGTTTGGCTTCCGAAGAATCTGCCGTTGTTCCACTGACCGAGCCAAAAGTAGGGAATCCGCTTGTCGCACCAAATGTGATCTTGGGCGCTCCATTAGTCAGCGATGCCAGCTCATTATTGTTGGTTGAAGACACAGTAGTGCTCGAGACTTGAGGTTGCGAGAATGAAAATGCGGACGTGGACGTCGTCGGTGTAGGTGCGATAAGTTCAAGCTTTGGCAATGGCACGATTTTAATACCAGCAGCACCGTCCGCGGGTTGTTGATCTAAGGAAAAAAGAATTAGGTAAGTAATTATATTTCTTCATAAAATAATGATGGCATTCATTACGAATTCGCAAATAATTTATGCGAATAGCGAAGTTCGCAAATAGGAAAAAATTGCAGTATAGCGGCCTAGCTCGGATATGGCTGAAATTTTTTGTGTGAGTACCCTAAGGTCCCCTGAGCATAAAAATACCTTTTTTTCGCGGCGGTCTCAAAAACTGAAATTTCTAGAAATTTTTGAAATTTTGTATAAAAATTATTTTTTTGTCTTAGATTTTCATGAAAATGATTTTCTTGACTAACTAAACTATCCTGAATAAGAATCTGAAGGAATTTAAAAAAAAACATTCAATAGCAAAAAAGTTATACATTTTTGAAATTTTGTATACAAATTGTTCTTCGACGTTTCAGAGAATTCCAAGACTTTGTCTCACTTTCCCCCTGTCAGGAATTTTTTGGAGTAAAATCAAATTTTCGGGGTAAGATCAGATTTCTAGTTTCCGGCTATCCTAGGTACCACTACTACCTAGCTCTCCTAGGTAGCACGGCTACCTAGCTCTCCTAGGTAGCACTAGTAAAAATTCCACGCTTTCCGCCTACCTAGTATAACTAACCTAACCTGCTCGCTTCGCTCGCTAAAATACGAACAATACCCCAATACGGGCATAATTATAACTTTTTTGCTATTGAATATTTTTCAAAAATTTCTTCAGATTCGTGTTCAGGATACTTTAGTTAGTCTAGAAAGTTATTTTCATGAAAATCTAAGACAAAAAAATAATTTTTATAAAAAATTTCAAAAAATTCTAGAAAGTTCAGTTTTTGAGACCGCCGCGAAAAAAAGGTATTTTTATGCTCAGGGGACCTTAGGGTATTCACACAAAAAATTTCAGCCAAATCCGAGCTAGGCCGCTATACTGCAATTTTACCGCAAATAGTTTGCAACATAATTTTGAATAATATTTTGCCAACTAAACTCATTACGAGCGTTCGCAAGTGCGCATCGTTACATTATTTGCAAAATATTTTGCGAACTGAACTTGAAGAAAATGAATTGTCAGTCAAGCTAAATTTTTTTGCGAACTTTGCGAATAATGCGAACTCGTAATGAATGTTTAACCCAAATCTGTAAACATATCCGCACATGTACCGGATGTTTGAGGTGTGCTCCCAAATTGGAAGGTACCCGGTTGTTGCGCTCCTGTTGAGCCAAAGTTAAAACCCGTACTTGGTGCCGGCTGAGATTGAGCTTGCCCAAACTGGAACGGCGTTGCTGCTGCTTGTGGGGCTACCGCACCGAAACCTGTCGTTGCTGCTGATGAGCCAAATGTTGGAGCAGCAGTAGTGGTTGAAGTTACACCACCAAACGGGGTTGTTGATGCAGATAACCCGAAGGTTGGGACAGATTGGGTGGAACTGCCAAATCCAGAAATATTGTTGCTGCTTGTCGATGCGGGGGTCAAGGATCCAAATATATTGGATGGGGCAGCGCTGGTTTGTCCTCCTCCTCCTAAAGAAAATATCGAACTCGATGGTGCGCTGGTAGTCGTGGTGGTTGTCGTAGATTGACCAAAATTGAACCCGCTTGTCGTCGTCGTCGCCGCCGGTGCCGCGCTAGTCGTCTGGATTTGATTATTATTTCCAAACGTGAGAATTGGGACAGCGTTTGTGCTGCCAAATCCTGAGGATGCAGTTGTCGTTGTCGTGGGTGCAGCTGCCACACCAAAACCCGATCCCGTCCCACTTCCAAACACTGCCGTGGTGGTGGTAGATCCGTATGCAGGAGGGGCTGATGTTGTTGTCGCAGGAGACGAGAATCCACCAAAAGTAGGTGCCGGCGCGGATGTTGTCGTCGCCGTCGGGGTGGAAGAGAATCCTCCAAAAGTAATAGCGCTTGTGGGCGCAGAGCTGGAAAAAGTGGGGATTGTGGATTGTTGTGAGGCGGCGGTGGTTGTTGTTGCCGGTGACCCAAAATTGAATCCTTGAGTGCCTTCTATTACAAAATGAGAATATCTTTCAAAATTTGACTTTTATGCAATTAGGCAGTTAGCAAAAGTACGTTTTTAAAATTTCGAGATGGGTCAAAATTTCCGGACCCGATCTTCAAATCATTTTTGCGTGAGTCCTGAACATTTTTCATATTCTTCGGAAATTTTGACCCAACTCGAGAGATAGGGAAAGTTACGGAAATTTTTAAAACGTATATTTGCTAACGGCCTAATATGCACACATGTAATTGTACTCGATAAACATATCGAAAACTTAATTGCAAAAATTATGTGCATACCAGTTTTTATTGGTAACTCCGTCGTCGTTGTTTCAACTTTTGGTTGTGTAAATTGGATCGGTTTGACATCCGTTGACGTTTCAACAACCGAGTTAGAAGCAGGAATTATATTTACTGCACCAAACGTGACCTTGGGCGCTTCACTGACGTTGGCATTGGTAGACGATGGTGCCGAATCATTACTGCTGGTTGTAGAAGTTAACGCATTCGTGACTTCTGTGACTTTAGGTTGCGGCAATGCAAACGTGGATGTCGCCGGTGTAGGTGGAATAACTTCAATGGTTGGCGGCGGAGCAGTTTTATTTTTATTTCCATCCATCACATCCACGGATTGTTGTTCGACTGGTTTTTGATCTGAAAAATTTATGAAATTTGTCAATAATAATTAATAATGATTGCTAATTATTCTAGGAAATATGAAATTACCATTTTCTGCCGGTGGTTTAGTTGGTTCTAATCCCAAAATTCGCTTAAATCTTTCTATCCGCTTTATTCGATCGTAATCATACTTCTCTTTCGTAATGAGAGTATGCTGGGTGGCCATGCTGTAATTTTAAGTAAATGTAGATTAATTATTTATTAATCACATAAATTAAACTGTAACTGTATTTCTAAGTAAATGTAAACTCATGGATTATAATTAATCACAGTTAATTAATTAAAATGTGACTTGTGTTTTTTCTCATTTGATTGTAACACTCACCGTATAATAATCTCCGGCGTGGTCATCTCCATATCAGTTCCGGTCCCCTTGTCGCAAGAAGAAGAAGTATTCATTTTCGAAGAAGTCGACGCTTCAAAAGTTACCGTCTTTTTTGGCAGTAGAGTTGGCGAAGGTCTTGGTGGGGATGCAACCAAACTGTTATTATTATTCAGCATTGAAATCCCAGCCGCTTCCGCGTAGCATTCGTTACAATGACAAAACTTCCCAGTTTTCGATTTGGGATCTTGAGCAACTTCGTCATCTTCCAATTCTACTATGCTAATCCCGTTTTCGCCCATTACTTTCCTTTTACGAATCCCACTTGTTGGGATGCTGGACAATTTTGTCCTCTTTGCGGCCGACGTTATTGGACTGACATCAGGGAAAAAGCGCTTCTCCGTCTGGTTCATTTGTTCCAGGATGGATTTCGAGGTCATGGGGTCACTTCCAGAAGGCGAATCGTGGTATGCGTCATAGTTTAAGGGACGATTCGAGTGGTGCCTGATATCCTGCTCGGTCACGTATTTTACTCTTTTTATAAACTTTTTTTGATCTTCGGGACTCGTTAGGGACGACTTTGGAGTGGAATTTGAAGGTCCGACACGATTAATTAAGTCAGTCGTTTGAGATGAATTTACGCTGGTGTCAAGATCTCGGCCCCTGTGCATGAATGAATACGAACCAATTAATTAACTGATTGAGGTCTCCCAGCGTATGCTCTCCGATTTTGAGCAAACTAGTCTCAATCTATCGCAAATTTAATTGATATGAAATTTGCGAAAGACACGATCTCCCAATGGACACGTTTGGCAGAAATGTTTGCATCCGAAGAGGAGGAAATGCGTTCTAAAGTTGACAAATTTCACACTTTCCAAGCTTAGTGCACATTTTCTCCTCTTCAGATGCAAACACCTCCGCCAAACGTGACCATTAGGAGATCGTGTCTTTCGCAAACATATTAATTAAGTTTGTCATCGATTGACACTAGTTTCGTCAAAATCTGAGGCCCATATACATTCTTAGTCAAATAATTCCTTGATAATTAAGTAAACCACTCACCTCTTCCGATTGTAATTGTCAAGAATATTACTGTTTGTCGGAGACATCGGGATATATCCGGTTGATTGAGGTCCAGGATATTTATTACGCCACCCAAGCCGACCAAACCTTTGGGCCAAGGGACTCCCGCCCAGTCCAGGGGACGTGGGGGTACTAGGGGAACCACTTCCTCCCCCCGCTCGTATTCCCATCCCCCCACTATTTCCTGCCCTTGAAGGGCCATGACTACTGTGTTGCTGTTGTTGCTGTTGCTGCTGCTGGTCGTACGAATTATTGTTCGGATAGATCCCACTATTTTGGATGGGAGCGACGGGAAGACTTTTTAAATCGACGGGGGCCAGCTTGACGAAAATGGTGCCAGGCCCATTCATGTCCCTTTTATGAACTCGGGAGAATCGATTGTAAGAAAAACTGCTTCTATTCGGCGACGGGAAATTGATCATGGCAGATGTCCGTCTCTTCGGCGAGGTTGAAATTGGCAGTTGTCCCAAGCGCAAGCTTAAGTTGGGCGATCTGGCCAGGGACGCTCGGCTGATGATGGGATTACCTCCGGTAAATGTTCGCAGATTGTGGGAAGCGACATCCTCAATACCGTTTCCGTTGGCTTGTTGCACCACTCGGCTCGTGAATCCGGGGCTGGTAACGTTTGACCAGGTTCTAGAGGAATACAATGGAAAAAAGATTAAACGTTTCGTCTTTTTCTAACATTTCTTGGTAATGAGTTGCAAATAGGACTCTAAACATTGAAATTTTCCCCATTTTCCACTAAAACTTCGGTGTAATCCAAATTAAATAATTCAAGCTTTAATTATTTAATTAATAATTATTTTCCGTCTTTTTCTACCCATTTCTTGATAAAATGAATGACAAATAGCATTCGAAATATTGAAAGCTTCCCCGTTTTCCACTAAAACTGTTGGTGTAATCAAAATTAAATAATGTAAACTCTTGACCTCATTTGCATTCGTAATTACAACAATGAATTAATTATCCACCTTTCACCCCCACAAACTTACCTCACATCCAACGGTTCCCGATTAAACGACAGGTACGACCTATTCGCACTTCTCCCATTATTTCCGCCCCGATTCCCCCCACTATATTTCGTCCCGGATAACGAAGAACTCGTCGATTTCGAATCAGAATCCGAGTTATCTTCCTCCTCTTGGTTATCATCGTCCTCATCTCCACCACCATTTACATTTCTGCCATTCACATTCCCATCCACCTCACTTTCATCGTCACCAACAAAAGACGACGTCCCCGTCCCCCTCCTTCCGCCCGCGGAAGATGTGTCCCCCCCACGAAACAGCCCAGAAAACGAATTGTTCAAACTTTGTCGAAATGAGGAGGCAAATCTCGAAGTGGTCGACGTCGTTGTAGTCGTCGTCACATGACCATTACTTCCCGTCGTCATCGGTCCCCCCGATAAGGTCACAGGTTCGCCTTGCTCGTCAATCCCGTCTCGGGTTCGGATACAAATTTGACGTTGGACAGGTTGACTCGTGCTGCTGTCCTGTTTTCGTCCAACGCCGAACAGCCACATTTTTATTTACACTAATTATTTATATTCACACTTAATTATTTTACTTCACAGTTAATTAATTTATAGAGTTTTTCTTAAAATAATTTCAATTTTACACACATGCAGCCAACTTAAAAAAAGTGGACGAAAAAGGAGGCAAGTGCGTTTGCTTGGGCCGGGTCGTTGGGGCAACGTGAGATTCGTGGGTTTGTTGAGAGTCTCAACTTTTCGTCTCAACATATGAGATGAAAATGTGAGAAATGTGAGACGATAACTTGTTGAATGTTTTCAATTTTGATTATCAAATTTAAGTTAATTCTCATTTTAAACGTCAAAAATACTTTACAAAAATAGCCACAAAATTTCATAAGATCGCCAATTTCATCGCCAAAATCCGTAAAATCAGCTAGTTGAGATGAAAATGTGAGAAATGTGAGACGATAACTTTGAGATGAAAATGTGAGGCGATAACTTCCATATGAATGTTTCCAATTTTGATTTTAATTTTGTCCTTGTAATCATAATTTTTGGATGGAATTATTTAACTAGATTTGTACTGTGTGCATTATATTTACTAATTGAGTAAACCTCATCTTCCTTCTTTGGCCGGATTGTAATGCATATGACAAAGTTAATTAAAAGACGAACAAATCATGCCCTTCAATAAAAGTCAAGTGAATGAATGAATGAATGGGTTTTCATATTTTAAGCTTATCGTTTGAATCCTGATCGATATCTGGTAGAATTAATAATTCTGTAATTCAGAATTATCAGTTTTACAGGATGTGCTTTCATTTGTATTGAAGAATCTCAAGTCGGAAATGAAAAACTAATCTTATAAGATGAGACAAGTATTGCAACCTTTGGTTCATGTGCGCAAAATAGAATTTGCAACAAAAATAATAATAATCCTTCTAATCAGTTGACATGTGTAGCCAAATTTTCATACATTTAAAATTATAGTAAGTTCTCCAAGGAAGAAATGTCATCCCGGAAATTACTTGTCTTCCCTTTATTCCATAAAAAAATCTTAATAAATCTTCTGCAGAGCGGTCTACAGAGCGTTTGCAATATATGAAAATGGATAAATTTAAAATTTCAATTCTCAATTAAGTAATCCAACAGCTAAAAATTATTAATCTTTTATTTACAAAGTCTTATCATGTCTTATAAAGTAGCATTAATTGCAGAATAAATCCCAAAATAACCTAGCTCTAAAAATAGATACGATCTAATTAGTAAAATTAGCCGTGTTATAAATTTTCTAAACTTCAAAATTCGACGTCAACATCGACCTAAAATTTGGAATGTGTGCTCTTATCAAAAATGTGAATATGAGACCATTAGTAAGGTTTTGTCCAAAAAAGTTCCCATTCAATTAAAATTGGTCTGTTTTTTTTTATTTCCTTCATCCAACATTTTTACAAGGTGTTATTTTATAAAGATTAATATAATTAATTTTTGATGTTAAAATGATAGATTGAGGGATGCAACTCTTAAAAAACACAAAGTTTAATTTAAGTTGAGATTTTTTAGCACAAATTTATTACTTGACTGGAATGATCTCAGATTCAAAAGTTTTTAAACATTTTTGATACATAAAAGCACATATTAAATTAATTTCAAGTTTTGGTTGATATTGACGTCGAATTTTGATTTTTTAGACAACTTGGATATTACAAATGTGATTTAGGTGTAACTTCATGTATGTAGGTGAAAGTGATCAAATCATTTTTGATCACTGATTTGAAATGAAATTACTTTTACGAAGAGAAATTTAATTAATTTTTGAACTTAAAATGACAAACTAAGTAATGAAATTTAAAAAAAAATTAAATTGACTTGGGACTATTTTTTTAGCAAAAACTTATTAATTGATTGCATTGCATTGCACTAATTCCAAATTTTAGGTTGATATTTACGTCGAATTTTGCATTTTAGAGAAGTTATATGTTAATAAACCGATAACTAAGGTGCGTTCCATGTTTGAGGATAAATAGCTCATGATTTTTATTTGCATTTTTATTCTGTTTGAATGAATGAATTGAATTGAATGAATTCATGAATGATTAATGAATCGAATTTTTAATAGTGGAATCCATTATTGGGTCCGGAACAAGCATTAAATCCTCTCGTAATCCAATCACAAAAAAATAATTATTTAAGCTGATCATAATCGATTATGAGTTTGTAATTAAGAGATTATAATCTCTTAATTACAAACTCTTTTCAATCTCCAGTACTATTTATTAAGGTTTTTACAAGGTGTACTATTATGACGATTGTTTAATTTAATTAATTTTTCTTGTGAAAATGGAAAAATGAGGGATGAAATTTAAAAAAAAAACATCCCAATTTAACTTAACTTATAACTTTTTTCATCAAAAACTTATTAATTGAGTGGAATAGTCTTGTATATATTTTTGATAAGACCATATATACATTACATTACATTAATTCCAAGTTTTGGTTGATATTGACGTCGAATTTTGAATTTGAGAGAATTCTACATTAAGAACATGATAAATTAGATTAGTCCGCTGTCGTGCATTGCTATTCCGCTGGATTGATAAGTCACATTTTTCAAAATAGTGGAGCCTATTCTGGGTCCGGAATGGAAGGAGGGTCGCTTCAATACGACGACGATAACTTGAGTAGATTCTCGTATTTGTTATCCTTGTCCATAAATAAGACAGACCATGTAGGATAACCACGGTTAGAATTACATCTAGTAAAAACAAAAAAATGAAAGATAACCACAGTTAATGGTCTCGCATTCACATTTTTAATGAGAGCACGCTTTACATTAATTTCAAATTTTAGGTTCAATTTATCGTTGAATTTAAATTTTAGACAAATTTATATGCAGCTAATGTTAAAAGTTACGTTGAGGCCACGATTTTTATTTTCATTTATTTATTCTGTTGGATTAATAACAATAATTTACATTTTTACTAGTGGAACCAGCATTTTCTCGTGTTTGTTATCCTTGGCCGGCTAGAATGACCATGGTTAGGATGACATTTATTTAATAAGACAACGGATGACCAGATAATGTTCTCTCAATGTTAAGTCTCATATTCACATTTTTAATATGGGTGCACATTACATTAATTACATTTATCCAAATTTTAGATTGGTATTGACGCCGAATTTTGAATTTTAAAGAAATTATATGTAGCTAATATTGTAAATTACGTCTGCTTCTAGGTATTGAGCCAATAATTTTTGTTTGCATTTATTCTGGGATTAAGTAGTCACATTTTTAGGGCATAAGACACCAAATCTGATGATCTCGTACTCACATTTTTAAAACATCAGAGCGCACAAGCACATTACATTCATTCCAAATTTTAGGTTGATATTGACGCCGAATTTTGAATTTTGGAAGATTTATATATAGCTAATGTTACACGTTAGGTTAATACCATTTATGGGTCTAAGTTTGAGACAATAATTTTGATTTTGATTTATTCTGTTGGATTGATAAGATACGTTTTTAATAGTGGAACCTATTACTGGGTCCGGAATTCGACAACGAAGACTTGACCAGTTTCTCGTGTTTTTTATCCTTGTAAATAAGACAAGCTGCACGATGACCACGGTTAGAAGGACATTTAGTAAGACAAACATGACGGATGACCAAAATTAATTAAAATTAAAATTAGCTTATTAAATTAACTTACTAAATTAAAACAAATTAAATTTAAATTCAGAGAGGATTTGATAAATAATAAAGTCGATTGTTGTTTAATAAGATTTTTTGGAATTTAGACAAATGTACCAAGATTTTGTCTACCTAGATTTGAGAGATTTGTAAATTTCTTCTTGAAAAATTTGAAAGAATTAGAAAACTGGAAGAAATAAAATTAGTAAAAAAAAGTGTGAATCTAAAATCCATGAAATGGAAGTGACAATGCAAAATTCAAATAAAAATGCATTTTATTTTAGGGGATTATCAAATTGATTTTAACTTAACTTAGGATTAAAGAAAGTCATGGTCAAAATATATTTTGAAAAATTAATCACGTAAAGATTTGCGATTTTTCTGATCTGCGATTTTTCTGATCTGCGAAGGAGTGCAGACAGGATTTATATGTTTGTCTATTTAGTTAAAATTGAGCAGGACGAAGATTTAATTTACTTTTAGATAAATGTTAACGTCGATTAGTCTTAAATTTATTTTTTCTAATTAAGAAAAATTACGTAGATACTTGTTCTTCAAATATCTAGGATTTGAAAAAAGAATTGGAAAAAATAGAAAACTGAAAAAGATAGAAATTGGAAAAATTGAGATTGTAAAAATGCATTGTAAAATTTCGCAAGAAAAAAATTTAGTTGATTTAATTCAGAGAAAAATTGATAAATATGAAAGTCGATTGTTGTTTAATTAGATTTTTTTTTTAAATTTAGGAAATGTATGTAGATTTCTTCCTCTTAAAAAGTTGGTTTGAAAAATTTGCAAGAATTGGAAAATTGGAAAGCAAGAGATTAGAAAATAGGGGAAAATTGAAATTGTAAAAATCATGAAATGAAAGTAAAAACGTAAATTTAGCGAAAATCCATTTAATTTTATTTTTTTCGCAATTGTATGATTTTGATGTTAAAATCAAAGAAAGTTATATCGAAAATGTTTATTTTTTGAAAATTATTAACGTGAAGAAGACATGCGATTTTGTTAATAGATAATAAGAATTTTAAGGCGGTTATAAAAATTAAGAGTTCGAATTGGAAGTAAAATTTTGAGTTGATTTTTTTTATAAATTAAATCTTAAAGTGTCAGATTATCCGATTAAATATTTGTATCGACTAATTAAGTAATGGTACTAATTTAATTTTCACATTTAGCGTGGTCCTAAAAACTTTAATGCGAGAGTTCGAATTCGAAATAAAATTTTGAGTTGAATTTTTTTGTTCTGAATTAAATCTTGAAGGGTCAGATTATGAATATTTCAATCGACCAATTAAAGTTTGAGTTAGGGAACAGTCTGGGCATCCTAGTGAGCGAGTTGACTTTTTCTCCTCGCCACTTACCAGTAATGTAAATGATTTTTGTCACTAAGACTTCTAATTTGCAGCTAATACAAAATGGATTGATTTCGTTTTGGTGGCAATAAATTCCCAAGTTTGTGCTTTACAATTGCCATGTTGCATAAATTCCATAATAAATCTCGGTGAAAAGTATTGGACTGAAACATGATATGAGTCCATGTTTCAGTTCAATACTTTTCTCTGAGATTTATTATGGAATTTATGCAGCATGGCAATTGTAAAGCACAAACTTGGGAATTTATTGCCACCAAAACGAAATCAATCCATTTTGTATTAGCTGCAAATTAGAAGTTTTAGTCGAAATTTTTCTCCTTTTCTGGTTCGCGATGCCCCGTTTGGAGAGTGGGAACGGTCACTCTCAAAACCCAAAGCAACTTTTTACATGCAACTGCCTGCATTGTTTACATGAAAATCAGCTGCAATCAGCTGCTCTCTTCGCCCCGCCCCCCCTCATTAGCAAAAAATCTCTCGGCACACAAGGAGACGCAACCGTCGTCTCTGTCTTTTAGTTATGAGATTTTTTCAACGTATATGCATTCTTAATGGTATGATTAATACCTAATTTAATTTACATATTTAGCTAACCTGCTTAATTTCCGTGTTCGCGGAAGGGATTCCTGGAAATTTTGGAGGTTCGAAATTCGACTTTGACTTCCGGTCAAGCTCATCTGCCAGATTTCTGACGAGTGAAAGTAAATAAGAAAAATACGTTAAAAAACGCATTTTTTTAATTGTCTGGCAAAACTTTCCGGGTTCGGGCAAAAGGGTTTCTTTTGAGAAAAGGTATTTAAAAGTTTCCGAGAATATTCACAAATTCCTGGCAAACTTTCGAAAACTTTCGAAAATAATTTTTCGATCGGGGGAAGTTTGGAAAATTTTGCCAGACTATTTTTATCCCGAATTCAGACTTACTCAATCTCGGAAGTGATCTTTAATAAGTCCCGATTAGAGATGACATCTCTTTAGCTGAGCAAAAATTCATTTGCAACTTATGGAAAACTTTACAAAATTCATTTGCATAAACCTTGCCTTGTTTCAACGGAAACGTTAGCAAAAATGTTGGGTATTACTAGCTTGAAAAAGTTTTTGCAGCTTTCAATATTACAAAGTTAGCGAAAACTTCAAAATTTCAATACAGTAAATGCAGGAATTTCCGTTGAATACAACTTTATATTTCTTTAAGTATGAGCTAAACGTCATTTATGATCTATCGGAAATGTTGATATCTGCAAAGCAAGTCAAAAAGATTGGATGGACTGACATTACCAATTTTGATTAATCATCGACAAAATTTTCAAAATTAAAAATTAATAAGGCACATTTTTAATAGTGAAACCTATTATTGGTTCACGAATAATGGGTCGTCGTTTCATATACGGATTATTGTCCTTGTATATAAAACAAGCAACACGGTTAGAATGACATTTAGTAAGATAAGCATACATTTGTAATTCATTAGAACGCACATTACATTAATTCAAAATTTTAAGTTGATATTGACATCGAATTTTGAATTTCAGAAAATTTATATGCAGCTAAATGTCATAAGTTAGATTGGTTTCACGTCGATCCCACGATTTTTATTTGCATTTATGTATTATGTGTGATTAATAAGTTTCACTTTTAAGAGAGGAATCTATTACTGGGTCGCTTCAAGGGACGGAATATAACGATGACATATGAGCAGCTTGTCGTGTTTGTTACCCTTGAGAGGCAATAATGACCACGGTTAGAAGGGCACATACATGACGCATGACCACGATTAATGGTTTCGTATTCACATTTTATGATACATAAGAGGGCAAATTAAATTAATTCCAAATTTTAGGTCTACATTGAAGTTGAATTTTGACCTTTGGAAAATATTTATAAATAATTTAAAAGCAGATTGGTATTTTCGACGATAGGATGAAGATGAGCGACTAATTTACATTTTTGCATTTATTCTTCCCGATTTATAAGATACATTTTTAATAGTGGAATCTATTACTGGGTCCGGAATGGTGGGAGGTTGTTTCAAGGGACGGACTATAATCTGACGATGACTTGAGCAGCTTTTTGTGTTTGTTATCTTTGTAGATAAGCCAAGCGAGGATGACCACGGTTAAAATAGCATTTAATAAGACAAACATGACGGATGACCACAGTCTCGTATTCACATTTTTGATATATAAGCGCACACATTACCAGAGGGCGGATATGTATGTACGTAAATTCCGCAAAATATATATGTAATATGTGCTTAAAAAATCTGAAAATAAGCACACAAAAAATGTTTTTTAACTTGAATTTTGTACCATATTTATGAAATATTATTTCGAGGAAACCTTAATTTCTGAATGAAGAAAAATATTTTTACATAAAAAACTTCGAAATATGTGCTAAAATATTTATATCTTGAAAAATACTCGAAACATACAGGAAAATATGTAATGTAAGAAAAAATGCTCAAAATATGTATGAAAATATGTAATATGCACAAAAACCCTAAAATATGTAAAATATGGAAAACCATGTTTGAATTTTTGCGATCGTGTTTAGAAGGGATGTCAGTATATGAAGTTTTAATAAGATCTGATTTGGTATTAAAAAGTTATAAATACATACATATCCTCCGTCTGTTGAACTAGAATTTTTAGGATGATATTTACGTCGAATTTGGAATTAAGAAAATTTATACGCATCTAATGTTATAAGTTAGATCAGTTTTACGCTAAATCCTTGATTTTTTATTTTCATTTATTTATTCTGTTTGACTGATAAGATACATTTTTAATAGTGGAACCGATTACTGGGTCCGGAATGGTGGGGGGTCGTTTCAAGCGATGGACTATAATCTGACGACGACGACGATGACTTGAGTAGCTTTTCGTGTTTCTTATCCTTGTAGATAAGACAGGCCAGGATGACCAGGGTTAGAAGAGCATTTAGCAAAACGAACATTTTCGTCGAGATGCAAAACGTGCAGGGGGACGAAGACGAGTTGATGGCGTTCCGAGGAGGTGGTGGCGTCAGGGGAAACCTTTCCGCAACCGAGCGCAGGCCGGATTGGAGCGCCTCGATTTCTAGAATTACCTGAGTAAAATAGAGCAAAACGAAAATCTAGTAGTCTTCAAAAAAAGATTTGATAAATATTACCGGTGATTAGTTTTTAATTAGATTTTTTTGAATCTAGAAAAATTCAGGTAAATTTTGTACAAAAATTCAAGTAGCTGTTTTAAAATTTAGGAAACTTCACTTAGTTTTTTTCTTGTAATAGAACTTGAAATTATTAGAAATAGAATTTAAATAAGAAAAAAATGCTTATTAGAATTTGAAAATTGGTCAAGAATTGTTAAAATACAAGGAAAAATGCAAGATTGCTAGAATTGCCTGGTTAAAATTGTGTAAGACAAAAATTTGATGGTCCTCAAAAAAAGATTTGGTAAATATTAACGTCGATTAGTTTTTAATTAGATTTTTTAATTTTTACAGATCACGTAGGTTGTTGCTTCGTAATCATCGTAATTGTGTAGGATTTGAAAAATTGGAAAACATAGAAAACTGAAAAAGATAGAAATTGTGAAAATTGGAATTATAACAAAATGCATGGTGTTAAACTAAAAATACGAAAATTTGATGAAAATGTATTTTATTTTTGGGATTATCAAATTGATTTTAATATACATAGTCCGACCATAAGTTCCCGTGAATGCATTTCCGGTGATAAAGCCCAAAGTATTAGAGCTATCTGATAGAAATTTTTGTGGATGAACAAGGTATTAATCTTGTTTAGAAATCATAACTTCGTTTTCACAATTTCCTCCATGGGCTTGTACACAAGACATAAGTCGTGGCGAAAACTGCTCGATCGCGGCACGCACGGATTTCCAGGGAAAAGCGCCAGATCTTCAGTAAGTTCGACCTCAGCCCTTCCACACTTGGGTGAAATTTAGAGCATATTTGTACCTATAATTTTCACCACCAGTCATAATTTAGGGGATTAAGGTCTGCAGATACTGAGCACCGTTCTACGGATGAAAAAAAGTCATGAAAATTCGTCTGAAGCCAGTTTTGGACAATTTTGCACCTTGCGCAGGAACAGGGTCTTGTTGAAAGGTCCAATGTCGATTTTCGGAGGGTCCAGGGTTCAGGTTATTAACGTTTGGCTTTAGGACACTCTGAAAATAATTCTTGGCTTCAACTTGTACCCTTTGCGGTAAAAAACAGAGATTTCATTTCTCCAGCCAACTTGCTCCCATGCACACCACGGTGATGACTTCGTATTGACTTCCGCATACTTAAACGGATGTCAGACTTCTGTACAACAAATATCTGGCCTTTTTTTCTATTAAATTTTTTGCCAACGGTGAAAAGTCTGAAATACTTTTTGCACGAAAATTGGCGCGTACCACGATCAACCTGTGGCCGTCACGAGTTATGTCTTGTCTAATTGCCCGTGGACGAAATCTTGACAAAGAAGTTATGATTTCTAAACAATATTAATACCTTGTTAATCCATAAAAATTTCGAACAGATAGCTCTAATACTTTGGGATTTATTACCGGAAATGCATTCACGAGAACTTATGACCCCACTATGTAACTTATAAAAAGTTATATAGTCAAAATATACTTTGAAAAATTAATCACGTAAAGACGTGATTTTTCCGAACGAGTTCAAACCGGATTAGAGTGCCTCGATTTCTAAAATTGTATGGTTAAAATTGTGGAAAACAAAAATTTAGTTTAATTCAGAGAAAATTTGATCAATATTAAAGTCGATTGTTGTTTAATTAGATTTTTTGGAAAGTAAAGTAATGTCTGGAGATCAGTTTTGAATTATTGGGTTTGAAAAATCTGAAAGAATTAGAAAACTGGAAGAAATACAATTTGTAAAATTGGAAAAGTAAAAAAAATGGACTAGTGAAAATCCATGAAACGAAAGTGACAATGCAAAAATTTGATGAAAATGTATTTTATTTTAGGGATCCATCAAACTGATTTTAATTATGACCAAAATATATTTTGATAAATGATTGACGTAAAGACGTGCGATTTTTCCGGTCTGCGGCCAAGCGCAGGTTGGCTGGTCAAAATTGCGCAAGACAAGGTTTAATTTACTTTCAGAGAAAATTTGATAAATATTAAAGTCGATTGTTGTTTAATTAGATTGTTTGTAATTTAGAGAAACAGATGCGTACATAGATTTATTTTCATTGAAACTTAGGGTTTTAAAAAATTTGAAAGGATTCGAAAACTGGAAAAAGTTGAGATTAGAAAATAGGGGAAAATAGGAATTATCACATTTTATGAAATGAAACTAAAAATGTATTTATTATGTATGTGAAATCAATTTTAATTTAACTGAAAGAAAATTATGGCGAAAATGTTTAAGTATTTTTCATAAATTATTCACATGAAAACCACATGTGATTTCTTAAACAACCAGAGTTCGAATTCGAAATAAAATTTTGAGTTGCATTTTTGTGTACCAAATTAAATCTTAAAGTGTCAGATTAAATACTTTAGTCGACTAATTAATGGTACGATTAATTTATCGACTAATTAATGGTACCTAATTTAATTTGCACATGAAGCTAACCTGTTTAATTTCCGTGTTCGCGGAAGGGATTCCTGGAAATTCTGGAGGTTCAAGATTCGACTTTGATTTCCTCTCAAGTTCATCTGCCAGATTTCTGTTGAGTGAAAGCAAACAAGAAAAATATATTTTAAAAACAATCATTTTCAAAATTGTCTGGCAAAAACTTCCGGAATTTCCGACCTGGGTTCAGGCGAAAGAGTGTGCTCTGGGGGAAAGACTTTTGAAAGTTTCTAGGAACATTCACAAATTCCTCGAAAACTTTCGAAAATTCCGGAGGAATTAGAGGAAAATAATTATTCGATCGGGAGAAATTTGGAAGATTTTGTAAGTTATTAAAATCCCGAATTCAGACTTACTTAATCTCGGAAATGATCTTTAATAAGTCCCGATTTGACCGGAGGAGCTCATCAACTTCGACCCGTTGCAGTACGTTGGGTTGCGTGACGCCAGTCGTAATCGGTACGGAAGGACCTCCTGTGCGATCACAAGTAATAAATCAAGGTAATTCACGAGAAGCTTTGTAACTGTGTAATTTTTATATCAACCCACAAAAATCTCAGAGATTAATTCAGCTTATTTAGGCAATTCACGCGAAGCTTTGTAACTGTGTATTTCTTTGTAAAATTACTCAACCCGCAAAATTCTGAGAGGAAAATTCAGCTTATTTGCATAAACCTTACCCACTTTTATTATATAATAACAGAAATTAATCTTTAAAACTTTGAAAAATAATTTCACAAAATTTATAAAATTGCAAAGTTTGAATGAATATTGAGACAATTCACTCGGTTATTTGTAACTTCGTAAAGTTACAAACCTCTGCAAAAACTATTATGGAAAAACTTCTTACAAATCTATAAAAACAAACTGTGTAAAACAAAGGGTACACAATTTAGAAGGTTCCAAACTTCTACATTTTTTAAACCCGGGTTTAATACCCGTATTTTTTTCGTTACCTCCGACATTTTGCCGCATTGCTGCCTGATACTGGACAACCGCGAGGGAAATGGTTTCATGTTTTTGAAGCACGTCTTGCAGCGCTTTCTCCGCGCTGGCAAGCGCCGCGCGGGTGGCGCCTTGTTCCTTGAAGATTGAGCGAACCTGGATTTAAAAATTGGGCAATTTAAAAAATATTTTTTTAAATTCTAAATTTCAAAACATATTAATGGCGAACCAACTTCAATAACGTATTCGTTTAAAAATTTTACAATTTTAAAATATTTCAAAATTCAAAATATTTCAGAATTTCTAATAATATATAAATGACGAACCTCGCTAACGTATTCGTCATCCGTCTCGTATTCAGCGTCATCGTCGGGTTCTCCGGTATTGTGATGTTTCTCTTTCTCGCCGGGATGCTCGAGAAGATATCTGCAAAATGAGAGGATATAAACGTATGAAAAAATATACATGTCGAAAATATACCTATGTAATTTTTGTTCAGATATTTGCATAATTTATGGAAAACTACAAAATTCATTTGCATAAACCTTATGCCACTACGCTTGCAACGGAAACATTCGGAAAAATTTTCGGTATTACTGCGGCTTGAAAAAAATTTCGCAGCTTTTCAATAAATTCAAAGTTTCAACAAAGCGAATGCAAAAATTTCCGTTGGATACAATTTTATATTTCTTTATGTATGAGCTAAACGTCATTTATGATCTGTCGGAAATGTTGATATAAAAAATTAAACTCAAAAAGATTGGCTGGTCAGTTTCTCCGGTTTTGATGAATCATTACCCACCAAAATTGTCAAAATCCACAGATTTTTAATCATTTCTCCGCTCTGGGAGTTTATTTATTTTAAAATTCTGAACCACAAAATTTGTAGAGCAGGTCGTTGCCAATTAAAAAAGATGTACACTCAAGATTTTGGAACTTTTTGAAGGAAGGTTAAGAAACCGTGGGAGAAATTGGCTTTAAAAAACTCAACCCCATTCCACTCATCAACTCACCGATTACAAATAGTCGTCCAAAATTTCAAAATAAATTCTCAGAGGGGGGAAATTATTACAAATGTGCTGATTTTGACGATTTTGGTGACTCAAACAATTTTTCGGCTATGAAAATTAATTTAAAAATGCTGGACGACAAATTTGTAGGCAGTTAGTTGATTAATGGAATGACGCTGAGTTTTTTTAGCCAGTTTCGATGTGTTCCAATTTTTCTGAAGGCTTCTTAAACGTGAGATCCCCTCCTTCAAAAAGCGTCAAAATCTGGAGTGTATATTTTTTGAAAAATTGAGAACGACTTCTACAAATTTCAGGAATTTTAAAATAAATTCCCAGACCCGAAACGTGATTAAAGATTTTTACGATGAATCATTGAGCATTAAATGTTGGTCAAAATGTTGAAAAATTACACTCACGCTTCTTTAACTTTCTTCAATTTTTCTTGATATTCCTTAAACGATTTTTTATATTGAGCAGTTTCTGATTCGCTATCGTCCTCGTCATCCAGCACGAAGGTGGGGTCGACCCCAGTTTCCTCCTTTCCACTGGGGGATGGCTGTATCGTGGGGATGCTGAAAGTGAGGAATTTTGCGACATCGTGATCATCCGCGACTCTGCCGCTTGTGGAGGCAGAAACTCCGAAATATCCGAATTCGGGGAGGGAGATATTCCAAGTGTAAAAACATGGTTCATACTCCAAATCACTGGGTTCTCGCGTCCTCCCGTTGGACGTGTACAACTGGAAAGAAATTAGTAATCGATATGAAAAACTTGGTTGTCAAAATTAAAAAAGTTTTCGAAATCATAATTTCGAAAATTTCTAGCCAACTAAAATTTGTGTGCATACATCGCTTTGCATATTATTATTTAAATTCCAGAATTTCAAGATTTCGTTTCGTAAACATAAATTGATCACGTTTTTCAAAAACAAGTTATTTGTTAATTAAATGACCGTATTTTTTTGTAGTATATGCTGTTTTTTAATAAATTTTTAATTGTTACAAATTTAACCGTCATTGAAATTTCGAAATTTCTGAAAATCATACCAACAACGACTTCTGATTATACGTAATCCTCGCCCGTGAATAGAACATTTTGTTGCGAAAATCTTTCGTGCATGAGCCAAAATATTGACCGTGTCCGTCTCTGCAAATTGTTAAACTACATTAAAATCCAATCTCCTTAATTATCAAAATTCAAATTAAATTTCCCGCCTACTTATCATTATCATAAACCTTGCTCCCATCATTCTTAATCGCGATTATGGCGGGATTATTAAAGTTGGCGTCGTTATCGTAAGAATCCCAGAACAGGCCGAGACCTTCCCAGGCCCCGTCAAATCCCCCGAATACGGAACCGGCCACGGAATCTTCTGGTTTTTCAGCCACATACCAAAATGCCAACCCATCTCCGCCCGTTTTACCACGACCGGAAATTCGAAATATTAGTTCGACCTCCCAATTTGGAAAGGTTGTCATGTTTTTAGTCCAGACGGCGCCTGTATAAAAACAGTTTACTGTAGGACTGGGTGACTTATCGTCAAAATCTGCAGATTTTTAATCATTTCTCCGCTCTGGAAATTTATTTTGAAATTCTGCACGACAAATTTGTAGAACTGATCGTTGCCATTTAAAAAAAAACATACACTCCAGATTTTGACACTTTTTGAAGGAGGAGGTCTCAAGTCTAAGAAACCCTCAGAAAAATTGGAACTCTTCAAAACTCGCTCCGAAAACTCAACGCCATTCCATCAATTAACTCGCTGACGGTAAATTTGTTGGCCAGAATTTTAAAATAAATTCCCAGAGCGGAGAAATGATTAAAAATGTGTCGATTTTGATGACGAGTCATCGAATCCTACGGTAAATGTACACCTTAAAACAGCTTAATTCTTACCTCGTTGATTTCGCAAACTTGGGGTCACGCGTATGTTTGAATCATGCGGGAGAGCGTCTACATAAATAATGAGCAACATTAAAATAATAAATTTACATGTTTTCTTTCGCATTCGGTAAAATTATATCATCGTGTTTGGCCTTAGCGAGAGGTCAAACACCAAATTGAACCTTAATTTTCTTATGCAGATGTCATTTAGTTGCACAAAATTGAATGTAATGCCAATTTTAAAATTCCGTGGAAAAAGATAATTCTTTATGTAAAAAGGTGTACTTGAAGATTACCTGGAACTGGAAGGGAAATTTCGCAACGAATTTAATGCCATCAAATTTTTTGACCTCCCACTGTGAGAGTGAGGTCAAATGTCACATAATACACATAATGGTCAAATTTGTATGGTGTCAATTTAAAGGCAATTTTAATCGCTTTAACGCTACTTTTTTATGTTCGTTTGACACGGATATTTATGCAAATTAGTACTTACTTCCTCTCCTCTCCCAGAACGGGATGGAACCATCTAGCTGCGAAAGATAAGGTCCTTTGAAGGAATATAGGTATTCAAATCTCTTAAACACTGTGGGATTCGTAAAGCCATCCGTTATATTGACGGCACTAACAGTATTAAGGGGTACGATAAGCAGTAATGATAACTTGAGGGTAAAGATAAGCCTTGAGATGAAATACTTTGATGGTTTTTTCGTAACTTTTTTAGCGAAGAACGGATCCATAATGGAACTTGGTGAAAATTTTGATTTCTTATTTTTTGCACAATTTAATTAATAAATAATTTTTTTTGCAATATTCGAAAATTTGCGGGTCAAATTATTTATTGGCAACTGGGAAGTTCTGATTGCTTATTTTTTCGCACAATTAATCAGTAAATTATGTTTTTGGCATATTTGGTTCAAATTATTTGTTGGTTTATTTTTTTAAGTTAATTACAAACTATGAGATTTCTAATTAGTATTAGAAATGTCGAAATAACTAATTTTTGAATAAATTCAAGTGCTTTGTTTCCAAAAATTCAAAATTTCGAAAATTCCATATGGAAATTTTACACGTGAAAGTGTCGGTGTAATAAAATTAGAGTAGTTGACTAACTCGCATATATTTTTTTTAATGATTACGTAACGAAACTCGGTGAGCAATAAAGGTTTAAATGTTTGAAAACATTTTATTACTTTAGTTCAACAGAAATGTTTTTGTTTTGTGGTCACGGACCTACATAAATTATTGCTTGCATGCAGTATGTAAATTAGCAAATAATTATTTTAGTGCATTTATGCATAAGCAATAAATTAGCCTGGTTTCAAGATACTATGACTTATTTAACATGATTTTCCAACCAATTTCAAGTATACTTTATTTTTTTTAACGAGATATGTTGTTTTACATAAAAATAAAGATTATGAATTAATGAATATTATTAATCAATAAATGTTATAAATACATATTATAAATACATATTAACTTAATCAGCGTATTATGCAAAATTTGCATAATACGCTGATTAATTTGCATTACAAATTAGGGAAAATAAGGGAAAACCTACTCTACTTAGGATTAATCCGGGTATCATTCATTACTGGAAATTCGACGCTTAATAAGTGAGATTCCTGCAAACCTGTTTTTCCAAAAAAGTAACTATTTACTTATAATTTTAAAATTGACGCCAAAATCTGACAAATTTTTGTGTACGTATATTTTTTCTAAATTACGAATTATTCATATTTTTTTCATAGTTATAGCCAACTGCAAGTACAATTTTCTTCAACAAAATAACATTTGTAAATTAGGTAAAAGAGGGGAAACCTAGCTGCTAAATTGGGGTAGCTTTTATTCTTAGCGAACTTTCCGGCCGTTGCAACTGGACACCTTGCTAACCTGTTTTTTAAGAATAAATATTAATTATTTGCACAAAACTTTCAAACTGGCACCAAAATTAAACAAATTTTGATAAACTATGAATTTTCTGATTTCTTTCGTAATTTGTAATCAACTTCAACTATAATTTTATTTAGAGACAGCATTGTAAATTAACCCTATACAAATTTAAAAAAATGCAATTTGTTTCAGTAGCGTTTATTAGCGGACATTCGACCCCTTCGAAATTGAAAAGCTCATTATCTTTTTTTATAGAAACGAACTCAATTATTTATTTATCATTTTAAAATTGACGTCAAAATCTGACCTATATTTATAAAAATCTATAAAATTGACAAATTTTCATAAATAAAGTTCCATGAATTAATTCAGATAGATTTTACTTGGGAATAAGCACATCTATAATAACTGATCTATGAAATTCATAGTATGAATTACGATTTTCTAAAATTCTCAAACTGGCATCAACTCACTACATATTTAAGTAACGCTTTTTTAATATCGAAAAATTTCTTTAGAAAATCGTAACCCATCTGAAATTCATTTGACACAGTCAACAGTTTTAAAACCATATTTATGATATATCAGTAAGAAAGCCAAAGTTTTCGCATATTTATAAAAATGGGAGAAATTGACAATCTATGTCATTTTAGAACTACGCATTTTCCAAAAAAAAACTTCGCACAAAGTAAAATTTGATAATCTGGCAAATTTTTGAAAGTGCGGAAATAATTTTGCTAAATTATAAATATTTTTAGTTTGTTTGGCATAATTTCGATCCGCTACTAATTAATAATTTCAATGCTTACACATCTTCTAAACTTCTTCGTTTCTTGAGACTTCAACCGATCGCGCAAGTTGCGTCTTTATACACGCCGTATGAAATAATTCATGAAAATACCATGAAAAAGGAAACACTGAGTTTCAAAATTTCCTAAAAACTAAATCATTTACCGTACAAAAATTGACACATCGTCATCAATTTCTTGAATCCCTGATACTCAAAATTACAAGTTACATATGTACATACCCCAAGAACTTTATTTTGCAAAGTTCACGAAAAAAACACACAAATGAGAAATGCATTCCAGACAATTATGTAGATTATTAAAGTCGCTTTTTAAAAACTTTGAAAATACAGTTACTGCTCATATCCCCCTAACATATGCACCTCTTTTATAGTGAAGTGATGTTGGTGGTGCCACCACCGTGGTGGCACATATAGCAAAGGCAGGTGCACTGTGTGCGGATCATTAAAAAAGTGGACAAATTATTTTTTCAGGTTCGAATCCCAGTCGGGGCGTTATTTTTGTTGACGTTTTAAGGGTGGAAGGTTCAGAAACCACAATCCCTTTGACATACGATGACCTGGTGACCGTGTGCAAGGGATAAAAATCCGAAAATTTTGTATTTCTCACTTTTCGTCCCGTCCTCACGGTCATCAGGTCATCGTATGTCAAAGGGATTGTGGTTTCTGAACCTTTCACCCTTAAAACGTCAACAAAAATAACGCCCCGACTGGGATTCGAACCTGAAAAAATAATTTGTCCACCTTTTTTAATGATCCGCACACAGTGCACCTGCCTTTACTATATGTGCCACCACCAACATCACTTCACTGTAAAAGAGGTGCATATGTTAGAGGGATATGAGCAGTAAATACAATTATTTTTTGCATACAAACATCTGCAAAAAGTGAGTTACGTATTATGAGCATGCATGGAAATTGTACCAGTTTACAAACTTATTTTGATCTATGTGTTTCCTATATTATTTGCTAGGATGGCGAGCAAGCAGATAAGCTTCGATGATAAGATTGCAACTCCGAGCCGAATGTGCATAAGTTATCAATAATAACTTATCATCATTTGGCATTTGATTGCATTTATTGGCATTTGATAAGTCACTCATCCCACCGCGGAAAATTCTATACAGCTTCTTCACACTTCCTGTCTCAGGTCTCATCTTAAAAATTGGACAAAATTCACTCCGATCTTTGTAAACGTGGTAATAAGCTGTAAATTTGTTAATACTTACTGTGTACTATTATTTTACTGTTCACTGGGCATACTCACGCATATCTTGTACATCAATCCAAACAAATGGCCACGTGTACATTTTGCAATTTTTTTTTGCAAAACAATTTGATATAAAATCTATCTTGTTCGCAAATTTACCCAGCAAATTGACATATTTTTTGCAAGCCTATTTCGTACATATTTATTTGCTAAATGAGTTACGATTGATACAAAATATTAAGATGTGAGTAGAGACCCATTTCCATTTTTACAAATTTTCATTAAACCTACAACACAAATTATGACGATTGTTTTCGTTAAATGAACAAATTTGCAGGCTTTACAAAGTTCCACGTGACCTAATTTGCATATATTCCACATTCTACAGTATTTCTTCAGGATAAGAAACAATGGACCTTTCCCAAATTATTCGAACTTGGACGAATGGAAACGCTTACGTCGAACTTTTCCTCTACATTTTCCTCGCGGTCATCGCATTCTTCGTGGTTTTCCCGTTTCTTCAAGGTACCAGCGAATCGAGCGAATTTGTCTCGCAGAAGTTAGAAAATAGTGCCAAATGCGAATCTGAATTCAAATCGTATCACGACCTCAAAGAAGCCGGACTTCTTCAGCGTGGCGATTTGATCGAATGTGAACGCGTCACGTGGACGTACGACCATTGGATGATTTACGTTGGAGGGGACGACGACGGGGTGATTCATCTCACGACGAGTCGAGAAAAAGGGACTGAGATTCGCCGGGACAAATTGAAAGACGCGGTTAAAAGTTCGAAATGTAGGATTAATAATTTACACAGTTCTGCCTTAGAGAGAGGATTATTGTATCAGTAAGTAAAATTAGTAATTGATCAGTGTTTGGCTGTTTGCACATTTTTTGCACTGCAAAAATATTGACGCCACCTAACGGCTCACCCTTTGAAACTTAATTGTTCTCAAGATGACGCTTATTTTTTGCGTTTCTTGCCCCGTGCAAGGAATGGTGCATGCATGTGCAAAAACCATTTCTTGCAGTTATTTCTAACGGGTGTTTTTTTACTGTATATAAATAATTGTTTAATGGATTAACGCTCCCGAACACAAATTTGGCAAATTTCTGCAGAAAAACTGTGTGCAGAACGATTTGCGCGAAAACTATGCAGACTTCTGTGTTTTATTTTGCAAAATAAACCCTCACTAAAATTTTCTGCATGATTATTTTTAAAAAATCATGTAGAATACAATGTGCATAAAGTTTTTGTCGATTACTACTGATTTCTAATTTTGTGCAAAATTTCTCTAGAAATTCTTACATTACCAAAATTATTACCGAACCGATGATAACAGACTAGTTCATATTATAAAACGTGTCAATTTATTTAATTTTCAGATCTCGTGAAAGCGTGGCACAACGAGCTTGGGAAGAATATGCAAAATTTCAGCAGCAACAACAAGGTTTCGTCAATGAGGACGCCGAAGCCGTGCAGTATCACTTGATGAACTTTAACTGCGAACATTTCGTAACATATTGCGCTTTTGGAACTCCTTTCAGCGATCAAGCCGATAACGCTAAGGACAAGGAAATTATCAACAACATTGCGGATCGCGTCGCCTCGTCGATTCATTCGGTGTCTGAAAATAATCAAAATACAAATAATGAGTGTGAAGAATTGTAAATATTTTATTTTACAGGGAAATAGTTTTCATAAAAAAAGTTGTGTAAATTGTGGAGTTATTTTTCTACCTCGAGACAATTCACGTGGTCCTTGGTAACTTTGTAAAATCCGTGGGTTTTTACAAACTTTTACAAACGCCCTTGATCTGGGTAACTTTACACAAAGAAGGGTACCTATTTTCATGGTCATTTTGGCCAAGCGTTTGCAAACCGCTAGAACCCCAATTTTTGCACCATTGCATAGTACAACTATTCATTTTTAGATCATGAAAAAAAAGGACGATCCCTATCACCATATTTTTCCAATTGGCATTCGCATGACCACGATTTCGCCCATTTTTGGGTCGAAATTGGGGGTTAAATGATCACTTTAGAAAAACAAGAGTTTGCATGATCATATTTGGATGATTTTAATTTTGCTGCATACATCAACTATCCGAGTATTTGTCATGAAAAAACAAAGATGATCCCTATCACCGATTTGCCACAAACTCGACTGGAGTTGGGTAACTCTGGGTTTGCAACGATAGGTGCAAAAATTCTTAAAATAATCTATATTCTTGTTGTTATGAGTGACTAAATGACCAAAAAACAAAATAACAAACAAGAATGGTTTTCAACCAATATTTACATACATCTACTTGGACATTCGCAAATTCGGTTTTGACAAGATTTCGTCATTCTTGCGAGTCTCAGCTTATCAGCTCTACTCTCTTCTCAACAAATTCGAGCCTGAGAGCCTTTCGTCCGTGTCGACGCCACCGCGCAGCGTAAACCAGCAACAACGACCACCGGAAATCGCGGAGTTGGTCACTGTCAACTTAACAAGAGGTAGAGATGCTGATCAAGGACAACGGCCTACTAAGGAAGAAAGTTATTTGGACTGAACCAACTGAAGCAGATTTAGCGAACTTTCCAATTTTGTCTATTGATGATCTTAAGAAGATAACACTTGGGACCTTCCAGATTCGAATGGCTGACCGCTATACAAATCAGCATCTCCAAGAAGAAGGTGAATATCGTCTTTTCATTCACAAAGAAAACTCGTCCCTATTTCGTGTAAAGCTGCAAAGCCGATTCAATCAACGAGCGACCCATCAGGTTTGGATTCAAGTTGATATCGGAGGACATGGTCGCGAAGCAATCGAGTCCTACTACTGCACATGTAAAACGGGATCCAGGACATTGGGATGTTGTTCGCATGTTTGTAGTGTAAGTTTTAATACTATTAAATTAATTGCATGGTCACAGTAATTATTCCGTTTAACATACACTTTTATTAATTAATTAACAGGTGTTGAAGTATTGCGGATATGATCGCCACCAACCACCAAGTACCCGGAGGAACCATCGAGCTTATTCCTTCCTCGACGCTGCCGTGGACGTTGCGGGGGAGGAGGACGACGATGAATAATAATGTGCATTTTTATTTAAATTCTGTGTGGAGTGTTAAAGTTACCAGTTTTATAATTTTTTATCAAAATGTTGTGCATTTCATGTGTAAGTGTTGAGTGCCAGTTTAAAATTCATAGTTATATGCATTCCTTCCTCTCTGTAATCTTTTTCAATATTGTCACCTTCGTTAAATTCTCCATTCGTCATTACAATGTAACCTGTTCGTTGCACATATATTCATATACTAGCGTATAGCCCGGCCAAGGCCGGGTTCTAGAGTTCCAGTGGGGGGTGTGCCCAAAGCGAAAAATCCGTCATACTATATTTTAAATAATTCCCAGTGGAGACTTTGTCATACTACATACATACATCAGACTGAGGGTTTGCCCAAGTCATACTGCATTTTAATTAACCTGGTCACAGTAAAATTTGATTCCCCCCTGTGGGAGTAGTTGAATAGCTAATTACTTAAATTCCCGTCGCGTGGGAGTAACTGCATAGCTAACTATTTAAATTCCCACGCTTCACGCTCCCGTTAAGTTCCATAAACCCCGTTAACTTCTACAATTAACGCCAAGCTATTGACGGATTCGGATTCAGCGTCAAAAATGCATTCGAATTGATATGCGACATCACGAATAAGCCAGATTTGGACACCACGGTCACGGCGAGGTCACGGGGGCCTCGCAGGTCAAAACCATTGACGGCGTTGGATTCAGCGTCAAAAATACATTCGAATCGACATGCCACTCGCTGTGGGTAGAGTTTCTCAAACTAAAATAATTAATTAATAGTGTTTATCACGATCACTTATCATGATAACCACTATTGATGAGTGATGTATGTATGTGGGGTGTACATGTTCATGTATTCATTTATTCATGCAGTGCAGTGGTTGCTCCGCTTCCTTCTTTGTCTACTGTATGGGGCAATTTGCATTGCGAAGACGGACCCAGGGATCATACTAACACTTTATTAGAGTAGATATGAGAAGAGCAGAGAATAAATATTTTTTGTGATATTTAAAATTATCTCCCCAAGTTACAAGTTACTATGCATGCCAAAGTTCCCCAAAATTGCGAATTTTATCAGTGGCCCAGGAATTATAATTAAAATCAAGGGGGCGTGGCCCAGGGGACCATCGAAACCAGGTACCCTTCTTTGTGAGCTAATTTTCCTTCGAATTATTTGTAAAATTTTGTAAGTTTACGGATCTTAAAATTACAAAGGCCTGCGTGAATTGCCTCATTGTTTTAAATACTACTAAAATAACGATTTTCTTTTTTCCACCCATGGCATAGCAATTTCTCATTTTTTATGAGTACTCTAAATTATTTTGAACATTCACTTAATATTTTGAACATTGTAAATCTTAAAATTTTGAGAAATCGTTGAAAAATCGCTCCTGAATTACCTCTAACTAGACTAATAATAATCTCATTTATCAAGAATGCATACAAACGACGCTTAATTCCAACAATTACAAAAAAATTAAATCATAGTCTAAAAATACTACATCGTAGAGAATTCTAGTATCATATCAACTAATATTGCTAAATAATTTACACAGTTGCACTTCACCCAGTCATTTGTAACTTTGTCAAATCTCATAAATTTTGTAAAATAAGTTTACACATTTTTACAAAATAAAGAGACGCCCTTGCTCTGCTCTCTGAGTAACTTTACAAAAATTTGTGAGCTAAATTTCCTTCGAAATATTTGTAAAATTTTGTAATTTTACGGATTTTAGAAAATTGCCAAGGCCTACGTGACTTCCTTCATTGTTCAAGCTTTATTTTACTAGATCGACCTCTCTACTAAAATAAAGTTTGCCTTTTTTCGACCCAATGTAACAACTTCTCATTTTTTATGAGTACTCTAAATTATTTTGGGCATTACTTTAATATTTTGAAAATTTGAAATCTTCAAATTTTGAAAGTTCCATCCATCTCATTGAACAACCCGGCGTTAATTACCTGAACCTGAATTATTAATAATCTTATTTATCAAAAATGCATATAAACGTCGCTTAATTCCAACAATTACAAAAAGTATCAATTCGTAGAGTCGAAAAAAAACACAAAATCACAGACAATTCTAATATTACATCAACTAATATTACGAAGTAAATTACAAAGTTGCAATTCGCTCAGTCATTTGTAACTTTGTTAAATCCGTAAATTTTGTAAAATAAGTTTGCAAACTTTTAAAAAATAAAAGGACTCTCTTAATCTGGGTAAACGTATAAAAATTTGGTAGCTAATTTTCCTTTGAAACATTTCCAAATTTTTGTAAAAGTTTACAGAATTTACGGAATTTACGGATGTTACCAAGGACTGCATGAATTGCTTCAATGTATGAAGGCAAGAAAGGCGTCATTTTTAACTAAACGATAATACATACTTTTTTTTAAACTGCGTAAAACTTAAATTGATAAAAGAATAAAACCAAGCTGGTAATAAAAAAATAAACACATATTTGAAATTAATTTACTCCTTTATTCTTCCATTGACATTAAATAGGAATACTTTTTTAATTACGTCAACCTCAAATTGGTAAAATAATATAACCAAGCTGGTAATAAATAAATAATTGAGTAAATGAAGTTGTCTGACGCCGTTTAGAAAGATTGATAAGTGCTTGAATACAATAAAGTCAGTTAGATGATGTTCAAATTTGTGTTGAATTTGTGTATATCAAATTAAAGTTAAACATACAACGACGCAGTTCACGCAGTCATTCGTAATTTGTAAAATCCCATAAATTTTGTAGCTAAAACAATTTTTGCAAACTTTTACAAAATAAAAATACGCCCTTGATCTGAGCAAGTTTTCAAAAATTTGAAAGCTACTTTTCCTTCGAAATATGTGTAAAATTCTGTAAGTTTACGAATTTTACAAAGTTACCAAGAACTGCGTGAATTGCCCTAATGTAAGTTTACAAATATTTGGACCTAAATGGTAATACATACCCTTTTTTACTGGGGAAACTAAAATTTGTAAAAAAAAATATAACATAACCGCGCTAGTAATAAAGAATTATACAAAATTTTATAAATTTACGCCTTCATTCTTCCACTAAAGACCAAACCCAGAGAACTATCGGAGTTATACTCACCACTAATATGAAAATGAAAAGATATTCATTTTCTTCGGAAAATTTCGCAATTTTTTCTAAAGTTGGAATTACATGATTCAGCAAAAAATTAGTCAGAATTTCACTTCTTAATACATTATTTTGTACCCAATCTAATTTACAAGCGTAATAAATTCCCATATAAATAATGAAAATTTCAACAAATCCGGTATAAAAGTTGGCACTGTAAAACTCATAAATCACATCGGCTTGAATGCTGATGCGTTTCCCGAAGATGCAAAAAGTGGCGAAATGTTCGCAATTTTCGGTTAATTCGTTATACTTTAAAGTGCCGGATTTCGATAATCGAAGGTAGGACACAATAGTGGCATAAATTTCGGAATCTTCTCTACGTGTTAGGTTGTGAAATTTGGCAAATTTTTCCAAATTGTTGATCCTGAGTGATAAGTAAGAAATTATTTAGTTGTATTTTTGTATAAGTATTTTTTGTATTATATTGGGCATACTCACGTTAACCTTCGCATACCTCGCAAATTGAACATATGTAGCAACTAAATAACTTTTAGCAGATTTCGCAAAAGTTTTGCTGGAAAATTATGAGATTTTTGGCAAACTTACCCAGCAAATGAGGATATTTTTATTTCGCAAACTCATCCTTACATCCTCATCCTTACTCATCCTTTTACTGTACCATCAGAAATGCATCGAGAACTATGTTTTTACAACTTTTGTGAGATTTGCGAATTCATATTTTGCGAATCCCCTCATCACGACGTACACACATATGTAAATTTGTCGAGCTTTGCAAATTTTCTAAATGAGTTACGATGCTAAAGAAGACGTTGGCGTGAGTACGCTCATTATTTAATGGGATTCTTGGCGAAATATTTCACCTGCAGTTAGCACCATCTGCCGCATCCTTTAAGCTGTCCGTATTAATTTTTGCAACTTTACTTCCCGGCGTATTTACCCAGTGATATACAGTATCAGTTCCCCTGTATATACCGAAATGGTTAAATTGACGAAAAAAGTTGGCAAAATACCAGGCAAAATACCAGTTGGAAGTTCTGTAAGGCAAAATTGTTGTAAATTTCTTGATAATAAAAATCAATAATAATAAAATATTTGAAAGTAATTTTTTGAAGGATCAAATTTTGAAATTTTGATTATTATTTGCGTCTTCCTTTTATTCATTTTTTAAATTTTGTTGCCAAACTATACACCTGTGGGCCACACTATATAAAGAATTCAGCGGTAATCTCCCCGTTACGAACATTGTTTCGTTTAATGCGGGTTTGCCACATTTCTTGCACTGCAAAGCAAGCACCGCATTAATAACTACTGTAAATTTTACAAGCTTTTGAATTTATCAGGTTAGCTAAATTTTCTAAAAACTTACATTTCAAAATCTTCTGAACAAATTTGAGATTTTAAGGTGAACTTTGTATGTCGTCAAAGTTGGACGGTGTTAATCAAAATGTGTGAAAATTGCGTATTAAATAGAATATAAAGGTAGGATTTGATTCATTGAGAATGAGCTAAGGCAAAAAATATTTCACCTGTTTAATTATTTATATTCGAATTTTTGATTTGATAAAGCACCACTCAAAGTTTTATAATTTCAAAAAAATAATTTGTACAACGGCACTTTCTTGTCGTTATTAATTGCAAGTGATAACTTGTGCAAAGCAAGAAACAAAAAATATTTGCGCCATCCCGCCACACGCCGTATGGAATCTAGCGGCGGGACATTTATAGTTTCTACCGCCGTGCATTTCTTGCAGGTAAGAATACCTTCAAGAAACCACTTTCTTGCCCTTATTTCTTGCACTAGTTTTAGGAACAAATCCCATATTTTTAAAATCACATACTCAATTCTCTTGGTAGGTCTTTCAAACTCGATTAGATCCCAAGGTTTCAATTTTCCTCGGATTTCTTCACACGGAACGTATCCTTCATACGTCTGGTACAAACTGTGGGCTTGAATGGACCTTCTCAGAAACGGGAGCAGAATCCAGAACGCCGCCAGCGTCGCGAATAGCTTCGGTTGAGGAATAAAATAATAGAAAATGAGGACAGAACTCACTTTCAGGGTGGCGTAAGCACCGAAAAATTGGTATATTAGCACCAAGCAGGCAACAAATAAGGCCGATGCTTTCACTCCTTCGAGAACTTTCTCAACAGTAAATTCGATCATTTTACATAAATATTATTTTAAAATACACACGATTTCAAACGAAAAGTATGTAAAAGTAAGTATGCCGGCTTTGCTAATAACGATTTTTCATTCGTTGTGTATGTAAAATAACAGGAGATAATTTTTACTGTAATCCCATCCCAGATAAACATAACGTCTGTCATCGGTCGGCCACTTATCAAATTTATGCTTGATGATAAGCCCCCCGGATGCACGTGCAGTACATACATACTTCGACATCATACTATTATACTGCATGTAAATTCCATGCAGAATTTTGGATTGGCAAAATTAGTTGCAGAATTACCAGAATTTTGTGCAAATAATGCTAGAATTTCATGTTATTAATTCCAGAATTCCGTACACTCTTAGAAAACTAGTAGTACATCATTACTGACCGAAGTACATGTATGTATGACTCTACCGGCACTGGTAATAACGGGCATTCCGATTTAGTAATGTTGCGGTACTGACAAATTTACCACTAAGAAACAAATCACCACCATTCAGGTATGAAGTTATTACCAAATCAATACCAGCACGTGACTCTACCAGATTTTGAAGTATACCTACAATTAATCCCAAAATTGTACGCAGATTAATGCCACCCGAGTAATATCAAGTTTCGATTCGTGGACAATTGTTGGTTAAAGAAATAGTATATACAAACTAACGCGGAAAATGTGGCATATTACAACTGTTTCAAAGCAGGCTGCCTATGCGAAGTTGTGAATAATTAATATTAAGAAAGTTTTACTTGCATGATTTTCTATTCTATTCTACACCAATTAGGTGCAGAAAATTATGTACCTTTTGTCTCCGTTAAATTTATTCCAGCCAGTTCATAAAAATGAATTAGTGTTGAAGGTAATTCATGCTGGACTGGACAGGACGATGATATTGACAGCTCGTCACTTCATGTGTGCATTACAGATAATTGTATAAATAAGTGCATTTTTACGATATTTTTTTAATGTTAGAAGGTTGGCTTATCTTTTTATTTGGAAATACCAATCTGTCCATTTAAAAAGGTTATCAAACAAGTAACTGTCTAACAAATTTAGGACTCGGTAAAATTACGTGGTCTCAAACCTGGTACACAGGTCACATTTTTTGACCCACTCGTTACGAGCTCGCAGTTTCGCATCCCAACACATTTTTTGAAAAGTTAGAAATTTCCTGAAACTGAAGTTCAGCGAATCAATTTTTAGCAATTTTTAAAAACTTTGTTCTTATTATTATAAGAATCATGCGAACTTGTCATGAATATTCAAATATGTAAATTCCACATAATTTTGCCAATTCCCATCAAACACGTTTCCGACGCCTATTTATGTGCTTGTGGCTTAGAAATTTTTTCATTTAGAAAATTCTCACCATTTACAAAATTACTTATCAAAAAATGCAACCAAAATAAAAAATTACGTAACCTCCGTCAACTTATATTTACATACGCATGATACCATATCAAACTTTCATGAATGCATTCTTCCTCCCCGATAAAAGAAAAAAACAGAATGAACATTCCATCAAAATGGCATCATCTCCCCTTCCACCTAGTGGTCGCAACGGTTCTCGGTTCTCATAGAACCGAACCGGAACCGATGGCTCCGGTTCCGTTCCGGTTTATACTGAGAACCGAACCGAACCGAAACTTTTATTACCGGTTCGGTTCCGGTTCCAAGTCTTTGAGAACCGAACCGAACCGGCCGGTTCGGGGTGAACCGAACCTCATACATAAATTAGCGAAACTTTTCCGAATTTCCCGAACTACACCTCCTAGTTTCCAAATGAAACTTTTCACCCCCAACGTTTCCAAAATGTAATTTTAACTTGCTGACACGTTTCCAAAATGAATTTTTGACTTGGTCACACCCTCCAAGTTTCCAAAATGAAATTTTGATTTGGTTACACCCCCAAAGTTCCAAAAATAAAATTTTGACTTGGTTACACCCCCAAAGTTCCCGAGATGAAATTTTGACTTGGTTACACCCCCAAAGTTCCCGAGATGAAATTTTGACTTGGTTACACCCCCAAAGTTTCCAAAATGGTATTTTGACGTGGTTACACCCCCAACGTTTCCAAAATGGAATTTTGACGTGGTTACACCCCCCAAAGTTTCCCAAATGGTATTTTGACGTGGTTACACCCCCAACGTTTCCAAAATGGAATTTTGACGTGGTTACACCCCCCAACGTTTCCAGAATGGAATTTTGACGTGGTTACACCCCCAACGTTTCCAAAATGGAATTTTGACGTGGTTACACCCCCCAACGTTTCCAGAATGGAATTTTGACACGGTTGCACCCTCAAACTCGGAATTGTTTTCTAACTTCAATAACTGGTTTTGCCGTTGACATGCATTAGAATTTGCTTGTTTAAATATAGATAAGTTATTGACTTGTATGTGATATTTCATCAAAAAAACGTCAATTAGAATTGTTTGTTGTTTATTGCATGTTTATTGCATATTGATAACACTACCGGTTTGATCCGAACCGCCGGTTCTATCACGGTTCTGGCCGGTTCCGGTTCGGTTCCAGTTAAAAAAAGTTCGGTTCTGTTTCGGTTCTTCAATTCTGGTTCTCGGTTCCAAACCGGTTCTTCCAAGAACCGAACCGAACCGAACCGTTGAGACCACTACTTCCACCCAACTTAAAAATACTCCTACCACAAAATTACCTCATCTCCCTCATTAAGCAATAACAATACAATTCATTGTTATCATCACCCTATTAAAAATATAATATGCATGATCAATTACACCTTATCCGACATACTGCAAACTAGTGTAAACATGATACGCGCCCTTGAAATCAAGATAAGCCTGTTATTTTGTACTAAATTCCAAGTCTATTACCTCAGCCGAAAGGTACACACGAAATTAATTATTACATTGTCACACTCATATTTTTACCATTTCACGGATGACCTGGAATGTTCCCAGGTTTTCAATTCAGTCGATTTCTGGACGTTGCTCAGCCCACACAATTTTTCACCGAGGTCTCGACGACATCCTTCCTGACGAAAGTTGTACTAGCCGCGACGACAACGACGATCGGAATTTTGCTGGTTTTGCAAAGACAGAAATCTTTTTCGAATTTTAAAAATCAGGAAGAATTAGATATAAAAATGGAGCCGGAACAGGATTTGAGCAGCAAAAGTGGGGGGCACAAGAAGGGAAAGAAGGGATCAGTTAAAAAAAGTGGGGGTGGTGGAGATATCGCAATTGCGGTAGAAATCCCACCCCCACCACAAAGTCCGACGCATGATGGTGAGTTAATGAGTAGTTTTTGGTATTTATAAATTTGTAAAGTTTGCAAATTTTGTTAAAATCCGGATGAGAACAATTGTTTTAAGCAATTTTTGCTTAAAACTCTGTAAAGTGTGTGAATTAAATATGTCAAAATCCTTTGGGTTAACTTTTTAGGACAGCATATTTTTTGACGATTTTTTACACCATTTCAGATTTATTACATATTTATATCGAAGTCAACTTTTGGAAACAAAAATTATGACTTTTTCATACAAAATATTCAAGCGTTGAGTTCGATAAAATATGTAAATTCAGAGCAATTATTTAAATAGACCACACATGTAAGAAAGTTTTCATCAAAAGTTTTTTTTACGAAAGCCTGAGAGCTTTCGTGATTTTACGACTTTTAACCAATTTCAGTCCGGCAAAATCATCTATGATTCGAAAATTATGAATGAGTAATTGTGTGACTATCACGTCTTAATGCAAATTCGATAAAAATTATTTAACCTTGGAAAATTTAGATCCGTCGGAACTCTCAAGTTTTATCGGTTGGCGTACTCCAATTATTTTTTTAGTAAGGAAACTTTCTCGGAGAAAGTTTCCTTGCAAAAAAATGGAGAAAGTTTCTCCGATGTGAAAATGTTAAAAAACGTAATTTTTTTAACGCATTCTCTAGCAATTTTCTCCGAAATAGTTTTATAAATGCAAATATTTTGTGAATATATGAGGGTGTTCATTACGAGTTTGCATATTCGCATCGCAGCATAATTTTAAAAAAATTGTGAACTAAATTGGAGAGATACGCAAGTTCACAAATGCATTTTCAAGTCACAATATTTTTGCGACCTTTTTTCAAACGTGATTAACGATACGAACTCTCAATCATTTTTGCAGACGTGGAAAAAGAGGTTATCATGAAGTTCGCAAATGAATTTTCCAGTCACAATTTGCAAATTTGAGAACTTTTTTTGCTAACGTTGTTAACTCGCAATCCTCATTGTCTCAATTTTTTGCAGAAGTGGAGAAAGAGGTCACCTTGAAGGCAGAGATTAAAGAATCGAACCATCCCGAGAAAGAGGTGATCCTTAAGGTGGAATTGGGTGACCCCAACATTCCAGAAAAAGAGGATGGTTCCATGACCGAACTTCTCCTCCTTGGGAGTCGTGAGGCAGAAAGGAATTTGCTCGTTCTGCTTAATAAACGGTTGGAACGTATCATCGAAAAAAATCGACAACTACAGGCAGCCAATAATCAGTTAATGACTCAGGTACGGTAAAAAAAATCATGCAAAATCAACTTTATTTATGAGGACAATTCTGCAAAATGCTGCAATTTCAATCATTGAGCAAAATTGCATATCGAGTAGACAAGTCTTTTTGGCTAAATTTGTCATAAGTTTTGCAAATTAGGTTGATAATAATTGGGAATGATTATCGCTACAATTCGGTAATAAAATGGAGACAAATGTCCTTAAATTTTTCTAAACTAATTGTTTTTTTCTTAGGTGAAGGAAAAGTAACCATAAAGTGATCATGTTAAAAGATCACCATGGTTACGGCGAAGCCTAGGTATGCATTCAGCTGCAACTTTGAGAAACTCCCACTGAGATTTCTCCCCAACCGTTCGTTGTACGGAAAACATGTTGAAACAAAATAGTTAGAGAATTCGGTTTTACAGTGACATTTTTCTTATTTTTTCCAAATTCAAATTCCTTCAGGTAGAAAGTCCGATGCCTAAAATTTCAAATCCATTTCTTGGCACCAAGGAAGTCTTTCCGACCGGGGGCTTGCCATTTTTATTATTCTCCAGGATAATACATAAATTTTAAGCCTTTATTCGACTTAATCGGATGAAAACTCACGGAATTATAGCTTTTTGAAATATTTCCATTAAGCAACCTATTTACGTATGTATATTTACGTGTTACTGGTTGCTAACGTGCTCTAATAATTTATTTAGCATCAATATTCAATACTCAACATAACCAATGTTGCTAGACAATCGAATTACGTTATTATTAGATCGCTAAATGTCAACGTATGTTGCAACAGAACAATCCTTAAAATTCAGAAACTGGGGGAATAAATTTGTTAACCGCGCATCCACCCACAGGAGAATTAACAACGTTTAAGATTTTATAATTGCATCTGATTTTATGCATATAAATTCACAAATCACTAAAAATAATTAAATAAATAAATTTTAAAAAACAAACTTAGGTGAAGGACGCGCTTAAAATATTAAAACAAGAAGCATTAAACAATGTCATAAATCGTTTAATATTTATTAACTTTCACTTCACCGGGGGCCCAACTAACACAGGAAAAAAGCTATACTTTCAAGCATTTGGAACAATTATACGAAATACGTAATATGTATTTGTATACACACTTGCAAGATTTGAATGGTTATCTTTCAATAAATTGCGACACCTCTTATAGAGAAATTTGTTCATGTTCTGGCGTATTTTAATAATTCCCCCTGTAATGCTGCACTTAATATTTAATCAAGTCATTGGTTTAGCTACATTTATTGTTGATTATCATTGCTCTGAAAATTTAATAGTTGGGCCCACGGTGAAGTAAAAGTTCATAAATATTAAACGATTTATGACATTTTTTAATGCTTCTTGTTTTAATATTTTAAGCGCGTCCTTCACCTAAGTTTGTTTTTTAAAATTTATTTATTGTGCCATGTAAACCAATTCGGCCAGGTAACCTTCCAGATCTTATTGTCTCTATTTTTTAACGAACTGTAATGGTGAATAGTTTATTTTTCACGAACAAATTTTTACTTTGCATGCAAAAATTCCCAACTAAAAATCCCATAAGCTTTAAAACATCATATTTAACTCTTTTTTAGTTGGAGGTAGAAAAGGAGCAATGCAGCGCAAAAGTAACCGAGGTCACCACCAGAGCGAACGGCGACCTAGAAAAAGCGCTCAATGACCTGGCCAACGCCAAAAAGGAAATCACCGTCCTCACATTTAAACTTGGCGCGGTTAAGAAGGAAGGAGATGATGCTAGAAATAGGTAAGTTTTCCAAAATCCTGGCATCCCATCAATTTTAGAAAGTTACACCAAAATTTCAAACCACAATTTACCTCCAATTTTCTGAATTTTTCGAAATAATTATCCGAAATTTACTTAATTCACGAGTCTCTGCAGAAATTTTGAAACGTTTGAGGAGAATTTACTTTGAAAATTTTACATACATGCATTTCCAAATTTTTCGAAATAATTATCCTAAGTTTACTCAATTTATGAGTGAGTCTCTGCAGAAATTTTGAAAAGTTTGAGGAGAATTTCAAAACACAATTTGCTTTGCAAATTTTGCACGCATTTCCGAATTTTTCGAAATAATTTTCCGAAATTTAATCTAGCTTACAACGCTCCCTGGACGAAGTGGGGCGACTTAAGAAACAAATTGCCGACTTAGAAGCGCAATTAAACGATGTTACGAACAAGCTTAAGAAAACGACCGAAGTTAAAAATAAAACAGAACGAGAACTTAACGTAAGTCGTGGCGTCCTTGTTATCATGGTTGTTATTATGCACATAATAATACAATAAAGATAAGTGCAACGAGTGCTTATCATGGCCATTCCAACACACCGGCCGGTGGCTTATCTTCAATGGGAATGTTGCAACAATAAAATGAATTTGTTTACACAGGAATGGAAGGAGGAGGCCATCAAATTGGGACAAGTTCTTCAGGTAATTATTATTTAACAAGGCAATTAATTACATAAGTTATCGGGATACAAAAAACAGTTAAAAATGAGACTCATGATAATCTACGCTTACGCAAAATATATTTTTTTGCAATGTGCGAATAATTTGACAAACATAATTTGTTTAATGAACAATACTAAAAAAAACTATATTGTGTAGAATTAACCCATGAAAATCTTCGCGTATGCAAAGCTTAGTTTTTTTGCAGTGTGCAAATAATTCTGGGGAACAATAATTTTTTAACGAACAATAATAAAAAATATAAGCAGAATAGACTCATGAAAATTTACGCTTATGTAAATTTTTTTCAGTGTGCAAATAATTTGGCGAACAATGATTTTAATGAAAAAAAATAACCAGAAAAATATATTATGCAAATTTAAAAAAATAATAATTCAAGAAAATTGCCGAATAAGCATACCCTTTAAAATTAATGGTTTTTTTGATGTAATTAATGGTATTGTTAACTTGCAAAATTTTCCAGGACACTAAAACCGAGCTTGAAAAAGAAATTTTAGCCAAACTCGACTTGGAGGCTCAACTTAAGGGTGAAATTCAAGAAAAAACTATGAAGACGACGCTCATCGAGACGGAAATGATTCAAATGAAGGCTACAGCAAATCAATTGCTGCACGAACAAAATGAGAAACAGCAAAAGGTTAATAGAAACCAAAAATTTGAAAGTATTTATTTTAAAAAATCTTTAAATTCAAATTTTTTCAGGAATTTGAAAGTATGTTGGAGAAAAATATGAAAAATCTGAGGGACGAGTATACCCGAAAACTGGTGGAGAACAAGGAAGAGCAGGCCCGTCTGTATGAGGAGAAGGAACGAGACCACATCACAAATAAGGAACAATTGAAGAATAATTTGGCCGAAAAGGGAGCCGAATTAGAGAAAACTTTGAAAGAGGTGAGATTACATGGGTGGTACAAAAGTTGTGGAAATGCAATCGGGAATATTTTGCAAAATATTTTGCAAACTTCAGCAAAATATTTTGCAAACTTCAGCAAAATATTTTGCAAACTTCAGCAAAATATTTTGCAAACTTCAGCAAAATGAAGAGACTTTTGGAAAATTTAAGTCAAAACATGAACATAGATCTCGAACACTGCTTACTTAAAATACAATTTATATTGTAGCATGATGCACAAAAATGCGTAAAGACGTCGAACTTTGTCAAATACTTAGACAATTCACGCAGGCTTTGGTAACCTCGTAAATTCCCTAAACTTTCCAACTTTTACGAAATTTTACAAATATTTCTGAGGAAAATTAGCTCCCAAATTTTTGTAAACTTGCTCAGATCAAGGGCGTCTCTTTTTATTTTGTAAAAGTTTGTAAAATTATTGTACAAAAAGCACGGATTTTATAAAGTTACCAAAGATTGCGTGAATTGCCTCAATTTGTCCGAAATGTAACTTCATAATCTCACGTAGTACTTCCCACATGGAAAAATTCCTAAAAAACGAGTAGAAATATTGAGAAATTTATATTATTGTACGGTCAAGAAATCGTGCAGGTTTAATATGAAGCAAATTTCAACTTGGAATTTCCAACAAAAATTTTACCTAGTTGTAAACTTGCAAGTCGAATTACTTTGGAAACTATGTAAATAATTCACGTCAACCTTCGTAACTCTGTAACTCCGTAAACTTACAAAGATCAGCTTACGAACCAAAAACATGCGTTTCATCTTCGTAATTCTTCGTAGGTGAAAATTCCATTCGAAAAGTTCGTAAGTTTACGTGGTTACGAAGGCTGACGTGAATTGCCTCAATATTTTCGCGTTCAAATTTCCAATCATCGAATCTGAAGCAGAGAGGGTGTTTTCTTTACCTGTTTTATTTAATTTTTCTGTAATATTTTCATTCATCAAATTTTTTTCGGCGTATTAATCACTCAAATCTTAACATGTAATATTTTCATTCATCAAATTTTTTTCGGCGTATTAATCACTCAAATCTTAACATTTTTTTTGTATTTATTTATATTTATGAAAAATCGTTAAAATATGTATTTAATATTTAGGCAAAAAAAAACACCAAAATATTTACCCAAAGAACATAAAAATACAAATTTTCAAAACATTTCAACTGCTGAACATAATACTCTTAATTTTTTGTGCACAAATTTCTTTTAGCAAAAAAAATTCGCCTCCCCATCGTTGAAATAACATTTCAATCATTTCTCATATATTTTGTAACTAATTTACAAATTATATACGTATTTATGACAAAAAAATCTAGAAGATTTGCCAATTTTTCAGTATTTCTGGCAAGTGGTTACTTTGTCACCATAAACATTGACCCTCTCTTTATGAATAATTCTAGGTAAAAACTTTAACCGAATCGGTCCGCCGTCTCGAAACTGAACGCCACGCCCTTCTCGTTCAACTCGACGATTTGGAATCCGAACGTAAAGCAGAACGTGCCAAACTTGAGGCGGAAATTGCGAACAGAGATGAATTATTGAAAGTCAAGATTCGCGAGCAGAACGAATTATTGGACAGATGTCAGCACTTGTTGGATGTTAAGGTTGCGCTTGATAATGAATTGGCCGCTTATAAAATCTTGTTGGATACGGAAGAATCGCGGTAAGCAGATAGTTTTAAAATTATAACTGCGGTAAATTTAAAATTTAAAACTAAATTGAATTAAATTTATTATTTAGTTTGGAGATTGGCGAATTTGTTAAGAAGGATGAAAACCAGAATTTTGCTCCTCAACAGCAAACTGCAGCCTGATTTCGAAATTAAATATTTATTAATATATCCTTAATTAGTAAATTATCCGAATAATTAACCCGAATTGACTGATTATTATTTTGTCTGAAATAATTTTTTTGTCAGAGTGATTAATTAAATGAAGTGCTCGTTAATAAAAAAAATATAAAAATTGCAAAAATATTTCGCATCCCGTTTTCGAAGAATGTTTACAAGATTCACACCATATGTGCATTGCACGGACAAAAATTTGCACTAAATTTGCATGAAAATGAATCCGTATTAATGTCTCGATAAACTGCATGGGACAAATATTTGCAAATTTGCATGTGTTACTTATTCTGCTTAATAACTGACATTCATCTAACTGAATTATACACATACACAAACTTATCCAACATTATTGTGATACATAGATAATCATAATCAGATACTTACTTGGTCCAGCAATGATTACAGATATACTATAATCCTAAACTTGAACCACCTGTAAATTCAAGCAAGGTTAATCATTTTTTGTATAACAGATTAATAAAAATGAACAGTATTCCACAAAATATTTACAAATCTGTGTCTAATCTCTAATCCATTCCGATTTAAGTGGCTCACTTTTTAATCTTAAATCCCAAAATGATAAACCATAATAACCAAAAAGGCCCAGTTTACTGCAAGAATTTGGCATGACTTAAATTAAGTTTTAATACAACTTTTAATATGTGTCCATATGTTGTTATATGTACTTACGTGAAATAATAACTTTCTGACCCCTGAAAATGGAGGAGGACGGATTGAAAGAAGTGCAGGAAAGCAGTATTCGCAAACATCTCTTAAAATTGACCAAGCTCACGAGAAATTTAGGAAAATTGTTGGACAAACTTTACGAATATGATGTACTCGACGGGGACAAAGTGAAGGAATTGGTAAAATAATTAGTTGCATATTTAATATTGCGTAACTCTGCAAAATTCCTTTACTTACAGAATTAAAAATATTTATCCATGCACATTTAAAATAAGCTCGATTAATCGAGCTTACTTTAAAATAAAATTTTATTTTAATCTAGGCGACTTTAAACTTAATTTACATAACGATTAGAAGTTACAAAGATTTGCGTGAAGGTGATTTATTTATATGTACATGGAAAGATTTACTACGAATTTCATATCAATTCGTGATTAAGAACGATATTTTTCTGTAAAATTAAAGTTAACAAATGTCAAGTTACAAATCATTTGCAGGCTAAAAGGTTCTTAATATTTTTTTAAGAAATCAAAATATATTATTCATCATAATCAGATTGAATCTGGGTACTTCTTTTGTAGATTTTATCTCAAAATTGAAATGAAAATGAAGTAGCAAAAACTTTATAAATGTGAAAAATGACGTAAAAAATTGTAAAAATTCGGATTTTCTCAGAACCCAGAACTGTTTCAGTCAAAAACTTCCTTCATAAATGTCACAAAAATGAAGTCAAACACTTAAAATTATGAAATTGTCTCGTCTTAGAAGTGTTGTGGCGATGATGAGACGGCCGCCCATCTCTTGTATGAGATGGTCATTCCCAAATTGCCCGACGCTTTTGACCTCCTCCTCTTCTCCTTGAGGGACACGGACAACGACCGGCTCGCCCAGCTTATCGAGGATACCGCACTTTTCGGCGGGAATGGTCGGGTGCGGACAAGTTCCTAATTTGCATTAAAAATTAAAATGCATGGCGTTAGAATTTCAATTATTCATCAAATGCAAAATAAATTTCAATTTAGCGTCGTATTCGCCGACGATCTTCGGCTTCAGAGCAGTATACAAATCAGGAAACGAGAAGTTTGCTTGGTAAGAGGGAGATGGAGGCGAATTTTCTCGGGAAATATAAATTTTAAGGGGTTTTCAATGTTCGAGATTTAAATTAGTGCATGAATTTGGACTCGATCGGAGTCGAATCCCAAAATACCGGATTCAGATTCAAGAAATGGGGAATCCTAAAAAAAAGGACTGAGTTCATGCTCGAACCCGAATTCGGGTGTCCGGGAATCCGAATCTGACTCAGATTCGTGTCGAGGATTAATTTAATCGTTGTTAAATTTTTCGAAAAAATAATAATTGTTCGAAAATTAAGAAAAATTTTGAAAGCCTTTTTTTAATTGCCCCATTATAAAAAACTTAACTTCAAAATCTTCTAATCTCCCAGTACGCGATGGGGAAATGGGAATAGCGGAAATATTAGAAGATTACCCGGAATATTCGAAATGTGGGAACAGCTCTTTATCAAATTTGTCGAAAATATTAAAGATCTCCGACCCGAAGCAGAAATCTGACAATTTTGTCCTTGAGGCGACCCTTCTCTTGCGCAAGTGGGTGGAGACCATGGGCGCTAAAGCGAATGTGGTCATGTTAACGGCTCTCTTTGACAACGAAGGAAATCATGAAGCTGCAGGTACTTCCAAATTTTTGGAGAATTCAATTACGTAAAGATTTGAAACATTGGAATAATTTTTGATTCGGAAAAATTTTCGAAATGCAAGGTTTTACAAGATTTTTAATAAGTTTTCATGCATATGAAAATCGGGAAATATTGTTTTTCTACGTGAATCCAACTTAAAAAAATATGTATACCTAACTATCACTTTATGCAAATTTTACTTTCATCAATTTGTAGCCCCAAATTGAATCGATCCTTTTATCGATTTAGACCAAATTGGCACATTTTTAATTTTTCAAATTTCAAATTTTATCATTAGTTGATTAAATAGTTGATTCAATTTGGGGGCAAAAATTGATGAAAGTAAAATGTGCATAAAATGCTAGTTATATTTTTTTGAGTTGGATTCACGTCAAAAAAATTATTTCTTAGTTTCCTACGTAAAAAATATTTATAAAGATCGTTAATCTCCGTAGGGTAGTGGTTACATAATTTAGGCAGAGAAAAATAATTAAACTACATATTCTTCTGAAATTCATAAAATTTTCATAATTTTTCCATAAAAAATTATTATAAAAATTATAACCAAACAGTAATCTGATTGTTTTCTTCGCAATTTTTCCTCAATTCTGCAAGCAAATCTGTGTGGTTATTAATAAATTACAAATACTGATAACTATTTTACTGACGTATTAATTTCACAAAATTACGCAAAAATTACACAATTTCATAATTACATAATTTTATGTAAATTATACTTTCACCATTTTTTTCTTACTTGTTTTCAGAACGAATCCGACAAATGTTCGACTCATTTATCGATTCCGGTTTCGCTTTCGACTTTCCGGGACATTTCACAAGTAAGTTTTTTACAATAAGAACCATTTTGATAAGCTCTTATCAAATTTCCATATTTAGCTGAATTACTATTTTATGCAAATAGTTGCTGGAAAAGAGGCGAAAATTGCCACCGTTCTAGCAGACAATCCTTCCTTTTGCATGTACCCGGAGCGTCTCTTCCTCCTGTTAACGCTTCCATATGACGAAATTGCGAACTTTACAAAGGAAAATAGCTTTCTGCCCAATGCCACCAAAATGTTGAGGGAGTGGACCCTTTTCGCCCCAGATGCCTCCACCCTGGACCATTTAGCGGCTAGGTTGGCGTTTAATGGGCATTTTTGCAGTGCGGGTAAGTTATGTGGGCGCAATTCACTAAAATATTCGTAACCCTGTAAGTTTTTTTTGTAAAAACTTACAATCAAATTTTAGCTCTTACAATTTTGTATCAAGACTTTTACATATTTGCAAATATTTAGTGCGTTTTATGAAATTAGTTAAGTAGTAAAAATAGTAAATAATGAACACAGTTTACTAAAATATTCGTAACTTTGTAAAATTTTTTGCAAAAATTTACACCAAGATTTTGTATTACATATTCATTTGGTACAACTCGGAATTTATTAAATTGACAAAGTTTACGGTGTTACAAAAATTAATTGAAGTGAATCGGGTCATAAAATATTCCATGTTTCTGAATTTTATTTTTGAATGGATGCAGTTCACCAAAATATTCGTAACCCTGTAAATTTTTTGCAATAATTTACCCCGAGATTTAGCGTCCAAACTTATTTATAAAATTTTTCGTTTACATGATAAAAATCGATTTTATGAAATTTACAAGTTTTACGCCGTTAGAAATATTGAAGTGAATGGCGTCAAAAATTAGTTTTTATAGGTGCATTGTTTAACTTATCTTTTATGAATTTTCAGAAAAAATTTCGCATCTTTAACTCCTCCAAATAACCCCTAAAACTAAATATCTTATGAGAATAATTTCTTCGAAAGAAAATCAAAAATTTCAAAATTTTTACATTTATTAATTTACCATTCTCTCGCCCTTACAAAAATCCTTATTTTTACACATTTATTAATTTTTGTGAAAAATAAAGTTTACAAAAAATGTAAATAAGAAGACTAACCATAAAATTTTTGCTTTTTGACCGAATTTCAATTATTAAATCTATGATTCCATTCGAATTACACTTTTTTGGGGTCACCCGGCTCCGAATCTGACGTGAGGGATCGTCCCGCATGCAAATCTTCCGGCTTTGGTTTTGGTTTAGTGAAACCACGCCCCTTTCCGCCTCCGTCTGGAAAAAAGTAAGAAAAAATGCATAATTAATTAGTTAATTATCGTCATTGTTTACTAATTAATTTGGACCACAAATAATGGAAGTGAGCACGCAAGTGATGAAGTCGACAACAAAATTGTACTGATGTATGAACAAAAATCTCAATTTGCCCGAATAGTGTTAATTTAAGAGCAAAATCTCATTTTGCCTCAATAATGTTAATTTAAGAACAAAATCTCATTTTGCCTCAATATTGTTAAATCCCTGATCGATATTGGTTAGTTCGTTAATTATTTAATTAATTAGAGATTAATTAAATACCGATCGATTAGTGAAAGTTAAATGTTAAGTGAGGCAAGATGAGACTTGTGACTTTTCTTAAGGATACCTCCTTCATCATCACCCCAACCACCACCCCCACCACCACCACTACCCTTACGGCTACCCCCATTATTATTATTTCTGCCAGAACCACCCCCACCTCCTCGACCGCCGCCGCCGCCACCCCCGCTCCCGCTCCCGCCACCGTTCCCATCGCCATCACCCCACCCGCCACCACCGCCACTCCCACTGCCTCCGCCGCCGCCGCCCCCATTGCCCCATCCGCCACCACCTCCGTTCCCATTGCCTTTGTTAACTTTGCGACCTTTCTTCTTGCCGTTTCCGCCACCGCTTCCATCGCCGCCATCGTCTCCGCCATCTGTGAAAATATTTGTGGATTACTTTCTCTCGAATCTCGATTTTAACTCGTGATCAAAGTCGTCAATATCAGCACGTTTTTTATCATTTCTCCGCTCTGGGAATTTATTTTAAAATTCTGGCCGACAAATTTGTAGAATAGGCCATTGCCAATTTTTTTAAAATATACACTCCAGATTTTGACCCTTTCTGAAGAAAGAGATCTCAAGTTTGAGAAGCCTTCAGAAAAATTGGAACTCGTCGAATTTGCCACAAAAAACTCACCGCCTTTTTCTTAATCAACTCACTGAATACAAATTTGTAGGTCAGAATTTTAAAATAAATTCCCAGAGGCGAGAAATGATTAAAAATCCAATGATTTTGACGATGAGTTATGCGTTAAATTATTTACATACTAACCTCCACCTCCACCACCGCCACCACTTCCCCCGCCACCTAAAAACAGAAAAAAAATATTTTACTAATGTGAACATTTTTGTCTCAAGGCATCTTTTTAAATTTACCGCCCCATCCGCCACCTACGAATATTCGGGCAAAATAAATAGAAAAAAATTCCGGAAATTGTTCATTCGTGCGTTCGTTTTAAATCTTACCGCCCCCACTGCCGCCACCGCCACCGCTCCCGCCATTATCACCATCATCGCCATCTAATGAAGTAAGTAAATCAATTACTTTGTCCGAATTTCGCGGTGCATTTTTAAATTTTAACTGACCTCCACCACCGTTCTCGCTCCCGCCCCCGCCGCCTAAGTAATTAAGGATTAAATTTAAATTAAAAATCTCATTTTGTCTGAAGATTGTTAGATAACGCAAATTTTTTAATTAATTTTAATTAACTTCACTCCCTAATTTCCTAAGTGATTAGGAATTAAATTTAAATTTAAAATCTCATTTATTAGATAACGTGTAAATTTGTAAATTAATTTTAATTAACTTTAATCCCTAATTCCCTAATTAATTGTAATTAATTTGTTTAATTTGTACCTCCACCACCACCACCACCTCCGCTACCCCCACCGCCACCTATGATTCCAAAAACTATTCACGACATGAGCAAATTATAGTCTCATTGAGACAAAACGTTATTGATACCTCCGTTTCCGTTGCCTTTTTTCTTCTTCCCGCCACCGCCACCGCCACTACCGTCCCCGCCGCCGCCGCCGCCACCGCCTAATTCGATAACATAATTTTAAATGTTAATGAATTGATTAATTGGTAATTAGAGATTGAATTTAAATCATAAATCTTAAAATTTTGCCCAAAACTTATTCATATGCAAATTTTTAATTAATTGCTAATTATATACCTCCACCACCACCACCGCCACCACCTCCGCTACCGCCACCGCCTAAAATTAAAAAATAATTGCTAAATAATTAAAAAATAATAATTAATCCCGCGTCGTCTTTTTAATCCCTATATTGATTAATTAATTGCTAAGTATTTAAATTTTAAGTCTCAATGTGCCTCAAGATTGTTAATATGCAAATTTTAAATTAATTAATTTTAATTAAATTTTAAATTAATTATACCTCCTTCACCATCTCCGCTTCCACCCATCATGCTTCCCATCTCATTGGTGGCTTGTCCAACTAGAAATATATTTGCATAAAATAAAATTATCAACTTCCGGTCTGGCTAAATTTGCAAATTATTACCTTCTCCTAACGCTTTCATGATAGCCTTGTCCTGAATCTGTTCGACCTGTTTGTTATACGCGATACCCTTGCGACGCGTGTTTTCTCCCGCCACTTCAATGCCCTTCCCTTCCGCGGCCTTTTGCTTCCACTGGTTCGCAACTTGTACGTTTACCGCCTCGCTAATTTAATTTAGGGGGAAAGTGAGATTAGATAAATTCCTGTTTCGTACCAATTTTTAATTTTACCTCTGTTTATTTGAGAGATCTGTGAATTGTTTTGTATATTTGGCGTCGATCGCTTTCCCGCCGCCGCCGCCACCACCGCCACCACCTGCGTTATTAAAATTGAGTTAAAGCGGGAATTTCAAACTGGCAAAATTCAAACTTACCGCCTCCTTTCCCGCCTCCTCTCCCCCCACCGCCACCACTCCCACTTCCTCCCCCATCCCCATCATCGCCATCCCCACCACCACCCCCACCCCTTCCGCCACCACCTTTAATCAAAGCCAAATTCAGTTTGCATTTAATTCCCCCGCCAAAATTCAAAATTACAGATAAATAAATAAACTATCCCCCGCCAAAATTCAACTAAGTAAATTACCCCCATGTCCACCCCCACCCCCGCTGCCTCGTCCCCCACCCCCACCGCCTCCACTGCCCCCACCACCACCATCCCCATCGCCATCCCCACTCCCGCCATCATCTCCACCTCCCCCGCCACCACCCCCGCGATTTTCTTTCGTTAAGGAACGTTTCTAAACCCCCCCAAAATAATTAGTTAATTAATTAATTTCGCCTCAATTAACTTCAATAATTAATTAATTCATACCTGTATATGCACCCATCTCGCATCGCTGCACCCAATCTGCACCACGACGCCTACGACGAGGAGCGTGATAAGCTTAAATCTTGTTAACTTCATGACCACCAAATTTTCCAGATGGACTGACTGCTGGAAAGTGAGTGAGTGGCTGACAAATCAATGATGAAACATGAATTTGTCAAGCTCAATTTTCATTATTTCCTTTATTGTCCCATTGTTCTCGGGACAACCTTTATTTTTCGTCACGAAGCATACTTACAAGGTTACACAACTCTTTGCCAACCATCGTCACGTCGGTCGGTCGGGGGAACATTCCTGGCTAAACAATCGACTCAAAAATTACGTAACAATCCACCAGCGGAACTTGAACCGTCCTTCGACTGATCAATGGCATTCCTTGACTTGACGTGTGCCACGATTAAATTAATTCATATTTCGATGTGTTATGCAATCATGAAATTCTCTCAATGAAATATTTCGTAGGTAATTAAACTATAAATATTAAATGCAGGTATAAAAAACAAGGAAGTCAGACAGAATTTTGTAATTTCAAAAAATATTTCACGTCTGGCAAGAAATTTTTTAGGAAATACAATTTTTTTTTCTGTGACGTGGAAAGTTGAATGAAAAATTGAGTCATGATTATTGAACGAGTGACGCCACACATCCGGTTTTGAGTTATCGAAGAGTGGGTGAATTTTGTGGTACTTACATACGTTACGACACTGGCATAATTATTGGAGTATTGTTTTCGGAGCGTGGAAAATACAATGGACTCGTAAAAAAATAAAAGCTGGCAAGGCTCTCATGTAAAAGGCGAGAATTTTTTGGGAGTGGATTAGGTAACGAGGACAAGAATTACATGATTTTTATGTAATTCCAAATTTTATCGCGAATTTTATCGCAAATTTTATCATTAAGTGACACCACGGAAATGAAGAGTACCTACCTAATTTCTGTCTATCTTTACCTCAGAGATGTAGTTAAAACATAACTAAGCGGCGACTTTTAGCGGGAAGAGATAATTACAAAATTTAGGGGGAGAAATAATTCATGTATAATAAATTTAATTGGTATACAATTTTAATTGAATTAAAAATTATGCATATTTTTTTAAAATTATATTTTAAAAGATAACAATACATTTGAATTAAATAAAGAACGTCCGGGAATGAATGGGAATGCGCGCTCTAGCGAGTATATTGACAAATCAATAAACCCGCGAACTATAATAATTTAAATTTCTGAAAGCCCACTTCATTAGGGTCAATTTGGTATATCACTCTTAAATTTCAAAAATGGATAAGGGTAGAAGAAGCTTGTTTGAAAGGGAGCTGTTAGCAAAACGAGTGATGGAGTTCTACAACACGACAGCCAACCGAGACTCCAAGGTGACCTGGAACTTTTTTAAGCAGGAAGGAATTCCAAGTTCAAATGTGTATTCCTACATAAAAAAGTTCAAGGATTCCGAAAATGTGCAATTCAAGAAGCCAGCTGGTCGTCCGGCGAAGCTAGCGACCACTCGAGTGAAAAATAGAATTGAAAAAATTTTCAAAACCAAGCCATCAACGTCAGTAGCTGTAGCTGCCAGGAAAGTCAAAATTTCCAAAAGCTACCTGGGGGAAATTAAGGTCCATAAATTAGGAATCAAAGCAAGGACCAAAAAACCTGCACCAAATTACAAGCCCGTACAAGAAAGTCGGATCAAGGATTGCTGTCAAAAATTGTTGAAGAAAATGCGTGGAAAAGTAGTGATCCTGGATGACGAAACGTATGTTCCGGTTGACCCTTCAAATCTTCCAGGGCGTCATTTTTTTCATAGCTCGGATCCCTCTGAAGTGGCTTATGAAGAAAAAGTACGAAAAAAAGACAAATTTCCAAAGAAATATTGCATTTGGCAATGCATCTCCAGTCACGGACATGTATCAGACCCGGTAGTTCTCGAAGGGAATATCAATCAAGATATTTATCTGAAAAATTGCGTCAAGGCTGGATTGGAAGCATTTATTAATAGGTTTCACAAAAATGATAAAGTTTTGTTTTGGCCTGACCTCGCCACTTGTCGCTATGCAAAGAAAGTGACCGAGTACCTCAGAAAGAAAAATATTGATTTCGTACCAAAAGATATCAACCCACCTAATGTACCCCAACTCCGCCCAATCGAAAAATTCTGGGCACGTTCTAAGTCAGTATACTCCCGGCTTCAAGATGTGCCTGACACCTTTCGAAAATTCAAAGGACGATGGAAGAAAATCACCTCGGAAGTGGCAAAAACTTCGGGAAAAAATTTAATGAAAAATCTTCGCAAGAAAATCGAACTAGTCGCCAACGGGGGTGTGGCGGCCTTAGCTATTAATTAAATTATGTAGGTACGTATTTGGTATTATACATATGCAAAAAGTTTAAAATTCCGATAACTCATTGTGATTTTATGACCACATTTTCAGACCATTCCCATTCATTCCCGGACGTTCTTTATTTATAAAATTATAATTACAACCGTTCAGCTCATATATGTAAATTAATGGACTCAATTCCTTTGGAAATTTTCTACGAGGTTTTTATGGAAAATAATATAAAATAACTTGCCAGGAAGCCTTTAATATTTTTTTCAGACTATTATTATTGGCTGAAATGAAATAATTTTAGATTAATTAAATTTATTTGTCCATATTTTATTCGTCCTTTCCTTTCCGGGATTTATGGCGGGGCGGGTCTTCATCATCGTCACCTCTATTTTTACTATCGCCATTATTGCCATCCTCCATGCCACTATCGGCCATCATGCTTGCTCCCGCTTTCTCCATATCTTCCATCGCTTTGATAAGCGAGGCTTTATTCGCGGCCCGGATCTTGTTCCCGTTTCCTCGCTCCCGCTCTTGGACGAGATTACCGCGCTCCTCAATTTCGCGACCGCGAGCCGCTTTGTCTTTCCAGGACACATCTGAATCTCCCGCCATTTTCTTGGCGGTCCTTAATCATTAATTTAAAAAAACTAGTTTAGAATTTGTAATTTTGATCAGAATTTTAATTTTTTAAAGTTTAAAATTCAGAACTTGATCAGAATTTTATTATCCATTTCTTAAATTTGAAACTTGATCAGGATTTTATTCTGAAAAATGTTTCAAATTTGAAACTTGGTCGAAATTTTATTTTTTACTTACTTGTCACCAAGGTCTTTAAACTCTTTTGCCGCTTTGGACCCAGAACCACTAACGCCGTGTCGACGGTTGTCGTCGGACGTGTTGAAATTGTCATCGCCATCGGATTCTGCCGGAGATGCGGACCGTTTTACGAGGGAGACCTGGAAATTTCAAAATTTAGAAAATTTTTCAAATTTTATTTTTGAGACACGCAGTTAACTTACCCCAAATACTGGTAGGATTAGTAGAAATGTGGCTATCGTGACTAGGTAAAATTTCATGGTACTCATCTTTTTGCAAAATCAAAAAGTTGCAAATTTTTGCCCAAAAATGCGTACTAGCAAATATTAAAAGTTACTTGTCGCGTGCATTGAGATATGCAAATTTTTGCATACATATGCACGCAGTAAGAATGGGCATTAAAATTCATTTGCAATGTCTTGTTTTTAACAGTTGAGGAAATCGGTAACTTTTTATTGCGGATATTTCCATTGTGATTTATCTGCATACTCATTCTCATTGTATAAAAAGTTGGTAGATTATTGATTATTCGAGATAAAAATAAGTCTAAAATATGAATCAGGAATGAAAATATCTAGTTATTAATCTAGTTAACAATTATTTATTAAGCAGTGTCCTCCTCAGAAACAAAATGGCATACTACTTTATAAAGCAGAAGATCAAAATTGCGCAAAAATGGTTGCGAATTTCTAAATCGTATAATTAGCCTACTGGTGCAAGAGTATCTTATACTCAAATTGGCACCCGTTTTTACTTTCTCACACATTTTTGACGTCGAACTATTTCGATCCATCCAACCCGATTAATCAATTAATTAAATCAATTAATTAAGTTAATTAATTAATAATTAGAAAGTTTGAAAAATGGATCGTCAACCTAGAAAAGATTCTAATGTAGTGCCTTCCTCAGAGACAAAATTGCATACTATTTTATAAAGCAGAAGATCAAAATTATGCAAAAATAGCTGCGAATTTCTAAATCGTGATGGAATTATATTATTATTATTAGCCTATTGGTGCAAGAGTATCTTATAATCAACTTTGTAACCCTTTTTACTTTCCCACACATTTTTGACGTCGAACTGATACATTTCAATCGAGAAATCGAGTGCGTTTAATCAAATAATTAAATTTAATTAATTAATCTAATTAATTAATTTTAATTAATTAATTAAATTAATTAATTTAAATTAATTAATTTAATTAATTGATTAATAATTAGAAAGTTTCAAAAATGGATCATCAACCTAGAAAAGATTCTAACGTTATTTCCTCCCAGAAACAAAATTGCATTCTTTTTTATCACCACACATTAAAATTGTAAAAAAATGAATTAAAATCTATATTATGATTGTGGAAGATGATGATGATATATCTATTATTCAAATTAATTCAAAATTTAGCACACATAAATTTTTAGACACAAATTTTTTATTTCAAAATTAAAATTTCTATCAAGTTGGACATTCTTAGACCAAATTGGAAGGCAGTGTCCTTCCAGAGATAAAATTGCATACTATTTTATAAGTACTACAGTAAGTAAGTAAATAAGTAATAGATAATCAGAGATTGCATAAAAATTACATTAAATTTCTACATCATGAGATCAATAGCTCATTTTTTCTTTACCTAACTTATAACCGTTTTTACATGCACACACATTTTTTACGTCGAACTGGTATATTTCCAAATCGAGAAATATTTAGCAGAGAGCATTCAAAATTTGAGTTTCAAATTAATTAATTAACATTAAAATTTAGAAAATGAATCATAAAACTGAACCAGATGCAAATGTGAGACAAAATTGTATACTAGTTTATCCAACAAATAATCAGAATTGAATAAATTCTTCATTAAACGTCTAAATCATGAATCTTTTAATCAGTTTTGCAACCCTTTTAAATACACATAAATTTTTGACGTCGAGCTGCTGCTA